AGTGAATGACCTTACGTTTTCAATGATTTCCACTGGAAAGCATCACATTGTATAAATATAGATTTTACATGTCCTGGGTTGCTGCATGAGTTCTCTCATAGAATGCTATTGCTGAAGTCACACACAGATGTACAGTTGCAGAGAGGAGTGGAAGGGGTGGAAGGGTGAAGACGCAAAGCAAAATTGCAGAGAAAAACAATTACCCGAACAAAACCGTTTGAACTGTTTATGTAATGTGCCTATAGCCCCCTCAACCTAAACACAGTAACATCCTATGTTCAGTGACTTGGTTATTGTGAAGGGAGAAGCCTGGTCTAAGCCTCACTATCCCTGCAGAGTTTATCTGCAGCAATAAACCTTCCGACATCAAATGAGACATTCTACTTCTTTCTTCTTATCCCCCCGTTCACATTTCTTTTTTACATATACTTTATATATTTTTTGCCTTAATTCTACTCAATAAACAAGCGTTTCTATGACAATCACATGTGGACAACGGTCTCTGCAGGAGTGATAAAGTTTTAAAACGCTCTTTGATTATAAACTTGTGAGGAAGCCTGAGCCTGCATACTCTACCTGTATGCCATTTTCAGCTTATGCAAGAGGGGTCATTCAACGTCAATTATGCAAATACAAACCGCCTCTTCATTTTGTAAAAAATTTATTTTCTGAAACATGATTAGTGCTTTTCAATACCCTTACAAAAGAAAACCCCAAAGTTTTCTAGAGGTTTTTTTTGGAAACATCAGGAGATAAAAGGTAATTTCATGATGCAAGTAAGACATATTTTTTTTTGGTAAATAATAATAATAAAAATTAAAAACACCCTTTTACAGACTGGCCATATCTTTTTTCTATTAGAGTACCGTGCAAGAGAACACTCACTGAGGGAGATTTGCTAAATTGAAAAAAAAAATGGTGCAAAACTGTAAAATAGGAGTAATCAACATCGTAATGCACCTGCATGGTCCACTGGTTTCCATGGCAATTGCACCATTTTTTTCAGATGATCGAAAATGAGCTAAAAACATCTGCAGATATAATACCCAAATCCACTTGACTACCATCTAATAAGGAGGTTGAGACACTCAAGCAAGCATCCCTTTACACTGTAAAGTGCACACCTCAAAATATTTCAAATAGACAAAGAGGGACATATTCATTTTAGGGGTGTGAGTGGAGGGCGTGAGCAGGGAATGGACTGTTCGGAGAAAATTCAGGTCACTTACTAATAACATTTTGCCAAAGATAAAAATGTACTTGCGCATTATCTCAAATCCCTATGAACATTTAAATAACGGGAAGTTGTTTAGCATCACTCCAATGGCCATTTAAGTATAAGCTCATCTGCCACATCAAGCCGAAACCTCTTAGGTGAGCCCTACGCTAACAATTCACCTTGCTGCTTTGAGTCAAAAGGTGAAATTTCTATTTTTCTAAACCCTACAAACATATTAACCCTAATAGGGATCACATAAGGTGGGTACCAGCACTGTAACATGGCTGTGTAATACAAACATACAAAATTAAGGCCTGCGTTTAAACTCTTAGTGTAGAGCTCATCTAACAGATTTGGCTTTGACGTGGCAGGTGGACTTTAAATGGCCATTGGAGTGATTCATTTTATGTGTGTGTGTATTTACTTTTGTATCACACAGCCATGTTACAGTGCTGCCTCCCACCCTATGTGTTCCCTATTAGGGGTTAATAAGTGTGTAGGGGGTTAGAAATATACCCCTCTCTGTCTCATTAGAGACTTCACCAGGTGAGCTAAACGTGGCAGGTGAGCTAAACACTTGAATGGTCATTTGCTTGTGATACTAAAAAGTCTCTAATTATTTAAATGTGCATAAGTATTTGGGCTATTGCGCAACAGTTAATTTTGGTGGCAAATATCAATTTAGTTTTAGTCATTGTCTTTTGACTAAAAAGCCATTTTACTATTAGTCGCATTTTAGTCATCTGAATTGTTAGTTTTAGTCGACTAAATCATTTTATTTTAGTCATCTGAATTGTGTTAGTTTTAGTTGACTAAATCTTCTGTAGATTTTAGTTGTGTGCCTCTATCTGTCTCTTCTGCCCCTTCCCCAGATCTCTGTGTCTCTTTACCAAGCCCTGGTCTGTCTCTTTTGACCCTTCCACAGCCCCTCTGTGGAGTGTTAATTTTGGCGGCAAATTTCAATTTAGTTTCAGACAAATTCTTTTTACTAAAATGCCATTTTAGTTTTAGTTGTATTTTAGTCATCTGAATTGTTTTAGTTGACTAAATCTCAAAAAGTTTAGTCGACTAAAATTTGAGTAAAAGTGTTAGTTGACAAAATTAATACTTTTGCGCAAGTAACTTTGTTTTTTTTTTGTATGTGTTGGGGCTTAAGTGTACTATAGTCGTTGCTGCCTCCCAGGAGTAATGAGAGTCTAAACGCAAGGCTTAATTTTGTATGTTTCTTATAACATTTTATGCAACTAAAATGTATTTAGAATAGGAACAACGTATGCTATTTCCACAGACTGTTTTCTAAACAAAATAATTGTAGTTTAAAGACACCCTACTATGAGTATGGTTGCTGTGGAGCTGTTATACAGTCAAATACACCAATAATACAGAGCTCCTAGAATAGAGGGACATTAGGATAGAAAAGATGGACAGATGGATTTGGGTCCAAAACATTGACCGTCCCTCTTCAATAGAGACAGTTAGGAGATATAAAAATGTGATACAATCTACTAAACTGAGTATTGGAACCCTAGACGCAATTCTTTCAATTGGGACTTTTAACAAATGGAAACGTACTATACACTAAAAGATTATATATTTATCATATTTACATACAAACTTCTATAAGGACAAAAAAAATTTCTGCAAAACTAAACCGTCGAAAGTTATAATTAAACATGATAATAATATTGTCTGTAAAAAGACCTCACAGAGCGCAGTCTACGAAAGAAAAGATAAAGTATGGAAACTAAAACTACAACAAACGATAGTGAAATACTACATAGATATATACACATTGCCCAGCAGTATTAATAGAAGGAAATAGAATTATATATTAAAAAAAAAAAAAAAGAATAAGAAAAAAAGCTTAATTTTATAAAAAAAATATCCTTTTGAAGTGCAAATGCTGATATATGACATATTCAGAAACCATACTAAAGAACACACTGCAGCTGTCTATTAAATAAAATAACACTAAATATTTGCACGTGCAGTTAAAAAAAGACAAAAATAAATAAAACTGCAAAATAGAAAAGGATATGTGAGATTTAATAAAATTGCAAAATATAAAGGAAATTTGAGACATGATTTTAGGTGTGCACAACAGTAATGTGTTATTGACATGTTTTGAAAAATCTATTTAATCTTCAAATCACTGAAGGCAACTCTGCCCAATGGCACTCCCCCAATAGTAGCGAAGTATGAAAACCCCTGTAAATGCCCAATCTCTGTGAGTTGCACTTTATAGTTCCTCCAGGTCAGCAATTATACATTTTAATAAATCAGATTACATTAACCCTTATGGAGCCATTCCTTACCATGCCAGGTATCTGCTCAGCCCCTGGCTCCCCGCTGCCCATGGCTCCTGAATCCATGTCTGCCACTCTGGAAACAGCAAGTCCCCAACACACAGAGCCACCAGCGCTTCGCGACAGTGCAGGGAGCAAGCCCAATGAAACTAGGGAGCACTTTACGGCCGGTGCGACAGCGCGTCCGGACCAGACCTCCGTTTACGGCAGTGTGGCACTGGCACTGTTTGAAAGCAATATTGTAATGAGTGATTTAGGAGAAGTATTAAAAACATGAATTAAACTTCAAGTCTTTATTATGAGTATTTTGTCATGGTTATGTGTTAGTTTGAGAGCATTAACACTCACCTAAGCCTGTGAACTCACAGCTATCTTTTACCAGAAGGGCTATTTTTATTTACTGAACTTGAAATTGTAAAAGTTAGGACAAAAACAGCTAAATTGAAAAAAAATAAATAATAATAAATACATCCAATTTAACTACAGTCACTGGTTATTTTGCAGAGTTATTCAATAAATTACACATTTTAGCTAATGAAATGCAACTGGCAAAATGTAGGCTGAAATAGATCATTTGAAAGAAAAATCCTACTCAGGTTTTGTTACAGCCTGGGTATTTTTTATTACTTGCCAAGATTTGGATTTTCGCAAATAACCTTAATTTTGTTATAGAAACATAGAATGAGACGGCAGATAAGAACCATTCGGCCCATCTAGTCTGCCCAATTTTCTAAATACTTTCATTAGTCTCTAGCCTTATCTTATAGTTAGGATAGCCTTATGCCTATCCCACGCATGCTTAAACTCCTTTACTGTGTTAACCTCTACCACTTCAGCTGGAAGGCTATTCCATGCATCCACTACCCTCTCAGTAAAGTAATACTTCCTGATATTATTTTTAAACCTTTGTCCCTCTAATTTAAGACTATGTCCTCTTGTTGTGGTAGTTTTTCTTCTTTTAAATATAGTCTCCTCCTTTACTGTGTTGATTCCCTTTATGTATTTAAATGTTTCTATCATATCCCCCCTGTCTCGCCTTTCCTCCAAGCTATACATGTTATTATATTATTATTATATTAACCTTAATTTTGTTATTATATTATTATTATTATTATTATATTAACCTTAATTTTGTTATTATATTATTATTATTATTATTATTATTATTATATTAACCTTAATTTTGTTATTATATTATTATTATTATTATATTAACCTTAATTTTGTAGTTCAGATTTTATTTTGTAACAATGTTTTGAAATTAAAACAATGGAATAGCTAAATTTAGGGTGCCATAATTTGGGGCTCCTGTCCTTCACTCCCAGTTATGTTTTTGCACTAGGATTCCCATTAATCTCAGGCAGCCATGCCAGCTGCCCATTAGGGGAAAGCACACCATAACAACTGTTATTTTCCCTGTTATCCAGCCACACTCAAGCTAATCATAGAGAATTCCTCCAGTGTCCATGGAGGGCCTATCTTTCCCTGCGACTCTATGGTTTGTTTTGTTTTGCACCGGAAGTGACTGATGCGGAAGTGTTGAGGCTGTTGATTGGCAGGTGGGATGCAGGGCTGTCATGCTGCTGAGCCCTGAGCTGTCATGATGCTGAAGGTGGCGGGTGGGTTTCTGCTGGTGGTCCTCCTGGCACTGGCCCTGGGCAAGTACAGCTCATCTGGACGCCGGGCACAGTTACAGCGCCGCCATGAGGGGGACAGAGGACCTGCACCTGGGAAGGACCTGGACAACATCTTCTGGGCTGTGCAGGTTAGCAGTGAGTGACATGGACAGCGACCTGGCTGCTCTAATATGGGGACAGCCTGCAGGGGAGGCTGGAATTCACATTAATGGGTAATAATGAGGGGGGGGGGGGGATAAGTCATACATTAAATGGCAGGGGTGAGGGGGGGTTGGGGGGATGGAGGAGGTGTAGGGTGGCTTGGGGGAGGGGTGGAGAGGTGTGTAGGGATAGCTTGGGGAGGGATGGAGAGGTGTGTAGGGATGGCTTGGGGAGGGGTGGAGAGGTGTGTAGGGATGGCTTGGGGAGGGTGGAGAGTGTAGGGATAGCTTGGGGAGGGATGGAGAGGTGGGGGGGAGGGATGGAGAGGTGTGAAGGCTTGGGGGAGGGAGGATGGAGAGGTGTGTAGGGGTGGCTTGGGGAGGTGTGTAGGGTGGCTTGGGGAGGATGGAGAGGTGTGTGGGGGGATGGAGAGGTGTGTAGGAGTGGCTTGGAGGGAGGGATGGAGGTGTGTAGGGGTGGCTTGGGAGGAGGGAGGATGGAGAGGTGAGTAGGGGTGGCTTGGTGGGAGGGAGGGATGGAGAGGTGAGTAGGGGGTGGCTTGGGGAGGGAGGATGGAGAGGTAGGGGTGGCTTGGGGAGGGAGGGATGGAGAGGTGTGTAGGGGTGGCTTGGGGGAGGGGAGGATGGAGAGGTGTGATGGGGTGGCTTGGGGGAGGGGAGGATGGAGAGGTGGGGAGGGAGGTGTGTAGGAGTGGCTTGGGGGGAGGAGGAGAGAGACAGGGGGGGGTGACAGACCAATCACCATGATGGGGATGACAGTAAATGGAGAAAGCTAAAAATAGAAATGTCACATGATTGGTACAGAGAATGAAATGCAGATTACAGAATTATGGTGAATTTAAACAAAATCTGTGCTTTGAATAAAAAAAAAAAAAAAAAAAAAGTTTTAAAATATATTGCTTCTGCAATACAGCCAGCATACCTAACCAGACGCTGTCTGCGAATAAAACCGTCTTCATGAATGAGGGAAAAGACCCCCTATGCTGTGGAAGCTTAAGGCCCCATTTCAGTATTAAATACTGATTAGAAGAATATGTTGCATAGACACCCTCTATCTGCTTATTTACAATCATTGGCTCATTTTGATCAATCACGCATTATACCTTGTCCATAGGCCATGGATAATACAGTTCATGCATCAACATTGTGCATATTGCTGGAACATTCAATACCTCGCCCACGGTTTTTACTGTGCATCTGTAGCCATTTTATGTACCACCAGGAATAATACCAACACACAGTACTATAAAATTATTACTTATGCAGAAAATCTATTGTTTGCAGTGACCAACTCCTCAGTCACCCTCCCAGTGATATTATATGGGTCTGGAAAATGTTGTCAGTTGGCCAACCTGAAAATTAAAGGAACACTGTAGGATCAGAAACACAAACCTGTATTCCTGACCGATAGTGTTAAAAACATTATTTGAAAAGACAGTGTTTACTGGAAAAAGCCTGCAGGGACTGACTATACTCACCAGCTGCAGATCTGCTGTATGCAGCCTTTGCAAGCCCCCTCCTCTTTCTCAGGCACAGACTTTCAGTTTGTGACAGGGAATAAACCAATCCGAGGCATTTCATTTAGAAGCCTCTGAGCTGGAGCAGCAAGCTCGTACTCTCATACAATAGCAGCTTTTCAATACTTTATTTATTACAGCTCATTCAGAATGTGGGATTGCAGGCATGGCATTTCTTAGCACACTTTCCATTTTCTCTCAGGGACAGTCACGGCGTTGTTTCTGCCCCGGCTATAAAAGTGAAGATTACAACTGAAGGCCTCCATTTAATAAGCTTTCCAAATAATTCAATGCTGTGAGTAAAAGTTTCCAAATGATTGACCTACAAAAGTCACCATTAATCTCTATGGGAATTTTTGTAGCTAAATAATTTGGAAAAAAATTTCTAACACAATTGAACCATTTGGCAAGCTTATTAAAGGACCACTATAGTGCCAGGAAAACATACTCATTTTCCTGACACTATAGTGCCCTGATGTCCCCCTCCCGCCCGGCTCTGGGGAGAGGAAAGGGTTAAATCTTACCTTTTTTCCAGTGCAGGGCTGGGAGCTCTCCACCTCCGATCCTCCTCTTCGGCTGAATGCGCATGCTCGGCAGGAGCTGCGCGCGTTCAGCCTGTCTCATAGGAAAGCATTCATAATGCTTTCCTATGGACGCTGGCGTCTTCTCACTGTGATTTTCACAGTGAGAAGCACGCAAATGCCTCTAGCGGCTGTCAGTGAGACAGCCACTAGAGGCTTTAGAGGCTGGATTAACCCATTTATAAACATAGCAGTTTCTCTGAAACTGCTATGTTTATTTTAAAAAGGGGTTAATCCTAGAGGGACCTGGCACCCAGACCACTTCATTAAGCTGAAGTGGTCTGGGTGCCTAGAGTGGTCCTTTAAGTTGGGGTCAAAATTGGCACTTTTATAACTTTTCACAAATATAACAGACTCCATCACATACAGCAATTCAGCAAGCTCCAGTGCTTTCTGTGTCTGGAGTGTTACTGTAAACTGATGGAAGTTGAAACACCGGAATGATTTGCTCCTGAGTGCTTACAGACTTTCTCTCATCCGTAAGAGAATGGGTGGAGAGGTTAGTGGAAGTTAGTTAATGACAATGTAGATTTGCCTCTTCATTGTTTTGTTATTGATTTTCCTGTGGTTTGTAGTAAACAAAAACCCTCTTTCCTGTGATACAGATTACAGATATCCACATCAGTATGTTCTTGGATCCCACCCGGTCCTCGGAGTTTGAAACATTCTGCAAAGAGAGCCTTCCTGTCATCAGCCCTGCCCTTGTACTAGCTACAGGTAATTGAATGGTATGCTTTCCTATTCTAACTACATTCTACACAATATAGTGTATGGAGCTGCCGGTCTGCTCTGTATGCAGTTATAAGCTCCAGGTATATACAGGACAAACTTCTGAGATCCTTAAAAATGCTGAGGACCTGGTTCTAATATTTTTTGTGCGCTGTAAGTCCTACTCATGATGACTACTACTTCTACTATGAAAAGTAACGCATGGTGTAACAATTAATTATAAAAATGTAAAGGAGTTTACTAACAGGTGAGATGTTTTTTTTTTTTTTGTTTGTTTGTTTTTTGTCATGTACATGTACACCAATTATCTGAATGAGCTTACGGTATATTGCTGTTGAAATATATTGGTAGCATGGTTTTGGGCATTTCCCAAATGGGGTTCCGCCGTAATTTCGCCAAACAAAATGGCCGCCGCAATTTGATCACTTAACAGGGGCCCGGTCAGGTGTCACAGCCCTTTAGAGCACAACCGGGCACCTGTAGTATCGACCAGCTGGGAGGAAGTGACAGCACTTACTCCCAGCTTTATAGAGTTGCTGCCGCGCATTAGGGAGGAGGAGGCTGGAGACAGCAGCCCAGAGAGGGAGCAGCATGCATGGCAGAGGAGAGGTTGGAGTGAGCATGCAGCAGCGCAAACATTACATACAAATACACCCCTGTATCAAAACGTTAACATTATATACAATTACCAACTGTACACATAAAAGCACACCTGCTCCTAAGTACTACTATCTGCGCTACGGTGCCAACATTTTTTGTGGGTTCTTTTGAACTGTACTGTAACTTCTAACTATACCACATGTTTTGTTTCAGGGGACTTAACAGATGCCAAAACCAAGGATAAGCTGGGCTCAGATCAGTTTGAAGTTGAGTGGCAAATTTATCAATCTGCTGTGAAGAAATCCCAGATTTTGGAGAATACCAAGTGGATTGATATACGTGGGAACCATGGTAAGATGCCTAAAGCAATAGCATTTTAAATCTTAAACAACATAAGACCAACAGCTCAATGAAAATATCTGCACTACTTAAAATGCATTTGTTCTTTTTGAGGGACAGTAAGCAGCAGCTAAATTGTTATATTTAAAGGACCACTCTAGGCACCCAGACCACTTCAGCTTAATGAAGTGGTCTGGGTGCCAGGTCCAGCCAGGATTAACCCATTCCTTTATAAACATAGCAGTTTCAGAGAAACTGCTATGTTTATAAATGGGTTAAGCCTTCCCCCAAAGCCTCTAGCGGCTGTCTCATTGACAGCCGCTAGAGGCGCTTGCGTGCTTCTCACTGTGATTTTCACAGTGAGAGCACGCCAGCGTCCATAGGAAAGCATTGATAATGCTTTCCTATGCGACCGGCTGAATGCGCGCGCAGCTCTTGCCGCGCGTGCACATTCAGCCGACGGGGAGGATCGGAGGAGGAGAGCTCCCCGCCCAGCGCTGGAAAAAGGTACGTTTTTTTTTTTCCATTCCAGAGCCGGGCGGGAGGGGGACCCTGAGGGTGGGGGCACCCTCAGGGCACTATAGTGCCAGGAAAACGAGTATGTTTTCCTGGCACTATAGTGGTCCTTTAATACCGCGTTAGGCCTGACTGTTTGGAACATCATCTTTAGATTTACACATAACACTAAGAGTGTTTTCAATTTAAAGCCTGTATATTTAAAATGTCACACTGTTTCCATATACATTTATCGATGTAACCGTTCTTAATTTCCCAATCAAGTTTTTGTTCAGAAATTATTTTAAAAATATTAAATTATTTCTCTTTTCTTTGAAATCAGATTCCTTTAACATTGCTGAACTGACCAGTTTGAAAAACTACTACAGGTAATGCACCTGCAAAATGTTACTCTTTGGGTATGAGTAATCTAACAGAGTATTTTTATAATACAAAGAGGCTTATTTACTAAACTGGAATTGTATAGAACTGCCTAGTGAAATGGAAATTGTAGCCCAAGGTACCTTAACCTTAATATCTCTGATCTGCAGAATTTTATTAAAATGTCTGACATAACGGCCTATAATTAGCATTTTCCATTTAAATTCCCCAGAGTTTCACAGTTTAATGTGAAAAAGAAAACCTTACTGGGAGTTGGAAAATGTCTTTATATTTTTTTTTATGTGTGTGGTTGAATGTATTTCTTTGGTTCTTCTTTTTAAAGGAAATATTCTTCATGGAAGAAAGAAGGTTCATTTCATTATGTCCATCGCACGCCATTTGGGAATTATTCATTTATATGTGTAGATGCCACACTCAACCCAGGCCCCAAGAGACCATACAACTTCTTTGGCATCGTAGATACGGTAATGAATACTTTTAATCTAGTAGTAGAAGAATTGAAGGAATGCTAGTCTAATCTTGCATCAAGTATCCTTTTTTTTTTTTTAGTCATAATTTTACAGTTGTATAATAGACAAAAGTACATTATAGATAAAATCGTTTGAGGTGGAGCCTGACTTCCAAGCCGACTAGTCGTGCCTGTCAAGAGCTCCTGCGTCTGGGGCCAAGGTTCTGGCTTTACTGCCAGAGCACCCGATCATACTAGCTGCAAACAGCAATTTTAGTGACCCAGGGACGGCACTGCACCCGGGGATACCTGACTCAAGGTTCTCCATTGCTGAGCTCTCTGAATCGTGACCGGCGGTCTGTACAGGTTGGTGCTGAGGAGAGATGGCCGCTCTTCCGGTTCTCTGGCTGGTGGGGGAACACTCGCAAATCGTCCCCCCCCCACCGCGCACTCGACAGCCCAAACAGGCAGCACACAATGCCTACCTTCCCAAAGGACTCCAGGCTTGTGGCAAAAAGGTACCAGCTCTCCCACAACCCCTGGGCAGGAGGGGCACCCTGTCTCCACACCGCTACACTGTTCCCCAAAGTGGACTGAGCCCTTACCTAAAATATGACCCCCGCAGAGGAATCGGATGACTGTCCCACAAAGTAGCTAGAGGGGCTTGCTTGGATGCCCGCACATTAAGTCCACCAACACCACCCTGGACACAGATACCAAGCTTTACAGCTGATGGCGTCAGATTGGACCGTTTACCTTTGCAGTTGAACGAACGATCATACCACACAATGTAAAAACAAAGAAAACGTTACCTGCGCTCTGGCCTAAATCCCCATGTGCATTTAAACAAAAATACCACACAATGTACTCTACTACTCCATGCACTATCTACTGCAATTTACATACCCTAGGATACTGCAGAGCTAGATAAGCTTTAGTTAGATGCAGACGTAGCACAAGCACCTGAGGAGCCTACCTACCTACAAATTATGTATACCTTTTTCGTAGTCTTGGTAATATATGCAGAAGTAGCGGTTCATGCCAAATGAGAAAGGGAGGAAGTAAGTGATCGGCATAGTAGCATTAACGTGATTATTTTACATGCTCCACTCTTAACCTCTATGCCTCTGGTAGTGATTCTAGTCATGTTCTAATATTATAAAAATGTGCAAGTCTTATGTTACCCAACTGGAATACGTGATGCCCAGCCTGAGGAATGTCATTGGGGTACCTCAGGCCTGTTTGTAATACTTTTATGCATTACAAAAATACAAAGTGAAAGTTTACAATTATACATTCAGAGGAGGTGCACAGAGCTTAGAATGAAATTCTACATTTTAGAACAAGCAGCTATGCAGAAGCACGTATATAGGTGTGCATTATACAATTACATAATACAACATGCACAGCCAACTTGCAATTTGAACTCGTTGTAAGGTGCAATACCTTCAGGGCAAAGAAAATAAGAGAGGTGACAAAGAGAGGTTCAATAGCAAATGCGGCTGGAGAAGGGTGGTAAGAAGAAAGGGAATCGCTGCCGCTTAAGAGGTAAAGACTGTGTATACAACAAACTGCTTCCTGAGCACTACATTCGAAATCTCTTCCCATAATGTCCACACTTTGTGTAAGGAAGGCATTGAGCTTCTGATTTGGACTGTTTGTCAATCAGGTTTTATTTTGTATATCACACATTCCACTGCAGGTGCCTTCTTTAACCTTCCAAATAACTTCCACTCATGGGTAGTGAAACCATCTAGGGCTGTGGTGATTATAAAGAACAAACCAAGAATCTAGGCCAGCGGAAGATACTTTTTTTTTTTTTTTTTTGGAACTTTCTCAGGGACAATAATTGATTTGCATAGATGGAATGTATATGCATATTATGGGCAAACTGTCAGCCCCAGCGGTGAAGGAAAAAGGTCTAAATGATTTACAAATGTGTGTTCTTCCTTGCATCTGGGTTCCATATCCACAACACAAGAACCCTGTGTCCTGATAACACTAAGGTCATTTTATCATAACTTACTATTGGAATGCCTGTACACCAGTCGAGGGAATTTGTATTTGTGAGTACTTTCATTTATGGGGAAAAAATATGAATGAAACTACGTAGCTAATTAATAAAAAAATGTAAAAAAATGGCAATTATCTTATCAATGTTTGATTGATTTACATGAAATAATATCCACCATAGCAAACATTTATTTTTATTTGTAAATACAATAGATGTCTAGCCATACCGGTCATCCAGCATATTACAGAGTTTGGTTACTGTCAATAAGGGCTGCCCTAACACGGCAGCTTGGTGCACTTTACACTCCGCTGCCGTAAACTACAAAGTGTTTATTGAATTTTGTTATTTCTAATTTTGCATTGTTTTTTCAGGAGCTGCTAGATTTCTGTAGAATGTGAATACTTTTTTTTTTTTTTTTGACATTCTTTATTTTGTTCATTTGACAAACTTTCAGCACAATACAACTCTGGACATATTTGGGTGTGTAGCCCTGAACATGGAAGCATTAAATTATCAGCATTAGTGCGTATTCAGCTTTACCACTGTCATGATGGAAATGTGTCGGTTCTGGACCGGTACGGCAGCGCTTCACTGGGGGCTACTGCCAAGAGCTTTCGGCTTAGCTGTCACTTCAATAGATTCTATTGTATGCATGCGATGTGTGGTATCCCTTCCGTCATATCCTTGTTGGCTTGCTTTATGAGCTGGGTTGTGTCTGAATGCCCTAATATTGATATTCTACCTTTGCGTCTAATGGTTTGATGTGTGCGGGTTTCATAGTAGATAGAGTGTCACCCATCCAATCGGATGTCCGGCTTGGTCACAGTGGTTCCTCGGTTGGTGCTGCTAGTGTGTTGTGTTGTGTAGGTCTTTGTCTAAGAAGTGTGTTGTGTGTAGCTCAAAAAGTATTGGTTGTCTCGGACAGGTCCTGTGCGGCTTGTTGTGTCCTAAGTCCTGTATGTAGCTTGTTCTGTCTATTGTAGGCGGTTCCGGGTAATGACTAGCTTGAGGAGCATAGAGGAAGTATCTTCCTCAGGGGGCAATTGTGTCCGACATCCGGTCCTTAGGCTCGTCACGTCTCCTGGTATTGTTACCACATTCTATCCCTCTTGAGTCTGTTGATACGGTGCCTGTATGTTTCCCCTGCGAATTCTTGGCCTTTCTCTGTCGTTTGCCCTCCCTCCCATGTTGCTCTCCGTCTGTCCTACGTGTCGTGTAGTGATATAGTTTGGCTTGGGTGCCTACGAGAGTTATGTCTTTGCGGTTCATCTATGGTCTGGGAAGTGGGGGTGGGGGGATTCAGTCAGTTTTGTGTGTGGGGGGGGGGGGTCTTACGTAACTGGTCTTTACTGTAGCCATGCGTCAGTTGGCGGGGGGGGGTGTGCAGGTGCGGGGGAGCCCCCACTCCCAGTCTGGGCGTCCCTTGTGGCTCCATTTGCTGTATATTCCATCCATGGGAACCAGGTTAGGGCACATTTGTCTGAGCGTCCCTGCAGGGAGGCCGTCATTTTTTACACTCTGAAAATCATTTCCACTCTGTCCACCCATTGTGGGTGGGTGGGTGTTACCGGGCTTTTCCATAGCGTGGGAATGAGCGATTTTGCCGCTGTGAGTAGATGTATGATGAGGCCCTTTTTATAGGCCTTCGCGGGTGTGCTTGTGTGGTTCAGCAGTGGTTGAAGGGGGATATCTGTCCCAGTGATGTCCTTAATCGTCTGGTGTATCATTCGTCAATACAGTTCAATGCGGGGGCAAGACCACCAGATGTGGATACCAGAGCCGCCTTCTGCGCCGCACCTCCAGCACTCGCCGGGGATTGACTCGTGGATGTGTCAGAGAATATCTGGTGTTCTATACCAGCGGTTCAATATTTTGTAGTTGCATTCTTGGAACTTTAAGCTTATGGTCTCTTTATGTGTCAGTTGGAATTTTTTGCCATTCTAGTTCAGAGAGTTCGACCCCCGTCTCCCTTTCTCGACGTTCCGTGAAGCCTTATCTCCGCTGCTCTGTAGTGTGGAATATAGATGCGATACTCCATGCGTAAAGTGCTGCCTGGCCGCACATAGTTGTTTTAGGTGGATGTAGGTGGTCCTTGCCTGTGATCGTGGCAACGTAAGTTTTTAGTTGGTGGTAGCGGAATTCATCGAGTAAGCTTGGTCTGCGGTCTTGTAGCAACACGCCAGGGGCTTGAGTGCCGATCCGCTGCACCACTGGTGCAGGTGGACCCAGTCAGTTACCCCAAAGTTCTTTAGGTCGGCCGGGGAGAGCCCCCCTGCTAATTTCGGGTTATTGGTTGCGGGTTTGGCGATGACGTAAGACTTTTGGAATATCGTATGCTACACCAAACCCTCAACGTGGCGTCTATCATCGGGTTGCCTGTTTGCAATTCCTGGAACGTTGCTTCCCCCAGCCACAACAGGGCTGGTATTTTACATCCCTGGGCTTGATGTTTTTCCATATCTACCCATTGCTTCTCGCTTGGGGTAGCGTGCCAGTCGACCAGCTGTGCAGGTGCGTAGCCTGGTAGTATGTGATGACGGACGGCAGTCCCATGCCTCCCTCGCTCTTTGGGCGTTCCAGGATCGTTTTCCGTATGCGCGCAGGTTTTGGATTCCACACGAACTGCCTGATGGTTGTCGTTAGTGACTGAAAGAACGTCTGCGGGATGCTTGACTGTAGCGTCTGGAACAAATAAAGTATTCAGGGCATAACATTAATTTTAATGGCATTTATACGGCCAAACCATGAAATATATTGTGATGTCCAGCGCTTTAAGTCTTGCTGCAAGTTTGCGAGTAGGGGTGCGAAATTCATGTGGTAGGTTTGTGCTAGGTCGTTCGGGAGCCATATCCCAAGGTAATGTAGTTTGGTCATGCATATCCTGAAGGGGAAGTGCGTTCGGATGTGTCCCTGGAGGGCTGCATCTCGCGTGAGTGGCACTAACTCCGATTTGTCCAGGTTGAGTTTCAGGTTGGAAACCTCGCTGTATTGTCGGAATGCCTCCATAAGGTTTGGTATGGATATTCTCGGTTGCTCCAGGAAAAAGAACATGTCGTCGGCATAAGCCGCCACGTGGTGCTCTCTCCCACCCACGCGACACCCCCGTCCTGTCTGACCGCTTCCAGGGTGAGGGCAAACAGGAGTGGGGGCAGGGGGCAGCCCTGGCGCGTGCCATTGCAGATGTTAAACGAGCTAGTGAGTGCTCCATTTACCCGTATGCGTGCAGTTGGTGTGGTATGGAGCGCAGCCACCCAGGTCCGCAGGTGTGGCCTGTATCCCATGTGTCTCAGGGTCTCCAACATGAAGGTCCAGTCTACTCTATCAAACGCCTTTTCGGCGTCAGTGGAGAGCAGCACCATAGCCCATTTGTTGGCGTGTGCTACATGGATGGAGTTGGTATTCTCGGGCTTTTCTTCCGGGGATGAATCCGACCTGGTTTGGGTGAATGAGGTCTGGGAGTGTCCGGGCCATCCTGAATGCTAATGCTTTAGAGAAAAGTTTGAGATCCGTGTTTTACAGCGAGATTGGCCGATAGCTGGCACAGTTCGTTGGGTCTTTGCCTTCCTTTGGTATGATCGTGACTGTCGCCCTTAGGGTGTCTTCGTGATATCGGCCTCCTTCCCATATAGAGTTTATGCCCGATAAAAGTCGGGGTAGGAGAATGTCCTTGAAGGTGCGTAGATAGGAGGCGGGCAGACCGTCCAGGCCCGGTGCCCTGTGGGCTTTGGTAGATTTCAGTGCTCCTGCCAGTTCCTCGATTGTTAGAGGTAGTTCCAGGTCGGCTTCCTGTTCTGGGGTAAGCTTACGGGTGACATGGCTATGTAGATAGGCGGCGATCCGTTCCCAGTGGTGTCTTCCCTCCGATTCCGTCCAGCATTGCGTCTGGTCATATAGCGCCGCATAGTATTCTTGGAATGCTGTCAGTATGCCATTCGGGAGTCGTGTGATGTCTCCCTTGCCTGTGTGTATTTTGTGAACATGTTGCGCCCTACGTTTCTCTTGGAGCATATTTGCCAGTAGTCTGCCACTTTTATTAGAATGTTCATAGTAGTACCTAGAGGCCTTCCTCGCAGTGTGCAGCAGCTCATGTGATAGTATGGTTTTCAATTCCCTACATGCCTCTGTTAGTCTAAGATATGTCTTCATCTAAATTCTGCTTGTGAGTCCCCTCTAGTTCAACGATTCGTGTTGTCCGGCTCGAAATGCGGGCCATTCTGTCTTTTTTGCGCCTGGTACTCACTGTGATGAAGTGGCCCCTAACGATGCATTTATGTGCCGCCCAGAGCGTTAGGGGGGTCGTGTCTGGGTTGTCATTGGTATTGAAATAGTTGGTCAGGGTGAGGGCTGTTGTCTTCGTGAGTTCCAGATCGTCTAGCAAGGATTCGTTTAGCTTCCAATGCCTTTCTCTTGGCTTGTATAGCGGGGAGCTTGTATGGATCAGCACCGGTGCGTGATCTGCGTGGTCCATTATGCCTATTTGTGAACCTTGTAGTAGGTTTAAAAATTCTTGCGCCAGGAAGATGTAGTCTATGCAGCTGTAGTGGGTGTAGTCCCGCTCCTCCGGGTTGCATGCCCTCCAGCAGTGGACTAATCCCAGTTTGTGTAGGGATCGCTGTGCAACACGGATGCAGTGCGCCAGGATCGCGGTCCGGCACCTAGAGGTGTCTAAGCGCGGGTCCAATGGTATGTTTAGGTCTCCGGCCATGACCGAAAGGCCCTCCCGGAATTTCTGTAGTTTGGCCAGCTTCCGGGATAGGAAGGGTGAATACATTTTTATACACACGTGGTGTTTCTCTGTCATTTATGAAATAGCCACCACATGTTGCATGTTGTTTGCTCTGTCTGTAATATAGTTTTATAGTTTCTTATTCTATTCTCTTACAGCAACAAATGCACAAGATTTCCGTGCTGGCAATGGAGAGTATCCACAGCAATCAATCAGTGTGGTTTGGCCATTATCCAACCTCTACTATTGTCTCTTCTTCTCCCGGTATCCGGTCTGTCATGAGGTCAGGCTCTTATTTTCTTGTAACTCTGAATGTTGGAAGTATAAACCTGAGCAATCATTCACCCATCAGATAATGTTTCAGAAGTGATATTCATAATTAACAAAACCATGATTGAAGTTGGATTAAAGTTTCCATCCTAGGTAACTGTACAGACACCTCCTAACACAGATTCATTTTAGGAATTCGTTCATTTTAAATCTGCTTTATCATTCTCTGTGTCCTTAATAAAATAGAGCCCAAAGCCATAAAAATACAGCAACTCAAAGAGTATGACAACACTTTTCTCTCAGATGAAGTATACCATAATAATCTAGGAATATTTCTGACTCTGGTTAATAACACAGTGCAATTTTGTTTTTGCTGTCAACCATTGATCATTTGTACATGTCCTTTTAATATAATGGGGCTGTCCTGATCGTGCTTGTTTCCAGTTACATACCCATAGAATGCTAGTCTTTTTGGTAGTTTTGATTTTGTATAACTTTTCTTACAAGCTGATCTTATAAGACCCATACAGTGGCTTTTTCTTTGTTTACACGTGGTAGCACTTAGAATATACATAAATTCTTCCCAGTTTGTAAAATATTAATACTCTTATTGCCAAAATAATACACATATTCCTTGTATGGCAAATGTCTAGAGGCGGCATTATCTTACACCCCTGATTTCTCTGACTGGCATTAGCTGTAATTCTCATCCAGCCATGATGATGGAGCAGCCCCATTCCAGGGTCATGGATTACGTGCAAACCTGTATTCAGATCTCAAATCCTGGGAGTCAGGAAACCATTTTCATGAACTGACTCATGCTATTTGTCAAGCCCTAGTTTAGAAAATAATCGACATTTTATGATTCTGCCTATCCTGTTCTGAAAGTGAACTGAAGTAGAACTCATCTCATCAATATGTTTTGCAGCATGTTCTGCTAGCACATTGGGTATGCGTTTTGTTATCTTCTCTCAGCTATGATTAGGGTCAGGTCTTTAAAGCAACACTTTTTATTTATTTTTTTAATAAACATGATTTAAAATTTTTTGCTATTCCTTTAAAGTGAAAATATACTTTTATTTGTTGGCGGTGGCTGGTATATATTGCTTATAGATTATTAAAGGGACACTATAGTCACCAAAACAACTTTAGCTTAATGAAGCAGTTTTGGTGTACCAATCATGCCCCTGCAGTTTTACTGCTCAATTCTATGCCATTTAGGAGTTAAATCACAGCCCTAGACACATACCCCTGCATGTGACTTACACAACCTTCCTAAAAACTTCCTATTAAGAGTCATCTAATGTTAACACTTCCTTTATTGTAAATTCTGTTTAAGTAGGAATTTTTATTTATCTCATGCTCTGTGAGTAGCTTGCTAGACCTTGCAGGAGCCTCCTGTATGTAATTAAAGTTACATTTACAGAACGGGAATTACATCTGATTGAAAATGAAACCACGATGTTTATTGTTTGTTTTGTTTTTTTCTTCCTAGTACAGCTGTTGCTTATATGTGTGGTCACCTGCACAACCTGGGTGGTCTTGCTCCAGCCTTGCACAGTCAGCACCAAAAGGGGACCTTGGAGTTGGAGCTTGGAGATTGGAAGATTAACAGAAGGTACATTTTCTATATAGTAAGGATTAGCCTAGAGATTGTTATATTCCTGCAAGCAGGAGCCCAGACTGTATTATCTGTAATTTAATTTAGGGAGCAACGTGACTTTTAAATGGAAACTGTCTGTCCTCTTCCTGCCAGGTACCGCATTTTTGCCTTTGACCATGACCTGTTCAGCTTTATAGATATGACATATGAGGAGTGGCCAGCGATCCTCATTACCAATCCCAAATCACTTCTCTATTCAAACCCGGCTCAGGAACCTCTAAAAAGAATTGGACGTTCTACGCACATAAGGTAATTTACTGTGACTTTTCAAAATTGCAGAGGCGAACTACAAACTTAATAAGGGGAATAGAAATCATTTGTTATGAAGTCTAGAAAAACTGCATTTATTTTCATTAGTAAAAAAAGGTGTCAGAGGGGATATAATAGCACTATACAAATGGTAATCTGTTTATTAGTGGGAACATACAACAAACCCAGTTATCCATTGAGACGGTAAGAAATGTGTTTTCCTTAAAGCAAGACAACGAAAGATTTGAAATTCTGTACCTAAAGAGATTGTTTTATCAGATTCTATAGCTACGTTAAAAAAGGACTGGGATGCTTTTATGCATAAACAGAATATGTAAGGATATAATTGCTATCTATGTGAACTGGTTGTTAATCCAAGCAGAAATCCGATTGCCATTATGGAGTCAAGAAGGATTCCCCCCCCCCCCCTTTTTGCTGCATAATTGCAAATGGCTACAATGGTGTTTCGTTTTTGCCTTCTTTTGGATTAACAGAATAAAAAGATGTTGTAAAGTTCAAAGCTTTCAACCTAGATTACTGAGTAACTGTATTTTCCACTTCTCAGTTTATACTCTCTTATACTAATAAAATGTTGTTTCCACTGGTTTCTGATTAACAGAGGGGGTTTAGGTAATGAGGAATGATAAAACAAGCATTTTAGTGAACAGGCAGTACGGATCACAACCTGAAATGTCCGTTATGTGTGTCCTGCAACAGTGAAGGCATATGATATACTTCACACTGGTTATCAGCCAACTTCCGAAATCGAATGTTGGTTGAAGATATCACAGGAACTCTCTGGTTAGCTGCACTAATTCACAAAAAAAAAATACCCAAAAGAATGGTAGGCAGAATTATTTAAGTGCATTATTTTCAATGCATCATTAAACCCAGATTGTTTCTTTAAGCTCCACTTGAGAGGAAACTTATTAAACCTGAACTGAATTGTATTTTCTGACAGCTTGGTAACAGAACTGTGTAATGGCCATCATTGATGAAACAAATAATGAAAGGGGGAGAGAAGTAAATCTCTTAAATTAATGAATGAATGAATAAAAATGTGTTTTTCAAAAGAGAGCTCATTCATATCTTGGTTATATCTCGGGTATGACTTGGTTAGTGAAAATTATATGAATCAGTTGAAGATATTGTTGTAAATTGACTCTGCTTGTTCACTGGCAAACAAGATGAACTGACCAATTCCTTCTATCTATTTATTTTAAGAGTTCTGGCATTCTCCACACACCCCATCACCTCCGTCAAGGTCAGCATTGACAAAGTCATGATGGGGGAGGCTGGCCATGTATCAGGACCTCTCTACATCTTAGAATGGAATCCTGCAGACTACCACACTGGAATTCATGAGATCAAGGTTCAAGTTGAAGTAAGAAACCCGTTTTTTGGTGGTTGTTTTTTTTTCTTCTTAGATTGAAATACAATTGGACAATCTCCTGTTTTTACTGTGTGGATGAATGTTTTGCGATTTTTTTTTTTTTTTTTTTTTTTTTTTTTTTTTTTTTTTTTTTTTTTTTTTTTTTTTTTTTTTTTTTTTTTTTTTTTTTTTTTTTTTAATTGTGTTTTTTATTTATTTTATTTTAATTTTATTTTTTTGGAGGGGGGGACGACGACACTTTTTCCCCATAAAGCACTGCGGCAAGGTAAATTGCGTGCTATTTGGAGTGTCCTTTTAAATTGGTAATGGTTACCTGTGAGTTTGTAGAATTAACCCTGTTAGGATGCATGAGCATCTCTCTGAGCATTTCTTTCAGGAACTGAATTTGGAGGTCACCTGCCACGTGGTGTCGTGGAAGCCTGTTACAGTGCATGTAGGGTGCCGTCACAAGTGGTGCACGCTTAGACAGTCTGTCTCTTAAAGGAACATAGTGTTAGAAATACGAATGTGTTTTTCTATTGCTACAGTGCCCTGTTGGCCGTTTAGATTCTCAGCCTCCACCTGCAGGGAGTAAAAAACTTTACTTACCTTTTCTCCCTTGCAGTTCCAGCCTCTCCTGGGCTGCGATCATTGAGATCGATATCATCAGCCAATCCATTGCTTTCCCATAGGAAAGCATTAGGAAGCTAGTTTCTCTCCGAGACCATGTGAGCAAAGTTTTACTTTCTTATTTCCTCAGACCTGCCTCTAGTGGCTGTAGTTATTTAAATCTTGCAATGAAACAGCAGTGTTTTCAGCCGCATGGTTAAAATGGAGGGGGGCAGGGCATGGCACCCAGACCAAATTTATTGAGATGTCTGGGTGCTTTTAGCGCCCCTTTAAAACTGAAGCATAGCTTTACAGTGGTTTAATGATGTCTCCCAAGCTTCCTGTCTTTACAAGAAACAGTCTAAATTGAACCTAATCCAAGTTCCTCTTTTCTACAATGAAATCTCTCTTGTAGGAAATCAGCATATATGGTCAGTATCCCAGAGTTCCATGCAATAACGCTTACAGTGACGTGTCTTTCAATAGTAATTATTGTGTTTATGGCATATAATGTACTTGTTTGAAAGCCTCTGATACAGAAATACTGGCATAAACATGAATACCCCAGTAATGACAAGTGTTTCTTTGGCCAATGGAAATGATTGTGGGTGAGTGATTAACTTGTGTATATATAATCTGTGTAAACCTATATCTACAGAACACAAGCATTTTACAATGCGTTTTCTATATTACATATTCAGCAATCATTTTCCATGTTCAGCAGTTGTAACTGTTTATATTCCAGGATGCAGCTGACCACCGCCAAACTAGGAGGCATTTGTTCAGTTTAGAAGATGATGTGTCCCTAAGCTTTAAATGGCTTCCCACTTTTATCCTCCTTGTTGATCATTATGTGTTGGTGAGTAGAACATTGTCTTTGTCGAATCGCTTTTAAAATATCACCTATATTTTCTTAAAGAGGGAATGTCAGTAATGCTTAATGCCAATAACTTTGTTTAAACCAACATTGGAATCGCATCCCATGTTTAAACTCTCAGTAGCCATTGCAATTGGAATCAGCATCTAAGAGCACATGGCTGGCTTATTTTAAGCTTGAACAGCTTGTTGTTCCTTTAAACAATCTTAAAAAATAAAATCTAAATTATCTGGCTTTTAAAAGCAACGTATGAGTCCAGACACTAAATTAAGTAGGGGAAATGCAATTTAAATTGTACAAAGCAGCAGGAATGCTGAAGTTATTCTAGTCCTATATACATTGCATTACAAACAAACTTGGTTCTAAAGGGGATGAATAGTTCTTTAACAATAGTTCCCTTACCTCTTTCAATACTAACACAAATCTGCAATCTGTAGAGATAGATTTGTACATGCAATTATCAGTTTATTTTGTGATCTATTTCCATTTGAATTGTGCCTGTTTTATTTTGTTGATTTTTACGTTGCAAATCTTTAGTCCTATTTTCTGAGCTATGATGTAATCTGCTCTGAGAAAGCGCAGTGGCATGTCCCAGTCTTTCTTCTGCATGGTAACATCATGACGGCTATCAGAGCGCAATATGGCAGACTTGCTATTGTACTTCTCTTACTGGAAGTTATGTGAAGGTCATTGGCGATTCATTGGCTAATGTCACCAAAACTGTAATGTGAAGAGTCTGTTTGAAAGAGACACTCCAAGTTAGAATCTGCTCCCTCCATTACCATTGTACTATAGACATTATGCAATCAAACAGTGTGTGTGTGTGGGGGGGGGGGGTAAAAAAAAAGCTACTATCCTTTTAATTTGCCACATTTGCTGAGGGCCTAGTTCTGACTCAATCCTGGCTGTAAATGTTCTGAGCACTGAGCAGGGTATTAAGAATATAAAGTTAATTTATATTAAGACAGTTATACCATTTATGAAAATACATAAAACGATGCACGCTAGGAAAGGCTGTTTTTGTTTCCTTACATGTAAATTATATTTGAGGATTCTTTTATTTATTTAACCTGTACATTCATTTTGAGTTGGTTAATACTTTGCAGCGAAGTTGACAGTGTCCTGGGCACTGCCACAATGATTGGTAGACTTGTCTGGTAGAGGTTACGTTGTAATTTACGACTGTAAATTTCTGATTATCCACTCTTATTATCCTGCCCAGAGCAGGGGTAGGCAATCTTCGGGACTCCAGGTGTTGTGGCTACATTTCCCATGATGCTTTGTCAGCATCATGCCTACAAGAGCATTATGGGAAATGTAGTCCACACAACATCTGGAGTGCCGAAGGTTGTTTACAACTGCTTTAGAGAATGCCCCTGATAAATACTAATGGTATATACTGAGACATGGTTTGTTGATTGCTAAGAATTAATGAGTACAAGTTTGATAGATCGCTGCTGCACCAAAAAACATGTCACTTCTGAAATAAAGCATATATGTTCTATATATGTACATATGCTGGGTTCTTAGAACGTGTGCTTTTAGTCCTTGCTGCACTGCTATAGCTACGTCACCGGCTCGCAAAGAGTACACAGACAGTGCTTCCCTATAATTAGAGTGCCGATCTGTTTAAGCACTGGAAAGATGCTGAATAATGTTACTGAAATGTACTTTCTCTCTGCAGGGACAAGTGCTATTTATTCTGGCTGTTCTGGGTCAGCTCCTTGTGCTGCTAATTTTCAGATGTAAGAAAAGACCAATTCTCAAGGGTGAGTCATGACATGACAATCCTATATTGTAAGACACATGGCAGTGACCCAATATCTGTGATCCTCTGTGAGGGTAAGACATACAAAGGAAACTGCCTATATTCTTCGGTACTCTAACGGGTGATTTCAAATTTTAAAATTTGGTGCGTTTTCCGAGGAATGCAAAATAAAAACATAAAATACTATCTGCACACAAATCAGTAAGACCTGTACCCCATCTTATTGGGAGATGTCCTTCAGAATTTTACATAGCGCCCATTTTACTCGCTTATTACATTTTAAAGGTGTGGTAAATGTCACTAGACTGGGCCGGATCTGCTTCACTGTTTTTGGCACCGTCCTATAATATAATAGAAAGATATACATTTATATATTTTATTATATAGCCATAGAGACTACTATGCTTGCGTAAGACCATACAACCAGATTAGTTAGAGATGGTAACAAACATTACCTTCTACAGAGCGCCATTTGAATTAAACTCTGGAATTAACTATTTCTACTGGTAATAGGTTATGTATTGTCACCTCTGTTTATTAGAGGATTATATCACAGAGCATATATTAACTCTGTGGGTGCATACTTGTTGCACCCTTAATTTGTTATCATCAAGTACATTAATGAACAAGATCTAGTGATACATCTGTTCTGATTATACAGACTCTGTTCTAAAACTGGCACCATTTATATTGTGTGCGCATGTTACCTGTACATTATTGCTTCACACTTGTGTAAATTATTTTATAAACCTTTTAACATAAATGCATTTTCTCCTTAGGGTTTGTTTTTCCCCCCCAAACTAAAAGCTCCTACGCTGCTTGTCTGTCACTTCTTCTTCAGATCTCTACCAGTTTCAGTTTTCCAGTCTGATTGAAGCAATAATTTTTGTTATCAGAATAATTACTTTCAGCTCTGCCCGAGTCAGTATATCACAGATTCAGAGCAATAAAAGACAATTAACCATGTAACCAAACATCATCTGCCAAAGATTGGTGGCCACATTCAGCATCTTTTTAACAGCACTCTTTACATCTATATTAAGCAGAATTCCAAAGTATCTTTCTCTTGCTTGAAATATCAGCACTGATTGTTATAATATAGCTGTGCTATATATCACCGCTACCATTTTACAAATGCTTATTGACAATATTTGTGAGCGGGAAAAATTGCAAACAAGATTAACCCACAGAGTTTAAAGGTTTAAATGATTTAAAGATCTTATACCAGGGCTTAAAATGCGATCGGCTACATTTGACCATGCTACATGGTTCGAATATAACTATCTGTAAAATTTGAGTTAAAGCCATCAATGCCACGAAAATGTACAAAAATGTTATTATTGTGCCTGCATAAGCCGTTGGGGGCTATGGAGGCTGTATTGTCGGGTATTGCACAATGAAAAATAAAGAATTTAAAAAAAAAATGCTATCGGCTAGGCCTTTAAAAGTTCTTCACAATTGCAAAGTTATAGCATACTCCCCAATTTCTACTCTCCAGGCCTAAAGTTTCACTCGGAAAATGGTTATTGGTGAGTTGAAATTTTGATCTCTAATATTGTAATCACTGTGTTACTCTTCAAAGTCCTAAACTCTCGCAGACCTTCGCTGTACAGAAAACAGTCCGTAGAGCTTACTCATCTATACAGCCAGTAGTAACGCTAACCATGTCTCTCTCTCTGGCGGTTAATTTTCTCTCGTCTACAGTCTGTTTCCCAGCTGCTCTGTCAAGTATTTATTGAGAGACAGAGGCCAGTCCAGGGACACAGTGAGTGAAGTGGAGGGCATGAGTTAATGCTGTAAAGCTGCGAAAAGAATTGTTATTCTGTTATAACTACATAGAATTGAGCAACAGCAACAATACAACATGAGTCCAATGATTTTTCACATCACTGAATACTGGAGTTACTCTGGACTGTAACTCCCAGTGACCAGCAATCCAGGCTGAGAGTGATGGAGTTAAAATTCACATCTTGAGTAAGTGCCACCCCCCCATGTCAATTTTAAATAATCTACTCAATATGAAGATTACGCTTAGAGGTTACCCTATCGTAGTTTATAGCAAGATTGCTGTTAGAAATGAAGCCGTAATGACCTGTGCTTCTATCGATATAGTGCCATTGTCATAGTACAGTTTTGATACTTAGTATTTCACACACGTGGTTTTAAATGGATGTAACACTGATATATTATCAGATGCCAAGTCACATATTTTTTTCCATGATTTTGCTTACGTGACTTTGTCTTCTGTTCAAGGGCCTCCAGGGTTTTTTGCACTGACCTCCTTCTCCATGCATGTTATGGCAAAAACCAACACGTTCTTTTATCCTGCCTTTCTGCTCATCTTGTATACAGCACTAGGTAAGTAAATATGAATTTAAAATTTACTGCTCTAAGAGATGGAGTCTCTGAATGTAGGTTCAGATAGTTGCCCAAAGAAAAAAGAAAGTACCCCTTAGTATCTGATGTATGTGCTTGTGTTAAATGTCCATCGTTAAGGCATTTTAGACGATACTAAATAGATTGTATGATAAGCTGAAAAAAGGTATGTGCAAGGGACTTGGAGCTTAAGAGTTCACATAATGTGAAATGCTGGTTTAGTAGTTTGTAGAAAACAAGCCCATGTCTGACTCTACCACAATAATATATATATATAATACATACAGTCCTTGCACTCATGCTTTGATGAAATATTTGCTGGGTGCTAGTAATCCAGGGAAGAAAATGTAGTTGTCAGGTAGTGATCAGCACTCACGGACTTGAAGTGTTAAAATTTCAAAGTTTATTAAATTTCCATTTAAAATATGATCAACGTTTTAGTCCCCGCTGGGACTGAAACGTTGATCATATTTTGAATGGAAATGTAATAAACTTTGAAATTTTAGCACTTCAAGTCTGTGAGTGCAATAGATAGATAGTTATATATCTATCTATATCAGTATAATAGTTTGTAGTATTTGTAAGGTTGAAATCCGTGAGATATGCTCGGTGTAGGTTCCTTCTGTAACTGTACAAATTACTGTATTTTTTCACAATATGATGCACCCATATATTTTAAATTGAAATTTAGAAGAAAAATAAAACATCCAGTGCTGTAATTATAGTAAACTTGTGTGTGTGTGTGTGTGTGTGTAATATATATATAAGTAAAGGAGTTTAAGCATGCGTGGGATAGGCATTAGGCTATCATAACTATAAGATAAGGTTAGGGACTAATGAAAGTATTTAGGAAATTGGGCAGACTAGATGGGCCGAATGGTTCTTATCTGCCGTCACATTCTATGTTTCTATAAAACTCTGTTTGGAACCTGCAGAGGTGCAGCCTAGAGTCTCCCCAACCACTATCCACAGAAGGCTGTACTGGCAAGGTAAAGGAGATCTTTGATTTCCCTGTTGGCTGGCCTGTGGATTGACAAATTTTGCCTAAATGTTCTCATTCAGATTTTTTTCTTTGAAACACTTTGACGTTTGAAATTGACTTTTTCTCTACACAGGACCCTGGTTTATCGGTGAGATTATAGATGGTCATGTAGGCGCTTGCTTTGCGTTTGGAGTAATAGTCAATGGACATTTTCTTCAAGGGAGCCTGACATATATAGTTGGAATAATGCAGGTTTGGAATATCTATTTTATCCATCACTTAAAGCTATCAAGGTTAAAGTTCATAAAGATACATTCAGTAATAAACATCATTATCCGTTCATGTAAAGGGTATCTGCATTGCAGAAAATAAATGTATGGAATTTATGGACATCAACGTTCTATCCACACTGAGTACTAACCAGGCTGTATTGAACAGGTGACAGTTGTTCTTTAACCTAAAGTATACATAAACAAATATTGACAAATAGCTGTACGTGTTGTATAAAATATAAACATAATTAACTCTCCCATAAAAACACATCTTTTACAAACCACAAAAACTCATTTACGTATCATAGATAAAGAAATAAGATGTGGCTCTGGTGATGAATATTTTAAATACCTATAACCATGGTAACAATATAAATTCTGTACATATACAAATGTGAAATGATACCTTCAAAATAATGCTTTTTCTAAAGTCCTTTACGCTAAGATATTATCAAAATTACAAGTCGTCTACATTGTAAAGTAGTTGCCATGTTTTTTTTTTTGTTTGTTTTTTTTTTGTTTGGTTTTTTTTTGTTGGAAATACAAAAATAATTAAGCATGTATTTTTTAGGGAGGGTGGGGGTTGTATCACTTGGTTGTATCCTAAAAGTAAGTTGAGAAATTCCCAGGAATAAATAATTGGCACAAACAAAAGCTAGATGCGTTAAAGAAAGCACTTTCATTATGCATGTAATTATTTTTATCTTCCACCGGCAGTTTGTTTTGTTTGGACTGTGTGTAACTGATTTGGTTTTGTGTTTTGTAGATGGCGTTCTTTAACGTCCCTATGATGGCTTACATGTGTTGGTGTCTGCTGGTGCGTTGCAGAGGGCAAGGCTTCTCTTCTCACTTGCGATACAGCAGGAAGATTGTATCGCTGCCCATCCATTTCGTGATGTTTCTTCTGTTTGCATGGCAAGTCTATTCCTGTGTCTTCCTCATGTTAACATACGGGAGCTTGGCAGCGTTCCTATCACCGATGAAGCTGTGGCTTGTAGTAGCTGTGTTGTTCCTGTACAGGAAATTATGGATGTTCAATTCCCCTCAACTGAAGGCTTATGCCATTGAGCTTAAGAGCTGTCAAAGCTCTAGACTGTAATTCTGAATATTTGCACCTTTTCCTTTTTTGTTGTTGTTCCTGATGAACTAAAAAATTAATATAATTTTGTATAAAAGTTTTTAAACGTATCACTACAATCGAGGTGTCCACATATCACACTTAAATCCTACAAATGGATATATCCATACACTGAAGAGTTGTAGCTATTCGAGGTATCCATTACTTTTTCCATTTACCTGGGGGGAGCAATTGTCCCTTTTGTCCAACGTAAGATTTACCATAAACCAAGGTAGTCCCTTTGTCTTACAATTACTTTTCACTGCATTGGAATTTCAAATAAATTCCAACACATTTTTTTATGAACATTTCGTAAAGATTTAATCTTTATGAAAATGCTCTGAACTTTTTGGGGGCAAACCAGTAATGCCAGATCAGAGCAATTTCTTCCATCCTAAAAAAAAGCGTCACTTGGAACTTAATGAAGTTACTTTTAACAGAAAGTTTTACGGCAAACTGCAATCACCATAGCTCTCGAATACTGGACCTGTCGTAGACATACAGAATAATTATAGTACACATGGCTCTCCACAGCCAGAGGTGGTTTACTTTCTGTATTCATCATCAGTCTCCAGATATACTAATCTGTTCCAATGCAGTATCACCCTTAATTACTTCAAGTGGACCTGTGTTTTTTTTTTTTTTTCTTTCTTTTCCTTTCTTTATACTCCCTGTATCTTAATGATTATACTTCCCTCCTTGCCACTAGTCTTGTTTAGACATATCGTTTCTTTTTTTTGTGCCGGATATCAATACCCGGGAGCAGCCATTTTGTTCGCTTCCATGTGATTGATTTTACTGATGGATTCTGGGTAAATTTGATTGGCAACAGAAACAAAACCTTGTTTTAAGCTTTGCCTATGGTCAGGTTTAATCAGCCTGACTGCTAAACACAAGGAAAAGTAGTCCCTACTTAATGAAAACTAGAGCGCTCTGGGAATAAAGAGGTTCAGGAACAGGGAGCAACATAGAAATTGCTTAGATTAAGTTTGTATTTGGCGACAGAGCTGCTTTAATTAAAGTAAAGATTCTTGATGGATTTGGATCAGCCATGTCGTCATCAACTGTGAGTCCTACTTTATTTTTTTTCTTGTTTTGTTTTGTTTAAATAATACATACTTGCAGGAATTCTGTCACTTCACAAAATATATAGACAAGTCAACTTCAGGCAAGTTTAAATGTAATCTATGCTGTGGTCTGGAGAGATTAGCATCTAGTTTGTCAATGTGGCAATCTCACCAGAATATTGCATAGATTACATTAACGATTAACATATATATTTATATAAAATGGCGTATACTTTGCGAAAGATGGCCGCCAGCTATCCCCAGTTTCGATAATCCTCATTAGTTAGTTATTTCTGTGCCAAGTGGCTCTGCACTGTAAGTGTACCAATAAGTACACAAAATAAAATTCATTTATTTAATTGTATATATTTGCTAGCTGTTGGGATAGCACAAAGGATGAATTAAATGCGCTCCACTCTGTGGCAGATTTCTGCTATGTTTATACCATACTAAATATTGCAAACCCAAACTTGAAAATGCAAGAACTGGAATTGTTCAACTTATCAATTTAAAAGAAATATTATTTAATACATTTTTTTATTATTTTTAATTTCTTTACAAAATTCCAGTTTGCGAACAAAACAATGCTTTTTATTTTTATTTTTTTTTAGTACATAGCGAGAGTTTGAGATGTAGAACATAGCTGCTGTGTTATCATATGTTCTGATATTCTGTTTATTTTTGTGTTGATGAAGTACAATCTTGCGTGTTTACTGCACTCTGAATAGATTTAGACATTCGCAGTGTGAGTGTATAATGAGGACTTGTTTACATTGGCAGTAAACTTTATGACAAACTGTGAAATATAATCGAAGTTAATGAAAGAAAATGCATAAGACGAGGGAAGAGGAGAGATATGAGAGCAGGATTATAACACAGACTGGGTTATTTAATAAATTAAGAATTGTTGGGAATTTAAAATCTATTTCAAATTTTGAAAACATCTGACTTTTAGAATTTTTTCAGTTAACGTATTTTTGCCTAAAATAAAAATTATACCTTGAAATAAAATTCACAATCTTGAGAAATATTTATAATCCTAACAAATAATAGTCTATAAAATCCAGGGAAGCGGGAAGAGCCTAAAATTCATAACATTTTGAAAAATGAAATCATAACATCTACTTTAACCCCTTAAGGACCGCGGACATACCGTGATCGCTTCCAAACGCTCTAAGGGTATTACGATGTCGAGGCATCCTGCAATACATCTCCTGACTTCCGGGCCACCAAGTTATCACTCCCCAGGAGCGATCACTTCCGGGTTGCCCCACGTGGTGCCCGGCAGTGTAGCAGCGCATCAGAAGGCATCGGGCAGTTTTCCGATGCCCTGCCTGTGTGCTGAGTGCCTTGAGGGGTTGAGGCACTAAATGAAGATTTAAATAAAATCAATAAAATAAAAAAAACAGATAAAATAAATGTATTACTCTACCCCCTCCACCCCTGCCCAGCTATGTGGCTTCCAATATTGGGCTGACTTTCTAAAGACAGTGCATCATGGGGCTTCTGGGGGTGTCCCTAGCCTGCCTCATCATAGAGGCAGGCTAGGGTCATCCAATCAGAGCTTGCCCCTATAATAATAATTATTATTACTATGATCGCCATTTGTCTGGTCAGGTCAATATTAGTAAATATTGACTGATCGGTGTAGATCTCCCTTTTGTGTTTTAGGTAGAGAGTTTTAGGTAGGGATTTGTAAAATTGTGAGACCCAAAGGCTCTTTTCAGAGCCATTAACCCCTATATTGCCAGTGATAACTATAAATCACTGGCTCTTGCACAACAGCACTTTTTTTAGGGGTTATTTTTTTGGTGAGACCCAAAAGCTCTTTTCAGATCTATTAACCACCTAGCCTACCTGTGATCACTGGCTCATGCACAGCAGCACTTATTTTGCTGCCTGTGCATTTTTTAGGGATTAATAATTTTTTTAATTTTTTTTTGTGACAGATCACTAAATAAAGTGATTGTGATCATGTCACAGGTTGCCTAGGGCTGCGGAGGCATATGCTATCCTTGCGTTAGAGTCTGACGTGTATATGTCTGATTCCGACCCTGATTTTGACCCTGCCAGGTGCTCAGATACATTACTAGATACAGTGTCTGGTGATAGGCCCGCTGCCAGAAGGAGAGTGCTGCTGAGAAGTGGGTAGCGCCTCATCGCCAGAAATTCCACCCTTCACTGCAAATCCTGGCATCAAATTTGATGTCGCAGGATTTAGCCCCCAACTGTTTATGGAGGTGTTTCTGGGCGATTATATATTGGGGAACATTGTCGCCCGAACTAATTTATATGCCCATCAGTTCTGTGCTTCAAAGCCTGATTTTTATTTTTTTGGCCAAAACAGCAATGGGCCTCCATCGATGGGCCAGAATTTAGAGCCCCATCTGCTCTATCCCCATTTACCCCCGGTGTCGAGAAAGATGTATGAAATTATTCTACATTTCATACACTTCAGCGACAACAGCCTGTACCCCCCCATGGAGCACCCCCAATTTGACTGTATAAAATCCGCCCCCTGATAACACACTTTCAGGTTTGCATGAATCCCTGATGAAGTGTAAGGGAAGGCTGGGCTTCAAGCAGTATATTCCTGCCAAGTGCTCCCAATATGGTGTGAAAGCTCTATGAGAGGTATACTCAGGCCTTACGGGTGTACGAGGGAAAGTATAGCCCTGGTCCTTAACAGTAAGAAAAATGAAAAACGGTCTGGTCACCAAGGGGTTAAATCAACTAATACAAACTAAATCTATCGGACCTCCACCAACACAGGGAGACAATCCCCTGAATATAAATCCTCAGGATGCAGCTTGACAACCAACGTAATATTTTATTTAGTGAAAAAGCATTGCCCCGCAAACTATGGGAGTCTAGAACCACACAACGAGAAGCAAGGATTGCCTAACGAGTTTTGTACCTCCTGCAGCACTTCTAGTTCCAGAAGGGCACAAAACAGGCTCGTCTTTGTGGTTTATGGACTTTCTTAGTTTGCTGTGCCATTTTTTAGGGATATATATTTTTTCTGGTTGAGCTGTATCGTGAGGATTTATTTTCTCTGCCTGTATCTGTTAAGATCTGACGATTTTGTTAACAAAGGCAGGGAAATCATTTTTGGATAACAAAATCATGCTCTCTATATTCCATAATGAAATTTAGAGATATAGCCAGTCTGCTATGTTGTTGATACAGCTCTGCCCTCTAAACATGTCGCTGAATGTATCTCTAAACATTGTTATAACCTATCAATATAAATACTCCCTGCATGAGAGATTTTATATACCTACAATCACATTCAGGCTCTTTGATTGGGGCCTTCTTTTCAGATGTAAATTTTATTTAAATGTTAAATGGTTTTACCACTTCAGTATGCACTAATTATACAAAATATCTGTAAAAAATATTTTTTAAATTAAAGTGATTTTGTTGAAAAATTCAATTCTCATCTTTTTTTCTATTGTATTGATGTTTTAAGGGAAACTATTGTCCACAGGACTGATTTGATATAAATATCAATTTTAAATTTTTTAATTCAGTCATTCACCTTGTAACCTCTGAGGCTTGCACAGCTTTGAATGCAAACTTTAACCATTTCATCTTTTATTGGGGGGAGGGGGGGAGGTTGTTTAATTAGTTGTTTTTTTTTTTATTGAATTTTGTAAAACTAACACGTATATACATAAAAGTTGACGGCAAGTAATGGTATACATCCAACATCCTTGCAAAAATTGTGTATGCGAGATTGACAAACTTCCTCGAGTCCAACTCTCTGCTAGACCTGCTTCAGTCTGGTTTCCTCGCTAAGCACTCTGTGGAAACGGCACTGACCAAAGTATCCAATGATCTACTCGCTGCAAAATCTTGTGGTCACTACTCTATCCTAATTCTCCTTGACCTGTCTGCGGCTTTTGACACTTGATCATCAACAGCTTTTTCTCATCCTCCGCAATATCGGTCTACAAGATATTGCTCTCTCCTGGTGCTCCTCCTACCTCTCCCAGCGCTCTTTCAGTGTTTCTTTCTCTGGCTCTGCTTCTTCTCCCCATCTCCTCTCTGTTGGTGTCCCCCAAGGTTCAGTCCTTGGTCCCCTACTGTTCTCCATCTATACTGCCTCCCTTGGTAAACTCATTAGCTCCTTTTGGCTTCCAATATAATTTCTATGCAGATGACACGCAAATCTACCTGTCCTCTCCTGATCTCTCCCCGTCCCTCTTGACTAGTGTCTCTGACTGCCTCTCTGCTGTTTCTTACTGGATGGCTGCCCACTTCCTTAAACTAAACTTGACCAAAACTGAAATTCTGGTCTTTCCTCCCTCAAGTGTTGTTACTCCTGTGTCTGTCTCCCTCCAAGTCAACGGTGATACCATCAGCTACACCACGCAGGCTCGCTGCCTAGGTGTTCTCTTTGACTCCAACCTCTCCTTCAAGCCTTATGTTCAATCTATCGCCAAATCCTGTCATTTCCATTAAAAAAACATTGCGCGCATCCGCCTCTACTTAACGCCAGATGCGACTACGGTGTTGGTCCATTCCACTGTCCTTTCTCGACTTGACTACTGTAATCCGATTCTCAGTGGTTTTACGTGCTCCCAACTTGCGCCGTTACAGTCCATAATGAATGCGGCGGCGAGGCTCATCTTCCTGTCCGCCCGCACCTCCCATGCCTCACCCTTCTGTCAGTCCCTACATTGGCTTCCTATAAAATATAGAGCTCAATTTAAAATTCTGTTTCTTGCTTTCAAATCTCTACATAATGCTGCTCCCACCTATCTATCCTCCCTTATACACAAGTATGTCCCGTCTAGGCCCTTACGATCTGCTGAAGACTTACGTCTATCTTCTGTCCGTATTCCCATCTCTGATGCTCGCCTTCAAGATTTCACGAGGGCTGCACCGTTCCCGTGGAACTCGCTTCCCTCCTCCGTTAGATGCTCACCCAAAAAAATCGTTAAAAACCCACTTGTTCATTAAGGGTATCAATTAAACTGTTAATAGCTCCTGACTGATTACTCTTCTGCAACTGTCATTAGTCTAATACTATCCTTACCTTTTTGTGTCATTTTATCCCACTCCCTCTAGCATGTAAGCTCATTGAGCATGGCCCTCAACCCCTCTGTTCCTGTGTGTCCAACTTGTCTGGTTACAACTACGTGTCTGTTCGTCCACCCATTGTAAAGCGCTGCGGAATTTGATGGCGCTCTATAAATATCATCATAATAATAATAATAATAGAACAACAATAAGCATCAAATGTAAATTCAATAGTAATGCAGATGGTCCCTCTTTCAACAAAACTGAGCACCTATATGCTGTCGATAAAACAAAACAAGTCAATTCCACTTTTTCAACTTTGACATAATGACACCAGTAACATGGTCAGACATTGTTCTTGATAATAGCCCTCCATGCACTGGAAAGAACTGCTCAGCATCCTGTCCCGCTCCACTGGTGGGAGGAGTAACCTATGCATTCTTGCTGTGGGGCAGAACAGGGGTGCCTAAAATGTAGATCCGCAGGTGATCCCCAGGCTCTGTCATTCTAAAGGCATTCCAAAAGGAATGCAAAACATCATGGGAGTTGTAGTTCTACAACATCTGGAGATCTACCTTCTGGGCGCCCGTGCCTTAAGAGATGACCCCCAACGTCCCTATGCAATTTCAGCTTTTGAATACAAATCATTATGATCTTCAACTTGTAGAAAGGCACATATTATATAATGAAATATTGAGTGTTTGGAGATCAATACTGATGTGGAATCAATCAATAAATTGAATATCTTGCGTATCTGCCCCCGGCCAAATTAAAGAAATAATGCGTGCACGCTCCTAAAGTAATTCACACCAGACACAAGTTTCGGGTTAATGAAAAACCTGAGGAATGTTTATTCTGGGGGGACGGCATGCCCCTTATAAAGCAAAATTACATCATAAGCATTGTCAGAGATAACATGAAATAATACATCAATAATTGGTTAGGTGTTAAGTGGTTCATTTAGTGCTCTTGCTACCGGGTGTGATGTCACTGGCATCTTGGAGGTCTCCCCCAGATTCCAGCGCCATCTTGTTAATGCCCTAGCGGCCATTTTAGGTAAATCACATAGAAAGTTGAATAATGCTGATTGTAGTTATGCTGAGTAAATAGGCATTTTACTAACATGGATTGGGTTAATATTTTTGTCCACAACAAATACACACATGTTAAAGAGTATGCATAAACATGATTCACTTGGTTTCTATCTAATATATACAAACATTTTACTGGTACTAATGGGAGTGGGCGAGTGTTGTGCCCAAACATACAGCTTAATGCAGAGCAGATGTGTGTCCACCCCTCTGTCCCCAATTTAGGCCCTTACCTGCAATTTTGCATTTGACTTGGTTGCTCATTTTTAAAATTGAAAATAAAAAGAATTAAAATTACTACTGGAATAAAACTGAAAAATATTGGCACTTGTGTCTTGGAGGCTTAGGCAGCACAGAACAACGTGCTGCAGACAGACATGCCAAGCTTCTACCCTTGCTGAGCCTGCAAGGGGAAGCTCGTTCTCCACTCTCTCCCTTCATTCAGTAAGCCCTCTCCGCATTTTCCCACCTCGCCTGTCAACCCCACTTCCTCACTCTAATTGACCCAAAGCACACGCATGCACACAAAGCTGGCAAAACTGTCCAATCACAGAATGTGCAAGCCTAGCTGCGCTGTGAGCTTTGCCCGATGCTGGATGTCAGGTTTTAAACCATTAACAGCATTTCACAGGGGGACCTATTATCAATACCCAATAGGTCATTTTAATTTTTAAAAAAAACTAAATGTTGATGCAGTAACCCTTTAATGTCAATCTCATCAGACTTTTTAATTGCAGTATGTTACGTTATTTGATCCGTAGAAAGCATTGCATTTTAGCATTGCGTAGCAGTATCATATTCTCTTGGTCTACACATTGTGATTAGTTGAGCTCTTGACAAACTGTCATTCTGAAATTTTCACAATCTGCTTTCCGATGTTTCCACCGGTCATCATAGACAAGAAGGCACCTGAGGAAACAATATAAATATATTATAATCTAAGAGTGGAATTAAAAAATATGTAATAATTTTAGAGGGGAATTCACGCACAGTGGCACAGAGTTTATTATGGTTAAAAAAGAATAAATTTACAGACAGTAAAATGGCGGACCTGGCACTCAGACCACTTAATTGGTCTGGGTGAATATAGTGGTCCTTTAACCCTTTTACTGCTGGAGTTGCAACTCCGGTAGCATCTGGTAAATCCTGTGCAAGACTTCCTGTCTGACTAATGTCAATTCTGTGCAAATTTAGAAGCACATATACTCATTCATTGGCTGAGAGTGATCACCTGACACTCTCAGCCAATGAATGAGGGGCAGGATCGGCATTTTGCTTTTGCAGCTCTGATTCACAGAAGACCAAGCATCCGTGAGGACCAGGTAAGAGGGAAACCAGTGGTAAAATTGTTGTAGTGGTTGGAGTAACCTTTTAATCTGGGAATTACATTTCCAATAGCAGATACACACTAGATATAAAGCAAGTAGAGTTTCTGGACCAACGTTTCAGCTTTCAATTTAATTCCCAGGATTGTAAGATTTTAACGGGGACAGTTAAGGATGATGGAATGGGTCATACAGTACATTCCTTTGGCTGTACTAGCCCTTCATGATGCAACACGGGATCCACTTCAACTGCTTACTAAATGCTTTACATTTAAGAAAGAATGTAATATAGAATTCTCAGATTAAAAGTATACAATTAGTCTAAATTGAAAGAAATAAAAGGATCTAAAGGAGGGAGTGATTCTAGTAGCTTTCTGCTTGGCAGCTATTAGAGCAGTGTTTTCAATAAAGATCAGAAACAAAAATATTTTACATTTTCAGTCTAAACTGAAATGGTTTTCATGCTTAGTGTTCCTTAAGATGTTTTTTGTTTTTTGTTTTTCTGAACCGGTCATACCATGGTCACATTTAATTAGCTCGGCATCCAAGGCAGCAAATAAATAGTTTATTATATTGATACATGAGATATATAGCGGCTTTTGGAGCCGTTATATTGGATGTCCATAAATGAATCACTACTCTAAAATCTACTCTTCAACCTCTTCTCAGCTGTGGTTGGACTGAAGCAAGGCAGTCCTCCACAGTGATGCCAACTTGCAGCACTGCGACAGAGACCAGGAGAACAATCTGTAGGAAGGTTCTCCTGCTCTCCCTGGTCACTCAATCCTCTTGTTTGCCCTAAACACCTCTGGCCTAGAACGATTTCTGTCAATGGTAGATTGACAGGTATGAATGGGTCAAAGCTTTAAAGAGCATTCCAGTAAAATCTATATATAGTTAGTAGTGTCAAGCCCAGCAAGCACAATTCATTGTTTTTGTGTGTGATGTGCGTAATACATACATGGACTGGTTACCTGGTAGAGGTGGTAGGGCTGATTACAGCACAAGAAGGGTTAATTTGTTTGTATAGGAATGTGCCATTTGTCAGATCATAGGAAAAGATTTAAATAAATTATCTTTTTAAAGACCGGCACCCACAGTGCTCAGGTCCCTCTGCCAGGTATGAAATTGTACACCCAAATTCCATGAAGGTCTATTGTTTCCCAGACTGGGTTACTACACCAAGGATACAGTTCTCTGCCAAGGAGTATTATCAGAAAACCATAATATTAACTGAGAAATTAAAAATAAGGCCTCCTGTACATATTCAAAATGGTGAGAGCATACCCCTCGAAAGGAGTATAAATATAGCTTGTGTAACTTAAGCCGATCTGAATGAACTGTGGAATTCCGATTTATTACGGCCTATACGAGTCTTGTAAGAGGTGTATGAAATTAATTATTTCTCTATCAGGTGCACAGAAAAGGTAAACATGTTTTGAGTAAACTCCTTTTATAAAGATTGGTATTTGAATCAAACAAAAGTCGTTACATTGCAATCTCTCCACATGAGATTTAATCAAAACGTCTCACAATTTAAATTATGCATGTTTACTCTATGGACCGTGATCAACAGTGGTTAATTAAAACTGTGGTACCTGAATCGGTGGATACGGGGGCTTTCTGTATGTACTAGCATTTCTGCTTTCACAATGTATGCATGAAATTTAATACCATTTAATTTAAGCCTAAGTTCTGCCTACCATGACCGTTACACTTAAAGATGTTAGCTTGATAGAAATAGATATATGCTGCTATTATTACCAAGATACTGAATAGGTCAAGAAAATAACTAAGAAGGATATATCCAAGTGGATTCTCGTGGGCCCATAAGTTATGAAAAGCAGTATTTACGATGCTCCACGAAGTTGTGAGCACATAAGTATTACTATCTCGCCACATGAACAATCCACTTCTCAAAGGAACTTCTACAAAAACTAGCAATGTGGATAGAAGTACCTTTTCCAAATCTTACAAACGAATCCAGTTCATATTAACCATTTCATTCCACCTTACCTGCTGTGTTCTCTATTCCTTGCACAATAGTCTCCTTTGCCTGTGAATGAGAATGTGTGTCAATGATAAAAATTAATTTGTAGAACTTGCAGCTATTCTATTCAATCTCACTGTTTACTTTTAATACAAACACAAGCCATCTAACAGAGAGAATGCCGTTACTTGTTTTGCGGTTAACAGCCTTCCCAATAAAACAGCTTGGTAAGTTACTCTGTGAAATCACATCCTGAAATATGTATCAGTGCGTGTTAATAAAAAGAACAGATTCGGTGTTACATAATATCACAGGGAAAGATGTCTCATTGTTCAGCAGAGGCTGGATGTGGGTGTTATTGTATAATAGAATCTGAAAGCCTTCAGACAAGGTGATCTTCTGTTAAAGATCCAAAGTCATGACAGGTGATTCATTCCATTCCAATTCGTAAAACAGAATGTATATAGTTGCTCAATATCAGACAGACAATGACGGCAAATCACCAACATGGGATTCTCTCCCCCTTGTGAAATATGTAGCAAGATTAACAGAGAAACATCCACTTTTGAGAAAGCTTTGGCGAAACGCGTAAAATGAGGACTTGTTAATTTTATTTACCCACAGAACTATTTTTAGAATACATTTTAATAGCTGTTAAACCATTTGTGAGGTATCCATCCATACAGTTGCTACAACTATCCGGTTTCTACATCTATCCTTGGGTGGGTATTGTTCCACCTCACGCTCTTCACACCAGAGCAGGACATTGCTCTGGGTTATGTAAGTAATATTAGCTCCTCCATTTATACCACTGTATTTTACGTACCATATCATTGGGATTCTTTCCCCTGTGTTATCTTACATGATATCTCCATAATTTTGGAATCAAGCTGAGAATACTCTCCACATATATCCATAGATGGTGATTATTCCGTCCAGGCCTGCTAAATAGAGCTGGTACTGCTCTAAAAAGTGAGTTTGCACATGACTTATTCATATTACTCTTAACTTATTTATTGTACTGCACCATAATTTCTTATTTTTCGTAGATTTATATACTAGGAATTGCCCTTATATCATCTTTTCTTTGCGCTGACCACCTATTTTTTTTTATCTTTTCCTTGCAATAGCCCCCAAAGTACGCATTAAAGGGATAAAAAACAAAAACAAAAAAACAGTGTAATATCAACGTGCCATCTACAATAAGTACCAAAGTGGCTCTTAGACTTTTATGCACAACGCAAATTTTAATGGTATAGTTCTCAACCTGTAAACACCTGGCTAGCAGTTCAGTAATTTAGCACCTTGGGTGCTATACCACTCTTGATATTAGCCACTATCGTAGCCAAAACAACCAGATTACACAAGCATGGCGAAAATATACAACTCAAATAGCAAGTACCAGCTCAAATCTCAAGTTAATTTCAGTACAAGTTGCGCAATTACCTTAAACTATTTACATATTAGTTTGAAGCTACCCTAATAGGCACTCTAGATTTTAAATGGTAAGTTCAATCCTGTATGATTAATTTATTAAACTAAACTCAGAGCCATTAAATCGTGTAAAATAACCTCCATCTTATATACAGCTGTTTTTCCCTTACAGAGCAATGTATTTTGCGTTTCAGAAACTCCTAGGCAACAGGATTTATATTTATACAAGTAAAACATCAACAGGTCATCAATCAACGAGATCATAAATGTTCTAAAATCCCATATCTCAATTTTAGTGGATAAATCAAATGCAAACTTTGACCCTGTGAAATCTGCATTATTCATAACATTCGTTTATAAATACGGGAAATTGCAAAGATGTCCCAAGGTTTTTAGTGCAATCTCTTGTTTACGACTTGAAGATTATACATATCGTCTTTTCAAAGGCACAAACAAAGACGGAGATTTTAAAGGAACACTGTAGCGTTAGGAATACACGTTCCTTGGCAAAAAAAATTGTTAACCAACCATTTATTTGCTTACCTTAATCCAGCGCCAGGCTCCCTCGGAACTGTGACCTCTCCTCCTCCATCTACTTCAGCTTCCAAGTGGAGCCAAATGCGCATGCGCTGCCAAAGGCACACTCATTCAAACCCGCCAATAGGAAAGCATTACTCAATGCTGTTCTATGGGGACCTTTTTTGACACTTCTCTGAAACTGCTATGTTTTCAGCTGCAGGGTTAAAACTAGGGGGACCTAGCACCCAGACCACTTCATTGAGCTGAAGTGGTCTGGGTGCCTATAGTGGTCCTTTAACATCATACATTTCTCCTGGCTTGTGTTCATGAATACACGTGAAAATGATCATAACCTCATCTCAATCACACACAAAAAATGCAGTCTCTTGTTTTAGAAAAACAACTCCCACAATCCTAAGTACTGCTGAGGGTAATCTTCTTTAACAAATTGTCTAGACTACGGCTAAACAATAAACTTCCAGCAGGTGACGTACTTTAAGTTCCTTGATGCTTTGTCCGCTTTAATGCTTGGGATCTATGTCTATCTTATGGCGACCTCTGGTCATACGATGTGCATATTTTTTAAAGTGTAGAGCTGCATCACAATCAGAAACATAGACTGGGGCCAGTCATCATCCAATGAACCATGGAGAACCCAGCTTTTCTGTTATGTTAGTGAGAACATAAAACCTTCAGAGGGACACCCGTTTAATAGTTCTACTATGATCCACCAATATTCCGAGGTTTGTTAGTGATTGTATCAATCCACACACAGTTTAAATATAATACACATGCATACCTTGATTTGCCCGGTCTTCAGCCACTGGCTCAGCTGCTGAATGCCCGACTGATATTGATCTGTATAGTTGAAAAGCAGGAATCTATCTCTAAATGGAGAGAAATAATTATGTGTCAAAGATACGAACTAGTTTGTCCTAATTTGCCTTGCTCTGTGATTTACATAAATATCTATTACATATAGGCAACTTGAATTTAATAGGGTTTCCATATAACTACTTATGCATTTAATGCATGGAGTACAGCAACATATTCCATGTACTGGCCTTGCAGATACTGCAAAAGCACCAAAGAAATTAAAATATAAAGTTCAGTTGTACATATGGGTAGGGAGTAACATATGGTCACATGAACTAAATCCCAAAATCTTCACTGCCCTTCCTAAAGAGTTATAGGAATTTATAGGAATTTCATGTGCAGCAAGTACTGACGTTTTTATTATAAACATTTATACACCATCATCATCAGTACTGCTGTATATGAAACATTCCAAAGTAAGATATTATTCATGTATCATTATGTGCGGAGCTAGATCTATCCTGTCATTGGGATAGATTTGCGGTTTTCCTGTAAATATATTTTAGTTTATAGTAGAGTTGTCGAGTGGAGCAAAACCATCATTCTTTTTTCTTTGTTTTTTTTTTCCTGTTTCATTTTCCAGGTAAATCATGACAGCACCACTTATGTGTTATCCCCACCTCTCAGGTGTGAGAACAACAATGAAATGAGAGCTTTCAACCCGTAGCTTCTAAGCCAGGGGAAGTCAACCTTCAGCACTCCAGATGTTGTGGACTACATCCCCCATAATGCTCTTACACCCATAATGCTGGCAAAGCATCATGGGAGGTGTAGTTCAAACCATCTGGAGTGCCGAAGGTTGCCTCTGTCTGTTCTAAGCCATCAGCTAAAAGACTCAGGCCATCAGAATTGTCTTCAAGATCTGTCTCTGAGCAAGATTTCATGGAGGTTTATCTGATGGGTAGAGAGGGAAAAGGCAGTAAACATCCACTCCACAGACTAGATAAAAGGACACCACAGGCACACTCTCAGCACCAACACAACTTAAAGAAACACTCCAGGCGCCACTGAAGTTATTATGGTACTTGGTGCCATCTTACTTAACCCCTTAAGGACAGATGATGGAAATATTTCATCATGATTCCCTTTTATTCCAGAAGTCGTGTCCTTAAGGGGTTAAAGGGATTAAATTGTTTACAAACGGTTTAACCCCAAAATGGACCACACGGCTCATGTCCTTTGGGTCTATATTTATTGTTTTCTGTCCCTGGCTTCGACTGGGAACCCATAATAGGTTGATACCATGTCCGGATGCTGTCAGTATTTAACTGGCTTCCTATTGAGAAAAAAAAAAAGCAGGAATATTTGTAGGACAGCAACCTGGACTTTTCCTACATTTATCAAACACACCAAGCTCCATGTAGGCGGAAGCTATGACAGCTAGCTCAGAAGTCTAGACCGTGGATGCTACTAATAAATTATGTTGGCTTTTTATTGCAGAAAATCTATTTTTTGTTCTTCTCTTCTGAGCTTTCTTGTATATTACCCATAGCTGATGCTGTCACGGTTAGCCAGAGATGGAGGAAATTGCTACAATGGTAACCGTCATTTTCTTTTCCTGCCTATTTTACCTGAAAACATCACTGATTCTATTGTGGTTCCTTCTGGTTTGGATTTAAAGGTAACTGGTGAATCAGGGTGGGAGGGGGTACATAGCTGTAATTATTTATTGCATTTGACTCCTGTCCTGACATCTAAGAAGCCGGGCTAACCCACAAGTTCCCTTTTTATCTTTGCTCCTGGATGCTTTCTCATAAGTGAACATTTTTTCAGTTATATCCATAGTGGGGATTTTATCCACTAAAGCGCTAAGGATTGAGCAATACCTATAGAATAAAGTAACATTCTTTAGTTCCACTGAACGATTTTGTCTATGGAGAGCACTATATTTTGTGCTTTTACATGACACCACTGATTACTCCTGTTTGAAATATCCAAAAGTAGGGATTGTACCACTGTATGCCAACTTATTGGAGCCATTCAGAGCTCTATTACAGGTGAGTGCATAAACTACATACTTAGATTGTTATTCAAAACTTGCCTTACATACTACACCATATTTTGTACCTGTACTCTGCTCTAGGTTTTGTCTTGGTGACGACCAACATACAGTACAAGAAGATATCTCCCATATATCCCTGTCCAGGCCCAATATCTCAGAGCTTGTGTGAAGCTCTACCTAATGTACGGGCACTCCTGAAATAGAATTATACTCCACCACTGGACCTTATTTGTTCTTTTTGTCTCACATATATATCCATCTGAAGCGCAACCATCCCTCTATTGTAAATTTTTACCATTTCTCTAGCCAGGAGGAGAGACCCTTGTCAACATTGTCAAGATTGTTTCTTCTGCATACAAGCGGAACTGTTTTAGCCCTTAATCTTCTGTTTGTATTACATAAGTGATGCGGTTATGGAAAATTACCAGGAAAATAAAATTACAGTAAGTACTGTAATAATTTTCTCCCATTTCGCTAGCTTTAATGCATTTTATGTATTTCCTTTTGCAGAAGCAAAGGAGTCAATGAGATGTTCGTATATCACAATGTAAACTGAGGTGTTCTTGATCATACACAAAAAATTTTATGTTTACGTCAAAGTAGTCAGAGACATTTAAAAAGGTTTACCCTTAGCACGGTGATACAGATCTAAACATAGGCAGCTGATATAAACAGAATGTGTGATTCTCTGTTAAAAAGACCACGTTTGTGGTGTGTCCAACTAACAGCCTCTCCCAAGACCCAAGATGTTCTAAACCTTGTGATGTTGCGTTCCTTCAGGATGGCCTCTGTCTGAGGAGGGGGTGGGGGTGGGTGACACATGTCCTTATTATATTGGGATATTTGGCCACACAGAATGACATGACCGTTCTGGTTCATCTGTTAGGAGAAAAAAAATATGATCCCATATTAATGTATTAAAATATAGCGAGAATACAAATAAAATAAGAATATTTAAATATTTAAAAAATGAAGTTAATGTGTTTCTGGAAATACACAGCGTTTCCCACTTCTGTAGTGCACACTCATCACAAGAGGTGACTAAAATCTTTCAGTATTGCTAAATTTACGCAATAAGCGACCATTTACTCTCTAATGAGTTTTACTTTCCTTTAATTTCATATCTTACATTCCCGGGTCCAGCAGGAGCTTATATGTTAAGTATAGCAGGACTTGACAGGTTTTTTTTTAATGCAAAAACAGTGAGATTTATTTATTTTAATGTTTAAAAGAATAGCGTTATGGTGACGGAATTCAATGTAACAGAAACAAGACAGCATTCAAATGCAGTGAAGGCTTGTGTGTGTGCTCATAATACAAGTATTTGTGCAGGCATTCACTCCTCCGCTGTGTTGTGGACTTAAATCTGCAGCTATTTTCACAAACTGCTGCAGTTACAACTTGGACAGGAGCATTTATGGTTAAAGTTCATGTGTGTCCACACTAGGAGTTACAGGATGCACCCAGGTCTCTCAGGAGAGGAGTATCTGTGTACAATCCATCTGCATAAGCCATATTTGTGTTTACTACCGTATATATTATAAAGGGAGACAAAGTCTGCATTGAGCATGACAGGAGCACATTGAAAGACCTACCCAGGAAGAGGAGTCCTGGAAAGGAGAAGAGGACTTATTTATATTTTTTGTTATTATTTCCAATTTTTAAATGGACACTCCAGGCACCCAGACCACTTCTGCCCATTGGAGTGGTCTGGGTGCCAACTCCCACCACCCTTAACCCTGCAAGTTTAATTATTGAGCTTTTTATAAACTTTAAAATTTTACCATGCAGGGTTAAGTCCTCCTCTAGTGGCTGTCTATCAGAGGAACTATCATGTTCTTAGAACACGAAAAGTGTTTTAAACGATGCTGGACTTCCTCACGCTATGTATAGTATACTGAATAATGCTTTCCTATGGGGAGGTCTAAAACGCATGCGACCATTGCCACGCATGCGCATTAGGTCTCCCCTGCTGACGTCAGAGGAGCGTGGGTGGAGCCTTACCCAGCACCGAGCAAAATCGGCACTGGATTCAGGTAAGTCACTGAATGGGGTTTTAACCCCTTCAGCAACATGGGATGGGCGATGGGAGAGAGAAGGGCACTGCAGGATTCTGCTGTGCCAGGAAAACCGATATGTTTTCCTGGCACTGGAGAGTCCCTTTAAATCATATCAATACATGTTGTAGAACAACAACTCCCATGATGCTTTGCATGCCTTTAGAATGACAAAGCATCATGGAAACTGTAGTTTTAAAACAATCTGGGGATCTACCTTTTGGGAACCCTTGCTTTAAACTATAAGCAAACTTCTCAGGTAGCTGATGTTTAATGTGGATAGAATGCAGTTAGAAGGGCAGTCTGAAATAGAACGATTTAACAGCTTTCATAACCGTGACAGTTTGACAGTTATAAACATTTGAATTAAATAAATCTGAACTTTACGGGATTAATTTACCATTATGGCTCAAAAACTGACTGCTTAAAGGGACACTCTAAGTACTAGAACCATTACAGATAAGTAAAGATTAAAAAGTGAGATAAAAGAAATTTGAGTATTGCCAAGAATTCTTACCTGGCTGATAACCATATCACTGATCGTTCCTCCCACGTTGTCAAAATACAGATCCACTCCATTAGGACAGCACTCTTTCAGTTTACTTGCCAAGTTCTTTTTCTTGTAGTTCAATGCACAATCAAAGCCCAATTCATTAATTAGGAAAGAGCACTTCTCATCAGTACCACAGATACCCACAACACGGGAGCAGCCTTGGATACGGCCAATCTACACAACAACAGAGAAGGCAGTAACAAGGCAAGAGAGAGAGTTCATAGAATAAATATGTAAGAATTATTCCCGTATTCATTCCATTTCTATATTTTACAGTATCTATGATGTCTACATGGTCTGCTATTTTCCCTGTTCCACAAACATTGCGGAGTTAGTTTGCCTGGCAACAGCATGTGTAGCATCATTCTTAAATGGTGTTGGTACATGCTCCTTCCCTGTCCCTGGTGATCACCAGAATTACCTGCCTTGGCCTTAGAGTTCTATCCAGGAAAGGCTGGCACGAGTACTCTTAGAACACTCAATGATTAGACCATACAAAGGAGTCAATGCACAGAATGTTCAATGTTTAGTGGACAGGGCAACAGTTTTAAGGAATTCTACTAAGGGGCAGTCTAGGGGTGTCATTAATTACCAGTGACAGTTATTAATTAACAGGGCGTAAAGTTCATGCAAACAGCATAGTGAAAGCATATAACAAATCATTGATATAAAACGTATCTAGGGGGCATTACTAGGTGGGATCTTTTTAGAATAGGAGGTGATAGGGGTAGGGTTTCTTAGAATACTTGAGAACAAAGGTGGTCGTGTGCCAAGACTATTTACGTGACGTTGTGGCATGGTCAGGTGCAAAACAATGCATGTAACGCCTTTGCAATGTACATTAAACAATAAAAAGGAATGGCATTTGGGGCATACAGAGAACTAGAAGGAAGATTTGTTCATTAATCATTTCACTGCTGGAATGTTAGGCAGTCTCATATTAACTCTTTCAGTGATGGAATGTTAGGCAGTCTCATATTAACTCTTTCAGTGATGGAATGTGAGGCAGTCTCTATTAAACCTTACAAACTCTCACTATTCACGGAGAGAAGAGATTTTTATTGGCTGTATATTGGCTATATTAATTTTTGACAGGTGGTTAAATTATAATAAAAAAATTACTATTATTAAAAATCATTAGAACATGTCCTGCCATTTGTTGAGAAAGTCATGCTTTATTTTATCAATGAAGGGTTAAACCAATTCTGAGGATTGAGCAGGCATTACAGTTCATGTATTGACAAATCACACTCGTTGAGTTAGAATAAAGGAACTCTTTTTATTTTTTTAGACACAATGTGTTTGTTAGTTTAATTCGTTTTGCACAGACATTTGTAGCATGTCTATAATTTGGCAGCTATTTTGCTACCCGCAGTCCATAAAACTAAGACTTTTTAAAGTGACAGTGGTTCCACAACCAATCCTCGTGGCCCAACAACAATTCAGGATTTATTTTTCCCTATGAAGATCCTGACATAACCTGGATTGTTGATGGGTCTTGAGGACTGGTTTTGGAAAAACTGCTCTATGGTGTTATAGTACAAGATATTTAACCGTCTTAACAGTCCAAAGCAGCACCCACATACCTGCCCAGCCAATGAGCCACACGCTCCGGCTGCGCCACTGATCACCAAAGTCTGATTGGCTCCTGGAGTCACATGACCTTTCTCCTTCATACCAAGGTACGCAGTTAGGCCAGTAGTGCCGACTGCACCCAGAAAATGGGAGAGTTGTCCATTCACAAGACTAGGGTCCATCTGTTTCAAGACATGAATGGGATTAATGATAGAGTAACAAATGTCTAACGTACTAATGTTACACAAAGAGTTAATAAGTATTACAGATACACAATGGAATCTAGAAATTATCATGCCTAGCTATAGAACTAAAATGTATCCTTAGCACTTTATAGTTACGTCACAGTATAAAGTCGTAGTGTTAAAGGGACACTATAGTCACCTGAACAACTTTAGCTTAATGAAGCAGTTTTGGTGTATAGAACATGCCCCTGCAGCCTCACTGCTCAATCCCCTGCCATTTAGGAGTTAAATCCCTTTGTTTATGAACCCTAGTCACACCTCCCTGCATGTGACTTGCACAGCCTTCCATAAACACTTCCTGTAAAGAGAGCCCTATTTAGGCTTTCTTTATTGCAAGTTCTGTTTAATTAAGATTTTCTTATCCCCTGCTATGTTAATAGCTTGCTAGACCCTGCAAGAGCCTCCTGTATGTGATTAAAGTTTAATTTAGAGATTGAGATACAATTATTTAAGGTAAATTACATCTGTTTGAAAGTGAAACCAGTTTTTTTTTCAATGCAGGCTCTGTCAATCATAGCCAGGGGAGGTGTGGCTAGGGCTGCATAAACAGAAACAAAGCGATTTAACTCCTAAATGACAGTGAATTGAGCAGTGAAATTGCAGGGGAATGATCTATACACTGAAACTGCTTTATTTAACTAAAGTAATTTAGTTGACTATAGTGCTCCTTTAAGTTGAGTAGTTATACAGTGTGGACATTTATAGTAATATAGAGTTTGCAGGAATACTAATACTTTTTTTTTAAATATTAAAAGGAAAGTAAATTAATAGTTATACAATATATGTATATTTTATTTATAAAGCACTAACTGTTAGACTCAGTACCTTAAATGTTACCTTACATGAGTGAAACATTGCACAGACAGACTCCAGCCACCATGACCACTTCAAATCACAGAAGTGGCCATGGTGCTGGAGGTAACCATTTAAAGACTGTCATATAGATGTAAAGACACTCTTCATACATTACCTTTTGTAAGACTTTGCCATCAAAGATGCACTGTGTCTGCCATGGCCAATTAAAGCTTGAAACAATATCCCCAGCAGTAAACCCGTTGGTTTTGCTTTTTTCTACAACTCCGATCCCATTGCTGTCAAGGACCCCACCAATCTTCCATGACGGAACACCTTCCATTCCAGTGTCATCCATTTGACAACGCTGCAAGATATATTTTTTTGCTTTGAATCTTTTTTTTTTTTTTGTAAATCTGTTTTATTGAGATAAGACAAGGGGAAAGTGAGGCACGCAGGCCTCCATGCAAATAATGATAATGAAATATAACATGTGACAGGAGCCATTTGGGTACAATTCTTAAACCGTACGTTTTTAGTTACAGTGAATAAGGTAGTTTAAGTACATAAACAGACTGTATGTTGTGTGTCGAGGTATGCTTAAGTATCTAGGGAACACCTTTCCGTACCCTTCCTTCACGTGTACGGGGCGGGTATGAGCTATAGGTCAGCTTTGGTAATTGGTATTTGTCCCCTCTCGTGATTGTTATAAGTTACCCTCGGAACCTCCCAGTGTAATGTCTCAGTCTGAGGTAGTCAGCGTTACCATGAGTGTCTATCGCTGCCTTATTGGAAGTGATGGGTAATGTGTTGTTCTAGGGGGTCGGGTATAAGGGGGTGGGTAGGGTAGGAGGGGAGAGGGGGGAGGGGGGGTAGGGATGAGGGGGTTACCTCCCTCCCGCTTCGGCATCTGCTGTGAGCGAGTATCATAAGTGTCAATGATGTGCTATTTTGCTTGTTGTTGGGGGTTGAAAGCGCCGGTGTCTTCCAAGTTCGTTTCTCGTAGTCTGTGTGTATTCCCTGCCTTTCATGGGTAATCTAGTGTTGAAGGAGTGTTCCCTCTGTGTGGGTGGGGAGTCGCGCCACGATCCCTTATGTTGTGCCCGTTAGTCGTTGCGTAATGTGTTTGGGCGATGTTTGCATTGTCCCTGTCCTTTGTTAGAGCCGTCCGTCTTGCAGTGGGGCATGTCCACTAGGCGCCAGTCGCTGTTTGAGGTGTTTGCATGCGATGTCTGTGGCTTTGAGTGATGTGTCAGTGTGCGTGTAGTGATGGCGTTCATTATGATTGCCTGCCTTGACGTTCAGGCTATCGTGTGTGTGAAGGTGTGCAGGGTGTATTGAGTATGCCGTTATCAGGTGGTAGATGTCTTTACATGAGCTGTGTGTATTTGGGGTGCGTCTCGCCTGGGGGTGAGCAGCGGGACGAGACCCGGCCGCGAACGGTCGTGGCTCTTCTTCCCTCTCCACCGCCCCCCGGAGGCGCCGGAGTAATCCGTCTACTATTTGTTCGCTTACTGTCTGTTCGCTTGGTACACGAACCATGGTCCCCAGATCTCCGCGTGCCTGGTTGAGCGCCCCGTGAGGGAAGCTTGGAGTGCCTCTGCCGATTGTATGTCCCCTACCCTGTGGAGCCATTCCGTGTGCGTCGGGGACTCTGTTTTTTTCCAGTATGCGGGTATAAGGGATTTTGCCGCGTTCAGCAAGTGGCGTAGAATAGACTTTTTGTATCTGGAGATGGAGCTTGAGGTCATGTGTAGCAGGGCTAGTTCCATCGACCATTCCACATCTTCACCAAGTATTGATTTAGTTTCAGTGTGAATTTGGGCCCAGTACGGTGTGATGGCTCGGCAATCTCACCACAGATGTGTGATAGTGCCTCTTTCCTCTTGGCATCTCCAGCACAGAGGAGAAACTGTCGGGAATATCCGATGTAGAGCCACCGGCGTCCTGTACCACATGGAAATCAGTTTATAATTGACTTCTTGATAGTACGAGCTGGAGGAACTTTTATGCTGCCAGAGGAGGGCTGTGTCCCATTGTGTTGTTGAAAGCTGTTTGTGGCACTGAGTTTCCCATCGTAGCTTGAAGGTGTTGTTGTCCCTGTTGCCTCCCACCAGAAGGTGTTGATACAGTGTGGATACTGCGTTACCCAGTCGAGATCCTCTATGACAGAGTGACTCGAACCAGGTTAGCTCTCTGTGCAGGAGTTCCTTATGTGGGACTGAGTCATAAAAATGTACTAGTTGCAGATATCTCATCGTTGTCATGGGTGTCCGTGCTCCGTCTCCCAGTAGGGAATCCAGGGATCTCACCCGTCCCTCTCCCAGTACCTTCCGGATCGGGATATATTCACCCTCCTCTATGAATGTCCATGCACCGGCCGGGAGGCCCCCTCCAATTTTGGGATTGTGCGTGATCGGGGTCAGTGGGGTAGGCCTCGGGGAGACGAATGACAGCCCCCGGATCCGCTCCCAAATTTTCAGAGTTTGGGTCACTGGGTTTCCGATCTCATCTCTCCCTCTGTATCCCGGTGTCTCCTGCCACACTTCGGCTTTGAGCTTGGCCCCTGAGTCGCCTCTGTCAAGAGTCACCCACTGCTTTGGATTATCAGCGGCATGCCATTCCAGGATGCGTTGCATCGCGGCGGCTTGGTGATATTTCCGGAAATCGGGGAGTGCCAATCCTCCCTTGAGTCTGGGTAGGCATAACGTTTCGTATCGCAATCGAGACCTCTCTCCACGCCACACGTAACGTATTATTGCTGTCTTCAGGGTCGAGAAGAAGGATCTAGGTAGTGCCAATGGGATGGTTTGGAACAGGTAAAGGATTCTTGGTAACACGTTCATTTTGAGAACCGCTATGCGCCCATGCCACGTGACGTGTGGGTATGCCCATTTCTCCAGATCTGATGTTATTGTCTGTAGCAAGTGGGCAAAGTTGTGTTGGTATATATGCTGGGGATTGTTGGCGATCCACACTCCCAAGTATTTCATCCGTTCATCACGCCATTGGAATGGAAAGCTATTTTTCAGGTCAGTATATTGGTTCGAGGGGAAGGTCACATTCAACGCCTCACATTTTGATAAGTTGAGTTTGAATCCTGACAACGTACCATATTGTTTCATGGTGGCGAGTAGGCAGGGTATTGTAATGCGGGGGTTAGTGATGAAGAATAGGAGGTCATCAGCATAAGCAGCTACCTTATGTTCAGAGTCTCTCCACGTGTAGCCGCGGATGTCAGGGTTTTGTCTTACCGCCTGCAAAAGGGGCTCCAAGGTCATTGCGAATAGGAGAGGGGACAGGGGGCATCCCTGTCTCGTCCCATTATTTATTTCAAATCTGTCGGTTAGGGCACCATTGACCCGAACCGCTGCTTGGGGCTTGTCATAGACAGCTGATATCCACGACATCATTTTCTGCCCCAATCCCATAACGGACAGCGTGGCCATCATATATGACCAGTTGACCCGGTCAAAGGCCTTCTCAGCGTCCGTGGAGAGAATGAGAAGGTGGTCCCCTGATTTCCGTGCTCGGGCTTGGATTGAGAACAGACGTAGGGTGCTGTCCCTCGCCTCCCTTCCTGGGATGAACCCTGTCTGATCTGCATGAATAATGCTTGGCAGCACTCGTTGTAACCTAGTGGCCAGTACTTTAGTTAAAAGTTTTGTGTCGACGTTGAGTAATGAGATAGGCCGGTAGCTGCCGCAGTGTTCTTTTGCTTTGAATCTTTATTAAATCCAGCAAATATAACAAGTTTGTTAAATGAAGTACAAATTATTTTAAATTAATTCAGAGATTTTTTTTCTCCCCCAACTTGACAATTTTTATTGAGACATCAAAATGAATCATGGCGTACAGAATGGAAGAGAGTAGAATCTGTGTGTGTGCCGTGCATTTGTAGTCTAGATTTGTTGATATTTGACTTTTCAGATCAGCCAAGAGTGGTATATTGGTAGATTTCCATGACCTTCCTATTAGGAGATTTGCTGCTATAAGGATGTGGAAGTGGAGGCTAGCATCTGGCTTAGAAAGTCAACCTGAGTTCATGAATAATAGGCACATTTCAGGCATGCGTGATATAGTCTGCCCTCTAAAATATCATATTATGTTTCCCACCATGCTCCAAAAGGGGCGAATGTTAGCACATGACCACCAGGTCTGATACAATTTTCCGCTCTCTTTTAGGCATCGCCAGCACGTGCTAGACGTGTTTGGGTACATGTGGGCTAGCCAATTTGGTACCATGTACCATCTGTATTGTAGTTTTTGTACTTATTCCAGGTGTGATACACAACTCTTTTTTTTCTTTGTGGGCCAAAAAGGCTCTGGTCCATTGTGCTCTGTCAAATTCTTTGCCTATGTCAGTTTTCCCGGCTACCATTTACGTATCACACGTGTGTTGTCGTCTTATTTAATAGGTTGTATGTGGAAGAGAATATCTTTTTTGGTGTTGTCAGGGAGGCACATGTCCTTTCAAAATACGCCATGATCGGTATCATGGTTCATGCTAGGTTGGGTAGTAGCATGGATTTAAGTTGTAAATAGGAAAATACTGCTCTGGCAGGGAAGTTCAATTTGCTCTGTACATCCGGGAACTGTAGCGTGTGTGCTCCGTTCATAAGCGGTCTTGTTTGTGTGCATCCCCTCTCTAGCCTGGGCCGTAAGTCAAATGAAGGGTTGGCAATGTGAAGGCTACAGAGTGGGGTATTCAATGTCCACTCATCTCCGTAACCCTGGTGCTTCCTTAGTCCATCCCAGGCACCTAGTAGTAGTTTGGTGGTGTGTAGGGTATGTAATGTCGCTGGTCGTTTGGCTGCAGGTATCCAAAATAAATACCGTAGCCCCATGGGGCTTGCCCATTAAGATTCTATTTTAACTCACTGTGGAGGTTTCTCGGTAGCGGGTGCCGTAATTACTGTGGGCAGTAATGCTGCCTGATATTAGAGTTTGACGTTGGGAAGATTAAATCCCCCTTTGTCTATTGGGATATGCAGTATCTTAGTGGCAACCCTTATCTTTTGGTTAATCCATATAAACTGGTGAGTAGTCTTTTAAGCTTCTCTAGATAAAGCTTGGATAAGTATCTGTAATGTCCGGGGTAAGTATTGGAACTTGGGGGCTGCAAGATAATTTTGGTGATAATGTGTGATGTCAAGTTTTATTATGGCTCATTCATATCTACAAAAGCGTTTAAAAAAGTCAGGACCCTAAAGAAAATGTTGACAGATCTGAGAGTATTTCCTCAGATGTCTGTGCTTTTGCCACCTTTCTGGAGAAAAAGGTGGCTTAAAACAACACACCAACCTCCAACCACACTAACAGACCCACCAGAGGCATATAGAGCTCAGTAGACCAGTGCGTGTCTGCATTGTTGAATCAAAGGCCACTTATGTTTGGACATGTCAGAAACTCTCTGTGGCCGATACATCTCTGTTATGATCTCCTATTTGACCCTGGAATATTTGAAAGCTGCTTGAAAGCACATTGACCATTAGTAAGGAAATGTTTAGTACCCGAAGATTTCCGTGTCATTATCCATCCTTCTCACCACTATAGCTAACGAATCAATGAAGAGCATCACTTGATTTAATCCGTCTCTGGTAACCAAACATTCCTTCCTGGGATCAACAGAGTGCTCTCTTCTTTAACACAAGATACAGTTTGTCAGGTATACCTAACATTCATGCTGCCACCGGAACCCACTTCCGGGTTCACGCCGCTTAGCTCCGCCCCTTTTTTCTGACGCGGTCTTTCCACGATACTTAGGAAGACCGCGCCAGATTCAAAGTGCTGGATTATTCACTCAGGTGCGGCAGTGAGATCAGCTGCTCTACTCGATGCTACCGGCTCCACTTCTCAGACCTCGGCTTGTAAACGGATTTCTACCTTCTCATCTCTCAGACCTCGGCTTGTAAACGGATTTCTACCTTCTCATCTCTCAGACCTCGGCTTATAAACGGAATTCTACCTTCTCCTCTCCCAGACCTCGGCTTGTAAACGGATTTCTACCTTCTCCTCTCCCAGACCTCGGCTTGTAAACGGATTTCTACCTTCTAATCTCTCAGACCTCGGCTTGGATAAACGGACTTCCTTTCTCTCACTACTAAACTCCAGTTTGTTAAAAGAGACTCCTTCCTCTTCCTCCATTGGGTGAATTAACCCTTCCAGTGCCAGAGTGCTTCTAAGTTAAGTAAATCTTTTGTCAAGGAAAGCAAGTCATATAAATTAATTATAGTATTTAATTTCTTTAAACTCTCTGTTGACAAATAAGGATTGCTGCTAAGGCTAAAACTTCATTATTAAAATTCAAGTTGGAACTAACTTGGCATTTTCCTGATTATTATTTAAAGATACAGTCCACTGATTTCACTCCAATATAATAGGAGGTGAAACTTACTGTTCCTGCCCTCAGAATATTCTGCAGTTGAGTTCCAATTAAAGAGGTATTACACAAAAGCATCACAGAATAATCCAGCCTTTTCAATGGAATCAGCAGATATTAACTCACAAGTTTCTGCCCTAACCAACAGAGTGGATACGATTGCTCAAGGGTTACAGGAACTGCAAATCACGAATGAGAGAATATTAACCTATGTTAGAGACATGCAAGGCCATCTTCCTCATGCCGCTCTTCAATCGGCTGGTGATCCTGCTGTCTGTAATCCAGAAAAATTTTATGGAGATAGAACAAAGTACAGAGAGTTTTTGAATTCTTGCAAACTTCTGATAGCTTTAAAACCTAGATCTTATCTCACTGAAAGATCAAAAGTTTGTTCAGTAATTTCTTTTTTAAGAGGTGAACCTATGGCATGGGCCCATTCCTTTTTAGAGAATGATGATCCCATATTAGATTCATTGGATGAATTCTTTGAAGCTATGTCTTTATTATATGAAGATCCTTATAAACAGGCTACTGCTGATTTAAACATCAGAACTCTCCACCAAAAGAACAGACCTGTTGAAGATTATATTGCAGAATTTAAAAGATGGGCTACAGAAACCCAATGGAATGACATCACTCTACGCAATCAATTCCGTCTCGGATTATCAGAAGCTGTGAAAGATGAACTCTCTCGTACTGAACTTCCTCCCACCCTAAATGCATTGATTCAACTTTCCATTAGTATTGACAGACGTCTAAGAGAAAGAAGGGCTGAAAAAGTTCACACTACTTCTAACTGGAGAAAACATTTTACTACTCCAAAAATTCCTGAAAAATCTCTTCCTCACAATGAACCTATGGAAGTTGGTATAATAAGAAGCCCTCTTACTTCGGAAGAAAGGATAAGAAGGAGACAACTAAATTTGTGCATGTATTGTGCTTCAAAAGAACATCTAATCCCAGAATGTCCCCTACTAATCCATTCGAAAGCTGGTAAGCTTCATTCATCTACTTCTATATTGAACGTTCTTCAAAAAAGGAAAACATCTACTTATTTTTCTATATCTATCATATTACAATGGGATACAAAAAGAATCGTGACTGAAGCCATTATTGATTCTGGTGCTAATGGAACCTTCCTTGATTTTTCTTTTGTTGCAAAGAATAAAATTCCGTGTGTTCGAAAAACCAATTTTATTCCAATCAGAGTTATTGATGGTTCATTTATATCCTCAGGACCCATAAAAGATGAGACAATTCCTCTAAGAATGATTACCAATAACGTACATACAGAGTTCCTTACATTTGATGTTATTAAATCTCCACTTTATCCTGTCATTCTAGGAATTAATTGGTTAAAAACTCATGATCCTTTAATTAAATGGTCACCCTTTTCCATTTCTTTTCCTTCTGACTTTTGCAAAAAAACCTGTTTCCAACATATTCCTATTCTCCAAACTACTCAGGAATCAATTATACCTCCATTCTACTCTGACTTTTCAGATGTCTTTTGTAAAAAAGAAGCGGAAACACTTCCACCTCATCGAGCATATGATTGCCCAATAGATCTAATACCTGGTGCTCCCATTCCTTATGGACACATTTATCCACTTTCTGAAAAGGTGTCAGGGTACCTGTTGGTGCTGAATCCAGGGAAGACATCCTCTCTGTTTAGGGGCTCCCTGCCCCTAGCATTTCGGCATATTCCGGCCATTTTCGCGCCGGCCACGCTAGCTCCTCCCCCTTTTATGACGCGACGGCTAGCGTCGACGTCATGACGTCGGCATTTACATGAAGTGCCGGGAACCGCTATTCCGGACCTTTTGGGGGCGTGGTCCCTATTTAGGTAACAGGGTATTTAAAGGAAACCTTTACTACTGCTCATTGCCCTGTCGTGGTTCTAGCTTGCTAGTCACTCAGCGCGTTCTTTATCTTGTGTTTCTGGTTTTGACCCTTGCTTGTCTTTTGTCCTGTTGTCCTCTCCTCTCCTTTGACTCGGCTTGTATCTCGCTTACCTGTCCTCCGGCTCCCTCGACCTCGGCTTACCTTTTGACTATTCTTGCTTTGTCCCTACGTTAGTCCGGCCATTCTAAGGTCCGGTATACGTACCTCCTTCTGTCCGCACTCTGCGTATTGGATCCCTGTCAGTATCCTGACAAAAGGAATTGCAGACCTTAAAAGAATATCTTAATGAAAATTTACGTAAAGGATTCATCAGACCCTCGACTTCACCGGCTGCCTCTAGTATATTTTTTGTGAGGAATAAGGACCAAACCATCCGACCCATTATAGATTACAGAGCCTTAAATAAAATAACCATAAAAAATCGTTATCCTCTTCCACTAATAAATGAATTAATTGAAAGGTTAAGAACTGCAACTATATTCACTAAACTCGACCTCCGAGGCACATATAACCTCATTAGAATAAAACAGGATGATGAATGGAAGACCGCCTTCCGGACTAGATATGGTCTTTACGAATATCTAGTGATGCCTTTTGGGCTTTGTAATGCCCCTGCAACATTCCAACATTTTATAAATTATATCTTTAGAGATCTTTTGGATGTTTGTGTTATTATCTACTTAGATGATATTCTTATATATTCTAACAATTTGGATGAACATAGGAAGCATGTAAGATGGGTTCTATCTAGATTGAGAACTCACAAATTATACGCTAAACCAGAGAAATGTCTTTTTGAAGTTACTGAACTCTCCTTTCTTGGATACATTATTTCACCTCATTCTCTGAAAATGGATAACTCTAAAATCAAATGTATTATTAACTGGCCCGTTCCTACTACTACAAAAGAATTGCAACGATTTCTTGGATTTGCAAACTTCTATAGAAAATTCATTAGAAACTATTCAGAGGTATCACATCCACTTAACCTCCTTAACAGTACTAAACGTCCTTTCAAATGGAATAAAGATGCACAAACTGCCTTCGACAGTGTAAAAAAAAGATTTACAACTGCACCTATTCTACAGCTACCTAATCCAACATTCTTGTATGTCCTAGAAGTCGATGCATCAGATTCAGCTATCGGAGCAGTTCTTTCTCAGCAAAAGACTCCTCAAGATCCACTTCATCCAGTCGCATTCTTTTCAAGATCCTTGAGCTCTGCTGAAAAAAATTATCCTATTGGTGAAAAGGAATTATTAAGTGTTAAAGCTGCCTTTGAGAATTGGCGCCATCTATTAGAAGATACAAATCAACCTATCATAGTCTATACAGACCATAAAAATCTTGAATATCTTTATACTAATAAAACCCTTACGGCTAGACAAGTTAGATGGAACCTATTTTTTAACCGGTTTAACTTCCAATTAATATACAGACCTGGAACTAGAAATAAAAAGGCTGACGCTCTTTCTCGAATTCCTTCTAAAACTTCTATTGATGTTTATCCTCCTAACAAAATAATAGGGATCCTCTCTTCTCTTCAGGATGACTTAAGGAACTTGAATCAAAAGGATCTTGAACTTCCCAAAACACCTAATTTAACAAAAAAGGATGGTATATTTTACTTTAAAAATAGAATTTATATACCTCCCATTCTTAGGAACAAATTACTCAAAATGGTTCATGATTCACCCCTAGCTGGACATCCTGGAATAAAGAAAACTCTTGAACTAACTTCACGATATTATTGGTGGCCTCGCCAAGATAGAACCATTGAATTATATGTCAAAACTTGTCCTATCTGTCAAAGGTCCAAATCTGAACATAATCAACCTTTTGGATTACTACTTAACTTACCCATTCCAGAAAAACCTTGGCAATCCATTTCTATGGATTTTCTCGTTGACCTTCCACCATCTCGACATTTCACCACTATTCTTGTTGTTGTGGACCGCTTCACAAAAATGTCCCATTTCATCTCTTTAAAAAAATTACCCTCCTCCGTAGAATTGTCCAAAGTCTTTATTGATAATATTATAAAACTCCATGGTCTTCCAGAAGAAATTATTTCTGATAGGGGGACACAATTTACCTCCAAATTCTGGAAGGAGATGTGTCTCTCTCTTCAAATTCAACGCAAACTCTCTTCCGCCTATCATCCCCAAACTAATGGGCAAACAGAGAGAGTTAATCAATGTCTGGAACAATATCTCCGATGTTATTGTTCATACCTGCAAGATGACTGGACCACATGGTTACCTATGGCTGAATTTTCTTACAACAATACCATTCATTCTAGTACGAAAATGACTCCGTTCTTCTCCAACTATGGTTTTCATCCATCCTCATTTCCCATCCAAACTATTACCTCATCCAATCCTACGGTTACATCAAAAAATGAATTTATGTCCTCTCTATTCCTCAAATTACGGGAGAATCTTCAACTCGCTCAAAACTACCAGAAAAAGTTTTTTGACAATAGAAGAAGAATTCCCCCTCCTTACAAAGTAGGGGATCTTGTCTGGCTCTCTTCAAAAAATATTACCACAAACCGTCCTTCAAAGAAATTGAGCTCTCTTTTTCTTGGTCCTTTTCAAATAACTACAATCATCAATGATAACGTTGTTAAATTAAAACTTCCTCCAAGTTTTAAACTTCATCCAGTATTCCATGTCTCTTTGCTTAAACCACACATCCCTGATCCTTTCCATAGAGAAATAGTAACAACTCCTGAACCTATCATCGTCCAAGGTGAAGAAGAATATGAAATTCATAAGATTTTGGATTCTCGTATCCACCGTGGCTCTTTACAATACCTTATCAGATGGAAAGGTTATGGAGTTGATGAAGATACCTGGGAAGATTCATCTAATGTTCATGCAAAGAGATTAATTGATGCTTTTCACAAACGCTACCCCTTTAAACCGAAATAAGTGCACCCAGAGGATGCCCCATGAGAAGGGGGTACTGTCAGGTATACCTAACATTCATGCTGCCACCGGAACCCACTTCCGGGTTCACGGCGCTTAGCTCCGCCTCTTTTTTCTGACGCGGTCTTTCCATGATACTTAGGAAGACCGCGCCAGATTCAAAGTGCTGGATTATTCACTCAGGTGCGGCAGTGAGATCAGCTGCTCTACTCGATGCTACCGGCTCCACTTCTCAGACCTCGGCTTGTAAACGGATTTCTACCTTCTCATCTCTCAGACCTCGGCTTGTAAACGGATTTCTACCTTCTCATCTCTCAGACCTCTGCTTATAAACGGAATTCTACCTTCTCCTCTCCCAGACCTCGGCTTGTAAACGGATTTCTACCTTCTCCTCTCTCAGACCTCGGCTTGGATAAACGGACTTCCTTTCTCTCACTACTAAACTCCAGTTTGTTAAAAGAGACTCCTTCCTCTTCCTCCATTGGGTGAATTAACCCTTCCAGTGCCAGAGTGCTTCTAAGTTAAGTAAATCTTTTGTCAAGGAAAGCAAGTCATATAAATTAATTATAGTATTTAATTTCTTTAAACTCTCTGTTGACAAATAAGGATTGCTGCTAAGGCTAAAACTTCATTATTAAAATTCAAGTTGGAACTAACTTGGCATTTTCCTGATTATTATTTAAAGATACAGTCCACTGATTTCACTCCAATATAATAGGAGGTGAAACTTACTGTTCCTGCCCTCAGAATATTCTGCAGTTGAGTTCCAATTAAAGAGGTATTACACAAAAGCATCACACAGTTACACACAGGGACCTACACATTATGGTCTCACTAGAACTCAGATTTTCTAGTTATTTACAAATGGTTTTCACCATTATAGTCCATAATACAGTATTACGTTAAACTTTTGTAATCTAGCTCTCTTGTCTGAAGTATTCAGTAAAGCATTCTCTTGCCAAAGATCTTACTGTTGAGAATAAAAAAGTTCATTTGAATTGCTCTGACGGCCAAATATATTGAAAAGCCACTTAACTGCATCTCGGGGGGCTGCTCCCGGCCCCATTTATCATACAAGTCATTACCATCACACAACAAGATAAATAATACCTGAAAATTTTCTGATCATTCTATAGATACATACTGAAATATATAGATCACTTTTGCTGAAGATAGAATTAAACTTCACTTTTAATGATGAATCAAAGATGTATGTTTTCTTTGAGAACATCTACAAAATTAATATGAAGATGTAAACATAAATAATGGACTTCACCCACCAGGTAAGGATCCACGGATAGATACAAAGTCCGAGCAAGAATGTGGCCATCGTGAAGTTCCTCTGAGAGTGACACTTCCTCAAGGCGGAAGTTTTCGGGTACTGGTTCACCAAATATTCCTAATTAACAAATAAAATGTGTTTATGTAAAGCTATTTCAGCAAGTGTAATTTGATTGTGGTGAATTAATTGTTAATTAAGCATTGTAGAAAGTCTAAAAACCTAAATAAAGTATGTTTCAGATTGTATTTGTAAGGGAACATTTATTTTGATTTTGCCGTTGAAGCAGACAGTGAAACACTTACCAGGCCTAGATGCCAATACAACTCTCTTAACTTTCATCCTTGCAATTAAAAAAAGTAATTGGACTATATGGCCGTATCCTGCATGGGAATAAATAGGAATTAGCAAAATATCAATGAGTTAAGAAGAATAGAATTGTACAAAATACATGTTAATACATACACAGGTTTGGAAAAATAGACCTCAGAAAAATTATCAGTTCATCTGGTTTTACTAATTATAGGTGTAGGGGATTGAGTAAAATGGGAATGTTTGTTGTATCTGTCTGCTAGTAAAGCCAGAATCCAAACCTTATCGCACCCAAAGCCTTTCTTTTCAACTCTTTTGGAATGGTCAGTAGTTAGTTATTTTCTGAATCCGATCACATTTGAGATATTAGCACTGATGTTGCCCTCTAGCAAGTCCTATTGCAAGATGATAGTGCTGATCACTGCACTGTGTTTTTGTTTTTTTTACTTTTCCTCATTAAATACGATTTTTGGTTTAGAACACCTAATCAGTGTAAGTAGAATAATGTGTGCCTGTGTTGGAATTCAAGAGACATTTAAATTGAATAACTTACTTTTATGTAGACATGCTGACGTAAGAAAAGACTGGAGTGGCTGTTTTGTTTCGTTTTTTAAGCCAAAATAGTTGGATTTGAATTTACAATGGCCTGATGAATTTCTGCCAATTTACCAAACTATTACAACACAGGAGAATCTTTTCTTAGTTTTTGGTTTGTGTTTTGTTAATTCTTGTTGAATCTAGTATGTTATTGTGGGAACACTTCCTTAATGTTTACGCATACAAGGGTTTTACTTGGAGGGTGCCTGGGGACATTCATTGTGTGCCATTGACACAACCCATTCTGGTGAAACGCATTTGGCGATTTGTTGATACATGAGAAGCATCTGCTAAGGGCTTTTTTAAAGTTTTTATTACAATCTTGATTTTATTTCTAGAATCGCAACAGATAGAAAGACAACTGCGGCAAATCATATTAGCATTAGAAAAAAAATCATAACTGGTATCATTGGTGCTTATCACAAAACAAATTGCAACCCACTAAAGGTGAATAGGTAACGATAATTGGAATAAGGGAACAAATACAAATGCTAAGGACCTTTTAAGACTATTATCTGCAGGAACCTGTCAAGAAACTGGTGCCTATCTGATACAGTAGTGTCCAATCGAGGAGTCCTCAGAAAGCAGTAAGAATTGGCTAGTTAATGTTGAGTAAAATACCTTAATAGTTTTATTTAAAGAAGCACTATACGGTCAGGAACACAAATATGTATTCCTGACCCTATATGGTTAAAACCACCATCTAGCCACCCTGGTCCCCTCATACCTCCCTAAATATAGTAAAATCTTACTACTTGTATTCAAGTCTGGAGCTGCTTACTTTGTCCCGGTTTCCTTTAGACCTGCCCACTGCCTGCTGACAACAGAAGTGGTAGCCTGATCCAATCACAATGCTTCCCCATAGGATTGGCTGAGACTGAGAAAGAGGCAGATCAGGAGCAGAGCCAGCATGGTTCAAACACAGCCCTGGCCAATCAGCATCTCCTCATAGAGATGAATTGAATTAATGAATCTCTATGAGGAAAGTTCAGTGTCTGCATGCAGAGGGAGGAGATACTGAATGTTTGGATGCATTTTAGGCAGCAATGACCCAGGAAGGATCTCTAACAGCCATCTGAGGAGTGGCCAGTGAAGTTATCACTAGGCTGTACTGTAAACACTGCATTTTCTCTGAAAAGACAGTGTTTACAGCAAAAAGCCTGAAGGTAATGATTCTACTCACCAGAACAAATTCAATAATCTAATCTAGGACAATCTAGTGACTAGTGTCCCTTTAAGAGTTCATTTTTATTCTTAATAAACCGTGCATTATTATGATCCTCTGGTTGTCTCCCCCCTCCCCTATTTTATGTTTTGCAAAGTGAAACAAGGGATGCCAGTTGCCTCATAGCTGAGGAGGATGCTTTGGAGATACCTGGAGATAAGAGATTCAGAGAGACTGGAGTGTGAATACTAGAATTTATTTCATTGTACCTGTGTTCTGGTTTAGAGGGTTTTTTTTTTCTTTTGTTTTTTTCTGTGTCGTATATTTGTCTGTTTTGTAGTTATTTTATTGTATTTTTAAAATAAGTGTTTGTGATGTCTGAAAATGTAATTAAAGGCACACTTATAAATTACATTATAATAAGCAGCCAGTGCTTACTATAAGATTCTCTTATTTTTTTTAAATCAAAACTGGTACCCACAGCACAGCCCCTATGATTGTTGTGTTAATAACGAGGATGTTATACATCCTTATTGGCAATATGAATTTTCTACACTATTTCGACAGCATTTAAAGACTGCACTTCAAATTACATTCACCCAATCCTCAAAGCTACATAACAATGGCATCTATTTGTTATGGTTCGTTAGACTGCGCCTTTAAATGTAGAAAGCTACACTGCTCTATCATGGAACTGAGCGTCCTTATCTGGGCTCGCCGTCCATCACTTTTATAAGATCTTCTCCTTTCCCATCATTAGTATAGTATGAGGAGGAGGAATAACATAGAATGGGGGAAGATTTGTTCTGAACAGTGTTGCAAAGGTGACTTTCTCTGGCATTCCCACAGGTGAGGCTGGGACAGCAGAACAAAGGTCTCAGATTGAACTCGTCTCATTGTACCCTGAGCAGACATCTGGTATCTTATTTTACCTTTTATAGGCATCAATATTTCCAGGTGTTTGGAGTTACTTTATCACTAATTACAGAGATATTTATGACAGATCATTGACAACTGGCACTATGTTCTGATGACTTGCATCACTTAACCGCGTGCAAAGGAGGAGTGCCGGAAGAGCATGGAGATTAGACATGCCCCACACTGGATCCCAAAGAAAGGATCCACTGCAGCTCCCCAAAGGTAGGGAGGATGGGTGGACTTTAATAAAAATAATATAAAAAAAATAATAATTTGTGTGTGTGTGTGTATATATATATCACTAAATGTGTGTGTCAAATCAGTGTGAGTGTGTGTCGGTGTTGTCAAATCACTGAGTGTGTCTGTCATTGATTGTGTTGTGTGTCTCAGTTTCCTCTGTGTGTAAATGTGTATCAGTGTATAAATGTGTGTATCAGTGTTCTCTGTGTGTTATATGTGTCAATCAGGGCCGCGGCACCTGGGGCTGGGCTGACAGCCCTAATCATTGCTCAGACTCCTGTGATCCCGGCCGGTCATGTGTGAGCTTTGCGTCTCCATAGAGCCCAATGGGAGCAGGGGGAGCCAGGCGGCCGGCACAGCTCACACATTGTCGGCGGGGATCATAAAAAAAATTGCGGGGGGGGGGGGGGGATGGCGGAATTACAGCAGGGCGGGGCTTAGCTTGTGGCGGGGCGGAGCTTACTGTGCGGCGTGGGCCTAGCTAACTGCAGCATGGGAAGCAGGAAGGAGTCCCTGCTTCCCCAACAACCAGCCTCCAGGATCTCCATGCAGGAGATAAGAAGGAGGTCAGTGTGTCTGTGTGTGACTGCCTGTGAGTGTGTGACTGTGTGACTGTGTGTGTGTCTGTGTGTGTCTGTCTGTGTGTGTGTGTGTGTGTGACTGTCTGCCTGTGTGTGTGTGAGGCTGTCTGCCTGTCTCTGTATGTGTGGATGTTTGCCTTGGTGTCAGTGACTGTCTGCCTCTGTGTGTGTGTGTGTGTGTGTGTGTGCGCGCGCATCTGCTAGTGAGGGAGCCTCTGTGTGTGTGTGTGTGTGTGTGTATGTGTGTGCCTGCTAGTGAGTGAGCTTGTATGTGTGTCAGTGAGCTTGTCTGTAGGGATCATATGTGTGTGTGTGTGTTAGTGAGCTTGTCTGTAAGGAGCATGGGTATGTCGGAGCCTGTCTGTGGTGAGCATGTGTGTACAGTGAGCTTGTCTGTTGTAAGCATGAGTGTGATCGTGAGCCTGCCTGTAGTGACCATATGTGTGTCAGTGAGCTTGTCTGTAGTGAGCATGTGTGTGTCAGTGAGCTTGTCTGTAGTGAATCTGTGTGTTAGTGAGCTCTTCTGTAGGGAGCATGTGTGTGTCAATGGGCTTGTCTGTAGGGAAAGTGTGTGCGCATCAGTGAGTTTGTCTGTAGTGACCGTGTGTGTGGGACAGTGAGCTTGTCTGTAGTAAGCTTGTGTGTGTATCAGAGTTTGTCTGTACTAAATTTGTGTGTGTGCCAGTAACCTTGTGTCATGCCAAAAGCATGAGTTGGTATTTGATGTGTGTTTATATACGTTAAGAGTTGTTTTTTTTGTAAACCTTGGGATGACATTTATTGTGGTCTTTGATCTTGCACCAGGCCTAGACCATAAAACATCTAGATAGCCATCACCAGAGCTGGACACAAGGAATTTCATAGAGTGGGCAATAGACTGCCAGACCAGCCCCCTCTGATCCCCCCCCAGGGGTCTGCCCACTGAGAAACAACTAGTTTAGATATATGAGGGTGTTGGACTATCCAGGGAGGTCAGTTATTCATTTTTCTTTTGTCAGTAACTTCTAGGAGATCTATACCATCTAAGACTCCCACAAGAATTCTATATGGGGTAAATATATGTAAGGAATTTCTTGTGTTTTCTCCTATTTTATTTTATGTACTGTTTTGCAATTTGTTATCTGTATATCATTTATTTCTGCATTTTGTACTCAGCACTGTGAATCCTTTTTGTCAGATTAAATGTTTACTTAATCAGCTTGTGTCTCTGTTCTCTATGAGCTTCACTCTCCAGAGGAAAGCTCAGGTAAACACGTTACCAAAAAGGGTTAACTATATATGTTTTATCAGTAAAAGTAGAACTGTGATACTATAATTCTCCTGTGTGTGGGGTAACCTAAGACGCCCGGGTTTAAAAGTCTTGGTGGTGGCAGTAGTACTAAGGGGATAGTGTAGAAGGGATTGCAGGGGTTAATTGAGTGGTTGCTGGGACTAGCAACAGGTAACCAGGGGTCTGGTGTCATTAACCCTGTCACTTCCACACTCTCCCCACTGTCTCGGCTGGGCCTATAGCCCACGCACGTGACAAACTGGCGGCAGCTAGTGGGATATATTTAGAGATTTTTAGTGCTTGCTAGATTTTACCTGTAAAGGGGGTCTTAGCACTAAAAGAAATTGCATACTTGTTTTTGTGTAATTTCCAAAGACCAAGCTCAGTGCTGATTTAAAATACATACAAAGTGCAAAACAGTTCTCCCCTTCCATCTTTTGTTTTTCTTTCTCTATCCTATTTGTGAATATGGAGGCCTATCGCAAACAATCAAAAGAGGCCTTGGAATTGTTGTGCCAAGAAAAGAATTTACCAACTTTTGGCAAAAATAAGGCACAACTTATTGCTGACCTTGTGGAGGCTGACAGCCATATTTTCCAGCCAGAGACGGACACTGAAAGGGTTACCGAGCTCCCTACTACAGGAGTGTTGCTTACTGAAATGCCTGGTGGTTGTACCCCTCAAAACATTAAGGACATTTGCTCAACTGATTTATTTCGGCAACTGATGGCTGCAAATCCTCAGGAGGCCCTGCATGTGATGATCCAACAGCAGGCTGCAGAAAGGGAATCTGCAGAAAGGGAGGCACAAAGGAGACATGAGCTGGAACTTGCTAAACTGCAATTTACCCTTCAGTCCTCACTGAACAGCAATGCATCAGAGTCCAGCACACGTAGGCTCCGTAAGGATGATTTTCCTTCCCTCGAAGAAGGGACAGATTTGGATGTATTTTTAAAAAGTTTTGAGAAAGTATGCAGGCAGCATCAACTACCCTCAGACCAGTGGGGCAGATATTTAACTCCACAATTGAAAGGGAAAGCCTTGGATGTGTTTGTGTCCCTTCCCCCAGAGACTGATAACAACTATGAGGCAATCAAATCTGCATTGCAAAAAACTTTTAACCTTACTCCTGAGTCTTACAGGAAAAAGTTTAGGAGTATGCAGCAATGCCCATCATCCAGCTGCATTCTATATGTTGCACAATTAGAAACCACGTTCCGGCAATGGGTAACAGGAGTACAAGCTACTACCTATGAAGCCCTTAATGACTTAATGGTCCTGGAGCAGTTCTTGCAGACCCGAGCCCTAATGTACGAGAGTGGATTTTGGAAAGAAAGCCAAAAAATGCTAGGGCTGCTGCAGAACTGGCAGATGACTATGCCGACATCCATGCACCCACATCCAGGCGTGGACTTGTGTCAGCTGCTACTTCGACCTGGAGAGAAGCAACAGTTCAATCACCACCTATAAGATCTGCAGTGAGAACTTCACTGCCGACTGCCAGCGTAGCCAGGGCTATGTCAAGTGAGTCAGATGCCCGCCGTTGTTTTCGATGCAACCAGATTGGTCATCTGAGCAGGACTTGCCCCACTAGGAATATGCCCTCACCAGTCCGTGGAGGGGCACCATCAGTATTGCTTGTGGGTGGGTCTGTGGGGAAACGAGAGGATAACCTGCAGAGTGTAATTGTGGGTGACAGAGTGACCATGGGGCTGAGAGATTCTGGAGCTTCCTTCACCCTGGTGCGACCTGAAGTGGTGAATACGGAGGACATAATCCCTGGAAGAACCATGTCCATCAAAGGAATTGGGGGTGTACGCCCCGCTGTGCCCTTGGCAAGTGTGTACCTTGATTGGGGTGCGGGAAAAGGTTTGCGGGAAGTGGGGATTTCAGAGGATATCCCTGTTAATGTTCTGTTGGGGAATGATTTGGGCAGGATGCTCTGTCACTATGCTCCAGCGGACACTGTTTGTGAGCCAGAAGGGCTTACTGCTCCACCTAAGGTATTGTGTGAAACTTTGGGAGACATTGTGAAGTGTGATTGCTGGGAGGGAGAGCAGGGTGTGGATAAATATCTACCTGTAACTGAACCAGTGATGTCTACCAAATGTGAGATAGGGGTGAGTAGTGATGTGCCTGTATTAAAATACTGTGAGGCTGGGATGTCAGAGAGTAAGGGGGAGGAGGAAGGTGAGAGCCAGGGATGTGTACCACTAGTCGCAGTGGTAACAAGTCAGCAGTGGGTCACGGCTGCAGAGTCTGAGGGGCTATGTGAGATTGCGAGAGGATGGCCTGCCTTGGAGAAGAAATTATGTGAGTGTGTGCAAAATTCTGTATCTGATCAAGGGGGGTCAAATGTGTCCTGTGAAAATGTATGTGATGTGGTGGGTGAAAATGTGAAGGGACAGCAAGGCTATGAGGGAGGGCAGAGGGTGTGTGAGCTTTACTCTGCGCCAGACTTAGCCAGTTTCCAAAGTTCGGTATGTGTGATGACCCAGAGTGAAAGTGAGGGGCACAGACAGACTCAGCTTGTGGGTCCAGGAAGGATGGCTGCAGGGAAACATACTGTTGGAGGAACCAGGAACCTTGTCAGTTTATCACAACTCACGCATACACCTAAGCAACTTTCTGATTGTGAACCAAAGGTTCAGAGTCTGATAGTGCAACAAGGCCAGCAGACAGACCGCAAAATGAAAGAGATGATGGATGTTGATACAGCACATCTATCCTGGGAGTGTTCTCTTTCTGCTTTTTTGTGGGCTTACCGGGGAGTGCTGCAGAAATCCATTGGTTTCTTCCCCTTACAACTACTACATGAGCTCAGTGGGTGTGGTTTAAGGGATGTTACCAGAGATCGATGGGGAATTGAAACAGGCAAATCAGGCATGTTTGAGGATGTAGCTGTGGTTTGGACTGATCACAACCTGCTGCAGGTGACAGGTAACACTGATAAACTGCTCCATTGGAGCCCTATCCTCCAACAGTATAATTTCACTGCCCATCACAAAAAGGGCCGCTTGCATGGGAATGCAGATGGCCTGTCTCGGCAACTAGAGGGTTAATGGTAGACAGATAAATCAGCCTATGGCTGAATTTTTCTGTCCACCATCTTAAGGGGGAGGTGTCATGCCAAAAGCATGAGTTGGTATTTGATGTGTGTTTATATACGTTAAGAGTTGTTTTTTTGTAAACCTTGGGATGACATTTATTGTGGTCTTTGATCTTGCACCAGGCCTAGACCATAAAACATCTAGATAGCCATCACCAGAGCTGGACACAAGGAATTTCATAGAGTGGGCAATAGACTGCCAGACCAGCCCCCTCTGATCCCCCCCAGGGGTCTGCCCACTGAGAAACAACTAGTTTAGATATATGAGGGTGTTGGACTATCCAGGGAGGTCAGTTATTCATTTTTCTTTTGTCAGTAACTTCTAGGAGATCTATACCATCTAAGACTCCCACAAGAATTCTATATGGGGTAAATATATGTAAGGAATTTCTTGTGTTTTCTCCTATTTTATTTTATGTACTGTTTTGCAATTTGTTATCTGTATATCATTTATTTCTGCATTTTGTACTCAGCACTGTGAATCCTTTTTGTCAGATTAAATGTTTACTTAATCAGCTTGTGTCTCTGTTCTCTATGAGCTTCACTCTCCAGAGGAAAGCTCAGGTAAACACGTTACCAAAAGGGTTAACTATATATGTTTTATCAGTAAAAGTAGAACTGTGATACTATAATTCTCCTGTGTGTGGGGTAACCTAAGACGCCCGGGTTTAAAAGTCTTGGTGGTGGCAGTAGTACTAAGGGGGATAGTGTAGAAGGGATTGCAGGGGTTAATTGAGTGGTTGCTGGGACTAGCAACAGGTAACCAGGGGTCTGGTGTCATTAACCCTGTCACTTCCACACTCTCCCCACTGTCTCGGCTGGGCCTATAGCCCACGCACGTGACACCTTGTCTGTGTGTGTCATTGAGATTGTCTGTCAATGAGCCTATTTGTGTGCATCAGTAAGATTGTCTGTGTGAGTATGCTTTACTGTATAATTTAATTACCCTAAAAGAACTAATATTTTGAATTAGAAGAATAAATGTATCAATAATATATATATATATATATATATATATATATATACACTGTTGCATCACCAGGGCTCCAGTATCCAGGCAATTGAAATAGTTGGCTGCACTCTCAGATTTCCTTAAAACTTAACTTTTATTGAAATAGTTAAGAGAAGATCAATGTTTCAGTCCCTCTTGTGGATTTTCGTCATGATCCTGATCCTCCTTACATATACAATATTCACATTATGTCATTTATTTTTAAAATATCTTTTACTAAATGCAATCAGGCTTGTTCTCCAACTTAAATATCAGTGTCTACACGTTTCACTTTATAAAGTTTGAAATATATTTGCTTGCAAGCCAAGATTACTGGGAGTTTGAGTGCAGGGCTTATTTCTCTGGACTGGAAGCGACCTGTTTTGCCTATCCTTTTAATTACCAAGCTAAACTGGAAACTAGCCACATTTATTTTTGGCAACTAACAATCAAGGCATTTAAATGATTCTGCTAGCTAGGTACTATCATTTTTATTTATTGTTTTAATATAGGAATTATTCAGTCTGTTGAACTATTCTTCTAATAACATTGTCCTTAGAGTCCAGCTGCCACTTCTATACATCGTACAATGAATAGAGGGGGCCAAGGGTCACTGTCACTTGGTTGCAGGACTTTACGAGGCCATATATGGAGCTAAATTGCTTTTCCCTTTCCACATCTCATTCCCTGCCCATTATACATATCGCACCTTTAGTACGCCCAACCCATTTACCAAAAAAGGACATCCTAAGAAGCCTAGTCATAATAGTAAACATGGATCATAAGATCTCTCTTCATTGTACTAAGGTTGCCCCAGGACCCTTCTGACACCACCATGCAGTGCATTGTGACAACGCAAAAAAGAGAGGTCATCTCCCGATCCAGAGATCTCTGCCCTTACACAACCTACAAGGGAAAGACAAGAGTATGCTTGTTTAAAATAGCATTTTCTGCCCTTTCAAATATGGGACCACTAGTCCCCCCTAAGATGCAGGCGTTTACCACAAAATCTGTGATCACCACCCACATGTGCAGAAAATAAGGAGAGGGGCCTCTAATTGAGCCCCAATCGCCCTCTGTTTAACTTAAGGGGACACCCTTTCAAATGAGGCATGTGTTGTCCGTTTAGGATGCAGGTGATGACTGTTACATACAATTTAGCAGACATTAGGCAGTTAGAGTAGGACCTGACGAATATGGGGTACATTGACGTGGCAGGCTTATGCAATAGATGATCATATAATGTAACTAAATCCCCGTTGTTTTTTGCCTAGATTAGGTGTTTTTAATAAAACTTACAAAATCTGTCAGCACAAAAGTAGCTGTTTAGTAGATGGGGAGTGCGCTGGTTTCTCATTTCTTACTGTTACATACAATGATCTCCTACCCCACTCTCCATGGAGGTCTTTAACTGAGGTGTTATGAAGCTCGTTAAGAGCTCCTGTCTGTCTCGGCTCCTGGTGATCCTGCCGGCGTGGTTACACATAAAGTAAGCAACCACACGACAAACAAATTTTACTTACCTTGTTCGCGGCAGATCACTGCCCGACCTCCCTCTGTTCTGGTCCCCAGCGGGTGCGACGCTCTTAGGTTCGGATTTTTTAATAATAAAAACGTACCTTCGCCCACACCAAAGATGGCACCAACGTGCGTGGTCACGTCATAGATGCACACGCACTTTTGAGGTCAGAGGTCGGAGGCAGCCAATTACAGCCAAAGGAGGGGTATTTAAACCCAAATTACCTTTCGGTCAGTGCCCTGTCGTGGTTTCCCTTAGTTGGTGATTGGTGAAATTGGCTCTTTTAGAGCCACTGTCACCTCTATATAAAACAGAGGGATATAACCCTATTTTAGAAAGGGTTAATCTACCTAATGTGCTTACTGTATGATGAGATGTGGGGTCAAAACAAGTCTCTATCTTTCTAAATCAGTCTACAGACAAGCCTCAGAAAGGTATTTTATAAATCTCAGCTTTGGCGCTGAAGGAGTCCTTCTACACAGCTTTCCTGGAAACTTGGCACCAGCCCAGCCAAGTACCCCATGCCAGGCATACAATCAAAACAAATACAATGCAGGTTGGGTGTTCAGTGACGCTCCCAATTAAATGTCAACTATGAGTATCTCAGTCACATTAAGAGATTTACATTCACCCATGCGGTTGATACAGATAATTCCAAAACGTCCTCACACACACAAAAATAAAGTTTGGAAAACAGAACTCTAAAAATTGCATTTTTTAAGGACTAATAATATAATAGCGATGTTTTTCATGTGCCACACAGAATCTAGGAGCAGATTTTCTTTAACAATTTGGCTAAACCATGTGAGATAATTAAACAGATATGGAATATTTACGGCTATGTCTTTTTTGGAGGGCAATATGTGCGGGGAAGTAATTCCTCTTACTAAATAGCGTGGTGTTTGGAAGTTGGTTCTGGGTCAATGTAGGTTTGGGTAATCCATCTTACCGGGGCCGTGTTTGAGACTTTGGATGGAGCAATACAAGGCTCCCCTAGGATGTAAACCTGAACAAGTGGGATGGGAGATTTTAATCTTACCTTGAAATGAGATCCGTTCAACAAGGGTGTGATGTATTCCGAGAGAGATACAATTACGGAATAAAGAGAATTGCACGCTTGTGGTATTATATAATACTTATCTCCTCCTACTGGCTACCTTTGGAAACCACACCCTACCAATAGTAATATATGACACCAGCGAGGACTTGCAACATTTATCCCAGAGGTACATATTAGGTTAAAATTCCTTGTTTCAGAGGATCTACCTCCTAGGGTGAGGATTCTATGCTCAAAAAAAAAAAAAAAAAGCGAACAATACGTATTCATCAAACTGCTTGCATTTTGTTTGGAATACGATTATAAAATTTACCCTAGAGATACTTCATAGAATTACAAGCATGAAGACGATAAGGAGAAGTAACTCTGCAAGAAGAAAAAAAAAAAAATTAGAGGAAAGGGTAGATGTGTTTATGCCAGGGGTCACATGTCTGTGCATATATAGCTCAAGTCTCGAGCGTTGTACAATGACACAGGGAGGGGCATGAAGATTATGTTCTCCTCTATACATGGTTTCCAATAAACTGTTTTCTATATATTTATTGCACTTTATGAACCGGGACTGAGACACGTCAGCAGAAAGGAAATAGTTTTTTCTAATTTTCCATGTACAGCAGTCACCTTCTCCATTACCATTTGAATTTTTTTTCTTTTATTTTTTTTAAGCATATGTCCAGTCCAATCTTGTAGTAACTTCATTCATGAAAATACATTAAGAAAACTACTCTGCAATCTTACAGAACTTTTTAGCAGAAAACTGCAGTAAGTTTGTTTCCTTGAGTGATGCTGACAGTGTGCAAACGCCAGATCAGATCTTGCCCTAATATTTCATCTATTGGGGCTGACAGATTTTTGTAAATAATCAATGCTGCTACAATAAGTAGAATGAAGGTGAGCCAGGAAGCTCATTAATAGTTATAAAAATTATAGAGTTATTTTTTTATTCTTATTAAAATATAATTATATAGTGATCATACTACTCCAGCTGCAGATGACTTATTATAAAGGGGTTATGTAGCTCAGGACTTTACTCCTATCAAGCTCATCCAGAAACTAAGCATGATGGGAATTGTAGTTGCAGGGCCTGCCTGCTCCCTACACCATACAAATGCTGCGGACCGCTACTTGTCCTCCACCAACTGGTGGGAAAAAGACTAAACAAAATTAAAAATAAATAGAGGTTTTAAGAATACAGAACACCACGTGACCCCTCACCTGGGCCCAGAGCGCTCACCTTGACAGCTGCAGATACGCCCAGGTATTCTCAGTGTGCGCGCATGCGCGGCTTTCCGGTGGGCGGGGTTTCAATGTTATAGTGCTATCTGGGTGGGGCGGTATAGAGCAACGACCAACAACCAACAATCTTTGCATGCTCAGGGTGCGGTGCTATATGATGACCTACAGTGGCCAGCGTGGTCCATAACATGTGCCAATAAACTTACTAAGACCTCTTGCAAGCTGTAATGCAATTGGTTCTTACTATTTTGGGGGCAGTGAAGAGAAGACCCCCTGTAACATAATGGCAAATATTATAAATTATATCTATAATTATTTACAATGGGTTTTCTTCACCAGTCAAAATAAAAACCATGAACCAGCAATGATTATATAACAATTTCCACAGCTTAATTTACACAAAACATGAAAAGTGATGCTCATTGACATGAAAAATTAATATGGTCTTGACTGGAAATTGGAAGGGACCTTGTAGTAATTATATTGAATGAAAAAAAAGGTATTATTCAATATATCTATTTTCCAAGTTTAATGACAATACAGATAGCACTTTATCCCTCGGATCAGCCTTGGGAGATATGAAAGCTTAGAAAGGAAGTGGCCGTGGAAAACGCTTGTATGTTACCCAATTCACCTCACAGGTGAAGTAAGGAAGTATGTGCCCCCAAAATGGGGTGACATCCACCCATGCCAACAGGCGCAGTTACCAAATTGTAAGTGTTTACTGTTGTGCTGTTGGAACGTATGTATTTCTAAACTTTGTTGCAACCTTTGGTGAGTCAATTCAACTAAGATACCTTGGTAGCTTGGGTTTATCCACAATCTATGAAAACAGCAGGAACTAATTATCAAGTGGGTACTAAGGGCTGCCTTCTGAAATTATGTGGTCTCTTGGAAAACCATTGCCCGGTCTCCCTAACAAACACTTACAGATACATGCACACACTGAAAAACATTCACAGACACACTGAAATAAACTTACCAAAGAGCACAAACATAAATATGTTCACATTCACCACATACAATGAAGCCTTGGCTTAGCTGCCCTGCTGTTTGCCTAATTTTGTTTGTCTAAATAGGTTGGCTTCACTGACATCAAGTGGTAACCTAGCTGCAGTCTATTCCTGCTGAGGAAGCATAGGTGGTCGACGCGGAACTCATCCAATTTTCCTATAGTTCGAATTCTTTTTTTTCCGTCTGTTTGTAGACCTGTTTTTTTACTGTGTGAATAGATTGGCCTGCAATAATGGGGTCTGTTTTACTGCCATGCATGAACAAACAGGTCAATAAACAGCACTTATCAAAACTTTCTGGTGAAAATTTGTGGGATATTATATGAGTGAGTCTATTTTTACTTTTTTTGTTTACTGTTAAAATGAGGGATACAAGTACCAGCACCGCTGTTTCCCAGGAATACAATTAATCTGAAAGAGTACAATCATTCCAGTATGGATTATCATTTTTGGTAATTATGGGGTAGCGGTACCAATAGATTTCAGTGCATGCGCCATTCTTGCCTTGTTACCAACTATTTTTGTTGAGAGGAGGTGACTCACATCCTTCCAGTGCTGCCCCATGCAAACAAAAGGAAACCATCAGGTAAGGGGCATAATCTGAAAAGAAAAAAAGTAAAAAAGTTGTGCCAGATAAAACCAATAAGTAAAAAGAAACAACAAGTAAAATTAGTCCAAATAAAAGAGAAAGTCCAAATAAAATAAAATAAGTCTTAGCTGAATAGGTCTTCCTTGCATAGGGTAGTCTATACAATGGTGAATCAGGAACAATGTCCTCGCTGTCCTTCCTCAGGTGGATCCAATGATATAAAAAGATAAAACAGATGACCAAAATAGTGTAATATGTTCACTAGGGTATAGCAGATGATATAGAAAGAATAATATTGCACTCACATTTAATAGAGCTATAGCTAGCTCTAGTATGGAAAGCGTACAGCGGTTTTGATCCCCGCTTGTAGGATATGATGCAGCTTTCTTTTCTTCAAGGGTAAATGCCACTCAAAGAGAATAAAAAGACACAACCAATAGTGCTCTCTGTATAAAATAATTTAGAAATAAAAATAAATAAAATGGTACTCACAAGGTTGGAGCAGGCTGACTGCTCCTTGACGATAGCGTAGGTGGAATAATTGCCACCAAGGATTGCTTGGAGTCCAGAGGTAGAAAATGCCAGGTAAAAGTATAAAGTATAAAGTATATAAAGATAATTGGCACAACCGAAAAAGTGACCAAAAAATCTTTAATTTAACGCGTTTATGGACATTTATATTGTGTATTTTACTTATTAAAGATTTTTTGGTCACTTTTTCGGTTGTGCCAATTATCTTTATATACTTTAAGTCTTATAGGATTCTCCATAGATATCAGTGTGGTACTTGGGCATGTTGTGTTTTTGTACGGCACTGACACGGGCTCCTGGCAGATGAGCTGAAAAAGATCGATCGGACGGGCATGGCGGCAGCCAAGTGAGAATTCAAATTGATGTTAAGGGCAAAGTAGCTGAAGTGGAAGAAGAGCTGATTTAGAGAACTTTTCCAGTTCAGCTACTTTGACCTTAAATTAGAAATTCAGTTTTCACTTTAAGGAATAAACCCTACGTTTAAAAAAAAAAAAAGTGGGCTACAGGAGAACCTAAATATTTCCAAACAAAAGTAAAACCGTTTCATCGAATCAGATCTATTCACATTGTAATAAGTGTCTGGCATAATTAGATCTCCCCTTTATGCATGACTGGGGATATAGCTGAACAAAGCATGGCATCTCATAGGGTTAAAGGAACACTATAGTGTCTTTCCCTGTAGTGTGGTTGTCCCCCCACCTCGATGTATAAAGTGTTAAAATACCATTTTACATTTATTGGTTTCCAGTGCAAAGGTCTCCTCCTCCAGCGAGGTCACGCTGATGGGGCAACCTAATGAGAGAAATTCATAATAGAAAAGTATTAAATCAATGTCTTCCTATGGGGATTCTAAAGACGCTGGACATCTTCATGCAAAGTGTGATTACTTTCAACGTCATTTCATGGAGTTAAACTTCGTTAGAATGCATGAAGCGATCCTGGCCCGCAGTTTAGTAATTTCTTACTTTTTAATTTCTCTTCTTCGTTTACTTTTCATATTGTTTAAAGTGATGTTCACTACTCTTGTTGAAACAATAACAATGGATGAAAGTAGCAATGATGTTAATACCTGAGACATTTCTCACATGTACTTTGGCATGTTTGTGTACTAAACTCACCTCTTGGAACGCCATTGAGCTCTTGCACGAGCCAAATCTTTCACATTGTCTACTCAAAACCATTGCAAAAATAAAAAATTAAAAAAAAAAAAAAAAGAATGCATGAAGCGCCTCTAGTGGCTGTCTTGATTTCAGTTTTTTTTTTAATAAAAATTGTACTTTTTTAAATAAAAAATTGCAATAAACAGAAAGCAGTGTTTCATTCTCGGCTCTCTTTGCAGATGTTTATACTGATAATTCGGTAGTTTACTCTTATCAGAGTAGCAGCCTTTCTATTGGTGAACGTTTTGATCACTAAAATGAAAACACTAAATAGCAGGTAATATTAAGGCTCGGTGCACAAATTTCTAAACTAAATCAAATATTGCCAATAAGTGAAAATCACAGAAATTGTGAAGCACATATTCACGCCTCTCTGCCATGCTACCTTTTTGCACAAAATTAGAAAGGCTTCATATATACCTGTTTAGCATCCGCTCCTAAGCAGGCTGGTTAATATTAAACCTTCCAATAATGTAGGACTGCAACACCCTTCATGCTCAGGCAGACAGTGTCATGTATGAGTTAAATAATTATTAGGATTCTAATAGGAATTCTGTAGGAGTTTGATAGACAAATACCAAATATACCATTTGTTTACTTCACAGAATAAATGGAGGTAATGATAGAGTGTTTTATGACAGAGCTCTCCGAAGTTGAATAACTTGCAAGACCTCGCAAAGAAGTCCTATTCAGCATGTGTGCCTGCAGATTCCTGATGGATCAAGTAACTGATCTCTACCAACTTGAGCTCGGCAGAGTTATGAAATAATAGACAGGTAGCTGGCAAGAGACTGCGTGGGAAGGGATTAGAAGAAAGGTGAGTAAAAGGTGAGTTAACCCCGTGTGTACGGGAATGGCTTTAACACATAATATACATGACACCCTTGAGGTGAATCTGGGGTAAATTAACCCCTTAAGGACACATGATGGAAATATTCCGTCATGATTCCATGTTATTCCAGAAGTTGTGTCCTTAAGGGGTTAAACTCCCAAAACCACCACTTACTACATGCATAATATTGGGGTAAGGAATTAAACAGGTCTACAATTCTCTCATTGATTCTATAACCTTGCAGTTCAGTACATATACAAAAACTAATTCACATGACAACTCACACTGTTCAGACCAATTATATTGTGAATGGTGGATCCTGATTGACAAATACAAAAAGGGTGAATTGGGGTACACCCAGAACACGCATTTTTCAGCACTGGTGCTGCGGTAATTCCGTAACACAATCGCTTACTGGCCAAAAAACAAGTTGCTGAAATTATTATTACGTTGTTGTACCATACAAAAACTGGGGTTCCAAAGTTACTTCACTTTGGTGTATATTAACTAAACAGGGTGCCATACATATGGCTTAAAAAAAAAAAACATATATTCAGCTGAGCAGGAATATGAACACAAGCCAGCTTGTTATTTCGACTTCAAATGAATGAAAGGAGTCACACTGCTTTTTTAATGACATCATAAAATCACCATGGAAACCATAGTTATGTCATTACTACCGAAGGGCAATTGCCTGTGGGTTTCTCTAATAGGTCATTATGAAAAGGACATTTCCTGTTGATATAGTTATATAATGATTACCTCTTCACGGAGTTCTTTTTAAACTGTCCATCTTAGTGGCCTTTTTAGAGGGATCACATTACTCTATTTATTACAGCCGAGCACTTAAAGAAATTATTTGGGTTTTGTATCATGAAATGCAAGGAGTTTCACTAATGGAGTTAATTTACATTTGCTAAATTTAGGTTAAAATAATGGATTTGGAAAATGGTCTCCAACTCAACCTATAGACATAGCTTGGATATTTTAGACCTTGTTTTAAAATGTTTTTTTATTCACCAAAACCAAGAAGGCACACACTAGCACGTCTAACACGGTGTCAAACACCTAGATATGTGTCAGGGTCTTACCTGAGGTGGGAGTCCGGTAGATTTGTGCTCGCTCTTGCAGATAAACACAGTCCAAGGTGATAAGGTTCGAAACCACCAGAACTGTGAATCTTAGACGATGGTGCAAAGGTGTCATGAAGTGGTCGTTACCAAATGATTCCCAAAAAGGGGCAGAGCTACAGCGTTTGGCATCAGAAACCCTGGCTAAGGGTTAGACAATGGTGGGCATAGACGATGGTGCAAAGGTGTCATGAAGTGGTCGTTACCAAATGATTCCCAAAAAGGGGCAGAGCTACAGCGTTTGGCATCAGAAACCCTGGCTAAGGTGTCTGAGGGTATGTAACTGAAGTGGTGCTCACTTGGGGAGGCAGGAATACCAGGTGAGTGGCATAGCGCAGAGGTATGTATGTTTACAAAAATAGAACTCCCTTCAAAAGTCCGGTACTCACATGACTAATGAGGTATCACAGTCTCTAGTACAAGGCATGTATAGCCCAAAGGGTTCCTCCATACTTTTATTTCACATGTCAGATGTCCAACTAGAGCTCTCTCCAGTCTGGCTGTAGCCATGCATGCTTGCAAGATACGGCATGGATTGTGAATGGATCCACAGAGCCTCCTAATGTCAGTTCAAAACCTACGCGTTTCGTATGTCAGTGCCTACTTCTTCTTCCAGGCGTAGAACGATTGGCCGGTGATCTGTTATATATAACACATTTACTAATTATCTCCCTCCTCTTATACTTGTACTTTAGAGGACTTTATTTCAGTATGTCTTATATTTTTAAAAGGACACTATGGTCACCAAAACCCATTTAGCTTAATGAAGCAGTTTAGGTGTATAGATCATGCCTCTTTAGTCTCACTGCTCAACTCTCTGCCATTTAGAAGTTACTAGCTACATCTTCCCTTTTTGTGAATGACACAGCCTGTATGAAAAACAACAAAAACATTATTTCATTTTTATTCAGATGTTAGCTTGCTTTAGAATCTCCTGCTCTGTAAATTGAAAAAAAAAAGAGAAGGAGATAAGACATTCCAAATTAAACAGAATTTACAATAAAGGAAGTGTAAACATTCGATTTTTACTTTACAGGAAGTGTATAGGAAGGCTGTGTAAGTCACATGCAAGAAGGTGTGACTAGGGCTGCATAAACAAAGTGATCTAACTCCTAAATGGCAGCGAAGAGCAGTGAGACTGCATAAGCATGATCTATACACCAAAACTACTTAATTAAGCTAAAGTTGTATTGTTGATTATAGTGTCTTAATATTAATGGGGTCTGCTCCTGTCTCCACTACCTGAACCACAGAGCCAAGTTCAGGAGAGCTAACAGAAGTCTCCTAAGTAAGAGGTTCCACCTCTCTGGCTGAGGTAGTAAAGTTGGGGATGGGCGCCTGGTGGAACCCAGGTAAGTAGTGAAAGGGTTCTAAGTACTGTTAAACTACTTACAATGTAGAAAGTCATGGCGCTTCTGGCACCATAACCACTGTAGTGTTTTGCAGTGCTTATGGTGCTTGGGGTGATCTTATGTACTTAGGTCAGTAGGCCCATAAAAACTTTCCATCAGGCCCTTATTCTGGTCCTCGGGGCAAGTTTAAGGGACAGAGAATATAGAAGAAACAGAGTGTGACTGGATCATTATGCATGTGTGTATGTGGCTACTAAGGTGTGTGAGTGACTAGTTATGCATACTTATACAGGATTAAAAATTCAAACTCGCCACTAGCCTTTGGTGAGTGAAAATTTAGTACTGGCAAATGAAAGTCAACCCTGGTGACTGTGCCATGGACCCTTCAGGCTGGCAATGGTGAGTAACAATTAAGATCTGGCTAGTAGCATAGGACTTGGAATTTTAAGCCCTATCTGTGTATATGCACTTGGGTAACTAGGTGCTTGTGAGTGTCTAATTATGTGTTGATGTTTACGTGTGTGTGGCTATGTAGGGTTGTTAGGTGTATGCATATGTGCATCTTTAGTGTGACTTTAGGAGTTGTGGTGTTTTTTCTTTATGAGACGAGGTGTCAAAATGTTTCATTTGAATTTAAGAACCTGACTATTCCTTGTATATCATTGTATATTAATGATCACTGAAGACCTGCTACAATAAAAAAAAATGTTGTTGCTTTTATTTTAGGATCAATAAAACATTCACATATCAGTTAAATCTTCAAATCGTGAAACCTTTCAGTTTGGAAAGATACAATCTTCAGACGGCCACATAAGGCCTGGGATTCTTTTTGTCCACATCATAGAGAGCTTTGTGATAGAGAACAGATTGCTTGTTTGGAAATCACACCCTGCGTACAGCTTTCTGCGTTGGTGTACATGGTGTTTCTTTAGAGCCAGCAGCCCACTTGCTTGATAAAAAAAAAAAAAAAAAGAAATATGTTAAGCAAGGAAAGAGATAGCAGCTTGGAGGGACTCCTTCTGAAAGGTAGTGGGTGGCTGGTGTGGGCCTGTGTGCTGATTTCTCTGCATGGCTGCGCAGCAACAATGATTCTTTGGTTCAAATGTATGATTTAGTACTTACTCGGGCCATGCATTATTATTATTAACATATACATATATATATATATATATATATATATATATAGCACCTACGTACTCCGTAGCGCTTCATGATGTTATAAAGGGAGGAATGTCTGGGGCCTCGGGTCGACGCCATTCACCACAAGCTTAAAGCGACCAAAATCAACGAGGCGTCGGGCCGGGGCCCCCGCTCCTCTGCTCAGTTAATTGGTTAATGGTTTAACGTGATAATGTGACAATGTCAAAAAGTGTCGTCAATAAAAGTACATTTCAGCTTGTGACAATGTAGACAATAAGGTACGAACCGCACAATGTATTCTTATACTCGATTGTGCCATGTATGTACTATGCTATACAGCTAGTTTATACTATGCTATACAGCTAGTATATACTAGTTTTCCTAGCACTATAGTGCCCTGAGGGTGCCCCCACCCTCAGGGTCCCCCTCCCACCAGGCTCTGGAGAGAGGAAGGGGTTAAAATCTTACCTTTCTCCAGCGCCGGACGGGGAGCTCTCCTCCTCCTCTCTTCCTTCCTAGCGACGTCATCGGCTGAATGGGCATGCGCGGCAGGAGCCGCGCGCACATTCAGCCAGTTCATAGGAAAACATTTACAATGCTTTCCTATGGACGCTGGCGTCTTCTCACTGTATGTCCCAGTGAGAAGTGAGAAGCAGTGAGAAGCACGCAAGCTCCTCTAGCGGCTGTCAATAAGACAGCCACTAGAGGCTCTAGAGGCTGGATTAACCCTCAGTGTAAACATAGCAGTTTCTGTGAAACTGCTATGTTTATTAAAAAAGGGGTTAAACCTAACTGGACCTGGCACCCAGACCACTTCATTAAGCTGAAGTGGTCTGGGTGCCTATAGTGGTCCTTTAACAAACTTATACAATTATTGACAGGAAGGATAGGTTGACGAGGACCCTGCTCGAACGAGCTTAAAATCTAGAGGAGGTGAGGTATAAAAACACATTGTGAAGTCATTGTTAATGTATCTGTAGGTATTTTTAGCCCTGTAGGTACAGCAGGTTAAATATAGTTAGAATTAAACCAGTTTTTGATGTTTTTTTTTCCCCCCCACATATTTGATTCTGTTATTATACCTGCTATGGTCTGAGAACACTGAACAAGACAAACTATAAGGAAAATAGATTTGGTAAATTCCAACTTAAACCATCAAGTCAACAGCAGAATGCTTACTCAAAGTTCACAATTTTCACTGGCCTGGGGACTCTCTGAAAGGAAGCGTTTACATTAAAATTCCTGCAGGGACATACTATACACACCAGAAAAAAAACTACATTAAGCTGTGGTTATAGGGTCCCTTTCAGTTAAAGGATCACTATATGTGGCAAACCTAGCCACTTGAACTATAACTAGAGACTGTGCCTTTAAGGGTTGCCTACAGGTCTGGGGAGATATGCGCTTTATTGTTATGTATGTGCTTAATGTATTTGCTGCAGTGACTGTAACTATCTGTTTCGCCGAATGCAAATGGCGGTTTGTATGGGGATTCCCGTTCGTTTCACGAACGGCACTTTGGAGAGCCGTTCGTGAACCGAACGCGATACCCCCTAATAGCCCACACACTTAGAGGCGTGTGGCGCTAGTTAACCGATTGCAACATTGTTGCAATCGGTTATTAGAGGCTCTCCTGGGTGGCCGTCGTTCGACTACCGACCATGCGGCGGTCGGCCATCTTGGATCCTTTGTTCCTCAGCGGGTCCGTGTTGTCGAACGCATAGTATTACCAATAGCTATTCGACGGCACGAACACCGCTGAGCCTCCGGGACGTTCGGGAGTTTCAGGACCGTGTTCACTAAAAGTAATCGGTTCTTTTCGTATGTTTTAAAAGAAATGTGTTTTCTGTGCGGCGTTCGGTTATTTTAGCTGGGATCTGAGCGGCAATCTCACGAATGATGCGCCCAGACCCCAGCTATCTACCGAAGGACACAGACACACACACAGAAACAGACATACACACATATAGACACATACACAGATACAGATACACACACACATACTGACATACAGACACACACACTGACGTACATACATACATACACATACTGACACACACATACATACAGACATAGGCATGCGCAGCCTATTGCATTAGGGTGTGCACCCTAAAGCACAAACACACGCCGCGTGTATATGTATGTGTATATGTATATACATAGACACACATATATATATATACACACACACATACATACATACACTGCTGTGTGTGTGTGTGTGTGCTGTGAGAGGGTGGTTTAAAGGGTGTTGGGTGTGTAAGGGTGCTGTGTGTGTGTAAGGGTGCTGTGTGTGAGGGTGTTTGTTTGTGTGTGTTTGTTAGGGTCCTGTTAGTGTGCTGTGTGTGTGTGTGAGGGTGCTGTGTGTGTGTTTGTGAGGGTGCTGTTTGTGTGCTGTGTGTGAGAGGGTGCTGTGTGCTTGAGGGTGCTGTATGTGTGTGGGTGCTGTATGTGTGAGGGTGCTGTATGTGTGTGCTGTATGTGTGTAGGTGCTGTGTGGGTGCTGTGTGTGTTGTGTGTGTGTGAGTGCTGTGTGTGCTGTGTATGTGTGTGAGGGTGCTGTATGTATGTGTGTGGGTGCTGTGTGTGTGTGGGTGCGGCAACGCTCCGACCTTGCGATAGGAACCCGGCGGAGCTGCTGGTTGAGCTCCCCGGGTGCTCTCCTGCCTCCCTCCATGCTGCTGTGGGGAGGGAGGCTTAGAGCAGAGCCTGCGCTCGGATAGCGCTAGCTCTGCATGAGCCGACAGGGGAGATCCTGAGATTTCCCCTGCCGGTCTCAATCCATAGGCGTGCCGCGGGGATTAGGGTGTGCCCAAGCACACCTGGCACACCCCGTGCGCACGCCTATGCATACAGACAAACAGACATACATACAAACTGACATACAGACATACAAACTGACATACAGGCATACAAACAGACATACATACATACACGTAAATACATACTGACATAAATACATACATACATACATAATGGCATACATACACATACATACTGATATACATACATACAGACATACACACACACACAGATAGATATATACATGCACAGATACATACAGACATACTGACATACACACACACAGACATGCATGCATACTGACATACATACCGATAGATATATACATACATACATACACACATACATACTGACATACACACAGACATACATACAGACATATATACATACTGACATACAGATAGACACATACACAGAGACATACTGACAAACACACACAGACATACATGCATACTGACATACATACATACACACATACATACTGACACACACACAGACATATATACATACTGACATACATACATACATACTGACAAACAGACATACATGCATACTGACATACACACACAATGACATACATACTTGCAGACACATACAGAGACATACATACTGACAAACAGACATACAAACAGACATATATACATACTGACACACACACACACACACATACAGATAGACACATACACACAGACATACATGCATACTGACATACATACACACAGACCTACATGCATACTGACATACACACAGAGACATACATGCATACATACTGACACACACACATACATACATAGTGACAAACAGACATACATGCATACTGACATACACACACAATGACATACATACTTGCAGACACATACACAGACATACATACTGACAGACATACATACAGACATATATACATACTGACATACACACACACATACAGATAGACACATACACACATACATACATACATACATACTGACACACACACAGACATAGACACACACACCTAATTTATCAGCCACCCTCCTCTTACCTTTAAGTTGCAGGAGGTTGGCTGTGGGTGATGGGAGCGGATGGTGTCCTCTCCTGTCCTCCGCTCTCCTGCTGCTCTCCCCCCGCGCGGAGTAAGCTGGGAGGAAGTGACCGGCCGTTGATCATCAACAGCTTCTTCTCATCCTCCGCAATATCGGTCTATAAAATATTGCTCTCTCCTGGTGCTCCTCCTACCTCTCCCAGCGCTCTTTCAGTGTTTCTTTCTCTGGCTCTGCTTCTTCTCCCAACTCCTCTCTGTTGGTGTCCCCCAAGGTTCAGTCCTTGGTCCCCTACTGTTCTGCATCTATACTGCCTCCCTTGGTAAACTCATTAACTCCTTTGGCTTCCAATATCATTTCTATGCAGAGGACACGCAAATCTACCTGTCTTCTCCTGATCTCTCCCGTCCCTCTTGACTAGTGTCTCTGACTGCCTCTCTGCTGTTTCTAACTGGATGGCTGCCCGCTTCCTTAAACTAAACTTGACCGAAACTGAAATTCTGGTCTTTCCTCCCTCAAGTGTTGTTACTCCTGTGTCTGTCTCCCTCCAAGTCAACGGTGTTACCATCAGCTCCACCATGCAGGCTCGCTGCCTAGGTGTTCTCTTTGACTCCGACCTCTCCTTCAAGCCTCATGTTCAATCTATCGCCAAATCCTGTCATTTCCATCTCAAAAACATTGCGCGCATCTGCCCCTACTTAACGCTGATGCGACTAAGGTGTTGGTCCATTCCACTGTCCTTTCTCTCCTTGACTACTGCAATCCGCTTCTCAGTGGTCTTACGTGCTCCCAACTAGCGCCGTTACAGTCCATAATGAATGCGGAGGCGAGGCTCATCTTCCTGTCCGCCCCAGTGGTGTATCCTGGTTTTGTGCTGCCCTAGGCAGGACAAAACTCAGGTGCCCCCCGCCCCGCCATGCCTTCTAAATACACACACACATTCACTGACAGATACGCATACACTCGCTAACAGAAACACACACACACACTAACAGACACACTCACATTCACTAACAGACACACACTCACTGACACACACACTCACAGGCAAACACACTCACACTAACAGACACACACACAGTCAGACACACACTCACTAGCAGACACACACACACTCACAGGCAAACACACACTCACTAGCAGACACACACACACTCACTGACACACAGTCAGACACACGCATACACACTAACAGACAAATACAGTCAGACACACACACTAACAAACACACACACATTAACAGACACACACTCACTGACACACAGACTCACAGGCAAACACACTCACACTAACAGACACACACAGTCAGACACACACACTAACAGACACACACACACTAACAGACACACACACTCACTAGCAGACACACACTCAGTAACAGACACACACACACTCACAGGCAAACACACACTCACTGACACACAGTCAGACACACACATACACACTAACAGACACACACAGTCAGACACACACTAACAGACACACACTCACTCACTAGCAGACACACACTAACAGACACACACTCACTCACTAGCAGACACACACTAGTAGACACACACACTCACACTCACACAGTCAGGCACACACACACACTAACAAAACACACACACATTAACAGACACACTCACAGACATATACACACACTCACTCACATTAACACATTTTTTTTATTTACCCCCCCCAACCTTCTTACCTTTGGGAATGCTGGGGGGGGTTCCCTCTCTCCCTGGGGTCCAGTGGCTGCTGGGCGGGCGGCTGGCGAGGGAGCTCTTCCCCTGAGCGGTCGGCTCAGCTCCCTTGCGCGTTGCAGAGTGAGGATGGGAACCGGAATATGACGTCATCAACCCGGCTCCCAGCCTCACTCTGCGACGCGCGAGGGAGCTGAGCAGACCGCTCACGGGAAGAGCTCCCTCGCCAGCCGCCCGCCGCCCGGTATGTCAGTTAGCCGCAAGGCTGACAAAGCATTTGCCCTGGGCATTTGGGGGCCTAAAAAATGCCGCCCAAGGCAAATGCCTTGTTTGCCTTGCGGCTAAAACGCCCCTGGTCCACCCGCACCTCCCATGTCTCACCCTTCTGTCAGTCCCTACATTGGCTTCCTATAAGATATAGAGCTCAATTTAAAATTCTGGTTCTTGCTTTCAAATCGCTACACAATGCTGCTCCCACCTATCTATCCTCCCTTATACACAAGTATGTCTCGTCTAGGCCCTTACGATCTGCTGAAGACTTACGTCTATCTTCTGTCCGTACTCCCACCTCTGATGCTCGCCTTCAAGATTTCTCGAGGGCTGCACAGTTCCTGTGGAACTCGCTTCCCTCCTCCGTTAGATGCTCACCCAATCTCCACTCCTTCAAAAAATCGTTAAAAACCCACTTCTTCATAAAAGCGTATCAATTAAACTGTTTTTTTTTTTTTTAAATTCTTTATTTATGTGAGCTTGGTTTGGCACGTTAACAGCATCATACATAAACAGTGGTATGCTAATTTACAGCAGTACAATAAAATAGTGTTAACATTGATATTTCAAGGTTGTAAGCACATTTTCATATATCCATCATGTTGGGTGGCATACCTGGGGTCTGCTGGGTTGTGTAGGTTCATTATTGTGGGCGTTATACCCCTGGTGTACTACAAGTGTGGGAGTGTGTGGGTGCTCCCTGGTTCGGGTTGCGGTGTGTCAGTGTGTGTGGGAGCATGTATATGATTGTTGCAAGCGGTTTTAGGTTTGTGGGTCTGGATGCCTGTGTGTACTCGCCTGCGGAGCTCTTTCTAGTGCCAGGGTGGTTGGAATAACATGTGTGTAAGGCGCTCCGGTTTGAGCTGTACCCTGTGTGGCATCTCATCTAGCCCCCTATCCCTGGGGGTGTTGTGGGGTGGGCGGAGTGGCGCTAGTCGTGGTGAGCGCCTATATACTCTCGTGCGTGAGGTGTTGTTTGCCTTTCCTCTGGGGGTAGGGGCCCCGTATTTGCGGTTGCGTTAAGGTCAAAAAGGACGGACCCAAGTGGGGCAGTGAAGGAAAAAAAATAAAAAAAAATATAAAGTAAACAGTGGAGTTAGAAGTCTTTGAAGTTATCGCTCTGTGTCAAGAGATGTCTGGGACTTCCGTTTGACGGTTTCGGCCATGTCTTGCATATTGTCCCCGTGCCCAGTCAAGTGTCCAGAGTCTGTAGATCTCGTGTTGGCTGTCCAGGAGTAAGGCAGTCCTCTGGGTCCCCGCTCTCTGGTCGACCTGCAGTCGTGGAGGTAAGATGTGGGGGTTGTAGTCCCAGTGTCTTCAGGAAAGTGGGGGCCCCAGTTGGGGATGTGAGGTGGTGTGCAGTTCCATTGTGGTGAACGAGCAGGGCACCAGTGTTCCCCCATCTGTAGGTAATGCCTGCTTTGCGCAGCGCGGTGGTCACGGGTCCAAAGGTCTTCCGCTTTAACAATGTGGCTCTGGTGACATCCTGGAAGAAAGAGAGCTGAGTGCCTTCAAATACCAGCGGCGTTTTGCCTTTAATGGCGGTCATTATTTGTATCTTGTCAGGTACCGATGCTAGACGCAGAATGACGTCCCTGGGCATGCTGGATGGTAAGTGTGTGGAGCTTGTCACTCTGTATATCCCGTCGATTGATATTTTCTTGGCGGATGCCTGGGGTAGCAGTGTTGTGAGCAGTCTCCGCGTATAATGCGGTAGCTCCTCAATCGTTACTGTGGTGGGGACACCTCTGATTTTGATATTCTTCCGTCGTTGTTTGTCCTCCAGGGACATGATTTGACCTGCTAGTACGTTTTGCTCTGCTTGGAGTCGGTTGACTGAGTCCATGAGGGTGGACACTGTGCCCTGAATGTTGGTGATGTCTACTTCTGCAGTTCCAACCCTCTCCTGCACGCTTTGAATATCAGCCTTGACCTTTGCGACGTCGGCCGCTAGCAGGTTTTGTATGTTGGTCAGGAGGGCTTTTAGGTCCCCTTTAGTAGCGGGGGCTGAATCATCCCGGTGTTCCGGTGTTAGTGAGTGTCCCATCGGGGAGGCCGCCATCTCGTCCGGCTCTCCCCCGTCAGGTTCGGGTGCTCGGTCCGCAGAGAGTCGTTGCGCGGCCTGTACTGGCTCCGTTTGTGCAGGCCTGAGCCACATCTCCCCTATGTCTCTGCCTTGTATGTTGGGACCAGCTGTGGTTTTGTGAGAGCGGCGACCCATGACTGTGGCGCCTATGTCCCGACTGGATGGGTAGTCTTCCCAGAGGCTGCCGCCGAGGTAGGCCTCTAGGTCTTGGATTGGAGTTGCCCGGTAGGCCGCAGGTTTGCGCTTCTGCCTGGTCTGCTTGGGTGCCTGGAAAAAAGGCATCGATCGGTGCGGTACTTAGTGCCTGTCAGTACTGGGTACTTGTTGGGGCACGATAAAGCTTCGTTTGGCGGGTATTAGGCCGATTCTCTCCGGGTTCGGGAGAGCAGTTTTAGATGGCGTCTTAACAGGATGGCTGCCAGGCTCCGCCTCCATCAATTAAACTGTTAATAGCTCCTGACTGATTCCTCTTCTGCAACTGTCACTAGTCTAATACTATCCTTTTTGTGTCATTTTACCCCACTCCCTCTAGCATGTAAGCTCATTGAGCAGGGCCCTCAACCCCTCTGTTCCTGTGTGTCCAACTTGTCTGGTTACAACTACATGTCTGTTCTTCCACCCATTGTAAAGCGCAGGGGAATTTGACGGCGCTATATAAATATTATAATAATAATTACCAGGGGACCCAGGCTCCGCTCGCTGAATAGGCTCAGCTTATCACTGCCGTCCAAATATGGATGATGGATTGATAGTCCTAAAACGTTAATTCCTCTATTGTATTAACAATGAAAGAGCTGGGGACCGGGCTGCAGGTCACTCCTGTTTTTTTGTCACACTGCTTAAAAACTATTTGACCCAGAGCCAGGATGAAGATACCTTTAGTCTCATTGCACCATATCCACTACTTTGGCATGTAGTTGTTTTGGTGCTTAGACTGTCCCTTTAAGTTAAATGACATAAAGGGACAATGAATCCTGGCCGTGTAGGTTTAACAATTGTCTAAAACTGGGTCAGTCTAAAAAGCACATAATCTGAACCTCACTGAGCACAGAATGGTAATAGTTCACATAGTTCCTGTTAATGCATGTTTTAGGATTTTTTTGCATGTATTTGCAATTATCCACATTTTCTACAACAGATCTGGCAATAACAGGTAAATTAATACTGCTGCCAGGCCTGTTGTAGCAGATTTAGATAAATATAGTCGTGACATTAGTTGTCATTCACTATTTCAGAAATTAGGCCAAAATAGATGAATTAGAAAAAAATCTCCAAGTCACTTTTGTTTTCAATTTGGCTATTTTGCCCATAAATTTGAAATTCACTTTAAAATTCCCAGCAATTCTCACTTTTGTGAATAACCCTGTTAGCTTGAAATGCTGCACATGGAGATAATTCTGCAATTTTGTGCCATGGTTTAATTGCACCTCCGGCACACGTGACTTAGGCAGCCCAGAGTGCTGGGTCATGGGCCTTGCTTGGTCTGTGTAGCGGAGCTGCAATATTAAATTCCACGATCTCCGCTGGTATAAAAGGTTTCCCTACTGACATAGCAGGGGTAATACAGTAGGGGACTACATGGGGGACTTAACATTCTGAGCATTTCTCCCATCAGGCACTGCTGGACGGGAGGGATACTCCCACTGGAATATACCGTTAAGTGGATTATCCCTCCGTGCAGCAGAACCGGCATTTTACATTTAAATATATAACTTTAACAATACTCAGTCCATTTAAACGAACGGACGTTCGGTAGATAGCTGGGGTCTGAGTGCACATTTCGTGGGAATACCGCTCAGATCCCAGCTAAAACAACCGAACGCTGCACGAAATACACTTTGCCATGAGTTCGCCTAAAAGTACCGAACACCGATGGGGAACCATAATAGCGAAAGACCGGAGCTCCCGAACGGCCTGGAAGTCCAGCGGTGTTTGCGCCGTTGAGTAGCCATTTTCAGTTCCACGCGCTCGACGACCAAACACCGCTGGTGAGACAAAGGATCCAATATGGCCGACCGCCGCGTGGTCGGTAGCCGAACGATGGCCACCTAGAAAAGTCTCTAATTACCGATTGCAACAATGTTACAATCGGTTAATGAGCGCCACACGTCCCTTTATGTGTGGGCTATTAGGGGGTAGCTCATTCGGTTCACGAACAGCCAGTAAAGTCACTGTTCATCATGTTTTCTTTTACCTTTATTGTACCTGTGCGTTGTTTACCTGGGGAAGACATGGCAGCAGGATGCACTATGGGAAGAAGGAAGGCTGGCGGAGGTAGTGTTATGCTCTGGGCACTGTTCTGCTCGGAAACCTTGCGTCTTTGTGTTCATGTGATTGTTACTTTGACATGTGCCACTTACCTAGAGATTGTTGCAGACCACGTACACCTCTTCATGGTAATGGTGTTGCCTGATGGCAGTGGCCTCTTTCAGTAGGATAATGCACCCAGTGGAACTGCAAACACTATTCAGGAATGATTTGAGTAATATGACACAGAGTTCAAGATGATTTTTATTAGGTGTCCCACCATGGGGGGCCTTGTGGCAGGCACCCCTTTATTGGATTATTGGCAGGGCAGCAATAGCAAGAGTACACATGTCCCTACTCACGGAACAGCGGGTAGTGGTAGAAGGGAGCAGTAAAGTATTTTTAACTAAATAAAGTCGTTTGTAAGACCAAAATTATGAAAAGGAAAGGCTTTTTTGTAATTTTGGTCATTCAACTTCTCAGTAGAAACATAGAAACATAGAATGTGACGGCAGATAAGAACCATTCGGCCCATCTAGTCTGCCCAATTTTCTAAATACTTTCATTAGTCCCTAGTCTTATCTTATAGTTAGGATAGCCTTATGCCTATCCCACGCATGCTTAAACTCCTTTACTGTGTTAACCTCTACCACTTCAGCTGGAAGGCTATTCCATGCATCCACTACCCTCTCAGTAAAGTAATACTTCCTGATATTATTTTTAAAGCTTTGTCCCTCTTATTTAAGACTATGTCCTCTTGTTGTGGTAGTTTTTCTCCTTTTTTAAATATAGTCTCCTCCTTTACTGTGTTGATTCCCTTTATGAATTTAAATGTTTTTATCATATCCCCCCGTCACGTCTTTCCTCCAAGCTATACATGTTAAGATCCTTTAACCTTTCCTGGTAAGTTTTATTCCGCAATCCATGAACCAGTTTAGTAGCCCTTCTCTGAACTCTCTCTAAAGTATCAATATCCTTCTGAAGATACGGTCTCCAGTACTGCGTACAATACTCCAAGTGAGGTCTCACCAGTGTTCTGTACAATGGCATGAGCACTTCCCTCTTTCTACTGCTAATACCTCTCTCTATACAACCAGGCATTCTGCTAGCATTCCCTGCTGCAGATAGCTAGATAGCTCCCTAATCCTTATGTGGGATATCAAAAAGAAGCTATCTACTAACCAGCTCCCTAATTCGGTACCCTGAAATATGACTATCCCACAAGTGTACCAATTTAGGGAGTCATTTACTAAATTCACCCAAATTAATAATTACTGAATTTTCCATAAAAGCTATTGAATAAACTGACAAAATTCAGTCTGGACAAAGCAAATGTTTTTGTTTTTTTGTCCAAAGGTATTTGGACAAAAGAAAACATAGACGGGACGAAAGTCTACTAGCCAGTGCCTCACCAGCTACTCACCGTACATCCTTAGTTCAGAGATCTGGTGGAGTCCATACTTTGACGCATAAGGGCTGTTTTGACTGCACGAGGGGGACCTACCTGATATTAGGCAGTTGTTTTAATATTGTGACTGATCAGTGTATATAGATATATATATAGATGAAGGATAGATATAGATAGACATCAGTAGATATACATAGATAGATATAGATGAATAGGTAGAGATAAATAGAAAGAAATAGATATATAGAGACAGACAGGGATAGATAGATATATAGTTACATGTATATGTAGATAGATAGAGGTGGATATAGATAGCTATAGAAGATAGAAATAGAGAAGAATAGATATAGAAAGATAGGCTCAATGAAGTGGTCTACATGCAGTACCCCTGCCGTTTGCCTGCATTATAAAACATGCTTTTGCAGAATCTGCAATGTTGCAGGACTGAACACACCTCTAGTGGTTGTGCGCCTGATAGCCACTAGATGGTGCTTCCACAGTGAGAACCAAGGCAAACTTGTTTTTTGACGTTCAACGTCTTGGCAGAGAAGCATTGGATGAGAAGTTAGATAGACATCCGCAAGCATACTGACGAAAAAAGAGGTGGTTCAGGTGGCTACAAGGACTGGAAAAAAGGTAAGAAAAAAGTTAACTTTAAATTTTTATTTGTAAAATGGGGGCAGAGATGACGATGATGCCGGGAACCTTATGAAATAAAAGAAAAAAAGAAAATGATTTTTCACATTATAGATTCCCTTTAAGCTCATTTAAGCTGTAATGGGGGCAGAAGTGTCTGGGCACTGTCTTACTTTTAGGGATTAAACTATTTTGCAATAGTTTAACTCCAAGTTCGGGCTCTCCACCTATCACTGGTCATCTGGTCATTTTCCTTATACTGTGGAGGCCAAAAAGAAGTGGTAGCTGTGTGGGACACCAGAGCTCCAACATTGGGGTTAAGCCATTGAAAAAGGGTTTGACAGCACCGAGACACCCCTGCCCTCAATAACAACATCAATAAGCTTGCTAATATTGTTATGGGGATAGGAGTGGTGTGATTGCACTTTTGAATTCCCTAACTTAAACGGACTCCGGAGGACCACTTGAGTCACCAAGACCATTCCATCTAAATATATTGGTTCTGAGTGCAGTGGTCCTCTATTTAAAACCCTTCAATGTAAAACATTGCCAATTTTAGAAATGGCAATGTTTACCTTGAAGAGTTAAAGGGACACTATAGGCATCCAGACCACTTCAGCTCACTGAAGTGGTCTGGGTGTATAGTCTCAGGTTGTGGAGTGATAGCATGCCCCTGCAGTTTTTTTAATGTAAACACTGTCTTTTCAGAGAAAATGCAGTCTTTACATTACTGCTTAGGAACACCTCTGCTGGTAATCACTCAAACGACCATTAGAGGTGCTTTCTGGGTCAGTGCTGCACATTGTGTGCAGCACTCAGTTTTTAATAAACAATAATTACCTTTGAGGATTAACTCCTCCTCTGGTGGCTGTCTAGAGGGAAGGCTGAGCCTGAACCAGCGGCGAGGGACACTGGCGCTGGACTCTTTTTTTAAACCCTTCTGCACCGTAATGTAAAGACTGGATTTTCTCTGAAAAGACCGTGTTTACATTAAAAAGACAGCAGGGACAGGTAGTAGATGCCAAAACAACTACATTAAGCTGCTTTAAGCACAGTGACAATCCAGGAAGCGCATCTAGTGGCACCTATCTTTTATTTATCCATTTTTTTTTCTTTTTGCATTGTTTTTCAAACACCTAAAGTGTCCCTTTAATCTATACCCCCAGTAATGGATATCTGATAAACTGGAGGTTGATATGAACACAGGGTCATATTGATTTCATGCCAAACCCAGATTTGGAGATTGCAGTACAGCAGAGCCTGCAGCCTCTTATTGCAACACCCAGAGACTCCTGTACTTTCAGTTTGCTGTGCAGGACAGGGCGGAGGCTGCAAATCATGCAAGGAAGTGACGAATCTCTGGAGTTAGACAACACACAAAACAACTTTTTATGGTCTGTGCAGGGGAGCTCATCCCAGGACTCTGCAAGAAGCCCCTGGTGTGGAGTGGATTGTGTGCAGCACCCTAATTCTCACTTACAGTCTCTCCATGTGAAATCCCCTCTTTGGATCTTTAACCTCATCCCCTGCTCTGGCTGCCCCCCATCTAAAGTGTCTGGTTCAGCTCCTGGGGTGTTCCCAATTGACAGAGGCAGCTGGTCTAAGAGGAGCTCAGTTTAACAGGATCCTGGGAGTGCTTCCTGCCGTTTCACAAGCAATACATACAGACAGATACATGGTGTTCTAGGATTAGAACGTTCTGAGAAAGGTCAGTATCTCTCTATAAATCCTGTATACAGTGCTTTGTAATGTGTCACAGGGATTCAGTCCTTTGGGGTATGGCTTGTGTGGAGGTTCTGTCTTATTTGTTTAACTTTAGAATGTTTCACAGTCAGGAATTCAAACTCATTTGTTTTCTTTCAGGTTTTAGGCCAAAGTAGCCAAACTGGAAAAATCTCCAGTGTTCTGAATTCAACTACTTTAGCCTAAGGTGTGAAATCTACATTAAATTCACAGCAATGCATAGTTAAGTAAATAACCCTGACAGGATTTTTATTTGAACCCTGTGAATAGTGAATGAAACTCTGAAAATTTGAGCAGAATTGAGAGTAATCAATTCTGGTTGAGCAAATCTGGTTATATTCTCAAACTAGGCAATGTCAACAAAAAATAAAATTTGGATAGAATTTTGCCTTTAAGATTTAAATTTGCAAATTTTTTGGAGTTTATTGAATAACCCTGATTGATACCCTTTAGGCAGCATTACATTTACCAGACCCACCATGTGTACCTGGATACACATCACTTCAACATGCTGATAGACTGAGCATGAAATATGCTTCCCTGCTGTTTGTGTTACTCATATAGTGCAGAAAGAAAATCGGGGCAAGTACCATAACCACTACATCCTGGTTATGGTGCCAGGAGTCCCTTAGCGCATGTCCCATGATAAAGAGCCAAGCAGTATTTAAATGTTTTAAACAGCATGCTGTACTGGTTACGGTGCTTACAATGCTCATTTTAGAAGCTGTTTTGATATTTACCTTCGTCCGCAAATAAATTATACAAATTGCTGTGCAGCCCATTTCGTGTTGTGTACATCAGCTTGGCGCAGTTGCTTACAATGCTCATTTTAGAAGCTGTTTTGATATTTACCTTCGTCCGCATATAAATTATACAAATTGCTGCGCAGCCCATTTCGTGTTCTGTACATCAGCCTGCGCAGTTATACGTGGTCAAGGGAATCTGTTTAGCAACCCAGGCCTCATGCACAGCCTTATGGGTTTGTTGACTTAACAGTGAAATTATGGTGGTTTGAAATCTGAATTGCAAAATTTAGGCCAAAATGGTTGCATCAGAGAAACGTTGGCCTGAATTCTTAACTAAACTGTGAATTGCAGAGAATTGACAAGCGCGTTGCACATTTTAGGCGATATTTGCTGAATCCGAGAGTAAGCGCTGCGGAATTAGTTGGTCCTATATAAATGCTAAAAACTTCTCAAATGCAGTTACTTTTCTCCCTTAATATGTTTGTCTAAAATGTGCTATTCTCATGTCAATTAACAGCTTTCCTTCCCCGCACCCTGAGTCCTCCCCTGCAACTGTCATCCAAAAAAAAACACACTAAGCCCTTAATGATTACTTTTCTCACAACCTTTGTTTCTACCCCTACCTTTACCTTTTGTGTCACTAGACCCCACTCCCTCTAGCATGTAAGCTCATTGAGCAGGGCCCTCAGTCCCTATGTTCCTGTGCGTCAAATTTGTCTAGTTACAATTACGTGTCTGTTAGTCCACCCATTGTACAGAGCTGCAGCATTTGTTGGCGCTATATAAATAATCATAATGAGCAATTTTCGATTCAGTGAGTGAACTCCACAACCAATTTTGTACTCATCCACTGTAGCTGGTGTAGCACAATTCTTACATTAGGTTGTGCTATCACGGTTTGGTATCATGAAGATGCAGTTCTTAATATTGCCCAAAAGATAGAGCTCAGTTAACTCCTTGTAAAAGGATGAAGTGGATAGGCGTAAACATAAAGTTTATAGAGTGTATTAGCTGGGGCAGTGAGACTTGTTTAGGTATTTTACCTGTGCAAACACAAAATGTTGGGGTAACTTAATGCATTATTAATGTATTCACTATACAGTAAGGTAGATCCATAATACACAATACTTAGGCCAAAACAGCTATATTTCTTTTGCAAATTCAGTTATCAGCTCATGTTTGTGTACTTAACCCTTAAGGACCAAACTTCTGGAATAAAAGGGAATCATGACATGTCACACATGTTGTGTCCTTAAGGGGTTTTAAAGGGGTAGTCTAGGTATTGTAAACGTTACAGCCCACTATAGTTGTCATTTCTGGAGCCCCAGTCCCTGCAGCTGTCACACGTTAAGTAGTCAAACAGGTTGCATATGTGTGGGTCCCCAGGGCACCTTCAATCTCGGTTAATGAGTTTCATCCAAATAGGGACAAAATTGATATAACTAATGCAGAAGGGGAATTTTTCACTTTACAGCTATCCGAAACGGTTTGACTACTTACTGTGGCATGCCACCAGGGTACTATAACTACTACAATGGGCTGTAGTGCGTATGATGCCTGTTAAAGGTGGAATTCTAATGACCACAACCACTGCATATTATTTCAGTGGTTAAATGCAGGGAGCCATTTTTAAACAGCATGGCAAGTACTAGGGTTCTCCCAGGGATGGGATGGAATTTTCAATGTAGAAAAAAAAATTACATTCCTACGGGTAGTACTGCTCTGCAGTATGAAGCATTCAACGCTGAACTAAGTTAATTTATCAAGGAAAGACTTAAGAGAGCACTTTGGTTCATTTCCTTCCTACGGGATGTGAATGCTACATGCTGGTTATCAAGCATACAATGTGAATACTCCACAATAGCAGTGTATGTAGTAATGCAATGCTAGCATACTTCACACCAATATTGTGCTTTCTTACAGGCATGCCCGTATATTTGAGTAGAATGCAGTGGCAATCCATACAAGGTGATTGTAGCTCACAGTTCCACCGAGTATTGTAGAATTTAAAGAACACTCTTTGTTTAGTAGAAATGCTTTTGTAGGGGTGGATTTTCTTATTTGTTTTTTAGTTGGCTACAGCTTTTAAGGTTCACTACAATTCACTGTGGTGGTTATGTTGCCTAGAGTCCCCTGGCAGCAACTCCCGGTTAGATGTCAAACTGTTTAGGAACGTTTTAAAGTAATTCATAGATTTTCTTGGAGCCCGAGGTAATGCCTCAAGCACATTGATAACGGGTAATTAACACTTCCTCTTTACCAGAGTCCATTTTGTTCATTTTTTTTATGGGGATTGGTTTAGAATGATGCGGATGGCTTAGTTTAGGGCTCTCAATCCGTCAATATCCTCATGCAGTTTGTGTGCAATTAACGTAGATATGGATGCGGACCTGTAAATGTTTAGACTATCATGCAGCCAATAGGGGGGGTGCCTGGGAAGATGACCTTTTAATTTCAAACCATCAATAAATCAGGGGACTCTAGGCAATTTAACCAATACAACCTGCTTCAATGTGCGTGTTGTTTCGAGTGCCCCTTTTTGGTGAATAAATAAATTGTGATTCATGGTTTCCGTAGAGGTCATTTTTGTGATAAAGCTCCTATCCTAGGGCTTACTTAGACAGTTGCATTCTGCTCGCCTTTCCAATTACTGATATTCTTTGGTAGAAGTGAATTGGAATGATCTGCTTTCGGCAACTTTGTCACTTTCACTTTTCAGTCCGTACATAGTGTAGGATTTGCATGTGCAAGTTGGTGGATGGTTAAAAAGTTACTCCTCATACAGCTTTTGTAACCTTTGTCTTTAGTGCCCTTTGATAACCATTGCACATGATCTAGATGACATCAGCACTCAAAAATGGAACGTAAAGGGACACTATAGTCACCAGAACAACTACAGCTTATTGTACGGTATACAGCTTATTGTATTTGTTCTGGTGAGTAGAATTGTTCCCTTCAGGACTTTTGCAGTAATCGTTGTCTTTTCACAGAAACTGCAGTGTTTAAATCTCAGCCTATGGGATACCTTCACTGGCCACTCAGATGTCTAATAGAGGTGCTTCCTGGGACACTTTCCTCATAGAGGTGCATTGATTCAGTGCAACTCTATGAGGCGATGCTGATTGGCCAAGGCTGTGTTTGGCTTGTGCTGGCTCTGCCCCTACTCTGCTTCCTTGACAATCTCAGCCAGTCCAATGTTTTCCTATGGGAAACTTCTGATGATGCCAGCCATATACCCAGATCAGGGGCAGAGCCAGCAACAGCAGACTGGAATAAAATTATGATTTTACTATATTTAGCGGGGGTAGATGGTGTTTTTAACACTATATAGAGTCAGGAGTACACTTTTGTGTTTCTGACCCTATAGTGTTCCTTTAAATGTTAACGCACATTTTACTGCATTGTAAAGAGAGTGCATTAGTGTAATTGTAAATGAAATTTTAAACAATGCTTATCAATTCTGTTTATCTAAATTCCAAGAATTTGCTCTTTCTCCCATGATCTCTGCTAAAACTGCGGACTGGCAGAGATCACTCAGCCAATCTATGGTTTCCCAATGAATTCTGTCAGGGTGCCAGGTCCCCCTAGTTTTAACCCTGCAGCTGAAAACATAGCAGTTTCAGAGAAACTGCTATGTTTCCCTGAGGGTTAATCCAGCCTCTAGTGGCTGTCTCCTTGACAGCACCTAGAGGCCGCTTCCTCACGGACCTCCAGCGTAAAAAAAAGATCCCCATAGGAAAGTATTGAGTAATGCTTTACTATGGGCAGTTTTGAATGTTCACGTGCACCTCTGGCCGCGCATGTGCATTCGGCTCCACTCAGGAGCTGACGTCGATGGAGTAGGAGAGGTCACAGTGCCGAGGGAGCCCGGCGCTGGATTAAGGTAAGCAAATAAATGGTTAACGATTTATTCGCTGTGGAACAGGGCCCTAGTCACTGTTTAGGTGACTAGGGCTCTATAGCGTTTGGAATACAAACACTATAGCGTCAGGAATACAGTCCTGTATTCCTAACGCAGTAGTGTCCCTGCCCCTACAAAAAAATAACAATTAATTAATGATTTCCGTATATACTTTTCTGCTCACCTCCCTGCCTCTGGTATACAGCCACTAAGGGCAGACTTAGAGTTGTTTAACATAGCAGCACTCCGTGCATAAGGGACACTGCACCCAGACCACTTCATTGAGCTGAAGTGGTTTGGGTGCCTACAGTGTCCCTTCAACATCCACGCTTCTCCAGAGAAAAACATTGTAATCAATTCATTCCTATGAATGCCTCGTTTATGCTCGTCAGACAGTCTCAGCCAACACAAAGGCACACGTCTAGACATAACCAATACAGCTTGTTTAATCTTGAAATACCCTACTTAAAAATGTGCAGTTATTTTATATGCCTCATCTTATCATGCTTTGTCTTTTAGCGCACTTGCTACTGCTGTTGGGGCACAGCAAGACTGCCTAGTTACTCATGCACAAGAAAAATAAAGAATGGAAAAGAAAAGATTTTGAAATTATTTTGGGAAACAAAGGTGTGTGTTTTATTGCAATCTGGGCTAGGTGTGCATTAACGCTACTCATTCTGCAGATGACGTCAACTATTTCCTGGTTGTAAAAAGCAAGTGATAGAACAGCCTGGTTAACATGGCGCCAACCATTTTACCCAAGAGGAATGACTTAGAGGCAGTCTAGGCGTACTTGCCTCTTACACACTGTGCTGAAAACGCAATAGTTGCCATTGAATGTCAGACCCTCAGGGTCTGCAAATAGTAGGAAGTGGCTAGCAGTACAGTAGGTGTTTGTGATATGTTTAGTTGAACTGTATTGAAAATTAAAACCCTGAATGGAAGTTCTCTGCAAGATAATAGCTTTTACTAGTAGTTCCGTTGATGTTTCTCCATGAATTAAGCTGTATACATATTGCTGCTGTGATGTCATAGTGTAGCGTAATAGTTTTTTTGAAAGTCTTTGGCTAGGAAGATCGATCAGAGCCATGACCTTACGTGGTTATGGTGCTTGGAGTACATTTCCACCATAGTAACAATTTATTGAAATTACTTTGGTATTTAAATTCTAATTTATAACTGTATTCTGCTTTATTATGACAGCATTATTTTAATTGCAGGTACTCGGCAGGCTCATAGATGAACATTCTAACATTAAAAAAAATGTTATGTCAATTAAAATGCAGCACTGGAAAAAAATGATCAGTTGTTTCTCACCACCTTGACTGTGCAGAAATATCACAAGAGAATACCCTCTCTGTGCAAAATATTACCACAATTGCATTTTCGTTTGGTGTGATTAATTCCAGCCTGTTTGCATGTGACCGGCGGTGGTTCTATAGGTTTTATCAAAGATTTAAACTGTCTGAGAAAAGAATCTGGTCAGTTTTATTAACTTGGTGCAACAAAATTCTACTTCCAGGGTCCTTTCATTTGTGGATCTGGCCAGGAACCCCCAAAAAAAGGGGTTCAAGTTCTCCCCGCAACCTTTTCTTCTTCCATTACTGGGGGGGGGGATGGAGGAACATTTGAGAGTACAGGCTGAGGGGAGAACCTTGGCTGGGCAATGGGGGCATGTCGCTATTGGCTGTCTGTCACCAGCATGCTGTGTCTTCTGACGGAAACAGAACTGACATTGTTCTGGGCAAGCTAATGACGCCCTGGTGACGCTGCCGGAGACATATGTGCATGTGCCGTGTATCATAGTAAAATGTGTGTATTTGCACAAAAATAAAAGGATTTAAAAGTGATAATCTTTTTATGTTTTTTTTTTTTTTTTTATCTTACATGATGTTGCATTGGATGTTTATGCACATTTTCATGCTTTACCTGTATAAAATGTTTAAAAACATCAAAATGCTCCTTTTTTTTTTTTAATGTTTTTTTTTTTAAAATACACTTTTAAAAGGCACCCCAAGTACAATAACAAACAATGTTTCTTGCAAGGATTATGGTGCAAAGAGATATCCAGTCGAATTCTTAAAATCATTTCCCAGCAATTATGATGTGCTAAACTAGCTACAATCAAGTTATAATACTTAACCCAGTCATTTTCTTATCATTGGGAATATTCCACATACATCTGGAAAAAAAAAATACACAAACTATATAGTGCACGGTGTCTGTGCTAAAGAGTGTAAAGTGGTTAAATACATCTGTTTACAATGGTGCTCACATATACCAGAGCCCCTGCCTGACTCTCAGTTTAAAGGGACACTCCAGTGCCAGGAGAACAAACCGTTTTCCTGGCACTGCAGGTCCCCTCTCCCTCCCACCCCCCATCCCATGTTGCTGAAGGGGTGAAAACCCTTCAGTGACTTACCTGTATCTAGCGTCGATGTCCCTCGACGGTGGTTTAGGCTCCGCCCACGCGGCTGCCGGCAGGATAAGACCTAATGCACATGCACAGCAATGCCGCGCACGCGCATTAGACCTCCCTACAGGAGAGCATTGAAAATGCTCTAAATGCTTTCCTATGGGGATTTTAGCTCCAATGGGCAGAAGTGGTCTGGGTGCCTGGACTGTCCCTTTAAATATCTCTGATATGAGAGGGAACGCTTCTAACAGACCATATTATAAGACCAGAAAACCCCAGTAGTGTAATGTCAATAATATTTATTTAATTCAAAGACTCTTAAAGCTCTTGCTGTGAAAAAAACAAATTAAAAAACAAAACAAAACAGTGAGTTATCTCTTGAGAAGCTGATACAGCACGGTTGTATGAAATCAATTCCGGCCCTTTCTTCTCTCTTCCAGCATCGATCCCTGATCTGCCGTTCCTGATGTGCATAGTGCAGCGTTTCAACCCTGCTCCTGGGCTTCATCCCACTTTACCCTTTCTATGCCTGTCTGCAAATAGTATAGTGTGTTTTTAAATTTTTTTTTTATTTATTGGCAATTCACAAAAATCTGTACTTTTGAGTCCTCCCCCCAATATATCACCGGACTGGTCAAGCGCTTGTATGTGATATGCATTAGAAATAGTTTATGGCATTCCTGCTATAGTTTATAGTGTCCCTTTAGTGTGAAGGCTTTCTGTTGGCACTCCAGCTGTTGCAGACTTGATTTCACTTAATGCTAGGCCAGCTGTTATTTTATTTATACAGCACTCCTGTATTTGTTTTTTCATCGAACTTGTTATTGTACGGCAAGGGCGCTTTTACACGAGAAATTCCATTTGCATGTTGTGTGAGGTATATATTGCAGGGTTAAAAAATATCATTATCTCAACTACAGGTTTTTAAAAAAAATTATTTAAAGGCCTGCCCGGCAGCATTCCACGTTTTATGAAAGTAAAATTTCAGAAGCAGGATGTCACGCTGGGGGGAACTCAGACCACCGCTGGAGACAACTTTGGGGTTAAACTTCTCGATAACTGTTTAACTCCTTGAGGTAAAAGTGCCACCAGGGGCCTCCTGGCACCATAACTACTTCATTTTTTGTTACTGGGCAATGTTCAAGCCCGGTGTTTTGTAAGCCAATTCTTTCATCTGAAAAATTGCAGAAGTAAAGAATTCTAAGAATTAATATTTTTTTTGTTGTTTTGTTTTTGTTTCTAAAAAAGAAAGAATCACATGTATTTAACATTTTTTCCCCTTGAATTGTGATTTTAAATAAATTGAAGACTATGAACTAAACAGAATTGTAATTAATTAAAACCTAAAATTTAGACAGAAGGTGCTGATGTGATACAATTCTGTAACTCTTCTACAATTACAACTTAATTTTGCAATATGCCACTGTGTTTGCAAAAAAGCTCCTGTTTCATTAACTCTTTACATATTAGCGGTGTTGCTTGCCCCTGCTAACACTCACACACAGGGTTAAAGTATTTCCTAATTAGTTTAATATCACAATATAATTTCCTAGTCTTGCATCAGCAATGCACAGCAGATCTGCTGATGTCCTGTGTTCGAGGAAGCTTCTGTAATACTGCTTATGAATCAAGTGAAGATATGCCTAACCAGATTGTTACTGCATTACTCAAGGGATATCTATGGGTTAATCTTAGAAAAGATTAGGTGGACACCCAGTGATATAAATCTCACAGATGTGTAGCCCTGTTGCAGTATGTAATTAGAGTTGCTTTGCATAGCGTGGCATTGGTAGATTCGGTGTCGATTGCTCAGATTATAATCCAGTGCTTTTATGGGACAGCTATTTGGCACTTCAAAGAGCTCAACCCAAGGGCAGACTGGTGTCACACTGTACATTTATTTTTGTATGTTTTTTTTTTTTGTATTTTTTTTTTTTTCTATAACACGTTTCCAGTGTAGAGTATTTAATAAAATGTTGTTAAATATAAGAGAACAGCTCACGGAGTTAAATTTACTATTAAAAAAGGGGGTTAAGAAGCAAATGGCTTGTATTGTATAACCATTAGTTTTTATAAAAATGTACTGACCACGATTCCATGACCGATTTATCAGCCTTTTTTTTTGACATTCTTTATTTGTATGTAGTAAGGTTACAAGACAGGTCAAATCATATCAAAAGACACGGTATAACAGGTTTTGTAAGGCCCCTAAACCTTATGGCCAACAATATTTGTAGGGTTTTATTCCTAGGTTTCCCCCTCTCTCCCTCCCCGCCGTATTAGCTCCCTTCCCCCCACCAACCCCCCCCATCCCCACCAGTCTTGATCCGGCCTCATTTCTCCGTTTCTTAGGCCTAGTGATCTTAGTAGACTTATGTTGGACCTGCCTTTTAGAGGGGAACACCATTCCCCGACCAACCCCGAGCCTATTTGCCTTATAGAGTGGGGTCCGCCGGGACCGCTGTGGTTTGCCTTTCGTCCGGCGTTTAGCAAGTGTTCCACCATGTGCGTGGGCATACATTGTAGTTGGCGAGGTGCAGGACCTTGTTTGGCTTGGTGGGAGTAAAGCTCCTCTGGCTCGCGCAGGGGGTGGTGGTCCCCTTGGGTCCAGATGCGGTCCCCGCGAGCCCCCCCTCGGTGGAATTCTGTGTCGTTCGGGTGTAATGCCCGAGGTCCGGCACCCCCCCCCTTCCGATGAGTTGTTAATTTAACCGTGGCCGGGCTGTCTCCGGCCTGCCTGCTATCTGTGGCTGTCATGTGTTAACTCCAGTCAAGGTCCCCTTTCCTCCCCTGTCGGTCACCTTTGCTTCGTCATTGAGGCATGTGGAGAAAGAGAGAGAAAGAGTTAGAGAGAGTGAGAGAAAAAGAGGAAGAAGAGAGGAGGGAGAAAAAAAAAAAAAGGAAGAAGGAGGGGGGGGAAGGGAGGGGGTCCCGCGCGGCCGCAATCCAGCCTCCTCCCACGCTACTCCGCCTCCTCATCTGGCCTCAGACGGTCCGCCCTCGGCCGCCCCCACCTCCGGTCCGAGCTGTAGGAGATCCACGGTGTCCACAGGCGAGTGCAGCGGTCTTGCGTGCCCCTGAGTTCTGCCGTAAGAATTTCCATGTTATAAAGTTCATCGACTTTTTCTATCCACTGAGTAATGTTTGGGACAACTGGCGATTTCCATCTGGCGGGGATGAGGCTTTTGGCTGCGTTGAGAAAGTGTCTGATAAGGGTTTTCTTGTAACGCCCCAGAGGTATCTGAGTGTGGTTTAAGAGCATAGGGAGGGGCTCCATGGGGATGTCCTCCCCCAGGATGTCTACCACTTTGTCATGGATCTGTTGCCAGAAGGGGGCTATCCGAGGGCAAGACCACCACAGGTGTAATGCCGTCCCTTCGGCGATGTCACATCTCCAACACTTGTTGTCGGGGGTGACCCCCATGGCATGGAGTCGTGCGGGGGTCCGGTACCAGTGCGTCAATAGTTTATAATTAAGTTCCTGCATTTTAGAACTAAGTATCCCCTGGTGGGACAGGACGTGTATTTGCTCCCATTGTGGTTCCGTTAAGGTGACACCTGTGGCTTGTTCCCACTTTGAGTGGAAGTGTGCCGGGGGACCCGCATCGGCACCCAGGAGCATGGCATATAGGGTCGATATCCCGCGTGTCGGGTGCGATCCCCCTTCACATAGCGTTTCAAAGTGTGTGAGGTCTCGGTGGATCAGGTGTTTCCCCTGAAGTGTGGCATAGTACCGGCGTATCTGGTGGTACCTAAATCGTAAGATCCCTGTCTCCCTACTCTGGCCCAGCATGTCTTCCAGCGGCCTTAGGGCTTTATTAGCACACCATGCCCGAAGGTATTGTTTCGTCCCCTCCCCCAGTCCCTCCATATCCCCCTGTGTCAGGCCTCCTGCCAGGTCTGGGTTGTGTATCACAGGTGTCAGGGGGGCCGGGTTCGTGGTGAGCTGCAGCTTGAATCGGATGGTTGTCCATGTTCTCAGTGTCGCGCCTATGAATGGGTGGTTCCGCAGGAAACCATCGCATGTCGGGTTTTGTATCCATACCATCGATGGAATACGCCCCCTGGCCTGAAGCCGCTCCATATGGACCCATTGTTTGTCCGAGTCCAGGACATGCCATTCTATAATTCGTAAGAGGTGTGTCGCCTGGTAGTAACCGAGTAGGGACGGTAGGGCTGTTCCACCCCGATGTCTCGGGAGTATCAGTTGTGTCTTTCTTACCCTCGGCGGTCCCTTCGCCCAGACGAATCGCAGTATAGCCGAGCCCAAGGTGTTGAAGTATGTTCGCGGGATCGTGATCGGAATGGCCTGGAAAAGATACAGCAAGCGTGGCAACAGATTCATCTTTATTGTGTTGATCCTCCCAAACCACGACACGCATAGGCGTCCCCATCTGAGCAAGTCCGCACGGAGCGTTTGGAGAATAGGGAGAAAGTTTTCTTGATAGAGTTTCGTCAGGTCTCTAGTTAACCAGATCCCGAGATATTTTATGCGCTGGTGGCACCATTTAAAGGGGAACTCTCCTGTCAGCCGTTCGACCAACTCGGGGGGTATAGAGATGGGGAGGGCCTCTGACTTGTCCGCGTTCAATTTGAAGTTAGAGATCCGTCCGAACCGCTCAAAGGCCGCCAACAGGTTGGGCAAGGTGATCAAGGGGTTGCTCACGAAGAAAAGGAGGTCGTCCGCGTAGGCCGCCACCTTGTGCGTGCCGTCCCCCAGGGTGACCCCCGCAATGCCCCCGTCCCGTCTGACCGCCTCAAGAAATGGCTCCAGAGAGAGGGCAAACAGGAGGGGGGAAAGCGGACATCCCTGGCGCGTCCCGTTACGTATCCGAATCGGTGTGGACAGGACCCCATTAATGCGTAGTTGAGCAGTCGGTTCCGCATATAGCGCGGAGATCCACTGCAGTATATTCGGTCCGAACCCCATTGCCTTGAGCGTTTCAAGGAGGTATCGCCAGTCCACCCGGTCGAAGGCCTTCTCCGCGTCAGTGGAGAGGAGCAGGCCCCCGACCGGCGAGCTCCGTTGCATGTGCATGATGTTTAGCGCTCTGATTGTATTATCTTTGGCTTCTCGACCGGGTATGAATCCGGTCTGGTCCGGGTGGATCAAGGATGGGACTATGCGGCCCACGCGCGCCGCCAGGACCTTCGTAAACAGCTTGAGGTCTGCGTTTAGTAGAGAAATGGGTCTGTAGCTCGCACAGGCCGCTGGGTCTCTACCCTCTTTCGGGATAACCGCGATCGTTGCCAGTAGGGTGTCCCCCGGTAGGCGTGCCCCCTCAAGGAGAGAGTTCATGCCCGCCAGCAATTCTGGTAGGAGGACATCCCTGAAGGCCTTGAGGTATCTGGCGGGGAGGCCGTCCGGTCCCGGGGCTTTGTTAAGTTGTGTGTTCTTCAGGGCTGCCGTCAGTTCCTCGATCGTAATGAGGGCATCAAGGTCTTCCCTTTGTTCTTGCGTGAGAGTCCGGTGTACGTGGTTTTCCAGGTACTCCCTCGTCAGTCTCGCCGTCCATTCCCGGCCCGCGCTTGTCTCATCTTTCTGGATATCGTATAGGCCGGTGTAGAAGTTCCGGAATTCCTCGACTATTTTGTCCGGTACCTGCGTGAGGGCGCCGCTCTTTGTCCGCAGCTTAGTGATCTGGTTCACGCGGCGTTGTTGTCTCAGCATTCTGGCTACGACCGCATTTGTTGGAGTGTTCATAGTAATAGCGATGGGCTTTTTTCATCGTATAGGCGAGGTTTTTCGTGAGCAGATGTTGTAGGTCTCGGCGGGCCTCTCGGAGCGCATGGTACGCCTCTTCTGTCGGTGCGGCTTTGTGGTCTTGTTCTAAGCTGGCGACTTTCGTATATAGCTCTTGTAGCTGCCTACTGTGTTCTTTCTTCCGCGTTGTACATACCTTGATGAAATGTCCCCGAATGACGCACTTATGGGCCTCCCACCGAATCATTGGGGAGGTGTCAGACGGATCATTCTCATTGAAGTAATGACGGAGCGCTGTCGTAGCGTCCGCTATGGTGACCGGGTCGCTAAGTAGTTGTTCATTCAGTTTCCATTGGCGTCTTGTGGGTTTATGCAGTGGCGAGGTCAGCTGGGCCAGTACCGGTGAGTGGTCCGACCATGCGTCCAGTAGGATTTCACATTTTTGTAATAGATTCAGGTATTCTTGTGCAATAAAGACATAGTCTAAGCGGCTGTAGCCGCGGTGCACCGGGGAGAAGTATGTGAAATCCTTGGCCTCTGGGTGCATGACTCTCCAGCAATCCGCAAGGCCCGCCGTTCTGAGTGCCAATTGTGCCGCTTTGATGCTTGCGTCCGGCAGCGAGCAGCGTCCCCGGGAGGTGTCCGTCCGCGGATCCAATGGTATGTTGAGGTCCCCGGTTAGAATTAGGAGCCCCTCCCTGAAGTGTTCCAGCGATTTTAGGGTTCTGGTGAGAAAACTGTGTTGTCGGGTGTTGGGCGCATATATGGAGGCAAAGGTGTAGCGCCTGTCTGCAACGGAGCCCTTGAGGAAGATGTAGCGTCCCAGTGGGTCGGCCTTGACCTCCGCACACACAAAGGGGACATGCGCGGCGAAGAGAATGGCCACTCCTGCCTTCTTGGCTTCCCTATGGTTAGCAAAATATCCAGTGGGGAACCGTCGGTCTCGGAGGGCCGGTCGTCTGTCCGCGGAAGTGTGTCTCCTGGATGAAGGCCACAGAGATTCTATTGGACCAAAGTGCCCGTAGTAAATGTGATCTCCGTTCTGGCAGGTTCAGGCCCCGGACGTTGTTGGACCAGATGCGCAGAGGCGCCGGGGCGAACCCCTCTCAGCCCCGGGAGGTCATGAGAGCTGGTGCCGCCGCGCAGGGGTGGGCGGCGAGGTGTCAGGGGCAGGAGAAAAGAGAAAAAGAAGGAGGGAGAGAGAGAAAAAAAAAAAGGGGAAAAAGACGTGGTCGTAGATAGAGGGTCGTCAGTAGACCTGTTATAGAATAACAGAGTTAAACAAGGTGAGAACTATGTACAGTGTCAGACTCAGCTGTCTAGGTCGGTGAGTCAGTAAGGGGTGGACTGTCCCACGTAAATATGTCCCCCCTTGTCGCTCCCCCCTAGTGTGTTATACAGTGTGTCTGTGGGTACGTGAGCGTCCGTAGGCGCAGGACTGTGAAGGTGGGTCTAAGAGTCGTCACTGTCAGCTCCCCCTTAGCCCGTGCTGTCCCGCAGTAGTCCTCCTCTTTCCGGAGGCTATACCTCGGTGCCTGGTCATGCCCCTGTCCCATCCCCCAGGTGGACCCCCCCCCCAGGGTGGCAGTGCAAGTGATCTCCGCGTATCGCGGCTGCCGTTTCCAGCGTACCCTGGCCGCCCAGCTACTCAAGCAGACCCTATGCCCCTCTCGCCTCTGGCAGGTTTTACTCGTTGGGCATCCCGCCCACCCCCCCCCCATCCCTGTGACCCCAGGCCACCGCTCCGGTGCGGGCTAAAGGCCCTTCTCCCCCTGTCTCTTTGCTTTCCTTCCCCGTCTCGCCCCTGGCTCGGGGTGTGTGCTCTATGGGCCGGTGTTGAGTGGGCTCGGTAGTGCAGGGGCCATTCCTCCTCTCCTCCCCGTGGAGGACATTTACTCGTCTCCCTCACGTCTCGCATGGGTGCAGTGGGGAGCTGCGGGGCTTCCCGCCTCCCCTCCAACCCAGCATGGGGGGGCAGGTTGCTAAGTGTCCCGAGAGAAATGCAGGTCCGCTCCGTGCTCTCCCCTCCCCCCACCTCGTAGCCATCAGTCCCCCAGGACCTTGCCCATGTCCTCCCCCACTTCCAGGGTGCAGTCCCCGATTCCCTCCCCCAATGCCCTCCCAAAGCCCAGTGAGCCCCCTACGACTCCTTGAGCCTAAACTTTACCAGTGTAGCAAGTCCAGGGGCAATATGGCGGGCCAGTCCCAACTCCAGAAGCGGCATTCCGGGCCCCGGCAGGGGAAGAAGCGACATCCCATGTCCATGAACTCCCTTTCAGGTCGGGGTGAGCCGCGACTTGTGAGGTGCCTACGCCTCCCACCCCACCTGGCTAACCTACTCCCTCTATGGGCAGGCGCAGACCCGTATCCCGGCTCCCCCCCAGTACCTTGCGGCCCGGCTGAAGCCAGGCCGCGAGTGCTCCTCTCCTCACTCCTCCACGCCTCTCGGGCCTCCCAGCATCCTCTGGGCCCGCTCCCTTCTCCTCGGGGGCGACGGTGGGCGCCCGTCCTCCGCCACTTCGTGCAGCTGTGCGAGCGGGGTCTCCAGAAGCCAATTCCTGATGCGGATAGGTGGTAGGCGCAAGGCTCTTAAGGCTCGGGGCACATCTTCTGGCCAGCGCACTTGGATCCAGGCATTCCCCTGCCTAATCTGGAGGCTGAAGGGGAATCCCCACCGGTAGGCTATTCCCTTCTCCCGCAGGGTCGTCGTTAAGGGCCTGAGAGCTTGTCTGGCGTCCAGGGTGAGGCCGGACAGGTCTTGGTATAGGGCCACGCTTGCTCCCCGGAAGGGTATATCCGCCATTCCTCGGGCAGCTGTCATGAGGCGTTCCTTAAGGCTGTAGTCATGGAGGCAGCACAGGACGTCTCGTGGCCTGCCATCAGGCCTCTGCGGCCCCAGGGACCTATGTGCCCGGTCCAGCTTGATCACCGCCGGGCATTCCTCTCCAAGAATCTGCCGGAAAAGGGCCTGCAGCGTGTCTTGTAGTGGCGCTGTGTCCGGTTCGGGTAGCCCCCGAATCCGGATATTTTGGCGTCTGCTGCGGTTCTCTAAATCTTCAACTTGGCGCCGAAGGGAGAGGAGCATGTTCCCCTGGCGCGTGGTAGCGAGTTCAGCCGCTTGGTGCTGCGCGCGGCTCGCTTGGGCCTCCGTTTCCAGTGCCTCCACTCTTACTTCCACTGATGAAAGATCCTTCCTCAGGGCTGCAACTTCCTCTTTGACGGCTGCCCGAAGTTCTCTCAGTAGCCCCCCTGTATCTGCCTTGGTGAGCATCTGTGCGGAGATCATTGCCAGCTCCTGTTTAATCAGAGCGAGTGTGTCATCCTGCGTGCCGTCCAGGGTGGGCTCTCCCGCGCTTTCACTGCCTGGGGAGCCGGGCGCCATGTTGTCAGGCGGTCGGCTGCAGCTTAGTGTGCTCGGAGTGCACACGAACTCATCAAGCGTCCCGGTCGGGCGGTGCGGGGTACCCCCCAGGGTGTGGGGCTTCTTGTTCCGGACCATGTTTGTCGGGGTAAGTGCCGGTTTTCGCGTGTTTTAGGGGCCAGGGGGAGCGGAGCTCAGGAATTAGGCGTCCTGTCGCATGCTCGGCTCGGCCACGCCCCTCATCAGCCTTTTTTTTATTTTATTTTTTATAATTCTTTATTTTGATCGTGCATAGAAGAACATATATTGTAGCATAGCCACAACAGCTTGTGCTGTAGATCGATATAACATTCATTCAATAACATTTTTATGGCCTGTCATGTCTTGCACATTTTCATGTTTTAGTCGCATCATGGTAAGTGGTACCTTACAGCTAGGGGTACGTGCCCAGTGTAGTGGTGAGGGCTTGTAATCCTTGTTATGTACGTTGGCCAGGTATAGCCTTTATGTGGTATATGTTTTGCCGTGGCGGTAGGCCCTTGTCCGGCTCGTAGGGTGTGTATGAAACTTTCCGGGCCGTACATTGTTATATGTGGTGTTCGGGAGGCAGGTTCCCTATACGAGAAGGTCCTGTCATGCTATGTCTCGTTGTGTGTGTTACGCCTGGCTGTGTCAGGTTTTGTCGTGCGCTCTTCGCTGCGATCCTGTCAGGTGGGGGGGAGGTGAGTCATGGCCTATAGGCCATCCAGTCAGAAGAGGTATGAGTGTAGTGTCTTGTCCAGTCGGCAACTATACATAAGTAAACTAACGGTGAAAAACTATCAAAGTAAAGAGAAAACATATGGGTTAGCAAAGTGTCCTTAGTGGGACGTGACTGCTTCAGGTTGCTGTAGCCTCAGATTGGTCCCGGTTCGCTCTGCGGGTTGCACCCGGTCAGGATTCCACTGGTGAGTCAAAGCAGTCCCGTTCTGGTTCGCCGTGGGTTGGAGAGAGTCTTTAGGCAGGCCCAGGGTGTGTAGCAAAGCTGCTGCGTTTTCGATGGAGCTCACTGTGTATTTGATCTCACCCTTCTGGAGCCATATAGCTCGGGTCTTCAGCCATTTGTAAGGTATTTCTTGCTGTTGTAGCAGCATGGTAAATGGCCTGAGTGACCGTCGCCAGGCGAGTGTACTTCCAGTCAGGTCGTCATAAAACGAGAGATTCATCGTCTCGAACTTATAAGGGGAGCACTCCCTGGTCGCCGCTGCAACCGCCATCTAATCTTTGTGGTGCTGGAATCGTGTGATAAGGTCTCGGGATGCCGCGGCAGGTGCCTTCGCTGGTTTCGGGGCTCGAAAGAAGCCGTCCAGCTGCGCTGTTTTGGCTTGTCGCGGCGGTAGCAGTGCCGTTTATAGACGCCTCAGCATGTGTGGGAGCTCCGCGACCGGTATATCTTCCGGGATGCCTTGAATTTTCAAGTTCCTGGCCCGCCTTGCATCCTCAATTGCTGCGAACTGGCGCTCATGCCTTTCATTTTGGCTTTTGAGGCCTTGTACCTCTCGCTGTAATGCAGCTATCTGGGATGTGTGGTCAGTGGTCATTGTCTCCAGGGTTCCGATTCTCCCTGTTAAGCTGTGGATGTCGGCCCGGAGGGAAGCAACGTCCGTTTGGAGAGTCCGTTGGAGAATGGCTAGCAGAGACTTTAGTACCACTGTTGTCACCGGTGAGGTGTCCACTTCCCGGGCAGCCGGCCTCGGCGTTGCCATCGGAGGTAAGTCTGGTGCTTCCTCTCCGGAGGAGAAATCATCTGACTGTTCAAAAAAGGTCTCTGGGTAGGCGGCCATTTTGGGCCCGGGCACCTCCTACGTTTGTCGCAAGATGTTGGGGCCCTGTCTCGGTTTATCCGGTTTGGGCTTCTTCGTTATGCCCCATTTTGACGGCCAGGTGCCGGACGATCTTGTAAGCTGTAAATTTGCCGGCTTGGAGGTGGCAAACGGGTAAATTTGATAAGCTTTTGGCTGAGACAGCAGGAGCCCATGTGCCATGCGACTTTCCAGCTCGGCTGTTAAACTCCGCCCCCTCTATCAGCAGGTTTAGAACTGTCAAATGGAATGCAGTCAGGGTGGTGTCCCTTTTTAATAGTATTTTACTTGCAAAATGGAAACAAAAAAACTGATATTTGTGAATTTCTGATGTGCCTTGTAGGTAGGCGCATCATATATTTAAAATTTGTAATGCATAACTAGACTATAATAAATCACAAAACAGCAATTTGGTGTATAATTAATTTATTAATAGTATCTTGTTTCCTCATTAAATCATTCATCTCAGAAATGCTGACAGGATAAACTATTTAATATTATCAGGGTTAGTCAATCAAGTAAGAGAAATTTAGAAGTCGGCTGTTTTGGTCTAAGCTTTTAAATGCTCTATAAATTTCCGGCAATTCTCACTTTAGTGAATAATCTGTATTTGTAGTCGGAAACATAATAAAGCCATGATGAACCCTGGGTAGAAGGGGGATGCACTCAAGGAAGGAACACGAATGCTACAATTTCCAGATTTACGGGCCAAATACAATCTCCCTGCCAAAGCAGTGTTATCATATCTCCAACTAACAGCCATGTTTCTATCTAAGATAGCACACACCATGCTCAGTTTCCCGGCAATAGGACAAACTTTTGTCGCTGTGGGTTCTCCTGTGTCCACTGATGACAGAGCTGCAGAAGTCGATTCCGCCGGCCATTCACTGGCTGAGAGCATCAGCTGACTGCTCTCATAGGATTATGCACAGAATTGACATTAGCCAGCCTGGAATTCAAGTTCAGGACTGGCTAATGATGCTGCTCGAGGTGTAGATTACACCTCACAGACAGACGCTAGGCACCATCACCACTTCTAATCACTGAGGTGGTCATGGTTTTTGCAGTAACCTTTTACTGTCCTTTGAAGGTGAAACCCACTCAGCTTTTTGTAAATACTGTGCAAAACACACCAAAAGTACACCATTCTACTATTTTAAATAGTTTTAATTTCCCTTACTGGTCAAAGTGCCAAAGGGACATCCAGAAAAATGAATGAGTTACCTTCTGCCTCCTAAATAAATATACATTTGTTTGGTTTTACAAAAATATAAAACAGACTGTGTTTTTTTTTTTTTTTCTACACAAGATAACTAGAATATTGTGTACATAAGGCTGTTTGTCAAATACTTCATTACCTTTTGGAAAACGTGAAACTTGACAGTTCAGTACACAAAATCATTGCCTGATACATAAATAGAATAGTTATAAATACACATCGCTTTCCTTTTTTTTTTTTTTTTTTTTAATTTCTCTCTCCTTTTGAAAGAAAAACAGCATGTCTACCTTTTAGTATATATGAACTGTTTAGCTGCTGCAGCTTGCTTTAGACTAGTTGCAATATTCAAACTCCGAGCCAGCTGATCACAGCACCAGTCTATGCTATTTAAATAAGTATATTTTATGAGCACGTAAATACAGGATTATTTGTTAACTGGTTGTAAATACATTGGCGTTCACGTGTGCAAATGCACGTCCGAAAACACAAAGTTTAAATAAACAAACATACAGTACAGGGACTTACCCGTCTGGCTGTTTTGTGAGCATAATAAGAAAATTTACTTTTTGTATATGTGTCGCAATCAGGAAATAATTACAACACAGTGTTTCTGAGTTTGCTATTTTTATTCTTTTAGACTTTGACCATGTCCCGCTGTTTTGTTTTGTTTTTTCAAATGTTTTGGGAGATCTCCCTTTCCTCGACCGTATTAGTAATGTAAAATGTGCGCGTCTAAATTACTAGTGTCAGTTTGTCCAATGTGGATGGTGGTTGTTCGGTGAGAATGCTGGCTCTTGGGGTTACGGTGATTAAATGTGTTTTGTGCACATTGTATACGTTATTATGCATTCCAAGTCATCAGGAGGAAGAAAATGTTTCCCATAGTTTTCATTTATCATATCTTATATTTTTATCTTTATCTTCATATTTTTTTTTCTTATGCCCCAAGTAAAATCAGTGGGGCCATTATTAATTAAATTCTATAGCATTGAGCAGCATTGATGTGCCAGGTTTATGTGTCTCTAAAAAAAATTGCAGCTGTAATGCAAAAATAATTTGTAATGGCAAAGGGATACTAAATTTAAAGGAACACTATAGGGTCAGGAATACAAAGGTGTATTTCTGATCCTATAGTGTTAAAAACACTATTTAGGTGTCCCCCCTTAAATAGGATAAAAACGCACCTTTATTCCAACCCTTACGACTCACCTCCTTGGCTGAGATCATCAGAATTAACAATCTCAGCCAATCCAATGCAGGGGCCAAACACTACGCTGGCCAATTAGCATCTCCTCATAGCGATACATTGAATCAGTGCATCTCTATGAGGATTGTTCAGTGCATGGAGACACTGAATGTCCCCCAGGAAGCACCTCTAGTGGCTGTCCGAGTGACAGCCACTATAGGTGTTATAAGGCAGTAATGTGAATACTGTCTTTTCTCTGAACAGGTAGTGTTTACATGAAAATGCCTGCAGGGAATTAGGCTGCAGTTGTTCTGTTAACTATAGTGTCCCTTTAAAATTTTAATAAAAATATTTGTTGTATTTAAAAAAGTATATTTTTTAATGTAATTTATTAAAACATAGTTTGTTCATTAATTCTCGTGCTGCAAAATTATTGTAAATCCTTCCATAATTAGGCAGGATTTATTCTTCCCTTTATTTATTTTTTTCTTCCTTACGTTTGCAGTTTTATGGGTTGTTCTAAGTGTAGACTAATCTCACCTATTTTAAAGTACGGTCTGCATTTATTGTAATTTGGGTGGGGGCAGGGTGTGGGCAAGGTTTGTTGTTTTCATAGCGCTATTATAATTTTCAAGTCAACATCAAAAGTCTTGCTAATCGTGTTTTTACCAAAGGGGAACTTTTTATTCTGTATGTAAAAATACGAATATACATAAATACCTGCAAAAGACAAAATTACTTAAAAACAGATAAAATTTACCAGTTATACCAAAAGTCTATTAAATGACTGTATATCGTGTACCAAAATATAGTAGGATGACTGCAAACAATGCATAGGCACATTGCTGCCTATAATCTTGGTGCAAATTAGAATCCAATATATTTTAGTGTCGGTTACCTTTGGCACAGTTTAATTAAGAAATAATGTACACCAGACAACTGACTGAATCAGGGTTTTTTTGTTGTGTTTTTTTTTTTTTTTTTAATCAATGGAGAAAACATAAATAATTTATAATAAAACTTAAAATGTGTGACTATACGTTTGGAACTTAAAGGGACACTATAAGTACCCAGACCACTTCAGCTCATTGAAGCGATCTGGGTAAGCAGGTAATTACTGCAGTTTTTTGATAAATTACCTGCTAGTGTCTACCAATACCACATTAGAGGGACTTTTGGGCTGTTCCAACTGATGCTGGACATCTTCCTGCTATGCATGTGGATGTCCAGTGTCGCTCCCCATAGGCCATTGCTGCACATGCACATTAGGTCTATCCTCTGTCTGATGTCAGCAGGGAAGGCGGACTCGAGCCAGCGGCGAGGGACATCAGCGCTGGACTCGGGTAAATGACAGAAGGGGTTCTTGACAGAGGAGGAAGCTATAGTGCTGGGTAAATTAGTTTGTTTTCCTGGCATTATAGTTTCCCTTTAAGGGGGGGGGGACTAGTTTGCCAATGTGATACAAAGAGAGGGATTTGTAAGACATGAGAGAGAGTGGCTGGGAAGAGTAGGAAGTACAGGGATTAGAAGAAAGAAAATGAATGTAGGGAAGTTGAGGGCCAATTAAGTAGTGGAGGACCATGTTAAATAGTTTCAGACTTTAGCGGTGGCCTGACGATGTGATTTGTGCGATTAATTGGTATTACTCTAATAAAACTGACAAGATCTCCAAACATTTATATTTGTCAGAGTGGCCTTTCAGAGCTGCGGTGCACACTTCCAGTTGGTGGATCTCCTCCACGCAGCCCAACCAGCTCTGATGGGAAGGTGGGCTCCGCTGCAACCAAAGGGAGGGGACAAGTGATTTGGTGGCTGTCGGCAAATGATTAGACCGCGTTTTCCTATGTTTAATAGGTAATTTAGTGTGGCTCGGGAGCATGTCAGCAGGGTAGAATTCCACTGCCTCACCTGCAGCTGTAGTCTTAATATCATACACCTTCCTCCCAGAAGATGTGCAGGTTTTGATCCAACCTCCCCTGGCATCTCCAGCATTGGTCTATTGCCCCTAGGAAGAACCTGTGCAAATATACCCATTTCTTACTATTTTATAATTAAAGGGACATTGTAGTCACCAGAACAACTACAGCTTATTGTAGCGATTTTGGTGAGTGCAGTCAGTCCCTGCGGGCATTCTAACGTAAACACTGCTTTTTCAGAGGAACGATTTAATGGATCTCTTTGAGGAGATGCAGAATGGCCAAGGCAGCGTGTGGCTCAGCCCCCGGCATGCCTCATTGGCTGAGATCATCAGAACCGACTATCTCGGCCAATCCAATGCTTTCCTGTGGGATCATGCCTGTTTTCCAGAACTTGGCTTTTTTCATGCTCTGACACAGTTATTTTTTTTTCTTCTGGCTTCTCTGACATCATCAAGCATTATGATCTCAGCCTTGTCAGATGCTTCTCGTAGAATCACTGAGCACATGCGCGGCAGTTGCCATGACCTGCATTGTTTTTGGTAGATTGCTCTCGTTGTAAGGCAAATGAACCAGGAAGAGAAGGGCAGGTTATGTGCAAATTCCCTTGCATCATAACCTAAGGTAGCAACCTACGTTGATGTGGAGCTTAGTACGCTCTTCCATTGTGTTTCCTTTTAATGTATGGTGTGTTGTGAAAACATAGACACTATTTATTTAATGTCACGGGCAACACTACAAGGAACTGCTCATTTTTCAGTTTTTTCCTGCTTCAGCATTTGATGTCAGAGGTCAGCGTGCACTGAAGCTACGCCTACGGTTTGAAAAAGCTTTGCAATGTAACTAACTTCTTCACTACGGAGTTTCTTTTTGTTTAACAACATGGGAAGCATTGTGAACCCAAATTTGAGACAAAACAGTAGTTTTGCTTATGAGGATAATATATTAATGTTCAAGATTTCTTAACAATAAAATTGTGTACGATTTAGAGCAGGGGTCCTCAAACTTTTTAAACAGGGGGCCAGTTCATGGTCCTTCAGACACTGTTGGGGGCCGGACTATAAAAAAAATATATGAATGAATTCCTATGCACACTGCACACACATAAGGACATAACTAAACAATATATATATATATATATATATATATATATATATATATATATATATATATATATATATATATATATATATATATATATATATACACACAAACACACACATACTGACATACATACACACATACATACTGACATATACATACTGACAGTCAGGACCCCCAATTTAGAGCATTGTAATTTATGCTTTATAGACTTTTTGGGGGTGCGAATGCAAAAAATTAGTGATCATACAATCTTCGTGACTTGTCATGCCATGCAGATACTTTCTGAAGCATGCATTAGATGTGACAAACATAAATGTTCAAATACCACTCTATCTTCATAAAGGTTGCATACGTGAAAGTACCACACCCCACGAGAAATCAGCACTTTTAAAATTAACTGTGGAACTCCCCCCATGGCTGTCAATCAAACAGTCAGGGAGGATTCCTTCTTACTTACATTTGCTCCCCTGAGCTAATGGAAGTGGCAGGCTCTACTTCAGTGTGCCTGCCTCTTTCTCTCTCACAGACCTCAGACCAGCTCCTCTGCTCCAGACGTGCCCATGCGTGCATGTGAGCACCAATTCAGAGGCTTCTTAATGAAAAGCCTCTGATTGTTATTTCCCTGTGACAAAACTGAAAGTCTCTTCCGAGGAAAAAATGGCAAACGGCCCACGATGAGCGTGTGCTAATGCAAATGACGTGTGTGCTTTAGACCTCCCCATAGGAAAGCATTGAATCAATGCTTTCCTATGGCGAACAATCTGATGCTTGATGTCCTCATGCAGAGCGTGAGGATGTCCAGCGTCCGATGCCGGACCAAAGGTCCGTTATAAAGCAGGAAGCACCTCCAGTGGCTGTCTGGGAGACAGACCTTTTGCTGCAATATAAACATTGCAGTTTCTCTGAAAATGCAATGTTTAACATTGCAGCACTAAGTGCAAACGGGACATTGCACCAAGACTAATTCAGGTAGCTATAGTGGTCTGGGTGCCTATAGTGTCCCTTTAAATACAAAGTGAAGAGAGCTTCATTGTATCTATATATTTATTTTGTATTGGAATAGAAAAAAAAATTACGTCTATACACCTAATTGCAGACATGTCAACTTTACCAGTTCTGCGATTTGGAGGCGGAAGGGGAAGTAGCTTCACCTGAGATTAGCCCTTCTTTAAACGGGGATGTGTACAACTGTTTGCCTATAATGTGAGTGATTCTTGTATGGTCTGACTTGCCCTAAAGTTAACCCTAACACATTACAAACTGCTTTGTATGTGCAATCATACTGACCTTTTCCTTATTCCATCTGATGCTGTCTGACAGAGGCGTTCTGTCGTGTGATAGAAAGTAAACATTCCATGTCATGTCATGTGATTTGAGAAGTGTTGTTGATTGTGAGATTATATTTGGGGGGAAAAAAGTATTTTAAAACACGACACATTAGGAAGCAAAAAACCCTGCACTGAATTGTACAAAACGCAAAACAAATACCCGAATCCCAGAGAATCTGACAAATCTGCCTGATACGGACTTCAGTATCTCTACACCTATGTCAGATGTTAAGAGAACGCCAGGCAGTAGGAAGCCCAAACATGTTCACGTTCTCGAACAAGCAGAGCATCCAAGCAGCTTTTTATGGATTGGCATCCCCAGAGGCAATCTGACATAGACACCTACAGAGAAACAATGAAGGTCCAGGCACTCCAAGCGGGCATATTTATTATGAATACAGTGTTACTAGCAGCAACGTTTCGACCCAAATGTGTCTTTCTCAAGTTAGTTTGAGAAAGACGCATTTGGATCAAAACGTTGCTGCTGGTAACACTTTATTAAATTATAATAATAAATATACCTTTTTGAGCATTGGAGTGCCTGGGCCGCCTTCTTTTCTCTACTGGTATCCTGTTTGGGGTATTGTTGTTGCTCCGTTGAATAAGTGCAGTTCCTGCTATTTTTCTAATGTGGTATAATGGAGACCTATGTCTGAAATCAGAGTGTGGCTTGTCTCACAAACATCCCCCCTCCCAGTAACCAGTCTGCTGGAGAGAGAAATGGAGAAAGACGCTCACCTCAGTTTCTCCTTCCCAATGCTGACATGTTTTTACTTCATCCTGGAATGCCAGTAGCTTTAGCAACTTTGCCTGAGATAACAAAACGGGAAGTGTTAGACACCTGTACAAGAGTTCAGAAAAATGCCCTTGTTGTATCAACTGCTGTTTGACATCACTGAATGGAAATGGCAGTGGCAAGGCATCCAGAACTGAATGAATGATGAATGTATCTCTACCCCCCCCCCCCCCCTTTTTTTTTGTTTTTTGCTTTTTGTTTTTTGCCATTTCCAGATTGTGTAAGTAAGGCAGAGCGTTCCCTACTTTGTCTGCCCATTGGAGTGGTCTGGGTGCCAACTCCCACTACCCTTAACCCTGCAAGTGTAATTATTGCAGTTTTTTTATAAACTGTAATAATTACCTTGCAGGGTTAACTCCTCTTCTAGTGGCTGTCTACTAGACAGCCACTAGAGGGCACTTCCGTGTCCCTAGCACAGATTTCCTGTGCTAGAGTGTCGCTGGACGTCCTCGCGCTGTGTGAGGACCTCCAACGTAGCTCAATTCCCCATAGGAAAGCATTGCAAAGCATTTTCAATGCTTTCCTATGGGGAGCTCTAATGCGCATGCGCAGCATTGCCGTGCATGCGCATTAGATCTCGCCCACCGGTCGACGTAATGCAGAGGAGGAGCAGCAGCGAACTGACATCATCGCCGAGGGACATCGGCGGGGGTCTCAGGTAAGTGACTGAAGGAGTTTTCACCCCTTCAGCAACCGGGGATTGGGAGGTGGGAGGGAGAGGGGACCTGCAGTGCCAGGAAAACGGATTGTTTTCCTGGCACTGGAGAGTCCCTTTAAAATAAATTTTTTATTCAGTGGCATTTCTTGTAGAGAAGTATTGCTTTTAGTTTTTCTCCATGAGAAGCATTGAATTGGTCGAGTGCATACATTTTTTTCACTTATGACCCCAATGCTTCTATATTTGGACAAACATCATCAGAATTGATGGCTTCATTAGAGGCGTTGCAGCAATTGTGAGGAGAATCGACCTATCTAAACAATAGTGATTGTTCATGTTATTTCAAGACAAGAAAAAAAATCACAAGTGACCGGTCTGCATAAATGCTGAGTGTTAGAAGCATGCAAACGTATTAATGTGTATATATATGTCTGCTATGCACTTTAATGGAACAGTATAGGGTCAGGATCACAAACTTCTACTCATGACCCTATAGTGTTACAACCACCATCTGGCCCCCTAAATCTATAGTAAAATCTTACTTTTGTCAAGTCTGCAGCTGCCAGCTCTGCCCCTGATCTGCCTGCTTGGCTGACATCATAAGAAGTGATTCTCTGAGCCAATCACAATGCTTTCCCATAGGATTGACTGAGACTGTCAAGGATGCAGATCAGGGGCAGAGCCAGCACAAGTCAAACACAGCCCTGGCCAGTCAGCATCTCCTCATAGAGATCCATTGAATCAATGCAACTCTGTGAGTAAAGTTCAGTGTCTCCATGCAGAGGGTGGAGACACTGAAGATCAGTCACACTATGCAGCACTGCCCCAGGAAGCACCTCTAGTAGCCATCTGAGGAGTGGCTGTAATGTAAACACTGCCTTTTCTCTGAAAACGCAGTGTTTACAGCAAAAGGCCTGAAGGGAACGATTCTACTCACCAGATCAAATACAATAAGCTGTAGTTGTTTTTGTGATTATAGTATCCCTTTAAGCTTTGCTGTGCAATAAAGAGTAATGAGGGCAATTCATGCACATTTCTAAATTCTAAAATGAAATATTCGATTAGTAAAGGTCCGTGTGATCGGTGATTTTTGACATGCAGGGTGTTTCTTATATGTTAGTAGAAAGCATTTATGTGCAAGAAACCAGGGTGTCTGCTGCATACAGTCAAACCCATGGTCAAACAGAAACCCTATTGTATGCTTTAGGGACGGAATTATGCTGAAGGCACAGCTGTGTCACTGAGCGCCACTGATCATCTATCATGGCTTCTTTAAAGGGACCTTGTCTTTCTTCTTTAACATCTGACACAGTTTCAATTGCATGTTTTTGAGTTTTCAAGGTTTCAATTTGCTTGTTATTTAAATTAATTTGTATGGACTTATAAAATTGTAACACCTTCAAGGCCATTTTTTTAAATTTTATTATTATTTATATTATTTATAAAGCTACAACAAATTCCGCAGTGCTGTACAATTTTCAAATAGCTTGTGTTTAAATCCTTTCTCTTTCAGTCTGCTTAAAAAAAAAGCAATTCAAGTATTACTTTTCTGCGTTGCTGTAAAACCACATGCTGGTTATTATCTTAACACCTCAATGGGAAAAAAGTTCAAAGTGAAACCCAAAAAATTATGTGAAATTTGTAATTTTGTGGAGAATGGAGGCAGGCATCGGTCATGTGATTAGTTAACTGGCAGATGGATATATGAGCGAATTTGGTGCAGTTATTTATGCAATGCTAAACATTCCGTAAAATGGCAACCTTCGTTACAGCTGATTCTGAAAGTTCTGAGTTGATTGTCTGTTTTATACTTTAATGTTGGCGGCATCTTTATTTAAACTCTTCCACTTCTGTTTGTGTTTCCTGTCCTAGCATGCTGAGTGTTGGCCTGCTGCCAAATGCATGATTTTTGCAAAAGCCTCTTGCATGAAAGAGTAACGTCGCAGACACGCTGGGGTGAAACGATGCAATTGTGTGTTTATAAACAGAGGTTTATGGGAAATACACATAAATGCGTAGTGCAATATTCATAATGTAGATTAATTCACGGTTTTGCAAGTACATTTAAACCGTTCTGCATGGTGGTGGTGGTTCAACGGGCGCGAAAGGCACTTAGACCACTTCATCTTATTGCAGATGGGGGGGAGGAGGAAGGGGCACAGTCACCTAATAGTTTGTAGGACAAAATAGCGTTACATGATTATTATTTATAAAGTGCCAAGAAATTCTGCAGCGCAGTACAATAGCAGGACTAATAGGCATGTATTTATGACCAGACGAGTTGGTTGAGGGCCAGAGGGGTTGAGGGCCCAGCTCAATGATCTTACATGTTTATATTTGTAAAACTATAGTCTCCTTCTAATGAAAATGTAAAGATGTTGGGCTGAAAGTGTGAAGTCCAAGATTGGCTGAAAGAAATCAATCATTTCCTGTTTTGAAGAGGATATCACCGGGAAAATAGCAGAGCCTGGGGATTTTCTGCAGGCAAGGGGCATTCAGAGATGTATTAAGAGGTTAATGCATCACATGGTTCTGCGTTTAATATGGTGGTGTGTGCACCCAGGAATGCCCCCTTTTAAAATGTTTGGGTGTTTTTTGTTTTTTTTTAATGTTTTTTTTTTCTTCTTTGTATAGAATAAAATGTGTGTTTACACATAGATGTTGCAACATTTGTGAGACTTGTAAATCTTGCTCTCTAGAAGACTGTTAAAGGAGGGCTTATTTTATGGGTTTTTGTTTTTTTTCAGGAATTTTTTAAATTCTTCTTCTTTTTTTTTTTTTTTAAAAGACTTTGAAACCAGTCTGCAACTATGTGTATAGTAAGAATTAGTGAGCGTTAAAAGCACTTAACGTACTGTATGGGTAGTTATTTGTCAGAGCGTTGCTGTGGAAAGCACGGCATGTAGGAGCCAAAACGCCACAAATAACTCCGATATATCAAGCCTAGCCTGACATTCTGACGCTCAGTTTCTACATTCTGTAGAGATTCATGCTAAAAATGTTAATATTTTCAGTTTTTTGTTTTAGAAAAAAAGTGTTTGATTTTTTTTCTTTCCACAGAAATGATGCATGTAAGTGCATTTTTTGCACAACCAACATAAAGTGTGACCGGTTTTGCTGGCATTAAAGGGACACTATAGGAGCCCAGACCACTTCATCTCATTGAAGTGGTCTGGATGCCTATAAACTAGATGTTTGTAAACTTTGGTTTGGTCTCAGAGGGACCTTGTTTTGCCCCCCCCTCCCCTCCCCCTGATTGTAATAGGTGTCGCCGCTGAAATATCCCAAATAGGTCACTATTGCCTCGTTTCCACTGAGCGGTACGGTTCGGAAGGTTTAGAGTGGTCCAGCCTATTCAGCTGAGCGTTTCCACTGCAAGTTGGACTTCCAGGGGGCATGCGGGGTTTAGACCAAATGCCTAGTGTGTCATTTGTTGTGAGCATTGACGTTTTCCTGTCCGCTAATCAATGGATTGTATAGTGTGACGCCAGTAGCTCCGCCCTAACCGTACCGTACCATTTCCTATGGATCTAAATCCGAAGGGGGCCCAGGAATGTTGCGGTTTGGTTCAGTTGTATGGGCCACTTTCATAATGGAAACACTCAAAATAGCGGACCAGACCGTACCAACCCGACCCATACCGCTCAGTGGAAACGAGACGTTGGCTGCCAAAATCAGTTTTGTAGCTATCACAGGTGATCAAATGATGTGCAACGCAAAGAGATTAGTGTTTTCTCAGATGTCTGTCAAGATAATAAAAATATTGTTTTTTTTCCTCCTCCTATTTGGAGTGTTTTGTTAGAAAATGATATAGAATTTTATAGCACCTCCGCTTTAAAAGTTTGATTCCCTACATAGTTTTGTATCATCTTACTTTGGTTCCAAGAATGATAAAATTCATATAATGTGACTGAGTAATATCTACTTATCTGCTGTTAATGTATGTAAACTTTTACGGGGTTGTTCTCTAACTACAGTGTGAATTGTCAGGGATTCAAAATGTGTTTAAACTTTTAGTCCAAAATATGTCCCAAGTCCGTTTCTTTTTACTATTTTGGCCTAAGCATTAAAATTCACATTGAATTCTCAATAATTCACACTTTAGTGATTAACCTTGTCTTAAAGGGACACTATAGTCACCAGAACAACCACAGCTTAATGTAATCTTCCTGGTGTCTACTGCCTGTCCCTGCAGGCTTTTTGTTGTAAACACTGTAGTGTTTGCATTGCTCCATATAGACACCACTCAGACACCTACTAGAGGTGGCTCCTGGGGCAGTTCTGCACAATGTGCTGAACTTTCCCCACAGAGGTGCATTGATTTAATGCATATCTATGAGGAGGTGCTGATTGGCCAGGGCGGTGTTTCACTCCACCCCTACTCCGCCTCCATGACTGAGGTCATCAGAATTGGCCATCTTGGCCAATCCAATGCTTTCCTATGGGATCGTGGTAGAGGCAGGACCGGCGGATGTGCGCGGAACTGGACTAAAGGTATGTTTTAACAATTTTTAGGGGGCGGTGGTGGGCAGGGGCCACGAACTGCATTTTATCACTATAGTGTTCACTTAAGCAATTTAAATAATCAGGGGAAAAGTGCTATAGTAGTGTGCAATTTATTATAATTTTTGTTGGTTTTTAAAAAGTAACATATTTTTTTAAATGGTTTTAAAGTGAAGTGTTACATCCATCTGTTTAGAGTGGCATATACTTATTTTCAGAGTTTAACAACAAACTGAAGCCACAATATAGCATCGTCATTTTTTTTTCCTTAGCATGGCACTTATTTTGCCAAATTATGCCAAAAAGAAAAGAGGATTTGTGATTAGCTCAGCAGGGTGATGCTTTAGCCTTTCCATGATATTTCTTTAAACTTGTTATATTTTAAAAAAAAAATTCTCTTTTCTTTTTCCAATTTCCTCTCTTCTCACTGTAGTGGAATTGGGACGTTTGGCTAATTACACAGTCCTCAATTTTCTTTAATGTAATTTCCTCTTTGCACCTATATTGATACGCTGTGTCTGGTTGTTTATATTGTGAAATATTGTTGTGTTAAACTGAAAAAAAAGCAAAAACAAGTGTTCAAACCTCCCTGCGCACCGCCCCCATGTTAAAAAATGATGTGCATTTCTGAAATATTTTAATTCTTCCAATGACTAAATGTAGCAAATTCAAATTACAAAACAGATGCCAAAAATAACGAAGCAGTGACTATATCTGAGTAGGAAAACTTTCTCTGTTTGCTTAACCTTTTGTCATTCGAGTTCAATTTGAAGGAAAATATACACTATGGCTTCAATTTAATATTATTGGAGATTCTTTTTAAATGACTTAATATTATGAAAAATATTAAACATTTTGTAAAATATTGAGATTTAATAATTTGTAAAAAAAAAAAATTCATATTTTTTCCAAGGCCTATGTGAGTGATTTTAAATGTGAGTGATTTTAAAATCAGTATTTTAATTTTGCATCCTCTTAAATTTGGTCACCCTATGCTGGAAGGGAGCAGATAAATTCATTTTGTAGAACTTGGTGGTTAATACCCCTTTAACCCACAGGACAGCTGTTGTGATGCCCTGTACTAAGTTTAGTGTTGTTGAATGCAGATCAATGAACTGCACATGGATAAAACTTGTCTTCAAAGTAAATCCTCAATGTGTGCATTCCTGAAATTCAGCAAACTGGCTGGCAAACAGGAAGCGTATATACGGTGCTGTGTGATGTCACCACACATTGTACATAAACACACATGCCCTGCTCGTTTGCATTGTATCTAAACGCATAGGGTGATTTTTAAGGCTGGGTTGAATCATGCTCAAGCAAGCCCTTTACTTCCTGTTGAGCACTGCGTTGCTCTGCAAGAAACGGGCAATGCTCTTTTTATAGTGACATGAGTTCATGATGTCTCATAGTGAGATCAGACTAACCTCTCTGGGTTTGGCATGTGCAAGTGAATTATCTACTTTAGTTTTTTTTGTGTGTATATATATATATAATATAATTTTTTAATTTTTTGTTCTTTTTGTTGTTAATTGCAATGCAAGACCGCCACAGTGCAGATTTTTTTTTTTCTATAATAAAAAAATAAGCAAACTTACTATTCAGTTAAAATAAAACAAAAATTATAAAATAGCAATGCACGTTTTGTGACCTACTGTACCGTGGAAGAAATTGCAGTGTAATATGTCTTTAACTCTGGGCTTGTGCCATATATGGCTACAGGAAGAGGGTGGTTATAGGGAGGTAGGGCCCAAATCTTCTAGCAGGCAGCGAAAGTGAGAATGGAACACAGGGAGGGGACAGAAAATGTAACATTTTGCTACTAGTAACTTGAATACAACCAAGGATACATTTACAGATCAGGAATTGCAAGAGCTAAAGAAATGACTTAATAATGGCACAAGAAAATATAAGTCATCTTTGGAAGAGGAACAACATCAAGTAAGCTTGCTTGGGCAGGACAGAGGGCTGAGTATTTTTTATATAAATCTTCTTACAGTGCAGAGGGAGGGTGCACACTGAGTTTGTGTTGTGTAATTGTGAGAGAGAGAGAGGGAGGGGAATTACTGAGCTGCACACTCTCACTGCTTGCTGGGGATTTTGCTATGTTGTTGCAAGCAATGAGCTCAGATGATGAGTCAGACCATGCAGTCATTCTACTCTGCACCCAATTACTGCCATTGCATAGTGAGAGCTGGGGGAATACTGCTGCGTTTTAGCAGGACTCTATATTCCAAGGGTTGGGGTGGACCCTTTGCACTGGTACCAAGCACAGGGTGGACCGGTTGTTGCAAGAGAAGAGCGATCAAGCCTTAGTTCTGCAATCGCTGGGTACCTGCAACACAAGCCATTTTTATTTTGCACTTCCCCATTTAGAGACGAAGAGGCAACACTGTATATGCCCTGTACAGCCGAGGGTCTGTTTGCTGGAACCTGGTGAGTTATTACAGGGCTTGGTAAAGGGTGGGGGAATACAGAATTATGGGAATATTTTCAAGAGTGGATTGCACGTATTACTTTTTTATTACTTTTTTAAATCTTTGTTTATTCTTTAACCGGTTTGCAAGGTGTTTAGTCAGTCATATGAATCACCAACTCCTTTTATCGATTCCCGGTCATACCCAGTCCTGCAAGTTTTTTTCTTCCAAATGATGCAATTTGGTAGCAAATGTTTGAACGCAGTATATACCCGCTCCCTTAGATTGCTCCACCTTTGCTGTATTTAATGAATTTTCCTGTAAATACATAAATATGCATGTCGGGGATGCAAGTAATAAATCATTGTCATGTGCAGAAAGACCTTTCTCTGTTTAATGTGGAATTGAGAGATGGGACTTCACAAGAGCTTACAATCTAAATCCGGACTAGAAGCTACTAAACATTAAATTAATTAGGTATGGGTCTGTGGACCTTCCATTGGAGAGGATACGAAGCTTTAGATCTTTAGAGACTATCGTATGACAGTCTTGTCTCTGTCAATTCTTGTTGTATAATCGTAAAGTGTTGCGAAATATTTTGGTTCTATATCAATGCTAATAATAATAATATAGGGTAAGGACAGTGCATGGCACCACTATGTTACTCTTGCATTAACCATGGGTTGAACTGATTTTGCAATAATTAAGGGTCTTGTTGGTGTTGCCTTAGGTTAACAAAGGGTTAAGAAGTAGAGGCCACCCCCACCCTCCCTACTTCTCTCTTCCAAGAATGTGTACTGTAATGTGGTATAGCCTCAACTTGCTGGCTCCTGTTTTCTGTGCAGAAGTTGAGTCTAGGAGGTGCATATTATTATTATTATTATTATTGCATATGCATCTTGTCCGCTATAAATAAACGTGATCCTTGTGGTCTCTGTGTTCTGCTGCAGTCTCTTTTTGCAGCAAATTATGGGAGCTCGGAGGTGAAGGGAATTGGTTTCAAATGTAGAAGGCATTGACCGCCTGGACACAAAGTTCTACATAGTGCGTGTGAGGGTGGTCATACGGTAGACCCTCAGCTGATTTTAAACAAAAAAATATCCCATTTTGCTTTGCTAGCCTTAAGCTGATAAAGCAACATGGACTTTGTAGTGTAAGAGCTGTGGGGTCTACGGTTTGACTAGTGGTCTTCCAAAAGGTCCTACGTTCAGGCTTCCTCTCCAGAGTGATGTGCTAGCTTAAGACACTTAACCCAGTTACGGTCATCATGGAGTGATCATGTGCAGTGTGCCAAGCATGAGATGACACTGTGATAGTTAATAGTTTGTTTTCATGCTATCTGGGCTTGCCACGTGTCTGATCAAAACTGGAGCAAATATTAGTTTTTGTATGAAATATTACATGAAAGACATTACTCGTTTACCGTAGTCAATTAAAATATTTTGCAATCCTTTTGTGATTTTTATCCTGCCACCCAAATTATTTTAGCCCCCCACCCCTATTCTGTTAGCAGCCATTGCATTGCTAACTCAATTTGCTGAAACCCATACAATTACAGAGAATATAGTATATGATGTATTTGAATTTTTTTGTAATTTTAGATTTACCAGATCTAAATACTTTGATGCAAAAATCAGTTTGCCAGTCTGTGCTGTTGAATCCTAAAAAAAAACAACAAAAAACTTGTAATCCTTCCCAGTAACAATGTAGTCATTTTAAGACATCTTTCTATCTGTTCAAGCTTTTAATTTTGCACCATTACAATTTTTTTTTCTTCTTACAAAAAAAAAAGTATTGATTTTTGCATAAGGATATAATTTGAACCATATGTTTTTAGAATAATAAAAATTTATAGAAGCCAATCATATAATCTGTTTACCATTGGCGAGGTATAATCTTGACTTTTATTGGAAATTCTTCAGTTAACAATATTAAGCTCCTCAAACGCAAGCTGTCTGTTTTTAACCCCCTGTGTGCCAGGGCAGTGCAGAATGAGTGTGTGTGTTTGTGCAGACCCAGGCGTTCCTCCCCCCCCCCCCATTTATATTGTTGAAATTCCAAGCTATGCATGCAGCCGCCCCTTCCAGGAAATTATGCCCTTGTCTTTTTTCCAGCTCTCTCTCTTTAATCCAGTAAAACATGTCGAAAGAGTGAGAGAGACAGATCTAGGAGTGGTTTACGACAGTTGCTGATACGAAGTCACAAACTTCACAAACAGATCAGCCTACTGTCATTGTGTGGGAGGCTCACCTGTGCAATATTCAAAGGCAGGCCTTGTGCAACAATTTGCACAACTATTTCGCTTTGAATTCAAGCTTTCTTCACCAGCTGAAGGTCTTGCAAAACTTTTGCCTGCTGTGTCTACTAATTGCAGTTTCAATTCTGGGAAGAGCTGAAATTTGCGTGCTTTAGAGTGTAAGCTCACAGGAGAATTTGATCATGCTTTGCCCTCCGGCATTAATACAAAAAGCATTAAAGACTGGCTATCGTTACGCAGATTTCATGCAAAATCCCTTCATTCAGCCTAGTTTAGTGTTTTCTGCATGGCTGCAAGGGATAACAGCTGTGACAGGTCCCCTGGCTACCACTGTGCAGTTAAAGCTGCTTTGCAAAGCAGTCTTTCAAACCGTTCCCAGTACCATGTAGAACTAAAGGATTGCAATACAAAGTACAATACTATGACTGTGACTCCATTGTTTGTAGAAAAGGTCACAAACAAATCCGTCATGTGCTTTCCTGATTCAGTGTTTTCATAGATTACAACATGCTTAGATGGTGAGATTCATTGCCGGTGATTTGCACTGTGCACAGCTGTCATTTAACTAGATTTCTGGGTTTAATATTGGGAGTTTCCCTGTTGAATGTAAGCTCTTCGGATCAGTGCAGCTCTATTTGTTCCATTGTGTACATACAACGCCAATGATTGGTTACATGCTAACACTGCGCCTAGCGCAGGGCAAAAACATTCGCATTCGCAAAATAATGCTATTCAATATATGGATGTTCTAGGCCACAAGTGATGAATGAAATGTAAGGCCCTTGTCAACTCTTGTATCTGTTAGAATTTCTATAATTTTGTCTTCCAATGCCTTACTGTTGTATATCTATACTGTATTATAGTAATGCGCTGCAGAATATGTTGGCGTTCTAAATCCAATAATATTTTTAATCATGTAACAGATTTTTCTGTCCGCTCTTAACCCTTACCCACACTGATAAGGAAATGCCAGTAATAATCTCGCAAACAAGTCAAGAGATGGACTAATGGTATAATTCATATCTGCTGTGAAGGGAATTAATAAAAATATATTTTGTGGGTGTCTTGATTAACCTCTTCAGGGATATTTAATGCCTTCGTCACTGTCAGAAAGGAATGTGTTGCTGATTTAGAAGCAGAAACTGTATACAGAGTTGCTGCCTATAAATAACTGGGACATTCCATTGTCATATGGGATATTTAAACTAACATTTGAAATACAAACCTGTACTGCTGATATCAGCCAATCTCTACAGGAAAGCATTGATGGGCTGCACCAATCAGCATCTCCTCATAGAGATTAGATCATTGCATCTCCATAGAAAGCAAGCTTTTGATGTGTTCATGCATAGCGTGAATTTTGCAGAGATTGCAGGACCGCACCAGGAAGCACCTATAAAGGTTACCAGATTGACAGGCACAAGAGGTGTCCTTTGTGACGATTGTAAACCATGTCTTTTCACAGAACTTTCGGTTGTAACAATTGTAAGACTACAGGGACAGGCTCTTTATACCAGAACGACTTAATAAAGCTGCAGTGGTTCTGGAGTTTAGAATTTCTCTGTAAAGGTGTTTGTTTGTTTTTTTTATGGCGGAATTATTCCTGTCTTGGTCCTTAAAGGGGTAACCATCTAGGATACCATAACCTTTGATGGCCTTAAATCTATACAGTTTGTTGTGTTGGCAACTGTTGTATTGAGAGGATGTGATGCTTGCACAGACAGGGGTGTATAATTGGGTGCTGCAGTTTAGTTCCTTACAGATTGTTCCTTCTTGTGATACCCTTGCAGTACAAGGAGTGCTGTTTTGAGTTTGGAGTTGGCTGACATTGTATAAATCCTGCTCCGCTATGAATAAATCCATAGGCAGTGGGTGTGTTTGCAACCATGTGTTTAATGTAGTCACTGGGCAGCACTTGTGCGTGGGCGTCCGTACTGATTTGTATGCCATGGTATGCTGGGAATTCACACAGACAATTCTCTGCTTATTAGATTAATTAGTGTGATGTCACTTACATTGTATCTTAACCCTTTATCTGTGAAGGTTCCATTAATACACCCTGGGTAGCAACATCCGTCTTCCTGTCAGCTTAGGCCAGAAATAGTCCAAAATTAGTACTGCAGCTGTCGTGCACTACCTTACCCATGATCCTCAGGCAGGCATTTGGGAAATGAAGTCCATGTCAGCTGCAGTGTCACTTGGCAAGGATTTAAATGTATCCTGTCCAATAATTTCATTATATTTTTTTATTATAATTTCATTATTGTCATTCCGGTTTGGAAATACGAAGTCAATATTAGCCTATATCTTTAGCCCTTTTCGTTACCAATTTTAAACCCATACTCCCTCCATTCAGCTTTATAAAGCGAGAATTGTGGGACATTCAAAGAGATTTTTTTTTTTTCAGTTTAGCTATTTTAACCTTAAAGTGGCACTATAGTCAACAAAACAACTTTAGCTTAATGAAGCAGTTTTGGTGTATAGATCATGCCCCTGCAGTCTCCCTGCTTAATTCTCTGCCATTTAGGAGTTAAATCAATTTGTGTATGCAGCCCTAGTCATACCTCCCTGCATGTGACCTACACAGCTTTTCTAAACACTTCCTGTAAAGTGAGATCTTATGTTTACACTTCCTTTATTGCAAATTCTCTTTAATTTTGAATTAATTTTCTCCTGCTCTGTTAATAGATTGCTAAATCCTGCAGGATCCTCCTGTATGTAAAGTTAAATTTACAGAGTAGGAGATAAAAAAAAATAAAAAATATATAATGTAAGTTACATATGATTGAAAGTAAAACAATTTTTTCATGCAGATGTGTCAGTCACACAGTCATTACCCCCTCCTTCCTGTAGACCGTGTAACTGGTGAATGGAATCCTTGACCCCAAGAATAGTACACAATTACCATTCAGTAACAATGTATTTAGTGTTTTTGTTGTTCTGACCAACTATTACTTTCATTGCCATAATGTACACTCTTGAAATGCGGCAATACACTAACATAGCAAATACATAGGGTATACCCAATGTTTCTGGGCTGTAGTGGGCTCCGTGCCATTACAGAGAGTCTATCGTACTGTTGCTGTGAGTTTGATTGGGTCCATTATTGACCAGATAAGACTGCTTTGGTTCCCATCTCTCTCCATGTTGATTGATTTTGTCCCACAGTAGTTATGTGATTAAATGTTTTACATTTTTATCCCACTATATTTCCCATTAGTGAGGGGGGGATTAGCAGCAATGTACAAATCATGTCAACAGCTTAAAAACAATCTTTTTACACTGCTTTTATTGTTCATGTGCAGACACGTTGTTTTTGCTGAGAATGCACGGTGTTAGTGTACATTTTATCAGATTACAATATATTAAGCCATCTAGCTGTTACTATCTTCCCATCAGAAGGATTCTCAAAATGTTCCAGGACTTATCAGACTATTGCATCTTTTATGATTTTACTTTTATATTTCAGTTGCAAAGGGCATCCTGTCTGGGTCACGTTGACAATACATCTACAGATTTTAAATGTTCATTTTCAGTCTTACTTCCTTACAAAAAAGAGAACCTGTATAGTTTAAGATGCGTTTATTATGTCCATATTGATGAAGTACACTCCAGATGCTGTGGACTACATCTCCCATAATACTCTGTCATAATGCTGGCAAAGCATCATGGGAGATGTAGTCCGCAACATCCAGAGTCCCGAATTTTGCGTGCCTCTGATTATGATCAGGTGTGTTTTTTTTTTTTTTTTCCTTCAGTGATGCTAAGAGCGTTGAGCACAGTAATGCACAATCTAACATAACTGTAACAGTATCTTTACACTTTTCTCATAATTAAATTTAATGTAAAGAGTTCCTCTAACCCTGAGTTTCATTTTCTAGTTTGATTATACCCCATCTGGCACCATTAACCAGCCTCCCTCAACCCTTGTTTCACTTGAAAAGGAACTAAATAATTGTACCTTGAATCCATCACCGAACGAGGTCCTCTTTGCTCATTTCCATGCCCTGTATGACATCGTCACACTGTGTCTGCTGAGGTCCAATCAAATGCTACTATAAATATATTGTTCCAAACAGAGGGAGGCAGGAAGGGATTGGAGAGTGGGCACATTACTTTGATCCTTATTTAAACAATATTGAGAAATGATCAGGAAATGTAGTTCCTCTTGAAATTTAGCTGCTGGTGTGCTGGTTTATTGTTGACATAATTTTAAAGTCCCAATAAGATCTTTAGAATAAAGAAACTGCAATAGACGTGATTTGTGGAATACCTATTTGATTGTTACCAATCTTTTTCTAAAATAAGATCATCCGCTCCAGGTCGTTTTGAATGTTCTGGTTTACAGATGTGGTCGATGTTTTAAAATAGTTGAAGATAAATGACACATGCACAGCTTGCACCTTTTGAATAATGTATGTTACACCATATTAAGGTTGTCCTGGTCAGGATTTACATTCTGAGGATCGTCCAGGGCAATTTTCCAGCTGTGTAAACCAAATCTTCCTTCAGTAATCTCACCATTCCAAATCCTGTCTTCTCTGTGCAGATTAAAATCAGTGTGATTTTCAGACATTGCAATGCCATTAAATTACAGACAGCTCTTTGTCGTTCATCTTTCATGAAAATAAAATCCAGGCTTGTTTTTAGAAACTGCCTAGCGACGAACCTACCTGGAGTTTGTGGAGTTTAAAGGGGCTAACCTGACAACCCCTTTTTAATGAGTTATATAGGATAATGCTTTACTAATATACCAATGAAAAAATAGATCATTTGCTTACGTTTAAAGATTCAGCTAATGTTTTGCAAGCAGGAAAACAGCAGGCCAAAAACACTCAGACCAGGAAGAGGCTCAACTAGTCAGGAACTTCTCGTCCTGGTAGTGTTGGAACGGATGAGTGTAGCCTCTTAACAAACTGTTGCCACATCATGGTTGCAGTTAACTTGCTCACAGCCACATTCATAATTGTGCTTAGTGGTCTGTGTGCAGTGATTTCCATAGACCTTTATTTCACTTGAGCACAGCCTGTGCCAGTGCTCGGCATGTACATTTTGGACACTCAAATTGGACGACAAGGAAGAGGTAGATTCAGATTAAACTTTTATTATCACTGTACAATGTGAATGCAAGAACAATGAAACACAGTTGGCAATCAAAAATACTTTATAAAAAATGTACTCTCAGTGTAAGCTTTTTTACAACCTATACCACATACCATAATTCCCTAGTACTTAAGAAATACAATCCTTCTGTGTTAATACAATTTTTATGCCTAATAATACAACCCATAGCCCCCATCTAAGTAAAAGTCGACTTTTGGTCGCCGAAAAGACGCTGGATGTCCTCATGCTTTGGCTCTATCGACATCTGACATTGTCTCTGTACTTGCGTTTTAAGCTTGGTCTTGCTATTTCTTGCAAAAAGATAATTTGCCATTTTTTAAGGGACATTGCTGACCCACACGGAACACATGGACACTTGCAGACAACGATGCAGGGCTAGAGGACGTCGTTTGGTGGGCTCACTATTAGACAGACTTGGAGTCTATGCTGATAGTCTGTCTGTTAGGACGGAGGGGAAGTATGATGTTTAACGCACGTTTTAAGGGGGGATCTCTACGTTTTCTGAGGGGTGGGGAGAGTCTGGATGGTTCAGGTTAAGCAGAAAATGTAAAAAAAACAAAAAAACATGCATTTAAAAGGTATGTTTGCAGGGTTGGCTTCCTAGTACCATAACCACTGCAAAAACATGTATTGGTTATAATGCTTGGTGTGTACCTTTAAATATAGGTAGCTAGAGGGACAGCATGTCACGGGATGACGTTACAGAAACTAACACAATATCCCATGGGATTTAGGAACTCACAGGAGGATGATGTTTTCTAGAAAGGGGTTGGCTGCATCAAGAAGGCATCACCAAAATTTGTAGAGAAGGAAATGTGTAGACATCGGGAGGAAATACTTTTGTACAGAGTCATGGGCGCAGGGATAATCCCATTGCATTGCATTGTAGAGGTTAATACAGTGGAAAAGTTCAAGATGACCTAAGGCAGAAAATGCTCCCTGGGGCAGGAAACCTAACTGAAAATAAAATAGTCTGTGTGTTGTAGATTAAACATTTTAGGGAAACGTGTAGACTGGACAGTCGTTTGATTTTATCTGTCATCAGAACTGGTTTCATTGTATTCCAGCTTTATAAAAAAGTGCTGTAACAACGAGGGGTGAGTTAGTACATAAGCATATTGTTTTAGTCTTCTGATCACTGAATAATGGCAGAAAGCAATATATTTATTTTGATCCAAAATGCATTCCTGCCGAGACACTTCCGGCTCTAGGTAGGTTGTGGAGGCATGGAATGGTGCCCGGGGGACCCCAAGTTAAAAGCCAAACCGAGGATTGGCTGCTTACAAAAAACTGTAGTGACTATGGTGTTTGGAGTGTTTTATTTTAATAGAATGTTAATGCAACTTTCATTTTTTCCTTCTGTATTACACGTGCATTTTTCACTTAGCCGGATCATGGTGACAATTCAAGATGAACACTCAGGTTTTTGAACTAAACATTGAATTGTAGCAGAAAAAAAGGCAAATTTGAGGGTAAAAAAAACCCTTTATATTCCCAACTTGGCTGTCTTAACACCAATATTATTTGGGTTTGAATTTGCTACAATTCGGGGTTATAGTGAAGAACAGAGTGTGCTTTTCTCAGATTGTAGCGTGTCGACATGTCGATTGCACCACTGACTTCAGATTGGGTTGGGCTTTTTTTCCCCCAACGTTTAGAAAAGTGATGTTCTTTTCTGGATTGAGAAACCGCAATCCTTAAATATTTTCCAACCAAACACCTCTAGCAATAGATTTTCCAATCTTGTTCTATTGCAGCGTGTTTTTTCCTTTTGCAGCTGCCGGCTGATAACATCTATGCCAAAACAAGTTGAATGAACATTTAAGCTGGCATTTAAGTAGAAAATGAAATCCAGGTGGAACAATTATTGAGATGTTTGCACAACAAAAAAAGCTTTAACTAAAAGTTGCTGTTGTGTTGTGTTTTTATTTTTCTAAAATATTACTTTTTTTGTTTTGTTTACCTAACTATTCAGACTGTGCATCCAAGGTAAATTAACTTAATGGGACACTATAGGCCCAAAGGCCACTTCAGCTCATTGAAGTGGTCTGGGTGCATGTCACAGGCCCCTTAACCCTGCAATTGTACTTATTGCAGTTATTAATTAATTGCAATAATTACCTTTTGAGGGTTACCTCTATCTCTAATGGCTGTCTACCAGACAGCCACTAAAGGGATTTCCCGATGGTTAGGCGACATTTGGTCGATAGACGCTGGATATCCTCACGCTCTGCATTCTGCATCAGATAAAAGCGCATAGTAAAACATTGCTGATGCAAATGCAGTGCTCAGCGCCCTTGTGCATTAGGAACGGAGGCGGAACCTGACCTAGTACACTAGAGGATTAAGAGCTTGCAGGGCCCAGTGCAGTCTGCAGATATAAACTAGTTTCTGTTTTTATGGGACCGTTAATTGCTCTCCTTATAAAAAAATAAAAAAAATCTGCGAGTGATATAATCCTGATCAAAACCTTGAGACGACAATTCACTTAATCCACAATTGTCGTGAACTAAAAACTGAATCGGACTATTCTGGCTAAAATATCTGATTACGAGGAATTCTCCGATCCGGTTATACGCACAACTTGGCTTTAGTAGCCTACCTTATGCAACTCAGTTTTTTTAGTTCGGTATTTTATTTTTGTTAATACACCTCATAGCCTCTCACATAAATATTGGTGAATTAAAATGTGGAATACTTAACACCACATATAGTGTGATGTTTATGCTTCACGTTAAAATGCAAGCATGTTTACAAGGTCTGTGTTCTCCCGAACACCTGTTCTTTGTTTTGTTTTTTTGAAGGGGGGGGGCAGGGGCGGTGGGTTCTATCCCTTAAGGATTGCAGTGTTTCAGATGTGTAAAATGGAGCATCTTCCTTGCTACTGGACAACAACACCCACACTTCCCTGCCAGCATTACCCAGCATCCCTCTGGTTTTAACAGTACAACGTAAAACCTTGCCGTTTTGTAGAAAGTGCACCTTTAGTGGCTTACTTAATGTCTCTTCCTCTACTAGGATGGCGTTTCACCCAGTCATGTGACCAAGTGCAGATCGTAGGAAAGCATTGAATTCGATAATACCCTGACCTATACCATAATTCTGTAGAAAAGACTGGCAGCGGATGATGGGATGCATAATTCAGAGCATCTTAAAGGGCAGAGGCTCTTTTATCTCTGCTCTAAATAGGAGGCCTCTAACTTTCAAAACTTTTTTTCTCTCATAGAGGTTGTAGACGCAGAGTATTATTCAGTGCAAATAAAGCTTCAAAACAAAATTACAGTTCCTTAAAGGACCACTATAGTGTCAGGAAAACAAACTCGTTTTCCTGACACTATATAATCCTTAGGTGTCCCCCACCCTCCCGCTGGGTTGAAGGGATTAAAACCCCTTTAGCCACTTATCTTAATCCAGTGTCGGGCTCACTCAGCGCTGGTGACCTCACCTCCCCCTCCGACACCAGCTCCCGAGTGGAGCAGAATGCGCATGTGCGGCCAGAGCCGCAAGCGCATTAAAAACGCCCATAGGAAAGCATTTCTCAATGCTTTCCTATGGACGGTCTGCTTGCCTAATGCGATTTTCGCATTGAGCGTCGGGGAAGCGCCTCTAGCGGCTGTCAGGAAGGCCGCCACTAGAGGCTGGATTAACCCTTCTATGTAAACATAGCATTCTCTGAAACTGCTACGTTTAAATGTGAAGGGTTAAAACCTGAGGGACCTGGCACCCAGACGACTTAATTGAGCTGAAGTGGTCTGGGTGACTATAGTGGTCCTTTAAGTTACATAAGAAGGGTATTTTTGTATAATCAATAATTACTGTCAAACAGCCTTAAATGATGGATTTTGCGGCCCAATTTACAGTAATACGTTTTCAAATACTGTAACAGTGCAAGATAACAGTATTTAGTTTTCGTGTTAATTTGTATCTTCTATATCCCGAGCATTTATAGTACAGTCTTCGATTAGATGGAGTGTAACAATTTGGACATCGTGGACGAACGAATTGTGATTCCCATTATGATTATTTTGCTTGACTGTTTTTTGATATGCAGGACGCATCATATTGGATACAAACAATTTAGAATCCCTGCCTGCTTCCTTGTTGGTATGTTGCTGTAAATGGGGAAGATCAGTGTATTTTCACTAAAGCTTTACTGGCGAAGATAGTCAAAATAATAATAAAAAAGGGAAGCACTTCCGGGTGGTTAGGCAAATTTTTGTCGTCAAACTGACGCAGGACGTCCTTGCGCTATGCAGCTATTTTCTATAGTCCAGAATTGTCCTGATCTCATTAAAAGGGTTTGTTTGCCTTTTGTATATCTAAAATCAGCTTGTACGTTATCTTGTGTGGTTCCTTTACAAGCCCTCCCCTTCTAACCCCGCCCAGACTTTCTGTGGCTGTCCAATCACAGATTTCCCAATGCAGTTCAATGAGAAGTCTTTGCAAGGCAGGGGCTCTGAGCAATTGCTGCCTCTTGGGTATAGTAACAGTACCTGTTGTTTGATTGAAAGCCAAGGGCGTGCAACCAGAGCAATGTATAAAAAGAAATGCCAATTTCTACTGGAATCAGCACATTTTGTAAAATGGAAGAAAAATACATTAATAATTAGTGAAAGTGATCGTGAAATAATCTTTTTTTAGGTGCACATTTTTTTTCTCTCTCTCTTCCTTTTTTGACTCAAATGCAAAGCATGGTTTTACAGCTGTACAAAGTGTCTTTGTGAGTTCAATCACTCACACATTTGCAGTGGGGGGTAAGTATGTTAGCTGTGCCGCATGCGCCAAACCGGTGCACGCATCAATAATGGAAGTGGAACTATCAAAAATGGGAATTTCTTTATTTAAATAGGCTGTAAAGACTGTTATGCAAGAAAAAAAACCATTTACAATATTATGAACATGCAATGCTAAAGCTTATTCTGTTTTACATATTTTTTAGTCATATGGCGGTTTGGAATGTCACAGATTTGGAATTTTCAATAAATAAACGTCTGTTCACTTTTCAGAACTCTTTGTTCAAAGCAGAACGTCGGCCTGAGGATTTTCTTAGAGTATAATACTTGCTCCTGGTCGGCTAAAAGATATTGGCAAGGAGCCACTGTTTTTAACAGCTGACTACGTACAGAAACTTGTGCACACAATGAATACACTACGATTTCAGAACATTTAAAAGGGCCATTTATCTGTTCATGTTCCATAGGGGTGAGTGCGTTTTGACAGGTGAAATGATGCATTCTTTAAACAAACAGTAATTCAGGTTTTGTAAAATGTAATTTTAAGGAAAGATCAAAATCGTACTTGAAGGTCATGTAAGCCAGGGCTTGACAAATTTGCTAGGAATCTAGGAGACAGGCGTTTCAATGTAAAAATGCAATTCTTAAAGGGACACTATAGTCACCAGAATCACTTCAGCTTAATGTATAGTATACAGCTTAATGTAGTGGTTCTTGTGTCTATAACCTGTCACTGCACACTTTTCAATGTAAACCCTTCCTTCCTTTTCAGAGAAAAGGCAGTATTTACATTGTTGCTTAGTAACACTTCTAGTAACAGTCACTCAGACTGGCTGTAGAGTGCATCCTGGGTCAGTACTGTACAGTGTGCAGCACCTACGTTTAGCGGGTCCATGCTCTGCGTGGAGGCGCTGAACTTCCCAATAGAAATGCATTGATTCAATGCATCTCTGGAATTACATCATATTCCGGCTCCAGGCATCATTAGAGGTTGCGCGTAGGAGCAGAGCAGTGAGGTTACAGCTCCCTCGCGCGCCTGTCCATTTGGCTCAATCTTCCAGGAGCCTCCCACCCGTGCGCACGCCCACCCACCCTCTCCCTCAGCTTGCCAGCTGACCGCCCACATGGCAGTGCTCTCACTCAGCCAGCCGACGGACTGCATGCCCATGCTCTTTATGACCGGCCATCTGCACGTAAGCCCATGCTCTTTATGAGCCGGCCGCCTGCACTCATAAGCAGCTGACCACCTCGGGGGCTAAATGGGCCAGCAAATCACAGGCGCCAGGACAAAAATCCTAGTAGCCATGGCGACCTGGCGTCTGGGATTTGTTGAGCCTTGATGTAAGCCACCTACCTGCAGTCCCTAGTTGTCTGCCATTTGTAGCAGATTGGAGGCTGCTATTATTTTATGCTTCAGTGTCAATTTTCCAGTCATCGACCATGAATGCAGCTATATTCAGATGGGGTGAAATCACCAAACCGCATCGGAATACAAGGTTGAATCAATGCATGTCTACGAGGAAGGTTCAGCGTCTCCATGCAGAGTGTGCAGCACTGACCCAGGAAGCACCTCTAGTGGCCGCCTGAGTAACTGCCACTTGAGGTGTCCCCAGGCAGCAAAGTAAACACTGCCTTTTCTCTGAAAAAAATGTTTACTGCAAAATGCCAGCAGGAACTGACTATTCTCACCAGAACAAATACATTAAGCTGTCACTGGTGACTATAGTGTCTCTTTAACGATTAAAATGACTTATTACTCAATCCTTTTCAGACCAGGCACAACCAGGGCACACAGTGCAAATGAGGAAACAAAATAAAAACATTGCTTAATTTCTCCCCTTTTCTGTATTTTATTTTTTCACACCTCAGAAATGTATATTTCTTAAATATATATATATATATGTGTGTGTGTGTGTGTATGTAGTGGATAAGTAAGTAAATGTTAAATACCATGGGAAGTAACCATTCCTTTTTAACCCTTTACCCTAAGTGTCCGAATGTATAGTGCTGCAGAGCACGCTCTAACAATAACTGCCACAGAAATACTAACTGTACCGTATGTAATATATATATTAAGAGAGAGATTTATAGAGATCCATCAATAACTCTGTGTGCATATGATTTCTCCCAAGTCAGCATGAAATGATTTACAAGCTTCTGTAATCACCTAATGTTCAGGGATGTGGGCAGTATTGATGCACAGTAAAACTCTCCTGACATCGTAGTCATGCGTAAACTTGCAAAGATTCTGAAAAGTAAAGAGATTTCTGTAACTTTACAGCCTCGCTTCCAGGGAGATTTTTAAAAAGTTTTTTAAAGAGCTCATGCATGCATCGAGCAATACTAATTCTCCCTTAGAAAGTGATTGCGATTGAGGGCCGGGGATTTTCTAAAAGACTTAAGCCATTCCCTGGATAAGTATGTGGGTTCCTTTAAATAAGCTTAAAAAGAGACTTCCAGATGTAAATATTTTTTTTTTTAATGTATTGCCCTATAAATGAAATGTTGTTGGCTCAACTGTTGTATGTCTCTTTAAAAAAAATAAGTCCTTCCTACTTAACTCTTTAATCCGTTCTTCAACAGAGGATGTGATTGTAGGTAAACTTTTGACCCACCAGAGGCGCATATTTTCTGCAGTGTTTTTGCAGTGAGACCTGTAGTCCTCTCACACATTATTATTATTATTATTTTGTTATTTATATAGCGCCATCAGATTCCAAAGCGCTGTTCAAAATAATTGTTTGTTCCTTAAACAAATAAAGCTTTTAAAACCATAATTGTTACAGTTCAAAGTATATTTATCAAAAATGAAACTTTAATATATTGATTTCTCTTTTTGTTATCTGTGTGTTGGTAGAGGTGTGTGTGTGTGTGTGTGTGTATATATATGTGTATATATATATATATATATATATATATATATATACACACACACACACACATATACACCTACCAACACATTTATTATTATTATTTATATAGTGCCAACAAATTCTGTTGCGCTGTACAATAGGAGGAATAACTACAATAAGTAATTGTAACCAGACAAGTTGAACGTACAGGAACAGAGGGGTTGAGGGCCCTGCTCAATCAATGAGCTTACATACAAATTGGCCTGATATTGGATCCTGACAATGTATATCCCTGTGTGTATTCTAATGTATTGAGAGTGAAAGTCCCTTATTGGTAGCATGTGTATTTATACGTGTATTCTGGTTTTAAAAGATATACCGGAGATCAGCAACTGATAACTTGACATGAAAACATTTATATTTGATGAGTCTGATATTTCACTTTCTCTTAATGTTCATTCTTATAGACAGTCATATCCCCTGTTTCTTTTCCGAGGGATGCCATCGTTAAAGGATTTGCAGAAGTAGCAAGCCATTCTCTATAATTATTGGTATTGGTATTGACACACCTATAGCTAGCTCAGATGATATCTAAATGTAACCAATTTGCTTAAAGTAACTTTGCATTAAAGGGACACTATAGTCACCCATACCACTTCAGCTCAATGAAGTGGTCTGGGTGCCAGGTCCCCCAGGTTTTAACCCTTCAGTATGTTTACATTGCAGGGTTAAGCCAGCCTCTAGTGGCTGTCTTCCTGACAGCTGCTAGAGGCACTTCTGCGATGCTGGATGCGAAATTCGCATCTAGCATGCAGAACGTCCATAGGGAAGCATTGAGAAATGCTTTCCTATGGACTGTTTGAATGCGTGCGCTGCACTTGCCGCACATGCGTATTCCGCTCCACTTGGGCGCTGACGGTGGGAGAGGAGAGGTCACCAGAGCCAGGCGCTGGATTAAAGTAAGTAGCTGAATGGGTTTTAACCCCATTCAGCGCCAAAGGATGTGGGACCCTGAGGGTGGGGGGGGTCGTAAGGATGCTTTAGTGTCAGGAAAACGAGTTTGTTTTCCTGACACTATAGTGATCCTTTAAGCTAAATCTTCACACGTAGATTGTGTCAGTGATATCTTACCTTAGCACTGCAGATGTTTGCAAACTACATTTCCCATGATGCATACCTGGCCAATAGGATACATAATATGAATAACGTCCTTGCGGCTGATTTCATGTAAGCATTGTGACAAAGCATCTCCCATTTTTGGCATCACAAAAGTTTTAGTTTTATAGCAACTTGGTATGAGCAATAAGACAACCCAGGGAAACTTGGTTCAGAGTAACAGAGGGGGAAGGGGGAGGTGATGGTCGTCTGTGGAAGATTCTCATAAGGCACATTGGTGTCTTAAACGGACAGTATAGATACCAGAACCACTACAGCTTTCCGGTGTCTATAGGATCTCCCTGCAGACTTTTTTCAATTGAAACAGTGTTTACATTGGTTCCTAGTAACACCTCTAGTGGCAGTCACTCAAACAGTCTCTTGAGTTGCTTCCTGGTTCAGTACTGCACTTTGTGCACCACCTACATTCTGAGCTGCTAAACATTCTTAATGAGGCAATGCTGATAGACGCTGAGGTACGCATTTGTTGCAAGATGTAGTGGAATATGTTATCAATTTCTGCATTTTGCCAAGAAAATGGCTTGTAGATATGACTTTATCATATTATGTAGTTTGAAACTTTAATGAAATTACATAATCTGAATTGTTCGAAACATTCTGGGTTTACAAAAAAAAAAAAAACTCAGCTGTCTGTGCAACCTTTAAAGGGACAATCCAGGCACTCAGACCACTTCTTCCCATTGGAGTGATCTGGGTGCCAACTCCCACTACCCTTAACCCTGCAAGTATAATTATTGCAGTTTTTGTAAACTGCAATAATTACCTTGCAGGGTAAACTCCTCCTCTACCACTCTACTAAACAGCCACTAGAGGACACTTCCTGGTTCATAGCACAGTTTTGCTGTAGCATCGCTGGACGTCCTCACGCTATGTGAGGACCTCCAGCGTCGCTAAAATCCCCATAGTAAAGCATTGAAAGCATTTTTAATGCTTTCCTAAGGGGAGGTCTAATGCGCTTGTGTGGCATTGCCGCTCAAGTGCATTAGGACTCCCCCGCCGGCGGCCGCACATACGCAGTTGGTCAGGAGCGTGGGCGGACCCTAAACCACTGCTGAGGGACATCGGCGGGGGTCTCAGGTAAGTCACTGAAGGGGTTTTCACCCATTCAGCAACCTGGGATGGGGGTGGGAGGGAGAGGGGACCTGCAGTACCAGGAAAAAGGATTGTTTTCCTGGCACTGGAGTGTCCCTTTAACTATAAACCATGTGTTCTGCACTTAATCTTGTTCTATCCTTTTAAAACTCATTTTAATTTGAAAGTGTTAAAGGAATAAAAAGTGTGGAAACGAGGTGATAATTATTACTCTGTAGCTATGGATATTACTTATCTGTTAAAAGCACCTAAAATATATTGAGGGGATAACTGTGAAATAATGGAAATTTATGGGGGAAAAAAAACAATCCTAAAATGCCAACTGTTTTATGCTGCATTAAAGGGACTTGTTGGACTCGGTGATTCAGTTTTCGGCGCATTGTAAAAATAGCGCAGTTAAAATTCTTTGGTGGGGAAATATAATTGAAAGTTCGCCACCTCTTAAAGTTTCTGTAATCGCTGTGATGCAGCTTCAGCTGTAAGCTTTGCCCATGCCAGGAAGAGGCTTGGCCAATCGGAAGGCTCTCCGCATGATGTACGGGATCTGAACTTCTTCTGTAAACCCTTGTTCAACAGGATATGATGTTCCGCTCAGACAGCTGGTATCTGGACATTACCTTTTCCATAGCATATGGTGTAACTTCACAGCCACTCTGCCTTTAAATTAGCCATCTTAAAACAACAGCAGTGCATGCATCAAGTTAGTTCTACGTTTAAAACCTTATTTATCTCTCACCTCTTTTACAGACGGTTCCCTGGACATTCCAAGGCTACACCGTAGCAGTTAGGAAGTTGTATAAATATTGAGCCAACATACGTTTTCCTACTCTGAGCTCACATCTGCCCAAACATGCAGAATCCTAACTAAAAGTAATGAAGCTTGCTTGCCCGTGTGCAGTACTTCCATTGACTTCAATGCTTTAGAATTGAGAATATTTCCATGGACAAAAATGGTGTGTCTGTGTCCGGTGTGCTGTGCATGCAGGGCGGTTTATAAATGACATCAATTCAGATTTCATGTATATGTAAATAACTCTGCATTCTTCCTGCTTGTAGACCTTTATTTCCTGTTGATAAATGGTTGCTAAAAGCTGTTGTAATTTTTCCCTGTATATTTTTTTTTTTAACTATATACATTGTGTGTGTGTGTGTGTGTGTGTGTATGTGTATATGTGTATATGTATGTGTATATTTTAGAGAGTTAAACTAACACTATAGGGTCAGGAATATTTCTAATTCCATAGTGTTAGAAACACTATCTAGCATCCCTAAATATAGAAAAACATTTATTCCAGTCTAATGATGCTGGTTCTGCCCCTGATCTGCCTCCTTGGCTGACATAATCAAAATTGATAATCTCAGCCAACCACAATGATTTCTGATGATCTCAGCCAATCAGGCGTGCTGGGGGAGTGAAGGGGGGTCAAATGCTGCCCTGGCCAATCAGCATCTCCTCATAGAGATGGATTGAATCAGTGCATCTCTATGAGGAACGTTCAGTGTCTGCATGCAGAGGGAGGAGATACTGAATGTTTGGATGCATTTTAGGCAGCCATGACCCAGGAAGGATCTCTAACAGCCATCTGAGGAGTGGCCAGTGGAATTATCACTAGGCTGTAATGTAAACACTGCATTTTCTCTGAAAAGACAGTGTTTACAGCAAAAAGCCTGAAAGTAATGATTCTACTCACCAGAACAAATTCAATAAGCTGTAGTTGTTCTGTTGACTATAGTGTCCATTTTACATGGATGAAAGTTGTCCAGGCGCTGGTAATGTCCCTTTAATACTATATATATATATATATATATATATATATATATATATATATATATATATATATATATATATATATATATATATATATATATATATATATATTGTGTGTGTGTGTGTATGTATGTATCTGTTGCTAAACTGAATTCATGTTGCGTAACAATGCATAATATTGAGTAACAACCACTTGTACTTGTGCATCAAAGTCGTCAGAGCTATGTTTTTCTTGAACCTGCAAGTTGAGGACATAGACAATTTAGGACAAAATACCACATTGTTGGATGTTTTTGTTGTTTCTTTTTTTTCTCTCCAGCTTTATATTATGATTATTTGTTTTTCTTTATTTTTTCTTAAAGGAAAATGCTTACTTTTTAAAACTTTTTCTAAATGGAATTTGATGAATGGATACAATGTGTATGATTAATTTTGTTTAAAAGTTAGAAAGCACTATAATAGCAATAGATGAACGCCAGTTTGGTTATAGAAGTGGGCTAGCTGATCTCCAGCGGCGCCCTAGGGATTTATTGTCGCTTTTTGTCGTTTTTGTTTTTTTTCTGGTACTGACTGCTCTTTCGTGCATGAAATGTGAAGTTTCTAGTTATTCTATGGGTAACTAGACTGAATACATCCATTCTGCACAGCAGGCTACCTGGAGAGTCATGTCGTGTAGAGCACCATGCACAAATAGTGACTCAGCTCCGTGACCCAATTTTCCGGGACTTGGGCCTCTCCCAGATCCACAGAATTGTGCATCGTGCTGTCAAACTGGCTTTCCCCGTTGTGTTAAAAGGGTGTTGGTTAGAATCATGTTCTGGGGAGGCCATGCTGAGATCACGGTGCATTAAATATTATAATTAACCAATTTATCGTCTCATAATTAACCTGTTCATTGACTCAATACATTGCAAGATTAAGCACGTTCTGGAAATTACTGTTTTGGTGTATATATATATATTTTTTTTTTTATGTAACATTTTTGTCTTAGTCCTTTCTTTCTAATGCTACAGTAAAGCTTGATTTAAAATTAAAAATGCACTACAGGGGTAAAGATTTGCTTTATTTTAATTAATTTTTAGCTTCTCATAATTTCATATGGGCTGCAAAAACAAACAAAACGTTTTGCAACGTGATACGTGCAGTAAATCGTTTTCAGAGCGCTTTGCTCCTGCAATCCTGCAATGGTTTTTACAAAAGCAGGGTCTGCTATTTTTTTTTGGAAATATATTTTTCTTATGGTTAATTTCTACCAGAAAAGCATATTGGTACACAATGTAGCACGCAGACTGAATGAAAATGATAGAATACAAACATAAGCTTAGCACAATGTATCAGTCGCGTTCCTGCCAATTATTATAAAATTGTGAGGCCCCGGGCAAGATTATTAAAAACAAAAAAAAAACACCAAACAAAGACGGGTATATTTCTAAACCCCTAATAACCTTTAATAGGGAACACATAGTGTGCGGTAGAATTGTAACATGCCAACGCTGCTGTCCAGGAATAATGGGAGTTTCAATGCAGGGATTATGTTTGTATGTTTGTATCACACAGCCATGTTCCCATGTGTTCCCTATTAAGGGTTAATAAGTTATGTCGGCGTTTAGAAAAATACCCTCTCTGTCTTATTAGAGATTTTCCCATGTAGCCGAAAGCAGCAAGGTGAATTGTTAGTGTAGGACTCACCTGAGAGGGTTTGCCTTGACGTGGCAGGTGAGCTTACACTTAAATGGACAGTGAAGTGATACTAAAAAACCTCCAGTTATTTAATGTGCATAGGGATTTGGGATAGTGTGCAAGTAGCTTTTTCTTTGGTTTTTATTGTATGTATTGGGGCTGATGTGCACTGTAGTCATTGCTGACACTCAGGAGTAGTGAGAGTGTAAGCGCAGGGCTTAAAGGGATCCTATACTGCCAGGAAGAGAGCCATTTTCCTTGCACCAAATAAGGTCGCCCCTCCTTCGCAATACTCCTCCCTCGCCAACATCAGCCGGCAGGTGAGACCTAATGCGCATTCATCAATGCTTTCCTATGGCAAAAAAAATCTGACACTGGAGGCCGTTTTGATTCCGGAAGCCCTTTAGTGAGGGCAGTCTTAGAGCGACAATATAAACATGTTTTACATTGCAGCTCTAAGTGCAAAAGGGAAATGGCACCTAGACCACTTCAATGAGCTGGGTGCCTACAGTGTCCCTTTAATTATGTAAGTTTGTAGATGAGAGGTCTTCCGTGCCATCTGAGGCCTCCAGCGGCGTCAGCTGGGTCCCAAAGACTGGCAAGGCTGAAAGTAGCTGCTGGAGTGAAGGAGTAATATTCCCCATTTTAGCTTCAGCATGCTTGTGGGAATTCGAGTGTCTGAGTGTTCTCCATAATCGGAGTCCAGCAGGGTTTGCAACCTTCTAAAACACAAGGTTATTGAGGAGAGATGGGTCATGCAGTCATCTTCTTCAAGAGCCAATCCACGCCCCAGGTCTGCTAGATCTTTTCTGCCACTTTTTCTCTTGTTAAATAATTTTTTGTTTTGTTGCTATAGAAACTGAATAAATTGGATAAGTACAAAATAGTCTGCTTCTCCCCACCTAGTGTGCCCTGATAATGAAATAGATAAGACTGTGTTTATATCAAGCAACTCGCTTGAGCAATCTGAAGCCTATTCTTTGCATTGCAACTCCCATCAGCAAAGTAAAAATTATTAAAAACTGCTGTAATAATCGGGTCTGTTAGCACAAAAGCACCTAACCACATAGCCATTCTTAAAGTACACATGGGGAGGATTATCAAAGTGTTCTGAAAAGAGTCTTCCTATTTTTCGTCTCAAATCGGTTTGTGTTTATTAAAGGACCACTAAAGTCACCTGGACCACTTCATCTCAGTGAAGTGGTCTGCGTGTAGTGGTCCTCTCATTTTAAGCCTTCAATGTAAATGTTTACAGTTTTAGTAGCACTATATAGCTCTTCAGTGCCTGTAATACTGACCGCCACTAGAGGCGCTTTTCGGTACTTAAACTGCAGTTTTTCACAGAAAAATATATCCATTTCAGAACAGACCACCACATTTAGAATGGCTGAAAAGTTAAACAAAACACCTGTCTGGCAGAAAACGTGATGGAATGATTGATAAACAGGCAGTGCATTTCAAAATGGTAGTTTGGTGCAAATGATCTAATAAATAAATAAAACCCCAAAAAAACTAATGGCACAAAACAACAACATTTGTACTGTTTGGATTAGGAGAAAGCACAAAGTGCTTGCTTTAAAAAAACAAAAACAAAAAACAAAAAAACCTTTATTTTTTTAAATTTATTTTTTCTTGATAAGATATGTTCTTTTAGAGAAATAATATTTTTGTAAATGACTGCTCTGTATATGTGATGTACCTCTGCTAGTGAAAGAAAAATAAGTCTACAAAAATAAATGAAATAACCTTCTTTTTCCTAAAACAATAACATGTTTTTGTCTGTTAAGCTTTTTATTAAAATAAAATGTATTTATGATGTTTTGGAGGTAGGAGGGAGATGCAGGGAATTTCTGCCTCTGTAGACTTTGTTTGCTCCATTCGTTGGCACGAATAATAATGCAATCAATTTCTTTTATCTTTCAGATTCCCTTAGTCAAGAATTATGAAAACACAAAGAGACCTCTTAGAAAGCCTTGTTGATTTCTGAGTGACTTTAAAGAATATCTCCTACAACTTGAGTTTTTGTAGTGTGGGTATTATTTAATCAATATTTACCATATTTGAGGTCTTCCCCCCCTTTTTGGAGTGGAGGAATCTTCAAATTTGCATGTGTCTCAATTATCATGAATCTGCAGCCTCCGCAGAAGGCTTCAAATAAAAGGACCGGGAAGCGGATTACGTTTTTTAACGAACAGCAAGGCCTCTCGGTGTCTAATAAAGAGGCACAGATTAAAGACCAGCAGTTTTATGGGACTGTGACCAGGCTGCCCAACTCTCAGGCTTCAGATTACAACAAATCGGACTGTTATACTACATCGGCACAAAACAATATGCTGAATACAGTAATGTACACCCAGGAGAGACCGGATGCTATTCGGATTAACCAGCAGTCTGTTCCCGGAAAGTGGAATGTCCCAGAAAGGAGCGACGCTGCCTGGCAGGCTCCACCACAGGGATTATGGTCAAGGAACGCTGCGGGTTATGGCGTTCCAATGGTAAACGCGTTTTACAACCAGCAGGAGCAAATCAAGAGAAGTCAGGACAAGGCAGTTGGGGTCTCGCAAATAGAAATGTACGAGGGTGCACTTCAACAAATGAGATCTCAGAAGGCTCAGCTGGAACAGCATGCGTTTGCTCGACAACAGGCTCATTTAAATTCTATTTTGCAAGCGCAGCAGCAGCAACAACAACAACAGCACCTGCAGCAGCAGCAACAACAGCAGCAACAAAGTCAGCATTTATCTTTGCAGCCCTTTCAAATGGCATTTGGTCACCAGGGCCAGAAGCCAGCTCTCTCTGAGCTGTTCCACGTTTTCCCAGATGCGGCGTCCAACGCGGCGTACGCCGCCCAACAAAAAACCACAGCGCTACCTCAGATGCAGCTATTTGAAAACTTCTATCCAAGTCAGCAACAGCAGCAGGCGACGTACAGCATGCAACAGGCCGTCTCCATGGCCCAGTCTCATGCTGCAGCACAGCAGAAAATGCACGCGATAAGTCAACAGCAGCACTCTACTGCGTCGGAGGAATACATGAAAGCTGTCGCAGAGCAGAACCAGCAATGTGTGCCTCCCAAAACTCAGATCCCTTTACCGAGGAGGTCACGTAGACTTTCCAAAGAGGGGCTTCCTCCTCTGCCGCCTCCTGGAATTGCCCAGGGGAACCATCCTTACAGCCAACTTTCATATGAGCAGACAATGCAACAACAGGCGGAAGCCCACGAGCGCTACAAAAAGGGGTTACAACAGCACGCACACAGGGATCCCCAGATACCCCCTCAAGACACCCACTATGGTAATCCGCCTGAGCAAGACAAGGCCCCCCTGCCTCAGAATGGCAGAGCAAAGGAGATGCAGCTGGGGTCTGAGCAGAGCACGGTTCAGCAGGTCGGTGTTGGTGGTGTCACAGGAGGAGTGATACAAACAGTACGAAGAAGGCGTCGAATATCCCAGGAAGCCAATCTATTTACTTTGGCACAGAAGGCAGCGGAGATGCCATCTTTAGAAAACACTAAGGTATGATGATGGTATAAAAATATCATAAATGTAAATTAGGTTCATGTTATTGTCTGTTTGTTAGAATTTGGTTTACCTAAATTACCATGTGGGTCTTTCTTCAAGGCATGAATGAATACATTTTCCAAGGATTATGTAATTGGACTATTGGTATATCATTTTATAAACAATGTGTACCATGTTTATATGCAGTATATAATATGTCTGTGTAAACATCAGGGAGCATTCTAGCTTCAGAAGTTATGTAAAAAAACCAAATTATTATGATAATATTAATTTCTTGGTAAAGCTTAATGTAAACCCTGTGTTTCGATGAAGTGTGAGTTTCTTTAAATATCATTATGGACAGAAAGGAAGCAATGGTTTAGCAATTGCAGTAGCCATTTATAACCTGGTACTGTTGCCGTTGAAAGGTCAGTCACCCACCAGCTGATGTTTGGACTTCAATTCCCAGCATCCTTCTTAGACTGTGTCTGTGACCACACATTAAATGTGCCATAGTAAAAGTAGCCAAAATCCATCACCGGTAGGATGGAGACAGTTTCTCCTTAGAGTCGACCTATTTTAAAGCTCAGTCATTGCACCCATCATCTGCTCACAGCAGGAGTTTTTCATTGTAGCAACTGCACCTCTTGAAAGTTAAAAATAGAGGAAGGAGTGAAACTGCACTTGATGGAAATTTGGCATTTGACCATGAAATCCAAAATAGTTCATCTCATTGCATAAGCTAGTGTTGACGTTGGTACATCCTTTGCAAAGTGTTTATGAGAACTGCCACTGAACGCTTGTCTTGCCTCGACACTCAAATGTTAGTGATGTCCATTTTCCACAGTTCTCATCCTTAAAATACAGATAAGAGCTGAGCCCCCATCGTTACATAGAATGGGACCTGGCACCAAGATGTTATCTCTTTGCTGGTGAAGGTAGACCAAAATATATAACCAGAAGGACCCCTATGATCTGCAAGTGGGCAGTCAGTGCATGTCAAGATAGGAGAGAGAGGTTTTGGGATCCCCTTGTTCTCCTGTGTGTTGATCCTGTGTGACATTACTGAGATGATGTGATGTGATATAATTCCATTTTGGGAACTGTGAGTGATAGGATGTCATGCAGAAAATCAAGGAGTTTCAAAAAGCTGTGTCCGATATTGCAGCACACAGAAACGGCTTGTTACACCACGGACAGGATGCTATATCTCCTGATCCCCTCACCAACAACAGAGGTGAGCACTAAAGGAATTAGTGGAAGTGTGAGTCTGTATGTGTGTGTGTGTGTGTGATTGTCTATGTATGCGTACGGGTTTAAATAGTTGCATATTTGTGTGTTTGTAAGAGTGGCTAATTATGTATGAGTGGCTAATTGTGCGTGTGTGTTTGTGAGAGTGGTTAATTGTGTGTGTGTGTTTGTATGGGTGGCTAATTGTACATTTGTTTTTGTATGAGTGGCTAATAGTGTGTGTGTGTTTGTATGAGAGGCTAATTTTGTGTGTGTATAAACAAATAATTGTGTGTTTAATGTTTATTAGGCATTTTATGAGAGCGTGCCTGTGTGTATGTGTTATTAACCCTTTGAGTCAAAGAGAAATGCCCAATTCATTACATCACAGGCAATCAATTGACTAGTAAAACACTTTCACAGTTCTTGGATTGTAGCTGAATGTATCAAGCTCTGTTCTTGGTAGCATATTGCCACAATGTATCTGTAAGAAACCAAGGTTAAAGTCATTCTAATGCTATTTTATGCCGAAATTTAGGAAAATCAATATTTTTATGTAGAATAAACCATACAATTCTAAACTGTATCACTTGTGTTCTATTATAATATCAGGAAGTATTACTTTACTGAGAGGGTAGTGGATGCATGGAATAGCCTTCCAGCTGAAGTGGTAGAGGTTAACACAGTAAAGGAGTTTATGCATGCGTGGGATAGGCATAAGGCTATCCTAACTATAAGATAAGACCAGGGACTAATGAAAGTATTTAGAAAATTGGGCAGACTAGATGGGCCGAATGGTTCTTATCTGCCGTCACATTCTATGTTTCTATAATATTTTCACTCCATTTGACATACTACTCCAAGTGTACTTCTACTCATTGTTCTGTTTTGTGCAGGAAGGAGACGCCGGAGAGAAGAGGAAGAAATCTCCATCCAAGAGCAACGAAGAATTCCTGGGTTCTTTGTCCAACAAGAAGGCCAGAGGAGACACTTACAAACCATTGATCATTCCTGTCTCGGTACCAGTGAAAATGGACACTGGTAGGGGAAAGTGGGAGGAAGATAGGATGCAGGGGACGGCAGCCTCTGAGATGGACATTTCACTTTCTAAACCTTCAGTGATAGTCACGCGGCACAGAGCTGGCCACACAAATCTCTCAGAGTCTATATTACAGGTGAGAATTGCAATCACTGGCTAGTATTAATACACCGCCCTTCTGATTGATTGTGCCTGCTTGGAAGTAACTGTGAATTGTGAAATAAGTGTAGCAAGCATACACCTCCATTCACTTGGAGGTTGAGTTTTAACAACTTAAAGAGGAGCTTGCACGCTTCTATTCATTTTTATTTTAAGCAGGTATTTCCAATCTTGACTCTCCAGTTTATTTGCATTTTACAGAATTGCCTACTTCGGTCTAGTTAAAATCCATAAAAATATGTCCTTTCAAATCTAAATTGTGTAATATTATTACCTTCTCTAACAGGGCCATTCAATAAAGTGGGAATTCATAGTGGATATCAAATTTCAGCCTATTTTGTCCTAAATTTGACATTGTTTGAATTTCCACCAGGTTGACATTAGTGTGTAACCCTGTCTGAAGCTGCAGTCTCGTAGCTATTTAAGTTTGATAAATCACTATAAAGGTTGATTTGTATACAGTGTGTATATGGTAGGTTCTGTTGTAATAAATACCATTATTTCCCCCCCCCAAAAAAGGGTAATGAAAGCTCTCCGGCATCTGAAGGGGAGGTATCCACCAAGAAACCCAAGCAACGTCCTCGACCAGAACCATTGTTTATCCCACCTCCGAAGCCTGGTACCTTCGTTGTGCCCGTTGCGTACTCCAACATTACCCCATACCAGAGTCACCTCCGCTCTCCGGTGCGTGTCCCCGACTACATTGGAGACCGCAATTTTGAGCTGCCACCTTACACGCCTCCTCCCATTCTTAGCCCGGTACGTGAGGGCTCTGGACTTTACTTCAATGCCATCATGTCTGCCAGCTCTAATTCAATGCCCCCGCCGATCACTCCAAAGAGCTCCACGAGAACCCTGCTGAGATCCAGTAAGTGTTTTTAAAATTGTTTCATTGTAACATAAAGACACATCTGTTGTGCAATAACTAGTCTGTATGCACCCAGATATTTAATAATGTTTTATGTGCTATTGCCACTGAAATGGTAAGGAGGTTTTATAGGGGTTGGACGGTGTGAGACCCAATAAGGCAAATGCTCTGGTAAAGAAGACTCAACACTGAGGTTGAAGTGCAAACCTGGTTCCCAAAAGTACAATGAGTTGATAATTGACATAGTCAATGAAAAATGTCCGCTACGGGATCATAGATTCCTAGCGTATCCCAGATAGCAAGGTTGCCATTTACAATAAATAGTGTGGGGAAATATTAGAATAATTGTGTAGTCCCTGTATTAAATGTAATAAATTAAGTGCCTGTTTAAAAAAAAAAAAAAAAACACACACCCACACACCACCACCCCAGTATGTACTTTGCAGGAGCCAGATGTTAAAATTCATTTTATTTTGTGTTTGTATATATATTTAATAAAATAAAATCTGAAGCCCCTTTTCTCTGTCTGAATGGCAGCCACTGGAGGTGTGAGGATTGCAAAATGTAAAGTGTGCCATTTTCAGAAATAGCTCTGTTTTCAACAGGAAAGGTTCAGAGCAGCATCTGTGACCCAAAATCACTTCATCAAAATGAAATTAATGCTTAGACTCTCCCTTTAAAATATTCTTGTACTCAGGGCAAAAGTTGCATGTATCAATAAATAAATAAATGAGAAAATGCGTTTAATTTGTAGTTTTGCCTCCTGATACATTCCAAAATATTTGCCTACTTTTATATTCTATTATGTTCTAAAATTTCCTTTTCGCAATAATCTATTAACCATCCGTCTCTTTGCTCCTCAGATAGTGTGGATGAAATGCCGCCTTTGCTCACAGCAATGGGAGAAGCCACACCAGTTAGCATTGAACCGTAAGTTTGCTGTGTATAAAACGTTGCCTTGTGTGTAATCTATTACATTTCTATTTTAATAATACATTTAAAATATAGGTAGGGAAATTAGTAAACAGGATATTATGCTAAAATAAAATGAGGGGTTTGTATGAAAAATCTGCTATAAGCCCCTGTCCTTCCTGTTGGAATTTAATAGGCGGTATGATGGCTAAATGCTGTAGCTGAACGACCCAACTGAACTTTTGGTAAAAGTGTCATTGTGTGTTGGTATCCCCAAATACTGCATTAGTACCGTGTGCTGTGTATACATGTCTCCTTACATTGATTTTCTAGTGTGTGCATGTTGTTTGATGTCACGAGAGTCCTAAAGGGTTAAAAGTTGTATTTTTTGTTTACATGATCCAGGGTAGATTCTTTGGAAGAAAGGTCAAGTTTTATTTTTATTTTTTTGTTACGTAAAAAATGTGTGTGAAACGTACAGTGAAATATGCCTTCAGGTCTTCCTTGGACGGCTGTTTAACTGAGAGACCTCAAAGGTGTTTAAAGGAATTTACTTATTTAAGGTTTATTGTCTAAACCAGGGATAGGCAACCTTAAACACTCCAGATGTTGTGGACTACATCCTCCATAATGCTCTTACAACCTTAATGCTGGCAAAGCATCAAGGGAGGTGTAGTACAAAACATCTGGAGTGCCAAGGGTTGCCTATGCATGGACTAAACAGTGTGTTGTGGTCAGCTGGTCGGCTGAACTATAAGTCGTTTAAATAGATAGAGAAAGGGAACGTGTGTTACACAGGCTGAAGAGAGACAAGTCCATCAAGTTCAGTCTTTCTCACATCTGTGTTTTGCTGTTCATCCAAAAGAAGGCAACACACCCAGTTTGAAGCACTTCACATTTTTTAACAAACTAGGAAAAAAACGCCTTCTTGACCCCAGAATGGCAGTCAGATTAATCCTTAGATCAAGAAGCTATTACACCACAATTTAAAAAGTCAAGCCGTAGTCCACTAGCCAGACTTTAAATGTGTTCACCCACTGGCTGCCTAGAAAGTCCATGGGGCACTCACCAGGGGTGAATGGCTAGTAACGAATAGAAATTTGAGTGCTGCTTAAAAACCATCTCAGATTTGGGCTGTAATAATCCGTCGTTCAGTGTAGCTCAAGGTTTTCACTTGTTTCAACTAGGAAAAGTATCACACATGTCCCATAAATTTTGTTGACTGAAGCTAAGGAATGTGGCCATCTGTTCGTTAAAGGGTACCTGTCACAGTACCTGAAACTTATGCTTATTTTAAAGAGCATTATGTTTCATCTATAAATTGTGGTAGCAAATGTTCTATGGTAACTCCCTCGCCTACGCTGCTAGTATGAGAATTCTCCAAAATTACCCAATTGTACAATGATTGTGTATTCCTGTTTCCAATCATTTTCATCCACTGTATTAAAATATTTTGGAGGTTTACAGTGGTACTAGGTTATTTTATTTCAAACTGCAAAATAAATATTTTTTACTAATTCACTCACTCCTTTTATTAGAGCAGCTATTGATTAGAAATATATTGTTTGGTCTAATGTATGTAGGAGAGACTTTTATTTTTCATCAGGAATAATTCTATAAACGTCTTATACTATAAAGGTTGTGCCATTTTCTTTTTCATTTAATTCTTGATTGTAGTAGTTTGTTATTCTGTCAGTCTCTACGTGTGTGTTGTTAGAACCGCTCTATACATTAAATGTTGTTTTTTACTGCTACACAATTGCATTAATGCAGTATGAAGTCTGAAGTCTGAAACGTGATCATATGCATGTCAAGCTGGGAACTCTGGGAAACTCGTGTAAACATGATTTCTCGAGTTTCTGTGCTCAAGGGGGTCTTTTCAAAGTCCAACTTGAGATATGCAGGTGATGCACAACAATATTTTTTGTAATCCTTGTTCCGACAGATAATGCTCAGTTTTACACTGATTGTCTAAGGCAGTGGCTCTCAATCCAGTCCTCAAGTACCCACTAACAGTCCAGGATTTGGGGATTAACCAGTTGTGTTTAAGGTGTTTTTAGAAAAAATGGGTAACCCCTAAATTCTGGACTGTTAGGGGCTACTTGAGGACTGGGTTGGGATCCCCTGGTTTTAGGGGATGATGTACAATTTTAGGGATCTGGGAACAGTGGTGTCCAGCCTTGGCCCTTGTCATCCTAATGTTGGTTACTAGTAATGCCCTGAACGGTTCGCCGAACGGTTCGCCGCGGACTCATCATTGAGTAAACTTTGACCTTGTACCTCACAGTCAGCAGACACATACCAGCCAATCAGCAGCAGACCCTCCCACCTCCTGGACAGCATCTATTGTGAAGCTGCATTCTTAGTGAGTTGTCCAGGAGGTGGGAAGGTCTGGGAGGGAGGGTCTGCTGCTGATTGCCTGGAATGTGTCTGCTGACTGTGAGGTACAGGGTCAAAGTTTACTCAATAATGAGTCCGCGGCAAACCGTTCGCGAACCGTTCGGGACATCACTATTGGTTACCTTATCTTCATTAATGGGACTTTCAGACTAGCAGCTTCACAGAGTGATCTAAAAGTCCCATCAGTGTTGTGAAATGTGTTGTCTAGCCACAGCCGTGGGGCTAAAGCTGAACACATGATATAGAATGTGGAGAAGAAGCATTTAATATAAAATATGAGATATTGAAGGACTAAGGTAGACAATATTGCGATGGATATATAGATAGATGTGTAAGACTTGATACATTTCTTTAGAGTATATGAATTATAATAAATCACTTTTATGTAGAGATTGTTTTTATTAAGCCCCATTTTGGTGGTTTAGCACTTTGTTCCATGACCTGGCGAGATATTCACAATTGTCTCCTTCTAAAAGGCGTATCAATATTGGATCGCGGTTCCAGGCCGACATCCCTGAGATCAGAAGCAGAGCTTTAGCGGCTGGTGATGAGTACAAAGCGGATTTGGTTTGGTGGCCGTGGCAGGAATCTGAGGACACCAACAGTAAAGGTGAGTTAATGGGATCAGCAGCTAGGGAGACACGTGACACCAGGTAATTGTAAGGTGTACACATAGCTTATGTAAAGGTTTTGGAGGGGAGACCTAGAATCCAATTTGAGGCAGCATTTTATTTGCTTATTATTACAGAAATAAAATCCGGAAGTTGTTTTTCTCTTCTTTTAATTGGTTTACGGTGGTTTCATTCACTATCAGCATTTTATCGAAATGTCTAAAATCTTATTGAAATCCACATCAATTATAATTCGTATCTACAAATTGTGCCACACTTTCCTAAGATAGGTTTGAAATTTAGACTCTGTTTCAGGAATTGTGTTGGGAGACTGGTGAGTCACGGCCAGGGGAGGTGTGGCTAACCCTGCATAAACAAAGTGAGTTATCTCCTAAATAGCAGAAAATCGATTCCTAAGACTGCAGAGGCATGATCTATACACCAAAACAACTTCATTAAGCTAAACTGGTTTTGATACTAGAGTATGCCTTTTAGTGTCAAACTTGTACATCATGGTAATTATCATTTGGTGAGGAATAACTTGTAGGACTAGCTCTACAGTTCTATTGTTGACTTCTTGATGTGCAATAAGGTCCATTCCCACCGGGATTTAAAGCTGTAACTCCACCTAGATTGTGACATACGAAGGTCGATCTGCGAACCTACACCTATCACCACACTCCTATTAACTCTGAATCCATTTGACCTTGTCTATATTGTCCGTCAAAGGTTAGATATTATTGATGTTTATGCTTTGTAAGATGAGGGATCGGTCCGTGTAGTAATTTAGGACATAGAATGTGGTGATCATCTTCTGACGGCTTGATTTCTTCCTTTAACAGTGGTGGACGAGTTACTTACAGCAGCGTGTTCCAATATCTTACCAGGAGGGGGCACCAATCAGGAGCTGGCACTACATTACCTTCACGAGTCAAAAGGGAACATACTGGTAAGAGAGATACTTTTACAAAAACTACACCTATAACAAAAGTACAACCAACTCCTATTGTAATCAAATGAACTGAAGATAGACCTACGGCCGATTTTCAGTAAGCAAAATGGATACTTTGGCAAACATCGACTGTGAGAATAATAAATTGTTAATTTGTTATTGTGTATTTCTATACTGTCACTGTTTCCTAGGACTGGATACATTGAGTAAAGCAGGGGTGTCAAACTGCACCCCCCCCCATTTATTATTGGGCTACAGTTCATGGAATTCTCAATAATCTGCAGGTTTATCAACCTTGAAATTAATCTGATTGGAGCAAGACTATATTTTCCTCATTGTGTGCTTATATGTATATTAATTTACTGGACATAACTTGCCTACATTATTTTTCTACATAAACCTAGATTTATTTCTGCATGAGGAATACTGATTGGGCACAATATATAGTCCCCCGTTGCAGCATTTCACCATTAATTTATGCCAAAACGTCAGGGTTGATTAACAAACTGTGAATTGTCAGATTCTAAAGTAAATTCAAAGTGAATTTTAGATATTGCTCTTTAACACATGCAGTCACCGACAGAGCACATTCTGTGTATGGAAGCTGTCCGCATGCAGTGATAACATTAATAGGTGTTAGAATACGACGCCTCCAGTCCCGATAGCAGATAATGGCTTGGAAAATGTGTTGGTGCCTAATTATATTTAGAGACCAGTCTGTTTATTCTCACCCTTGTGTTTTTCAGGCTGCCCTTACAAAGCTGCTTCTTAAGAAACCACGGCGGCATAAATGCCATCCTTTGGCGAACTATCATTACTCCGGTAAGGAGCTATGTTTGATCACTTAATTGAAATTTAAGCAATGGAGAAGGCTGTCTTCAAAGGCTCCCTTTCTGTTAAATGTCCCTAGTTTACCGACATTTTGAAATATCTAGAATTGCACGAATTTTCGTGTATGTGTCAATACATGAGTCAGTAGGCTAAAGATAAACCCATGTGTTGCAGAGCATAGCCGATCCCCCGACTCCAAGCACTATGACCAATTCAGTGATTTGAAGTGGTTATGGTGCCTGGAGTCTGTATGTTAAACGCTGCACACACTGGGTTTACAGGCTGTTTAATTTCAATTCTGTACGTATTTCTATGCTTAGAGTTGCATTCCTTGGCTGAGAAAAGTCCGCTGATGTTCAACCAGCGAGATTCTTCTCCTATAATTGTATTGGTGATCACTCGGCGTAGTAGTCGTGTGCTCCATGAATAATCCCTGGACATTCCATGGACTGGATTGTACTAGACGACTCAGCTGGAGAGTAAATAGCAAATTAGCAGCAAGGTTTTCTAATTGTCATAACATGTAACACTTTTCCCATTCAGGATCTGATCGATGGTCTTCTTCTGAGAAGAGGCTTTTTAATAAAGGAATGGCCATCTACAAAAAAGACTTTCTGCTGGTCCAGAAACTGGTACGTGATGTCCTTCTCATCAAAAGTACTTTAAATTGATTGAATCAAGTAAACATCTTCATGAATGTCCCCAAATTCCAAGCTTGTTTATTTGCCTTTACATGGTTTGGGTTTCCTTTGGTCTTATTTTTAAAATTATTAAGGTTATTCAATAGATTTTAGACTGAAACAAATAAAAATCGGAATTGTAGCCAAGAAGTTGGAAAATGACTCCTAATTAGCTATGCTGGTCCTTCATGTTGCCATCTGGATTTTAATTTGTTGCAATATAGACTTTGGGAAACATGCTCACGTGGGTATTTACTAGTCATTATTTGTGGAAAGTCATGAATCTCTGAATATGCAAATTTAAATCTAACTCTCGATCAGTATTGTGGATTTTTTGCTGATGTCTGGATAAAATTCAGTTAAATTAACAGAATATCATCTGGTTGTGCAGTTGCCATGTTTACAGAAGCAAATAACCAACTGTTTGTGTGGGCTTTAAAATCAGGAATTCTTATAAGTGAATACTTTAGGGAAGTGATGGCAAATGTTTTTGAGCCCAAGTGTCCAAACCGTAATATAAACCAACCTTTTTTCCTCAAAGTGCCAATACGGCAATTAAACCTGGATACCGAGGTTTACGTTTTGAAAAAACAACTCGTACAATTGTCCGAACTAATTAACATCTTTTGTTTTAAAAGAACACTGCGTATAGGAGGGGCAGTGTGTGTTTGTGTGAGGGGTGTAGTGTGTGCATGGGAGTGCAGTGTGTGTCTGGGGGTGTAGTGGGGGCAGTGTGTGTATAGGAGGGGCAGTGTGTGTTTGTGTGAGGGGTGTATGAGAGTGCAGTGTGTGTCTGGGGGTGTAGGGGCAGTGTGTGTTTGTGTGAGGGGTGTATTGAGTGCAGTGTGTGTCTGGGGTGTAGTGGGGGCAGTGTGTGTATAGGAGGGGCAGTGTGTGTTTGTGTGAGGGGTGTAGTGTGTGCATGGGAGTGCAGTGTGTGTCTGGGGGTGTAGTGGGGGCAGTGTGTGTATAGGAGGGGCAGTGTGTGTTTGTGTGAGGGGTGTAGTGTGTGCATGGGAGTGCAGTGTGTGTCTGGGGGTGTAGTGGGGCAGTGTGTGTTTGTGTGAGGGGTGTATTGAGTGCAGTGTGTGTCTGGGGGTGTAGTGGGGGCAGTGTGTGTATAGGAGGGGCAGTGTGTGTTTGTGTGAGGGGTGTATTGAGGGCAGTGTGTGTATAGGAGGGGCAGTGTGTGTTTGTGTGAGGGGTGTAGTGTGTGCATGGGAGTGCAGTGTGTGTCTGGGGGTGTAGTGGGGGCAGTGTGTGTATAGGAGGGGCAGTGTGTGTTTGTGTGAGGGGTGTAGTGTGTGCATGGGAGTGCAGTGTGTGTCTGGGGGTGTAGTGGGGCAGTGTGTGTTTGTGTGAGGGGTGTATTGAGTGCAGTGTGTGTCTGGGGGTGTAGTGGGGGCAGTGTGTGTATAGGAGGGGCAGTGTGTGTTTGTGTGAGGGGTGTAGTGTGTGTATGGGGCAGTGTGTGTTTGTGTGAGGGGTGTATTGAGTGCAGTGTGTGTCTGGGGGTGTAGTGGGGGCAGTGTGTGTATAGGAGGGGCAGTGTGTGTTTGTGTGAGGGGTGTATTGAGGGCAGTGTGTGTATAGGAGGGGCAGTGTGTGTTTGTGTGAGGGGTGTAGTGTGTGCATGGGAGTGCAGTGTGTGTCTGGGGGTGTAGTGGGGGCAGTGTGTGTATAGGAGGGGCAGTGTGTGTTTGTGTGAGAGGTGTATTGTGTGCATGGGAGTGCAGTGTGTGTCTGGGGGTGTAGTGGGGGCAGTGTGTGTATAGGAGGGGCAGTGTGTGTTTGTGTGAGGGGTGCAGTGTGTGCATGGGAGGGCAGTGTGTGTATGGGTGTGCCATAGGTTCGTCATCGCTGCTTTAGGGAATATAGGACTTCCATATGTATTGTTTATCTGTCAACATATGCATATTTCCCTTTATTGCTGTTAGCATGTGTTAGAATTGGTCATCATCCGCCTGCAGCCACATAATGGCTAATTCTGTTGAATCTGAATATTTATTGGCATATTTCTACAATTAACTAATAAATTTCAGCTATTTGGTTGCACCTGGACTGGCCGAAATTCAGAATAAATTCAAGGTAATTTGGAGGCTACTTTCCAAAATTTGGACAATAAGTCTTTTAAGCAATTTCCAGATTTTGTAGTCTTCCCCCTGAGGGTCCCGAATTAGTTTTAAGACTATAGTGAATAATCTTGTTGGGATTTCCATACTTTGAATAGAATTGTGATATTTTGGGGCCATGTTTTTAGCAGATACCAAATAGAGCAAATATATTAATCTAGAATTTAGTGAATACCTTTTTATAATTTTGTTTTCCAAAGAAAATATATTTCTGTAAAGCTTTTCTTGCGTACTGAGGTCCATTAATCTTATCTTGTCTTCCTTCGCTCTAGATAAAAACAAAGACTGTGGCGCAATGTGTAGAGTTTTACTATACCTACAAAAAGCAGGTAAAGATCGGGCGCAATGGAATGTTAATCTACGGAGACGTAGAGGCTTCCGGGGATGAGAAAAACCCCAGAGAAGATTCGGAAGTTGATATAAAGGTATTTGTAATAACAGATTGTAAAAATCACATTCAGACCAATTTTCTAGATCCTTCCTTATTACTGTAAACACACCATTCGAGGTCCGGATTCTTCTCACCTGGATTCTCAATGGCAAGACCTTCAGCAGACCTGTCCAGATGTCATGCAGTTTAGTTGGAGCGATTATTCCTTTGTCTACATTGTTGGGATTGCTAGAGACTGGGCATTAGTTCACAAGGTATCATATTGACAGTCGTGCCCTCCTTGTATGGAGCAGTAGACGGGAACACAATGTTATATCTCCCTGCACCAAACATATTGTAGAAAGGCACATGATATCAAGTGTAGCGCATGTCTTGGAATCTGGCCAGATTTGTGGCTTTCGTCACTTTCAGTGCTTACACTTGCATGTAGCTAATGTTTATACACAAGAGATGGGAGAGTGTACGGGGGAAGAGGCTCTGTCTGAAGGGCATATATTGCACCACCTCCCGTGTCATATTACAAGAATATTCAATGCTAACGGCAGCTTGACATTGCTTTAAGAATGTCATTGCTGTGCGATTAATCCGCAAAAATACTTTGCTGTGTTCTACATAATCGTAAAACTCTTGCAAAGACTTTCTTATGCGTAAGGTTTATTAATGTCTGAGCTGATGTGTCCTCCACTATATAATATGATCATTGCTTTGGGAATGAAATGTGAGCATGATAGTGGCAGTCTTGGCACGGGACTTAGCTTGGCTTAAAGGGCAACGGTCACCGTAACAACTTCTTTGTTAATATGAGGATCCTTTGATCAAGTTTTTACAGGAAAGGTATTATGTGTACAAAAATAAAAAAGAGCGGAAAATCTCATCCCTACCTTTAGTAGAGAGAGAGAGGATAATTCAGTCTGTTTGAAACCCTTTAAATAGTTTCTATGGTCTTCCCTGCTTCACTCCCTGCAAAGTGCAGTGACGTCATGACACCGACTGTCACATACAAACATTGTCCAACCCAAGGTGCATGTATATGGTTGAAGGATCCTGTCATATACTAAAGGTAGGGATGAGATTTCCCCCCCCCCTCTCTCTTTTTATAAATAATTTTCCTTTTTTAAAATGTATCTACTTGATGACTGGATCACACACACACATATATATATATTTTTTTTTTATTTTTTTTTGAGGTGACGGTTCTCCTTTAAATGCATTGAATATACATCAGAGCAGGCCAATTCATTGACACTCTGAAATAATACCAGCTCTTTCTTAAAGGTTCAGTCTAAGCACCATAAGCACTTTATACTCTTGCAACGTGAATGATGCTTAGAGCCCCCTGTCAGAGAATGACTTATAACGGCAGCAATCTGTAAAAATCCCCACCAGATTATGACAGCCCATGAGGTCAGTCAATAAGGAATTTTCTAGAATGTCTAGGTTCATGTTGCCTTATATAAATCTTGTGCCTGTGCATGCCATACACACAAAACAGAAAACCTTGGAGAGAGCTGAGCCACAAACTGAGCTTTGCTATTGGCTTTCTCGGTTCACTAAACGTGGTATGGCTGCTATCCATTTATAATGCAGTTAGTTGTCTCATGTGGTAACTATGGGTAGGGGATGTGACTGATTCCCCTATCCCTGGATTGTCATCCTTTTTATTTTGACTCATTTGTTACACTGGGTGGTTCGGTATATGGGATTCACCAAACACTTGGGACCCCTGTAGTTCGCATACCATCTAGAGGAGTTGTGTGTTGCTCATTGGCCCTTGTAACCACAATTATCACAACGTTCTAAGTGGTCGGCTGGGTGGTCGCCACTCGTATGTACGAACACGTGGCAGCGGCCATCTTTAGCCGTCGAGTGCATGGAACTATAATCGGACATCGCTGAGACTTCCATCTCCACACACGTTTAGTTCTATTTGTCTGGGAAGAGCGGCGTTCGGTTGAACCAGATTCCCAAACGAGGGGCACACGACGAGTGTACTCACAAACTGTTATATTCGTGATTTTATTGTATTTGGTACTCTCGAAAGAGACTGAATACACAGCCTGTATCTATGGAACTCTTTTGGCAGGCACCTTGTGTGTGGTCGGTCTAAACTATAACCCAGTGGCGTTTCGGCTGCTTTCGTGGGATCTGAGCGCTTTTTGGATATGTTGTGCGCTCACCCTAGCGCTTTTTGGATATGTTGTGCGCTCAGATCCAGGCTATACGGGGATATAGGACTTGAGGGGGTACCATACTTGTTAAATATGTATTTTAGGGTGTTTTTGTTATACATGTCCTGGACCTGAGAGTTATTGTAATTATTTGTGTGCTTTGCTGTAGTGCCCCTGGAATATGTAATAAGAAACCTTTTGCATATAAGGCCAGTTTGGCTTCCAATAAATCAGTTCCTGCTTACCCTCAACATAGAATCTCATCTCATGTTTGTAGGGAACAGCTATACTAGCTATAACGTGTGTTTGGATTATCGTGCTCTGGGTTGTGATAGCATCACTCTGAATAGGGGAAAAGAACATCCTTGCGGCGAGACCCCCTCTTCCTCTCGGGGTGACCACCACAGAGGATAAACTACTTATCCCACAAGCCTCTGCAGTAGGTTTATGGGATATAGGATAAGATCAGCCCCCCTATATCAGAATGAAAAACTCCTGTAGAATGAGGGATAAGTAACTTTGTTTATATCTAATTTTTATTTAGGTTTTGATTTTGCAATATATTTTTTATGCATTATGTTTATAATACATTAAAGCACCACTATAGGCACTCAGACCACTTAAGCTCAGTGAAGTACCAGATCCCCCTAGTTTTACCCCTGCAGCTGAAAACATAGTTTCAGAGCTTCCGCGATCCTCAATGCGAAAATCGCGGTTTTCTACGGCCGCGCATGTGTATTCGGAGCGGACATCAGCAGGGGGAGCCCGGCGCTGGATTAAGGTAAGTGGCTGAAGGGGTTTTAACCCCCTTCAGCCCAGCAGGAGAAGGGGACCTAATAACCCAAGTTTGTTTTCCTGGCACTACAGTGTTCCTTTAAACAATCTAGGGCCATTTTATTTTACTAAACTAATCCTTTAATTACTATGTTTTTAATACAAATGGCTGTAATTTATTTTTCTCTGAATGTACTGTGATTGGCAAAGCAGAATAATACGGTAGCATGTTCTTGTGTATCATAGAATTTATAGAATCAAAAAAACAGAAAACAGAACTCACCCTAGCAATTTTTTTCCCCTCCCCTTTCTGTGTGCCAGAGCTCACAGCGAGTTGCACCTGCTGCCCCTCTTAGAAGAGAGCCCGTGAAAGAGGAAACAGTAGAAGCCCCCATCATGGACACACATTCACAGGTGACGGTGAATCAAGTAAAGATAGAGGTGAAAGAGGAAGAGGAGAAGAAGGTTTCTCCCCCAATCAAGATCACACAAACACTGGAAGCCAGTGAAATAGTAAGTGGTTTTTGTACTCTTTTATGAATTTCTTACTTTCCTGTCTGCATTATGGGGTTTGAAACTTGCTGTGAAAGCGTGTGCATTGTGCGATATAAAGGCTTATTAAAGGACACCGCAGGCTGGGGATTATTCCCATGTGGAGGAAAGAAATCCCTGCCTACATTTGATATGAACATAGCCGAAATGGGTGTATCCAAAGCTTGCTGTCATAGCGTTTTGCATATGCGTTGGCATCCTAACAAATTCTTATTGTATCCCTGTTGCTTCACTTGTCATAGAGTTCTGCTTATCAAACAATGACTTGTCAACAATTGATCTGCACAACTTTAAGGGACACTATAGTCATTCGGACAAATACAGCTTAATGTAGTTGTTGTGGTGAGTAGAGTCAGTTTCTGCAGGCCTTTTAATGTAAACACTGTCTTTTCAGAGAAAAGGTAGTGTGCACATTACATCCTCAGATGGCCACTACAGGTGCTTCCTGGGGCCGTGATGCACAGTGGCAGCACTGCTGTTCAGCGTCTTCATGTTTTGCAGCGCATATGCAATAGCCTCCCAATGCTTTCCTAAGGGAAAGCATTGGATTGGCTGATATCATCAAATCTGATCCGAGGAGGCGAATCGGGGGCAGGGCCAGATGTGAGTAACCCCATGCGCCGCTGTAAAGTAAAGTTCAGTAAATCACCTTTCTAACCAAAGTTAAGGGGGGCCGACCCCGGTGGTTTTAGAACTATAGTGTCAGTAATACACGTTTGTGTTCTTGACGCTATAGTGCTCCTTTAAAACAACAAAAATGTTGAAAACCAAATTTCAAACACTGCAAATATTTGGCCAGCATAATGTTGATTTGCATCCCAAGAACAGATGTCACTCGTTTAGGCAAAGAGGATGTTATGAAGTAGTAACCACCGAGTTTGAAAAACGAGCTGGTGTCAATTAATTTCCAGTGAACATTGCATAGGTCTCCAAAATTCCTTCATGCTTAGCTGAAGATCCCCTCCTGACACGTCCAGGCTGGGTGACCTAGGAATTGAGAATCTTGTGTCTGTATTTAGATCAGTGCAACCATTGGTGAACAGACTGTGATTTGCAGCCGATATACCTTTAGTCTACAATGAATAATTCTGATCCTCCATTTAAATTACAACACTATTTGTAGATTGAAATATAACTGCTTTTTTTTTTTTGCTGCAGGCAAAAGATACCTTGATTCTAAAAGCCCAGGACCCTGACACAAAGATTTTGGAGAATGCACCTAAACCTAGAGGAAGGAGGCCACGGAAGAAATTTCCTCCAGATGGAACAAAGAAACCAGAAGTAGGAAGTAAGCCGCCGGAGCAAGAAGGCTCTTTTCCTTGCAAAAAATGTGGCAGGTGAGTCCTGTGTGCAATATAAAACTATATTGCTGTTTTTCTCTAATACTCAAGGCAGAAGCCAGGGACGATAGAGCCCACCAATATTCAAGGTATTGGCTAAAAGCAAAGCAGAAAAGATGGAAAGTAACAGAAAAACGTTTTAACAGTAATTAGTGGCTTAGGCTTAAAGGGACACTCTAAGCACCAGAAACCATATGCTTACTGTAGTGGTCGTGATGCAAAGAGTCTCGGCAATGTAAGAAAGACCGTGTTTGGATTGCTTCCTATGGCCACCTCTAGTGCCAACTGTTATTGAGGTTATTGATATAATGTATCTTCGGTGCAGTGACCCCCAATGCTTCTTTATGGAGAAGCATTGAATTAGCTGAGATACTCATTACTGATGATCTCTGCTGGGCTTAAGGCATGGGGGCTTAATATTCTAAATACGAAGGAAAGCACTCTAAGGTTAGAAGTATGTTTTCAATTCTAATGTTAGTTTGTTTTGTTTTTTTTAACAGAAAAAAAAATAAGGGCAATGGGAACAAACCAATGTGGTCAAAACACTTAAATCTGAAGTCAGGAACTGCAGAAAAACACTAATTCAACATAATAAGCGCTACGGAATCTGTTGGCGCTATATAAATGGCAATAATAATAATAATAATAACATCACCAAGTCACAAATAAAAAAAAAAAAAAATCACAACAGCACAATGAATACATTATCAGACTACACAGAACTGTAAAAGGTTGCAAGACTTGCAAATAATCATTGAACGGTGTATGGTGATGTCATCATCACTCTACGCACCATAACTGGGACAGACATTGTATAAGGCAAGCAGCAGAATCCTTAGTGAGGTTTTTGGCAATAGATTGGAATGTCAGGGTCTTTGCACAATTCTTTTGGTTATTCCACTAGGGTTCTACATTACAATTGCAAGGACATGGGGGCATTTCTGTGTACTGTAACAAGTGAGATGCTTTGAATAGCAAGTTTCCAGATTAAAAGGAGGCCCACTGATGTATTAAACTACGGTACATCCCCTGTGTTGCATGAAAAATATTTTACTCTAATTTCTACATTGTTTCATATCATATATTTCCTTTTTTTTTTTACTTAAATCATTGCAATAAAATGTAAAAAAAAAAAAAAATTCTCTCTTTTCTTAATGCAGGGTGTTCCTCAAAGTGAAGAGTCGTAGTGCCCATATGAAGAGTCATGCCGAACAGGAGAAAAAGGCTGCTGCACAGAGACAAAATGAACTGGCGGCAGCGCAGGCTGCTTTACAAGCAAAATTGCAGCGTGTTCAGAGCAGCGACAGCAGTAGCGAAAGCTGTGACAGTACTAGCAGCAATGAATCCTGGAACAGTTCAGAAGGAGAGATATAAGAGGAGCACGGAATTTATTGGCAGAGTGAGGCTGGACCCTTGCTTTGTAACTTTCTACATTTTGGGGGGAGGGAGGGGTGCTACATTTTTACATTGCTAAACTTTTTTGTGAGCAGATCAAATTTCATGAACGGTTTAATGGACTTGGGGTTTTTAAATTAAAGTATAAGTATTTATTGTGAAAAAGATGATCTATGTATTTTAGAGAGAAAAAGTTTTTTGTTTTTACTACAGACGTGCCTATTAATATCATCCATGCTTAAACCATGCAGTTAATGCATTTTATTTTCACATTGTTGACTGTAGAATGGGGGAAAAAGACACCTGTTTGGAGAAAGGAAAGACCCCAAACTCCTTTTCCAGACCTCCTTCAGCTCTGTTTCCTTGCAATAACCATTATACAAGTTTTCTATTCTCCAATGATCACAGCTCTTGCTTGCTGGAATATCGAATGAAATTGTTATTGTATTAACGCTGAGCTCTTTCTACCAGCAGCACGGGCAGACTGGTAAGTTCCAGTGTGAGGGATGGGGGAACAATTTCAATCAATATCCCAAGAACATAATCTAGAATTAAACCTCTAGAACATCTTTGGGACTACATAGTTCATGCATAGAAATGATCTAGCATCATGGAAAATGTATATAGCGGTGATGTCCTTACAAAATTGGTAGCTGTAGGGAGGGAGGGGCAGGGGGTGAGAAATACTACCAACCAAAATTAAAACTCAGCTATTTTCTCGTATGCCAGTCAATCATCAGATTCCCTCTAGTGCTGATCCATCTCTGCTCATGTGACAATGTATGTTAATTAAGAATACAGTTTACAGTTATGTGCACATATCCCTCTTTGAAAATGAACCTGCCACTTACATGTATTTAGAGTATATGATCAAGGCGATTTATTTTCTTGTTGGAACAGGATTGCAGCAGTATTGAAAGTGCATAAGATACATTAAATATTTCTAGTTCAGTGGCTCTAATTAAAGGGGGGGGGGAAATCAACTGAATTATTTTTGTCTTCCAAAATGATTTATATTTTTTCCGCGATGAAACATGGTATTTAACTTCATCTTTCTAGAACAGTGCAATGTTTGCAGGAACCAAGATTTCTTATTGTGTCAATGACTCAAGAGATTTCTTCTAAGATAATTATTTTTCTGGAAGCTGCTATGTTTCCAGTTCAACACATAAATGTGAAATTCACGCTGTGAATGAGGGTCTTTGGCTGGAGCAGGAGCAGGGATGGGGGAATCGCAGAGACCCACATTCAATGTTAAACCATTTGGAAATGTTTTACGACTGGGCTGTGAAATAGAAAAAGGAGACTATAGCCACCATAACCACTTCAATGAGAAAAAGTGGTTATGGTGCAGAGAGTTCATTTTGTAGCCTTTTTTCAATTTTTCGAATGACTGGTTCATTTTACATCTTGCATTACCTTGGATAACCTACAAACTTATCATTCAAATATCTGATTTATTTTTTTCCTCTTAGACAATTCTTTGGTTATCTGACAATAAGGGAGGATTATTCACTAGAGTAATATAAATTTGTAGTTTGTTGTTTTGCACCGACAATGGAATTGTTAAATTAAGGCCAGAAAAAAAATAAAGACGTGCACCCTCCTCCCCGTTTGCAATTTGGCTATAGTGTTAATTCACCACAACCCTGTGAATAAATCCCCAAAATGCTATGTTTCTGATTATTGGCGCGCACCTACCTGCTGTAAAGATAGATTTACTGTTTTTATTAATAACAGTTCTATGTATATGTGGTCACAGTGGGGGGGGAGGGAGGAATAGAATTGTATACCTGTACATACTATACATATATAAATATATATCTATTTTGTTTTGTAATTAAAAGCAAATCTTTTTATGCTTAGAAGGACAATCTGCGTATATGAAATGATTCGGATGGATGGATGGACATTAATCCTGTCTTTTTGTTGACTGCTTTATTTTCTCATTTGTCTCCTGCCAAAAGTAACATCGTAGGTAAAAACTTTTTTAAAATTTACCTATGATTCAGCACTCAGTATTCCAAAATGTGGGGCTGTAAAGATTGGTGGCATTATACGTGGTTAGTCACTAAAGTGGGTACTGACTGGAATTCATAGAGAATTTATCATTTTAATTCAGGAATTCCTGAAACAATATTAGACCGATATTTGTTTCCCCCCAACTTGGCTACTTTGGCCTTACATGTGAGATTTGATTTGATGCACTTTGAATTCCTGATAATCCATACTTTATTGAATAACTCTGTGTCAGTTACAAGCCTCCTAACACTTTATCGATTATTGTACGTTAAAACAGTCTTACCAATAGCCTGAAAACTCCTAATTCCTAACACACATAGCTGTGTACTGATCAGTGATGCCAAAAAATCGAAAATGAGTCCTCCTCCTGTTGTAATACTAAAGCTCCCATGATCCTCTGGATCTCCAAGCATTATAGGAGCTGTAGTTGTACAAGAACTGGAAGGCTAGATTTTGGCTATTCTCGTGATAGAGCTACCCTATCAATTGCCATTGTGGCCTGCAGGTTATTGAATTGCAATATGCAGGTTGCAGTCACCGAAACCCAGAAATAACGGTCTTGAATTTGTACAAATTTATTAAGTGCGTGTGCAGAGAAGAATGTTGGGTTTCAATCCTTAATATGGTGTGCTGCTTGGATTCCTTTTGTTATATTATGAATTATTTTTTTATGGTTATTAAAAAGTCTGTTAACTATCAATTTGTTTAATGATCTTTTTCTTATCCTACACAATATTGTTTGCTCGTTACAAATTGCAATCAGCTTGTTGTGATGACATTTATAAATAATATTTATAGTTTTGATCAAGTTATTAAAAGAACACTCCAAAAATTACTACAGTGCCCCCCAGCCCCCAGTGATTATGGTGCCTGAAAGTAGTTAAACATTTGTGAACAGGTTTCCAACTTACCTGGGTTCTTGGCCCAAGCAAAAGTTAGTTTTACCCCAATTACCACTTTGGAGAATAACCCGCAGATACAATTTTATTGCCACCGTACAGGAAAAGGGAGCAGTGACTGTCTACAGCAGGACAACTGTTACTGCGCAAGATCATCAGAAACAATACAGAGATGGCGAGGATAGAGGGCACGATATATCACGGGCAAGGAATTGTAATAAGTGAGGTGAGGTGGAATTCCGAGAAGAACTGAGTGATGGAATGAGGGGGAGTGAGATGATATGGGGAGGTAGATGTGATGAGAGACTTGGTCATAGACCATGCTGTTTGCAAGTGAAGATATATTTACTGCCATAGCCTCATTTAGCAATAAAACTTTGCTTGGTGAAGTTAATTTTTGATTTGCTAGCTACAGCAATGAGGACACGTATCTGTGCATTAACCCACAAGAAATTACTTATGGAAGGTTGAAATGAAAACACCAGGCTGCAGCTACCCTTCAGGGATAAGCAAGGTAACTCCCAGGACTGGGAGCCATGCTTTTTATACTTTTCTGAGAAATGCTTTTATTTTACTGTATACATTTAGTAACCTGTAATGTTTTGTGTCAAAAGAGAACATAGCCGAAATGGGTGTATCCAAAGCTTGCTGTCATAGCGTTTTGCATATGCGTTGGCATCCTAACAAATTCTTATTGTATCCCTGTTGCTTCACTTGTCATAGAGTTCTGCTTATCAAACAATGACTTGTCAACAATTGAGCTGCAGAACTTTAAGGGACACTATAGTCACTAGGACAAAAACAGCTTATTGTAGTTGTTCTGGTGAGTAGAGTCAGTTTCTGCAGGCCTTTTAATGTAAACACTGTCTTTTCAGAGAAAAGGTAGTGTGCACATTACATCCTCAGATGGCCACTACAGGTGCTTCCTGGGGCCGTGATGCACAGTGGCAGCACTGCTATTCAGCGTCTTCATGTTTTGCAGCGCATATGCAATAGCAAAAGTTAGTTTTACCCCAATTACCACTTTGGAGAATAACCCTGTAAGTGAGAAGATTATGTTTACTGAAATAGAGCAGATTCAATTTTATTGCCACCGTACAGGAAAAGGGAGCAGTGACTGTCTACAGCAGGACAACTGTTACTATAAAATGTCTGCTCCTACCTAAAGCGGGCATTAAAATCCTCGCACCATGTTTGTATGTCTATTATGAGTTTTAATGTGATGAGGTTCTATAATTTTAGCACTCTCTATATTGTGTGATCACATGTTATAGTTATGCTTTTAGTGCTGAGTGTATGCCCGAAGGCAATACTTTGAGTTAGGTGTGCACAACAAATTTTAAAGGTTTAAATGTAACACCATAGAACATGGAGTTCAAACTTAAAATTCTAGCCTAATATAGAACACTAACAAGGAATAATATCACAGAATGAATTTTATTGTCTTATGTCACACGTTAAAAAACCTTTTTTATTTTTATTTCTAAATATTTATTTACTATGAACAATATTTCTTGACAAGAATGGTGGGACCATTGGCTAAATGCCAAGGAGGCTGTGATACCTGTAGTGGTAAGGCTGCACCTTAAAATGGGCAGGTTAGGTACTATAACCACTACAGATCACTGCAGTGGTTATGGTGCCAGCATTTCCATGTAGCTACCCCCCAGTTTTGCTACAAACGATCTGACTCAAACCTGAGGTTGTGAACACGTCAGTGAAGACGCTCACCCAAGTTTAGAGAGCATGCATTTGCAGAGTATTTCTTCTGACATGCTACGCCAATGGATGCCATCCAAATCTAGATGAAAGGATACTACTAATGTTAAGTAACTTCCACATGCTGATTGCGGGGCTGGGCTGCAGGTTTATAGGGGACATTCCGTTTGTGTCAAATCACAAAATGTTACACACAGAACAGGGGAAATGGCTTGCTGGAACCATAACCATTGGCTGTAGTGGTTATGGAGCGTAGCGGTTCCCTTTAATTATCTGAAAGCTGACTTTGTGTGAACAGACTTAGGAATGTGCATCTAACCTTTTTGTGCTTGGTTATCTGTGCTATACAGGGCATGGGATATACAGTCTCTGAACTCATCATGATTAAATAAGTTTAAATAAAGCAGTTTTAGTGTATAGATCATTCCCCTGCAATTTCACTGCTCAATTCACTGCCATTTAGGAGTTAAATCACTTTGTTTCTGTTTATGTAGCCCTAGCCACACCTCCCCTGGCTATGACTGACAGAGCCTACATGAAAAAAAAAACTGGTTTCACTTCAAAACAGATGTAGTTTACCTTAAATAATTGTATCTCAATCTCTAAATTGAACTTTAATCACATACAGAAGGCTCTTGCAGGGTCTAGCAAGCTATTAACATAGCAGGGGATAAGAAAATCTTAATTAAACAGAACTTGCAATAAAGAAAGCCTAAATAGGGCTCTCTTTACAGGAAGTGTTTATGGAAGGCTGTGCAAGTCACATGCAGGGAGGTGTGACTAGGGTTCATAAACAAAGGGATTTAACTCCTAAATGGCAGAGGATTGAGCAGTGAGGCTGCAGGGGCATGTTATATACACCAAAACTGCTTCATTAAGCTAAAGTTGTTCAGGTGACTATAGTATCCTTTTAATATTTTCACCAGCCTGTCATGGCTTAAAGTCACTTCCAAAAGAGAATGACAAGTCCTTTGATCCACTGGATCCTGTCCTTAAATGTAGTGCTTCTTTTATATTACTGCCCTGCTCCAACTACACTGGTTAGTTGGTGTCATCAGATTAGAAATTACCCAACACCACTGAATGTTATGAGACCAAAGATCTCCTGATTCTTGGGTGAAATAGATCAGTAAGTACCATTTTCAAACTTTACAAACTGGACAGCTAGGGTCTGGGGAAGATAAATATTTAGAAATTTACTATTAAATTACCAAACCATGGCAGCATGATTTTCAATTTGCCAAATGCCCAGTCTGAATATATTCTTATAAATCTGGTTAAACCACTAAGTTAAGATTTCATTTTTCATTGGGGGGGGGGATATGTAGTAACTTATTCTATTTCAAAATTACCGTGTTTTATATGTAAGGTATTGCTAAATGTTCTTTAAAATATCATTTTAGCTGTCCCCTTGATCTGATATCGTAAATGTATAGTTGCCATTTATGAACAGAGACAGAAACCAGAGGACTAGTTGTCACAACTTGGCAAATAAGCATGTCTCTGACAATTAGCCCTGAGAAGTCATTACAATTTTTTTTAAAAGGTTCTCCCTCCAATGTCTTGTGCTGACTTAATTCACTTTATATAATACATTTATGATTATTATGATGTTTCATAAAAATACTTTTAGGGAAATGCAAAAAACTTTATATGTACAAACAACATTTATAAAAAGTGACAGTCTTTTCTATAGATATCGAAATAACTTAAAAGTATACAAAAATATTACGCATCTCCATCTCCCTCTTCTTCCTCTTGTTTAATGACTGGATTTCCTGAAAATAGATTAAAAAAAATTATGGATTCTGCAACATTTATGTCGATATTTAGTTTAAAGAAACACTACAGGGTCAGGAACACAAACATGTATTCCTGACCCTATAGTGTTAACATCTAGCCCCCTACATATAGTAAAATCTTACTTTTATTCCAGTCTGCTGCTGCTGACTCGGCCCCTGATCTGCATGCTTTGCTGACATTACCAGAAGTGATTCTATGAGCCAATCACAATGCTTTTCCATTAGATTATCTGAGACTGTCAAGGAGGCAGATCGGGGCAAAGCCAGCACAGGTCAAACACAACCCTGGCCAATTAGCATCTCCTCATAGAGATAAATTGAATCAATGCATCTCTGAGGAAAGTTCAGTGTCTCCATACAGAGGGTGGAGACACTGAATTGCAGCACTGCCCCTAGAAACACCTCTAGTAGCCACCTGAGGAGTGGCCAGTGGAGTTACCCCTAGTGATGACTAACCTTGACACCATAAATTGTTTCTGGACTACATTTTCCATGATGCTCAGCTAGCTTTTAGACTCTAAAAGCTAGCTGAGGTTCATGGGAAATGTAGTCCAGAAAGAATTTATGATGTCAAGGTTAGCCATCACTGCCCTAGACTTTAAATACTGCATTTTCTCTGAAAGAAATATTTAAACTCGCCAGAACACATACAATAAGCTGTAGTTGTTCAGGTGACTTTAGTATCCCTTTAAAAAGTCCAACAGCAGATTTGTAACATGGTGAGTTATACAGATCTTAAACCAACTTGCTGGCAATAGAAAATAACTAAAATAATTTAAAGCAGATCTGTCACTTTTCAGTAATTCATAAAGCTATATTCTTTATGAAATACTAATCAATACTATGAAGTTCCATAAGGACTATTTTGTCTTATGCACAAGCCTAGGGTTCACAAAAGGCAAAGCTCTGCTCTTTCAACTTTTGTCAAATCCCTGCAGTTGTCACAAGTGATGACTGTGGTATTCAGGCTTTGTTTGTGGAGGCCCTCGTGAAATCCTTTTGCAGACCTGTGTTGTACCTTTATGGCTCCTGGCAAATGAAGTGCCAATAGCCAAAGAGAGACAGCAGGAGGCAGATGAGGACAGCCTTAAGTGACAACTAGAGGCAAGTAAAAAAACAAAAAACCTAGATCCCCTACACCCTGCGCCACTGGACCAACAAGCAATTTGTCTTTCCAGGGGTCTTTGAAAAATATGCAAAGACCCTTGAAAGTGACAGATCGGCTTTAGATGAATACTCCAAACAAGATAACACACCCCTCTTGTAAGTAGTCAAATGGTTTTATAATGGTTTGACTTTATACCTGAGGTCTGCTGCATTCACTTCTGAAAACTGTCAGTCTGAGCTAAGCCCTGCAGAGCTCTGCACTGCACAGCTTAGCTCAGGAAAACTAATGGAAACTCCTGCTTAGCAGTATCAGGCTCTTCGTGGGAATAGAGGAGGGGAGAGGTGCCCGCTGGACCCCAGGTAAGAAGCCACACTGTTTGGCTAGTAACAATAGGGGTGCCAAGTTGCCAATGGCACCATAATCACTACAGTGAACAGTAGTGGTTATGGTTCTTGGAGTGTTCCTTTAACACAACACATGGCTCTAGGAGGGCTGCTGTTTACTAAGCCTAGAGGGTACTATATGGGTCACATGTACTCTACATCAGAGCTCAAGATTTCCCAAATTAGGCATTGACCAGCAGAAATTGGAATCAGATTCTATTTGTATAATGAAGGCACAAAGTGTCCTTTTGCCTATATGGATCGTATAAGCACCAAAACAACTTTAGCTTAATAAAGCAGTTTTGGTGTACAATCATGCACCTGCAGTTTTGCTGCTTAAACCTCTGCTATTTAGGAGTTAAATTTTTTTTTCTATTTATGCAGCCCTTACCGCTCCTACATTGGCTGTGGCTCACAGTCTTCTCAGTTCTTACAGCACAGTATATTTTATTTAGAAGTTCCTATCTCCTGCTCTATTAATTAAACTTTAATAACATACAGGATGATCCTGCAGGCCATTAACTGAGCAGGAGATAAGAAATTAAACACAACAATGAGTTTTTCAGGAGGTTGTGTGAGTTTCAGCCAAGGTAGGTGTAGCTTTGGCTCTGTAAGCAGTGATTTAACTCCTAAATGGCAGCATTTAACAGTGCTTGATCTTTACACCAAGAACCTAGAAGATTAAACAACCTTAAAACAATTTTAATATAATAATCCTTTAGTCAAATCTTTAGAGGGAATAGATTTTTTTTTTGATTTTTTTTTAAGGATCACTATAGGGTCAGGAACACAAACTTGTATTCCTAACCCTATAGTGTTTAAAACCAACATCTAGCACCCCTGGGCTCCTCATGCCTCCATAAAAATATCAACATCTTACTGTATTCAAGCCTGAATCTACAGATCTGCATGCTGTTTGCCTCAGAAAAACATCATCAGAAGTGGTGGCCTGATCCAATCACAATTCTTCTCCATAGGATTTTCTTAGATTGACAAGGAGGCAGATCAGGGGCAGAGCCAGCATGATTCAAACACAGCCCTGGCCAATCAGCATCGACTCATAGAGATGAATTGTATCAATGAATCTCTATGAGGAAAGTTCAGTGTCTGCATGCAGAGGGTGGAGATATTGAATGTTTGGATGCATTTTAGGCAGCCATGACCCAGGAAGGATCTCTAACAGCCATCTGAGGAGAGGCCAGTGAAGTTATCACTAGGTTGTAATGTAAACACTGCATTTTCTCTGAAAATACAGTGTTTACAGGAAAAGGCATGAAGGTGATATTTCTACTCACCAGAACAAATTCAATAAGCTGTATTGTTCTGGTGGCTATAGTGTCTCTTTCAATAAAGTATATTGGGAAGAAAGAAAAAAAAAAAAAGAGAGAAAAACTCTATTTTAGTATACAGAAGCATTTTTCAGCCATATACATGAAACTTGGGTCCAGACAGTGTTTGAAAAGCAACAGTCTCTCCCTGCACAGAAGCCGGAAAGACCATAGTGACTCATTTTTCAGACACTGTCAGACCCAACGTGCCTGTCTATGGCTAAAGGATCCAGTCACATACTAAACATTGGGATGAGTTTCTCAATTTTTATTTATTTTTTTACAAATACTCCATTATAAAAAAAAAAATATTGTTTGAAAATTCATGAAAGGATTTTTATATAAATAAAATAGTTTTGAGGTGACAGTTGTGTTTAAAGCGAACGTTTTGGTGCTTCGTATATCTTTACCTGCAAGTGTATAGCAACTAATTGTAGTTATCCAATGGCTAAGGATAACCAAACGTAGCAATAGATTACTACCTTGTTTCAATATATCTCTGCTACAACAAAATCTGTCCACTTTATCTGTAACTTTAGGACCCAGTCTCTTATTAAGGATGCCTGCCACTCCAGATGTTGAGGACTGCATCCCTCTGATGCTCTGCCAGTATTATAGCTGTAAGCGATTTTTTGGGAGAAGTAGTCCTCAACATCTGGAGTGCCGAGGGCCCTAGTCTAGGCTATGCAATTTATTTATATTATAGACAAGGTAATAAGTCTTCGATAATGCTCTTACAGCCTCAAAGCTGGCAGAGCAGCAGGGGAGATGTAGTCCACAACATCTGGAGTGCTAAAGGTTGGATACCCCTGGCCTACACGCAGAAAACAAATCCATCAGTGTGATGGGAAATGAGCACTTGCCAGCAACCCTTCACACAAGACTGATTCCTAAAGTTAGGTTACCTTTAGCCTTAGATTTCCAATAATAGTTCTACGGTTTAGCAGCAACCCACCGGATACAAGTATGTTATCTTAAATTGAACAATTAGGAAGTTTATTACCTTTCAAGAGCTCAGTAATTTATCTCTAGAAAGGGGACCTATACCGAAGTGCCATGAAAAGTTATCATACACTGCTTTGTAAAAGGAATAGACAATAATTTAAAGGGCTACCCCAGATTCTGTAACCAGTTCTGCTTTTAGAAATGGTTATGGAGCAAAGAATCTGTATGTCCAGGTTTTTTTCTTGAAACGTTAAACATACAGAGAAATATGCACTTTTGTGCTATTGCTAGTTACACCCCTGGCAAACGTGACTCAGGCAGCCCAGAACTGTAAAATCTAGGAAAAATAAATATATATCTGTTGTCAACATGCACTGCTCTGAGCCGTACCTGCCCTCCAAAAAATCTCCTCTCCCTACATCCTTGGTACAGAGTGCGTACGTGCAATCTGAGTATGGAGATTGGTCCAATCACATTTAAAAATATTGGTGTAACCCTTTAAATGTAACATGGCTGCTAGAAGAGTAATAAGAAAATAAGTTAGTAAACTCCTTCTACTGCTACTGTCTGAGATTATGTATCCATAATTACTTGCTGCACACTTTCAATTAATGAGACACCAAAACATTCTGACACGGGTTTAGGATTAGTTCATTTTTGTATATACTTTCTTTTTCAAAATTCATTGTAAAACTCTTACTAAAACTACAAATAAACGTTAGAGGAACACTATAGGCACCCAGACCACTCCAGCCCATTGAAGCGGTCTGGGTGCAATGCTCCTGTCATTTTAACCCTGCATTTGTAATTATTGCAGTTTTTGAGAAACTGCAGTAACTACCTTGCAGGGTTAACTCCACCTCTACTGGCTGTCTACCAGCCAACCACTAGCGGCACTTTCAGGTTCTTAGTGGACTTTTAGTCTGCTAAAGAACGCTGGACGTCCTCCCACTTTGCATGAGGACACCCAGCGTCACCTAAAACCCCATAGGAAAGCATTGAATCAGTGGTTTCTATAGAGAAGTTCTAATGCGACTGCGGTGCTCACCACGCATTCGCATTAGATCGCCCCTGCGGGCAGAGATAGAGCCTGTCCCAGCGCCGAGGGACATGCGGGGCAGAGGATACAATGGTGTTAGGGATACAACATTGTATTCCTAGCATAAGTTTCCCTTTAAAGGAACACTCCAAGCACAATAACTACTACAGCATGCAGCAGTGGATATGGTGCAAGGAGTGCCTTGGTGTCCCCCCATTGTAAAGCAAACCGTTTAACAATGAATTGATTCCTTACCTGGATTGTGCCAGGCACTGCTCCGCGCCTCCACTACAGCTTACTATGAGCTAGCTAGAAGCTCTTGCTCAGGAGCTTCTGTTTTCCTGAGCCAAGCCCTGGAGAGCAGCACAAGCACATTTGCTGACAGTGGCAGCTGACCCCTGTACCGCTGGGTTAACCTCAATGAAGAGAGCTGCTGGCTCTCTGACTGCTGTAGTGAAGGTAGGGAGACAGTTCTAAAATGGTTTGACTACTTGCTTAATGAGGGTGCCAGAGCACTCCTGGCACCATAACCACTACAGCACGCTATAGTAGTTATGGGGTTTGAAGTGTTTCTGCTCTATAGGAGGGTATTTTCCTTCCTCCTTTTTGGTTTCGAAACAAGCCATTCACAGTTACTATAATTGAGATGCAGAATTTCAAACTCACCATCAAGTTTCTTCAGTTTTGGAAGACGTTTTGTAGCCTCCTCCAGCCAGTTGCCATCTGCAGTGTGCTTCTCCTCTAATGGATTCCCCATAAATACAAGATCTTCCAGTGACGGCAGGTCGGCCAGCTTCACAAACTCCGCTAGAACCAACAGAGGCATGTTAGAGGTCAATGCATTACGTGCAGTTAGGCTGTAAATCTCTGAGTACTCTAAGCATGCCATTAAAAGGGGCACCCAAAAACATGACAGTGAGCTTGAAGTAACACAAATAATATAACATTTTTCCAGCAAATCTACAGATTAACGTATTACTCTCCATGTGTATAAAGGAACATCTAGCACGTTAACCCCTACTGCCTGTTGTAGAGGTAATATTGCCAGAAGTGACATGGCGCCCTCCCAGAGTTGGCAATCAAAACACTTTAAAAATTATTTGACTTTCCTGAGTCCTTCTGCTGGAACTTCCTGTAAAGAGCTTCCAGTTAGAATCTAGGAGCCAGTTGTTTTTGTTTAGTTTATTAAACAAAGCTTAATTTTCAATGACAAAAATACAATTCTTAAAGGGACACTATAGTCACCAGAATCACTACAGCTTAATGAAGTCGTTCTGGTGAGGATAGTTAGTCCCTGCAGGCTTTTCAATGTAGTGTAGAGAAAATGCAGTGATTACATTGCTCTCTAGTAACCCCTCTAGTGGCAGTCATTCAGACGGCCACTAAAGTGCTTCCTATCAGTGTGCAGCACCTATATTTAGCATCTCCACGCTCTGAATGGAGGTGCTGAACGATCCACATAGAGGTGCATTGATTCAAGCAGATACCAACAGGGAAGTTACAAAATGTATAAATTAATAAATGTACTTATTTTTATTTAAAATTTGCCTTCAGCCACTCTACTTCCATTACAGCACCTATTCCCCTACATTATAGCCCCTAAACACCCAACCTTAACTGCAGTCTTTCTCCACCAGTTACAGCCCCTGTTGTCTCCCACAACAGCTCCAGTCTCACACACTTAAGTCCCAAACCTCCACATTAAAACTCTTTGTGTAACACAAGAATGTAAATGTGGGCAGTCAGCGTAGGGGAGTATAGCTTCAGGTCGGCAGGCACAAGCTGTAAGTCCGCTTTAAACAAAGAGTATTGGAAAAAGGTGTAATGCATATCTTCCTGTCTGTCTCGAACTCCTAATAATCTATGAAAGAGCAGGCTAGTGAGATACTAGTGTTATTTATTTTACATCATCTAAATTGATCCATACTAAAAGATCTAAACTGCTCCTCTAGCTGATGAACTCCCCACCTTCTCACAACAACATGTGATTAGACGTGTGTAAAACACTGCTTAGGCTAAACTAGTTTCCTGAGCTTACGCACATTGGATTGAGGTTGCAGCCAAAATTTTGTAGAAATCAAAGGCCTGTAGTGGTTATGGTGTCAGGGGTTCCTTGGCCATGCCCCACAGTAAGTAGTTAGTTTTAATACAGTCTGACAACTTACCTGGGTGCAACCAGGCAGCACCTATTTCATGTTGTCTCCTTCAGGAGAATCTAGTTCGTTCTACAAGCAGGGACGTGCTCAGCTTACACTTAGCCAATGAGAGCAGTCCTGGATGAGCCTTGCTTTCTTCTATAAACACATCTGGATTCTACTGCAGCGCAGGCGTCCATGTAGATTGCCAAACTTATTGTGCGATGGTGTCGGCGCAATCCTGCCACCATAACCACTACAACAGGCTACTGTATATATGGAGTATTCATTGAATGAAACTTATGACCCTGACATTTGGTAGTGAGTGCTCCAAGTGCAGTTTCTCGGGGCTCGGGGGCTGGCCATTATATACCAGTAAGTCACTTGTCCTCTAGGGACTCTTTGTGACATCCAGGATAAAGCATTCATATTGTCAAAGATATTGTTAACGCCTCCATTTTTCCAGTTCTATTGAAATTTAAGCAGTTCAAACGCAATAATAACCTGAAATGTTGTGAAGATTATAAAAACTGGTTTAGGTTACCAAACACCTGAAATATAATGTACAATGCACGGTTACAAACAAAAACCTTGTAAACACCTTACAGCTATTCTGCAGCAATGAAGGTAAATTAATCCTTGAAATTTGATACTAACAATTCCTATCCGTGTCCCAGCATTTGCAATATTCTAAGCTTCTGTCTGTATCAAGGTTAGTGCTGGAACAGACTGCATTACTACACCCTCTTAATCACTATCTGGACAGTACTGTACTGCATCCAAACAGCGAGAGAAGGAAGACAGACCATTCTAATCCTTGAAAGTATGTCAAAGTGTAAGTAATTTCCAGGAGTGCCGTGGTGCCCTCCCAGAGTCAGTAATCAAATCGCTTTAAGATCGATTTGAATTTCCTGGGTCACTATTACATGGCACTTGGAAAGTGACAGGAAGAGGTCTGGCAAACCCAAAGCCACAACAGAATCAGAAGACAAGTTTCTCAGTCAGCAGCTTCAACCACAGCCTAACACTGCAAGTCTCGTGTTCAACTGTTAAGATAAGACTTCGAAATATAGGTTTTACTCACTGAATGGCAGTAGAAAAACACTGCATAAATGGCAAATTAAGAAAAGGTGGCTTTGTTGGGCTAATAAGCACCACCTGTTGTAGACTGCTGAAGGCTGAAAGAAGGTCTTATGAACTATGAATCAAAGTTTGAAATCTTTTGTTAATCTAAGGCATCTAGTAAACAAAAGGAATGATGGTTCCTCATTGTGTGACATCAACTGTCAAACATGGAAGAGGAAGCACAATGTGCTGGGGCTTTTTTGCTGCACCCAAAGTTTGCTACTTGCACACACTGGCAGACAACCTGAACCAAAAATACTGCAATAGCATAGGTCGCCACCATGAAATACACTCTGGTATGTGCTTTGTTTGTTAGGGGTTTATCCTGCAATACAATAAAGACCCAAAACATACTAAAGGAACAAGCGGTGAGCTTCAGAATCATGGCATGGCCATTCTCCAACCCACATCACGCTAATCTGGCATGAGCTGCACAAAAGTGTCAAAGTGAATCAAGCTGTAAGTGCAACAATTTTCTACATAAGTACTGGGAAGAACCTCTGAACAACATTAGATTTCAACGTAGGAACACATGCCACAAGCGTGTTTGGCAGTTATATCTGTAAAAAGTGGCTACCTCGAGGAGTTAAAAATTGATATTATATTTTGTTGAACATAAGTATTCCATGATTTCGTTATAGTATCAAGTATGTTATCATTTTGCAAAGATAAATAAAACAAGCAAAAAAAAAAAAACTAACATCTTTTTAGTTTTGTTTTTTTAAATGTATTTGTTTTAGGTCTTCACATTCAGTGTAATCACATATAGCATGGATGATGTGGAACGCTACTAATGCTTCACACAATAAAGAACTGGATTCAATGCATCTTGTAGAGAAGCATTGTATAGGTGGACAATAGTCAATATGTCTGTGTGCTGTGTCTTCAATGCTTCTCAATGAGACCAACTGGATTAGAAAAGTTTTATAGTTTTTATCTAATCACAGTGAAGAACGCTGAAACGTTAGAGAAATACTCCAAGTACCATAACTACTATAGTGTGTAGTAGTGTTTCTGGTGCCAGGAGTGCACTGGTGCCCTCCCGTGTAAAGCGCCAAACAACTTAACAGTTTGACTTCTTACCTGGGATGTGCCCGGCACTGCTTCACACGTCCTCTCTAGCGGGAAGATGGATACATTGAGATAGGTCCGGTGGTCATTGGCTCAGGAGTAATCCGTTAACGTTCTTAGTTAATCAATAAGGTGGCACAAAACTGAGCTCAGAAGGGATAATAGAAGTTCCTAAGCATCGGTTCCAGCTCTCCTGGCTTCAGATAGGAGATGGGAAGCTGCACCTGGTGGACCCCAGTTAAGAAAGGAGTGTGTTGGGATGCCAGTGCACTCCAGGAATTATGACCACACTAGCACACTATAGTGGGTATGGTGGTTGGAGTGTTCCTTTAATTAATACATATTGATTATTTTTTTTTTAACCTTAAGAGTGTTTCTGTAAGGACTACTGATTTATCTTCATAAAACAAACAAAAGAATATTATTCGATTATAAGTGCAAAACATATTCTAAATCTATTGTTACCCATATTATGAACGATTACACAATAACAGCATAGTTGGCCATGTAGGAAAAAACATATGAACTACATCAGTCAGGTCAGAGAAGTTTTGGGGTTGGAAGGTGGGAGTCTACTTACCCCAGTCTTTGACGGAGTTGTTTGACATGTAGAGAACTTTGAGCTTTTTCATAACATTAATCCCTTTTAACTTTTCAATCAGATTATAGGAGATCCATAATTCTTCTAGAGTATCGCCAACTGCTTCCTGGAGAGGGATAGGTGATTGATTAGTTATTAGTAAATGTGGACAACGATGAGCGGTTTAGAGTTAGAGTTACTTTAAAATATACAAGAGATAAAACCTAAAATCCAGGCAACCATGGTGTCCGTTAGACATTTTCACAAACCATAGTTGAATGGAATATTACACCAATAGACCAATAGACCAATACTAGTTAAACTAGAATTTATAGTAATCAGTAGCAAGGACAATTCATTTAAAGGGGTAATGCCCCCAGTTCTATGCGTCATAACAACTACAAAGAGCTGTACTGATTATAGTGCCAATACCCACTTCCATATTAAAGGACCACTATAGGCACACAGACCACTTCAGCTCAATGAAGTGGTCTGGGTTCCAGGTCCTCCTATTTTTAACCCTGCAGCTGAAAACATAGCAGTTTCAGAGAAACTGCTATGATTACACTGCAGGGTTAATCCAGCCTCTAGTGGATGTCTCCCTGAGGCAGCTTCCGCGATTTACAGTAAATCAATTATTTGACGCTGGACGTCCTCATGGAGTCCAGCGTCAAGTAAAATCCCAATAGGAAAGCATTGAGTAATGCTTTCCTATAGGTGGGTTTGAATGTGCGCGCGCCTCTGGCCGCGCATGCGCATTCGGCTCCACCCAGGAGCTGATATTGGCGAGGTAGGAGAGGTCACCAGCGCCAAGGGAGCCTGGCGCTGGATTAAGGTAAGTGGCTGAAGGGATTTTAACCTCCCCTTCCAGCAAAAGGGAGTGACATCATACAAGGAGAATAGACTGCCAGGTGGTGAATATTAGCAATATTTTTTATTTATTTGGGGAGGCATGTTCTTAGAAAGGTTTACTCTAACCAAAGCACAGATTTAAATAGTCTGTCACCCCTAATCTGTTAGGTTCTAATGTTAACCTAACAGAGCTACTAAAGGCAACACCATTGCTAAAGGAGCTGTAATGCATCATCTCAGTGTCAATGTAATGACATGTTTGTAATAAACAAAAAGCTGTTTCCACAGTGACAGTTTTAAACATATACAAACTACCTTAGAACTTGTGTTACCCTATTTTGAAAGTATAAGGGCTTTGAAAGTCCATAAGATTAAATTCCGTTGCTCAACAGAAGCTCTGGAAGAAATGCAACTCCTAACTCTACTGAATTAAAATCTGGGCTAAAACAGACGACATGGATAAAATTCTCCATCTCAACAACAGACAGACTGGATTTTGTAGCCTTGTGTTATTTTAACGTGGTGCAGTTCAATGTTTACTGAATAATCTAAATGATAAATCTCTGCTCTCATGATAACCCAAAACATTATCTGGCAGAGCTGTTGTAGCTGTGTGCACTATGGATGACAAAGTTTAAAAATTATGATTACATTTTTGTTAGGTGGACTATAGATGCAAGACCGCCTGTCTTGCTGTAATTCTCACAAGGGTTGGGTGAGTCATTTATGGCTTAACCCAAATTAGAACATCAATAAAAAATAAAAAAAACTTGTGATGGCAAGCCCCGCCAGAGGGCTCTTCAGAAACATTACCACCAATATAAGCTATTATATAATAATACAAAATCACTTTATCAAATCAGATTTGAGTAAAAAAATAATAAAGACACACAGACTTTAAACAAACAAGTGTAGAGTGAATATGTGTATACATGTTAAATTAAAAAAGCCACTGGAAGAGTGAAGATTAGCAGATATCACATGATGTTACTGTAACTATGAAGATATGTATACCATCTATGTGTTATCCTCTGTTAATCATTAATCCCATGAGGCTGTTGTGGCCTGATGGGATGTTCCTTATTATACCATGCACTGCGCCAAAAAATAAAATTTAAAAAAGCCACTGGTAACAAAAGTATATGTCTAGCTAATTCCCACAAGCAGTGTTAAAGGATCACTTTAGGGTCAGGAACCCAAACATGTACTCCTAACCCTATAGAAGAGAAATGCCCTGCTCATGGAAAAAGCCCTAAGCAAGTCAGTGTAGTGGATGGGAGTGAGACGGACTATGAGTCCTCTGTTCAGCAGTGAGGTAAGTGTTTACTTAACAGCATGTGAAGTAATTAAATACTAAAGTTTTTTTTATTTAAAAAAAATAAATTATATAAAAATTATATATAAATAAAAAATGATGAATACATATTACACACACAGTAGGTAGGAGCAGTTACTAGTCATAACAGATTCACTTTAGAACATGTATGTATGTATGTACGTACACAACTGTGCAAATAAAGACTTACCAAACCGTTCAAATTCTTGATGTTATTTCTCCCTAAAGACAAGATCCTAAGATTTTCTGAAAGAAATAAGATGTGATGGTAAAATGTACTTTTCATAAAAAAAACTGAAATCAATATAAAAATACAATTTATACAGTAAGGGACACTCAAGGCTGCAGGAGATGCTCTTTTTTAAAGTATTATACTTACTCTGAAAAGGAACTATTAATAAAATACGAATGCACATGCTAGGATCACAGTTCTAGATATATATTATGTGTGCTGGTACCTCTGGCTTAGCTAGCAGAGGTATATCAGTAGATTATTGAGGCCATTTCCAGTCATTTTCTGCTGCTCTGCAATGTGAGTTACTATATAGTGCACATTACTTCAACGACAAATGTCTCCTCAAAAATATGTTTTAACAATCTTGTCATCAAGTATTGAAAAGAAATAGGTTTTATCAAATTAAGTATATTGATGATTGGACATGGCATATAACTTGGCCGAGCTGGGTACTTACTTAGTCCATTGAGGTTTGCAATTTTCTCTATGCAGTTTGTGGAAAGGGACAACTTCCTGATAACAGAAAACAATCCTCAGATTAGTTACATGCCTTCTGAAAAGGTATATAATACTAAACAATATTGTCCCCCATCATCCATTATAACAAAAAGCAAGTTTCCAAGAAAAAGCAGCAGAACTTCAAGCATCTGTACAAATGGAAGATAGAAATCGTATCCCCCTTCGGTGGTCACATGGCAATCTTACAAACAAAAAACCAAACAAGTGCCTTAAAACCCTTATTGCACAATGACTGTCTACATCATCACAACAATCTAATCTTTTAAGACCCTATGTTAAAATTTAATATCCCGTTCATTCTCACACCAGGGATGTATCTCCCTGCCACATTTTAACAAAGAAGGACATTTCATGCTGGCACAGGGGTCTATAGGGACCAGACTGTCATGTGTCTAAAATGGAACATTAATTCCTTGGTGACTGCACACATTAGCTTCCTAGCACAAACTATAATATATATAATAAGCTGCAGTGTTATTGGAGCATGGAGTATCCCTTTAAAATAAATCAGAAAAGCCTAGTGGTAGAATTTAAGAACGCATAATCATACGGATGGTTGATAAGCAGATGCTGATCATCAATTTTGCAATTAAACATCTGCTTTCTCCTAGAACAGGGGTAGGCAACCTTCAGCACTCCAGATGTGAACTATGTATCCCAAAATGATCTTACAGCCATAATGCTGGCAAAGCATCATAGGCTATGTAGTCGGAATCATCTGGTGTAACTCTGTCCTAGACCATGCAATCCCATTTTTGCTTCTTCAGTTTGGGTGACAAAAATATCAATGTATATACATAAATTAATAGCCCCACATTTTAAGAAATTATTTACGGTAAATTTGGCTTTTGCAATACATTAAAGAAAAAAATGAATGGCTCTTACTCGCAGTTCACCAAAGTGGACAGGGATGCATCCATCTTCTCGATTGGTGGTATCTGAGCGTATAACTTGACTTCTTTGGCTTCGGCTGCTTTCTGTCCAGTCTTTTCTTCCTAAAAATAAATAAATATATAATGTCACTGCAAAGCTTCCCCTACCACAGGGCCCTCCTAATCCAAAAGTCATTTCCACTTAGAACCCTACCAGTAGAACATTTTTATATTATTCGCCTGAAAGTCCAAAATATCTAGCCTCATTGCTCTCGTCCACACCTTCTGTATTACTAAGGCATAATGTGGTCTTTTTTATTTTTTTGAATTATCTAGTTTAATTCTATTTATAAAAGTTTAAAATACTCATTGCTGGACAGTATATAATCAATATTTCATTCACAACAAATTGAGGTTTTTCCTTGCAACATGCATTTAAAGGGTCAAGATTGCCTTTGGTCTTTTATATGCAATTCCACTTCCTTATATGCCATCGGTTTGTTGGCCGTCTGGACTATTCGGTGCCACTGCAGTAAGAAGGGTTATTTACAGGAACGTTACAACTTACCCATTTGGCTAATGCTTCTTTAATAGTTGTTGCTTTGGCCTACAACAAAAGACAGATAACAGATTGAGCCATGTATATATTTACACCAAGATATAAATGTCCGGAACGCATGCCACCATTGGATTTGATAGAAAACACAATTCAGGAAGTAATGGATAAGAAAATTATTATAATACATATAAACATCACCAGGAATGAGACAAAGGAAGCAGGGTCCAGAAATTTACTACAGCTTGATGTCTAGTGATTGCGGAGATTGGTAAAATTAGCTACACTAGATCAGATCTGAAGAGTGAGATCTGACTTGTAGTTGACCGTTTTGTGTACCAACTCCACAGCCACGCTGGATATATCTACCCGCCCATCCTGGTTCTAACTATATCACAGTCAATCACCTCCTAATTCCCTTCACATGTTACTAGTTATTGCAGTTATACTATTAATTCTGTCAGCCATCACCTCCATATTCCTCTTGTCTCATCTCCCCATTATAACCTTTATATTGTAAGCTCACGGGCTATCTAGCAAATTACTCTGCATCAAATATTATTATTCTGCACATAGAAGGCTTATCAATAAACTGCAATCTTTAAGTTTGGATTCCAATATTGTTGAATGGGTAAGGCAGTGGCTGAGTGACAGGCAACAGAGGGTTGTAGTTAATGGAATATATTCGAAGCTTGGACTTGTCACCAGTGGGGTACCTCAGGGATCTGTACTTGGACCCATTCTCTTTAATATTTTTATTAGTGATATTGCAGAAGGTCTTGATGGTAAGGTATGTCTTTTTGCTGATGATACTAAGATATGTAACAGGGTTGATGTTCCAGGAGGAATAAGCCAAATGGCAAATGATTTAGGTAAACTAGAAAAATGGTCAGAATTGTGGCAACTGACACTTAATGTGGATAAGTGCAAGATAATGCATCTTGGATGTAAAAACCCAAAGGCAGAGTACAGAATATTTGATAGAGTCCTAACCTCAACATATGAGGAAAGGGATTTAGAGGTGATTATTTCAGATGACTTAAAAGGTAGGCAGACAATGTAATAGAGCAGCAGGAAATGCTAGCAGAATGCTTTGTTGTATAGGGAGAGGTATTAGCAGTAGAAAGAGGGAAGTGCTCATGCCATTGTACAGAACACTGGTGAGACCTCACTTGGAGTATTGCACACAGTACTGGAGACCGTATCTTCAGAAGGATATTGATACCTTACAGAGGGCTCAGAGAAGGGCTAATAAAATGGTTCATGGATTGCGGGATAAAACTTACCAGGAAAGGTTAAAGGATCTTAACATGTATAGCTTGGAGGAAAGACGAGACAGGTGGATATGATAGAAACATTGAAATATATAAAGGGAATCAACACAGTAAAGGAGGAGACTATATTTAAATGAAGAAAAACTACCACAACAAGAGGACATAGTCTTAAATTAGAGGGACAAAGGTTTAAAAATAATATCAGGAAGTATTACTTTACTGAGAGGGTAGTGGATGCATGGAATAGCCTTCCAACTAAAGTGGTAGAGGTTAACACAGTAAAGAGTTTAAGCACGCGTGGGATATGCATAAGGCTATCCTAACTATAAGATAAGGCTAGGAACTAATGAAAGTATTTAGAAAATTGGGCAGACGAGATGGGCCGAATGGTTCTTATCTGCCGTCACATTCTATGTTTCTATAAGGGGCTCATGAGTTAAGCCCTCTTTTCCTTTTGTATTGGTCTGCTTATATTGTATACACATACATATTATTTATATACATACATACATACACACACACACTACAGGGCCGTTGAATGCTTCAATCTGATTGGTTGACGAACGTTCTAAAGTGTGCATTATTTTCAGGGAGACGCATGGCTAAAGTAGCTCCAGACAGGTCTTGACTGCATTACAGTTGCGTAAAAAATTAGTCCTACATACAAGAGCGTTTTAATGACAAAATCTTGACAAACGTCTTGAAATACATCATCTGAACAATGTTTCGAGGTGTGGTAACTGTAGTGTAAGCGGCTCAATTAACTCCAGGCCGTTGAATAAGAAAAAAATAATGCACACCCGAGGTGTAACGGTCGCTCCGCTTCGCGTCGTGTCCGCATTACCACCTCGGGTGTGCATTATTTTTCTAATAATTCAGTGGCCTGTCGTCAATTATTCCATATAAATATATATTTATTCCAACATTTCCTTGCACTGCAGGCTGCAAATATATACTTATTTTATCCGGGTGCTGGGCCGTGGTCATCAAGATACAGGGTTCAAATGGATGGTCCGCACTCACGATAATAATAAAATGTAACTTTTGTTAATTAAATTTAAACAATGCCAAAAAATGACATTTTATGGCATCTTTTTAAATGTAATTAATAAAAGTTACATTTTATTATTAACCTGAGTGTGGACCGTCCATTTGAACCATATTTTATATATAATATGTATATAGAGCGCTGCATTAATGCCAGTAATAAATAAATATATCAGGGTTTATTTAAAATGTCCACTCACCCCAAGCCTCTGGTGAGTAATAATTTAGCTCTGACGTATATAAATTGAGCCCTGGTGAGTGTGCCATGGCTACATATATGTAATAACTCTGTGACCACTGACCTCAGGAACCCCCAACTATTTGGACTACAGATCCCATGATGCAAGGCGAAAATAAAATGGCTTTCCCCAGAAGCTGTAGACTGGGATTGTATTGGCCATAATTAGTCACCCAGCTGGCAGGGTATTAGGGGGGGTGTCAGCCATGGCTTATACCAGTAACATTATATTATATTATATAAAGCAATGAGCACTCAGAGCTCCCCACCCTGTCTGTAAACACAGCACCCACCATAACCCCGGGTAAACAAGCAGCTGGTCTAACAGCCATCACACCCAGAACACGACCACCCGCCCAGCCGACACATACTCACCATGTTGGCGTTGGTCTGGTTTAGATTCTGGTTGCTAGGAGACGGCAGACCTCCGGGCACATGCGCTGAATGATGACGTCAGACGGAAGTTACCATAGAGTGCGGGGGGAGAGATAGACAAGACCCACAAACCCCGTGTGTTTACAATTTCACAGCCTAGGCTTACTAGCAGATTGCCGAAACCGTGATCTGAGACACATTCCAATATAGAGGAAATATTACATTACATTACATTATATTATAATAGAGATAAGGCCAGCTATAGCGGGAATATTACAGTATATTATAATAGAAATAAGGCCAGCTATAGTGGGAATATTACATTATATTATAATAGAGATAAGGCCAGCTATAGCGGGAATATTACAGTATATTATAATAGAAATAAGGCCAGCTATAGTGGGAATATTACATTATATTATAATAGAAATAAGGCCAGCTATAACGGGAATATTACATTATATTATAATAGAAATAAGACCAGCTATAGCGGGGATATTACAGTATATTATAATAGAAATAAGGGCAGCTATAGAGGGAATATTACATTATATTATAATAGAAATAAGGCCAGCTATAACGGGAATATTACATTATATTAGAATAGAAATAAGGCCAGCTATAGCGGGGATATTACATTATATTATAATAGAAATAAGGCCAGCTATAGTGGGAATATTACATTATATTATAATAGAAATAAGGCCAGCTATAGAGGGAATATTACATTATATTATAATAGAAATAAGGCCAGCTATAGCGGGGATATTACATTATATTAGAATAGAAATAAGGCCAGCTATAGCGGGGATATTACATTATATTATAATAGAAATAAGGGCAGCTATAGAGGGAATATTACATTATATTATAATAGAAATAAGGCCAGCTATAACGGGAATATTACATTACATTATAATAGAAATAAGGCCAGCTATAGCGGGAATATTACATTATATTATAATAGAAATAAGGCAAACTATAGCGGGAATATTACATTATATTATAGCAGAAATAAGGCCAGCTATAGCGGGAATATTACATTATATTATAATAGAAATAAGGCCAGCTATAGCGGGAATATTACATTATATTAATATTACATTATATTATAATAGAAATAAGGCCAGCTATAGCGGGAATATTACATTATATTATAATAGAAATAAGGCCAGCTATAGTGGGAATATTACATTATATTATAATAGAAATAAGGCCAGCTATAGTGGGAATATTACAGTATATTATAATAGAAATAAGGGCAGCTATAGCGGGAATATTACATTATATTAATATTACATTATATTATAAAAGAAATAAGGCCAGCTATAGCGGGAATATTACATTATATTATAATAGAAATAAGGCCAGCTATAGTGGGAATATTACATTATATTATAATAGAAATAAGGCCAGCTATAGTGGGAATATTACATTATATTATAATAGAAATAAAACCAACTATACTTGAGGATATTACATTATATTATAATAGAAATAAGGCCAGCTATAGCGGGAATATTACATTATATTATAATAGAAATAAGGCAAACTATAGCGGGAATATTACATTATATTATAGCAGAAATAAGGCCAGCTATAGCGGGAATATTACATTATATTATAATAGAAATAAGGCCAGCTATAGCGGGAATATTACATTATATTAATATTACATTATATTATAATAGAAATAAGGCCAGCTATAGCGGGAATATTACATTATATTATAATAGAAATAAGGCCAGCTATAGTGGGAATATTACATTATATTATAATAGAAATAAGGCCAGCTATAGTGGGAATATTACATTATATTAATATTACATTATATTATAATAGAAATAAGGCCAGCTATAGCGAGAATATTACAGTATATTATAATAGAAAATAAGGCCAACTATAGTAGAATATTACATTTATATTATAATAGAAATAAGGCCAGCTATAGTAGAATATTCTAGTATATTATAGCCAAGAAATAAGAGCGAAAGCTATAGCGGGAATATTACATTATATTAATATTACATTTATATTATAATAGAAATAGGCAGCTATGCATGGGGAATATTACATTATAATATAAGCAAGTAGGCCAACTATAGCTAGAATATTACATTATATTATATATGAAATAAGACCAACTATAGGTAGAGATATTACACAGTATATATTATAATAGAAACCAAGTAGCTATAGTAGAGGAATATTACAGTATATTATAATAGAAATAAGACCAGCTATAATGGGAATATTACATTATATTATAATAGAAATAAGACCAGCTATAGTGGGAATATTACAGTATATTATAATAGAAATAAGGCCAGCTATAGTGGGAATATTACATTATATTATAATAGAAATAAGGCCAGCTATAACGGGAATATTACAGTATATTATAATAGAAATAAGGCCAGCTATAGTGGGAATATTACATTATATTATAATAGAAATAAGACCAGCTATAGTGGGAATATTACAGTATATTATAATAGAAATAAGGCCAGCTATAGTGGGAATATTACATTATATTATAGCAGAAATAAGGCCAGCTATAGTGGGAATATTACAGTATATTATAATAGAAATAAGGCCAGCTATAGTGGGAATATTACATTATATTATAATAGAAATAAGGCCAGCTATAGCGGGAATATTACATTATATTATAATAGAAATAAGGGCAGCTATAGCGGAAATATTACATTATATTATAATAGAAATAAGGCCAGCTATAGCGGGAATATTACATTATATTAATATTACATTATATTATAATAGAAATAAGGCCAGCTATAGCGGGAATATTACATTATATTATAATAGAGATAAGGCCAGCTATAGCGGGAATATTACAGTATATTATAATAGAAATAAGGCCAGCTATAGTGGGAATATTACATTATATTATAATAGAAATAAGACCAGCTATAGCGGGAATATTACATTATATTATAATAGAAATAAGACCAGCTATAGCGGGGATATTACAGTATATTATAATAGAAATAAGGCCAGCTATAACGGGAATATTACATTATATTATAATAGAAATAAGACCAGCTATAGCGGGGATATTACAGTATATTATAATAGAAATAAGGGCAGCTATAGAGGGAATATTACATTATATTATAATAGAAATAAGGCCAGCTATAACGGGAATATTACATTATATTATAATAGAAATAAGGCCAGCTATAGCGGGGATATTACATTATATTATAATAGAAATAAGGCCAGCTATAGTGGGAATATTACATTATATTATAATAGAAATAAGGCCAGCTATAGCGGGGATATTACATTATATTAGAATAGAAATAAGGCCAGCTATAGCGGGGATATTACATTATATTATAATAGAAATAAGGGCAGCTATAGAGGGAATATTACATTATATTATAATAGAAATAAGGCCAGCTATAACGGGAATATTACATTACATTATAATAGAAATAAGGCCAGCTATAGCGGGAATATTACATTATATTATAATAGAAATAAGGCAAACTATAGCGGGAATATTACATTATATTATAGCAGAAATAAGGCCAGCTATAGCGGGAATATTACATTATATTATAATAGAAATAAGGCCAGCTATAGCGGGAATATTACATTATATTAATATTACATTATATTATAATAGAAATAAGGCCAGCTATAGCGGGAATATTACATTATATTATAATAGAAATAAGGCCAGCTATAGTGGGAATATTACATTATATTATAATAGAAATAAGGCCAGCTATAGTGGGAATATTACAGTATATTATAATAGAAATAAGGGCAGCTATAGCGGGAATATTACATTATATTAATATTACATTATATTATAAAAGAAATAAGGCCAGCTATAGCGGGAATATTACATTATATTATAATAGAAATAAGGCCAGCTATAGTGGGAATATTACATTATATTATAATAGAAATAAGGCCAGCTATAGTGGGAATATTACATTATATTATAATAGAAATAAGGCCAGCTATATGATAATACATTATACAGAATTAGAAATAAGGCCAGCTATATGATATTACATTATATTATAATAGAAATATACAGCTATGAGGAATATTACATTATATTATAATATGAAATAAGGCCAGCTATAACCGAATATTACATTACATTATAATAGAAACAAGGCCAGCCATAGCGAATATTACATTACATTATAATAGAAATACAAGCAAACTATAAAGGAATATTACATTATATTATAGCAGAAACAAGTACAAATATAAAGGAATATTACATTATATTATAATAGAAATATACAGCTATAGCTGAATATTACATTATATTAATATTAGCATTATATAATGAAATACACAGCTATAGCGGGAATATTACATTATATTATAATAGAAATAAGGCCAGCTATAGTGGGAATATTACATTATATTATAATAGAAATAAGGCCAGCTATAGTGGGAATATTACAGTATATTATAATAGAAATAAGGGCAGCTATAGCGGGAATATTACATTATATTAATATTACATTATATTATAATAGAAATAAGGCCAGCTATAGCGGGAATATTACATTATATTATAATAGAAATAAGGCCAGCTATAGTGGGAATATTACATTATATTATAATAGAAATAAGACCAGCTATAGTGGGAATATTACAGTATATTATAATAGAAATAAGGCCAGCTATAGTGGGAATATTACAGTATATTATAATAGAAATAAGACCAGCTATAGTGGGAATATTACATTATATTATAATAGAAATAAGACCAGCTATAGTGGGAATATTACAGTATATTATAATAGAAATAAGGCCAGCTATAGTGGGAATATTACATTATATTATAATAGAAATAAGGCCAGCTATAGCGGGAATATTACAGTATATTATAATAGAAATAAGGCCAGCTATAGTGGGAATATTACATTATATTATAATAGAAATAAGACCAGCTATAGTGGGAATATTACAGTATATTATAATAGAAATAAGGCCAGCTATAGTGGGAATATTACATTATATTATAGCAGAAATAAGGCCAGCTATAGTGGGAATATTACAGTATATTATAATAGAAATAAGGCCAGCTATAGTGGGAATATTACATTATATTATAATAGAAATAAGGCCAGCTATAGCGGGAATATTACATTATATTATAATAGAAATAAGGGCAGCTATAGCGGAAATATTACATTATATTATAATAGAAATAAGGCCAGCTATAGCGGGAATATTACATTATATTAATATTACATTATATTATAATAGAAATAAGGCCAGCTATAGCGGGAATATTACATTATATTATAATAGAAATAAGGCCAGCTATAGTGGGAATATTACATTATATTATAATAGAAATAAGACCAGCTATAGTGGGAATATTACAGTATATTATAATAGAAATAAGGCCAGCTATAGTGGGAATATTACAGTATATTACAGTATATTATAATAGAAATAAGACCAGCTATAGTGGGAATATTACATTATATTATAATAGAAATAAGACCAGCTATAGTGGGAATATTACAGTATATTATAATAGAAATAAGGCCAGCTATAGTGGGAATATTACATTATATTATAATAGAAATAAGGCCAGCTATAACGGGAATATTACAGTATATTATAATAGAAATAAGGCCAGCTATAGTGGGAATATTACATTATATTATAATAGAAATAAGACCAGCTATAGTGGGAATATTACAGTATATTATAATAGAAATAAGGCCAGCTATAGTGGGAATATTACATTATATTATAATAGAAATAAGGCCAGCTATAGCGGGAATATTACATTATATTATAATAGAAATAAGGGCAGCTATAGCGGAAATATTACATTATATTATAATAGAAATAAGGCCAGCTATAGCGGGAATATTACATTATATTAATATTACATTATATTATAATAGAAATAAGGCCAGCTATAGCGGGAATATTACATTATATTATAATAGAAATAAGGCCAGCTATAGTGGGAATATTACATTATATTATAATAGAAATAAGACCAGCTATAGTGGGAATATTACAGTATATTATAATAGAAATAAGGCCAGCTATAGTGGGAATATTACATTATATAATAGCAGAAATAAGACCAGCTATAGTGGGAATATTACAGTATATTATAATAGAAATAAGGCCAGCTATAGTGGGAATATTACATTATATAATAGCAGAAATAAGGCCAGCTATAGTGGGAATATTACAGTATATTATAATAGAAATAAGGCCAGCTATAGTGGGAATATTACAGTATATTATAATAGAAATAAGGCCAGCTATAGTGGGAATATTACATTATATTATAATAGAAATAAGACCAGCTATAGTGGGAATATTACAGTATATTATAATAGAAATAAGGCCAGCTATAGTGGGAATATTACATTATATTATAGCAGAAATAAGGCCAGCTATAGTGGGAATATTACAGTATATTATAATAGAAATAAGGCCAGCTATAGTGGGAATATTACATTATATTATAATAGAAATAAGGCCAGCTATAGCGGGAATATTACATTATATTATAATAGAAATAAGGCCAGCTATAACGGGAATATTACATTATATTATAATAGAAATAAGGCCAGCTATAGCGGGAATATTACATTATATTATAGCAGAAATAAGGCCAGCTATAGTGGGAATATTACATTATATAATAGCAGAAATAAGGCCAGCTATAGTGGGAATATTACAGTATATTATAATAGAAATAAGGCCAGCTATAGTGGGAATATTACATTATATTATAATAGAAATAAGGCCAGCTATAGTGGGAATATTACAGTATATTATAATAGAAATAAGGCCAGCTATAGTGGGAATATTACATTATATTATAATAGAAATAAGGCCAGCTATAGCGGGAATATTACAGTATATTATAATAGAAATAAGGCCACTAATTTAAGCAGCTGTGGTTCTGGTGACTACAGACTACCTTTAAGAATTGTATTTTTGTCGCTGAAAATGAAGCTTTGTTAGTTAAAAATACTGGCTCCTAAATTTTTTTAGCTGATTCCTAGATTCCAAGCAAATGTATCAAACCCTGGTTTAAATAAAAATCAGTTTAGGACCACAAGCGCTTCTTCCTGTTTAGAGATCCAGATTTTCATTCCACCATTCTCTAGGTATATCGATTAGAACAAGCATCTTCCCCTTTTTACCCCATATTCCCAAGGTGAGGGCTGTGGGCAGAAAGTGGGTAAACCTTGTATGTGTATTGATGTGGGTGAGCTGCAACATTAGTATCCTGCTTTCAAATGTTCATCAGCCAGCGCAGCATCAATTAACACGAGTACATGGATACAGTCAATCACCCGCTGCAGCTTCGTTAACAGAGGTGTAAATTTTGGAAGGCGTTGATAGGCTGAGGGCCTAGGGAAGACTTGTGACATTTTAAGTTGTTGTGGTTGCAAACATGACCCTGGAACATGACACTGCCCCCTTATTGTACAGCACTGCGGAATATGTAGGCGCTTTATAAATTCCAGTAATAAAGAAAGACACATTTAATTTTGAGGCTAGATGTAATAAAAAAATAAGCCACAAGATGTCACCATAGGATTACATTTACATTACAGGCAACTCACAAATAGAAGTAAAAGTGTAATTAATTGAAATCTATACATTATATTTAAGTTAGAAGAGGCTACAAAGTTTTAAATTAAAATATTTTACATACCGGTACGTATGTCCAGGGCTCATCTTCGTGTTTATGTCTAATAAAAGAAAGAATTCTAACGGGGGATAGTAGGAGGAAGTATGATTTACTAAGGCAGAACCATAGATTTTGGAGAGGTGTCTGCCATATTGTAGAGTCTCAGGACACCAGCTGGGGGACACACTGTAATCTTATTAAGGCAACCACTGATGTCTAGAGTGGTGCATGCCTTAATAAGAGCTCAGATAGGAGAGCACACGAGGCATTCAGCGGGCACCCAATGTTGGGCAGGTATCAACCACCATGTGGAGACAGTGAGGATATGGGAGAGCTGGGAGGTAGTAGCATAAAGCAGCAGGCACAAGGTTTTGGAGATGCTATATGCCAGGAAGAGGGGGCAGTAGGATGACTGCCACATTAGTGGGACTGGAGAAGGCAATCATGTCCTCCACAGGGCAACTAGGGAAAAGTAAGTCTGTAGACACTACTCCGCTGGCGTGCTCAAGCCAATAACTGTTCCAGGAGACAGGGCAACTAGGGAAGTTTAAGTCTGTAGACTCTGCTCCTCTGATGACTGTCCAAAAAGAGAGACTGAAACTGCTATGTTTATTAAAAAAAAAAAAAAAAGGGTTAACCCTAGCTGGACCAGGCACCCAGACCACTTCATTAAGCTGAAGTGGTCTGGGTGCCTATAGTGGTCCTTTAAGCATGTGTGTGATAGGCATAAGGCTATCCTAACTATAAGATAAGGCCAGGGACTAATGAAAGTATTTAGAAAATTGGGCAGACTAGATGGGCCGAATAGTTCTTATCTGCCGTCACATTCTATGTTTCTATTAGTTAATGGTTTGATGAGTATCATATCTCCATGCGCCGCTATAATCATTTGCCACTATGGTAAAGTACTGTGGAATACCAGGCGGTGATCTGCGCAGTCTATTCACAGGGTGTAACGTTACTAAAAGAAGGGAGGGGGAGGGAAGTGACTTAGAAGACAGATACACTAAACGGCACCCATCACCAATAGCATAAAAATCTTTAACACAATAGCGCAAACTTTTGAGTTCGTAATAAACTCTATCACATCATTTTAGACCAGGTACACAAAACAGACACTGCCATGAAAGCTATATTCACAACTCACATTAAAGAACATTGAAATAAAACCAAAGTTTCAGAATTGTCAGTATTTTCCCATCTGAAAGTACAGAGAGTTCTTGCCAATCAATAATTATTTTACAGACATTACAAAGTGTTGATGATTAGTTAAAACATTTTTTTTTTTAAACAAAGATATAAAAATAAGATTTATACACCTGGCAAATATTAACCAATCGCAATTCTTACTCCATTTTGCCTCATCGTTTCATAAAAAATATATACTGACTTTGGAAGACAAAGAGATACCCAGCAAAGAATCTCTGATACCTGATAATACAAGCAGTTAGCCATGGCATTGGAACATCAATACCGGTTAAGTCATATCCTGATCTCTTATCATTTTAAGTGTAAATTAAGGAAATCCTGTATTTTCACCCATGAATCTTCCTGTGCGCGGCAGTGTGCCTCTAGTTGTCCTCCTCCAACGATGGGTACTCCGAGAACTCTATCGATAGTGGTATAACAAAATGGAGAACATGGAGGGTCTATCCGGTGCCCAGCTCCAGGATAAGTTAACAGGGTAAAATTCTCTTTGTCGTTTTCTTGCAAGCGATGTGCAAGTGCCTTGGCATAGACAGAGCTTTTCCAGTTACAATCGTCTTCTCCAACGATAAATAAGAAGTGTCCATCTGCCTTCTCTACTGGGATGAGGCACTGACTGTTGCTTGGATTCAGTGGATCATCTAAGGCTTCAAACACGTCAAAGACAGCAGAATCTAATATTTTGACTCTGTTCATGTTGTATTGTAAAGCCGGCATGGTGAAGTTTCTGAAGCGCAAGCTGGCGGCAGTGTTGGCACAGCATCCGGAGATGGAAACAGCAGCCACGACTTGTGGTAGGAAGGTGATCATAGAGAGAGCAAGGTCTGCCCCTTTCCCAGTTCCAATCACAGCAACACCAGGTCCACGAACCTTTAAATAAATCAAATCACAGAAATGGAGGCATCAACTACAGTGCTTCACAAACAAGTCACTTGGATAGTTACAAAGGTTGCCTTAAGCCAAAATTCTAACGTGAAAATTAAATGTGACACTTATGTAGTTAGGAAAATGTAAGCAGTAATGTATCCGCATGTGATGGCAGACTTTTAAATAAAACATAAAATGAAAAGGCCATTCCAAAATTCATAACATCAGTATAGAGCATATACAAGTAGGGTGTAAGTACTGCTACTATGGTACGCACACCATAACCTCTGCATATACATCAGTACAGAGCATATACTAGTAGGGTGTGAGTACTGCTACTATAGTACGCACACCATAACCTCTACATATACATCAGTATAGAGCATATACTAGTAGGGTGTGAGTACTGCTACTATAGAACTCACACCATAACCTCTGCATATACATCAGTATAGAGCATATACTAGTAGGGTGTGCGTACTGCTACTATAGAACTCACACCATAACCTCTGCATATACATCAGTATAGAGCATATACTAGTAGGGTGTGAGTACTGCTACTATAGAACTCACACCATAACCTCTGCATATACATCAGTATAGAGCATATACTAGTAGGGTGTGCGTACTGCTACTATAGTACTCACACCATAACCTCTACATATACATCAGTATAGAGCATATACTAGTAGGGTGTGCGTACTGCTACTATAGAACTCACACCATAACCTCTGCATATACATCAGTATAGAGCATATACTAGTAGGGTGTGCGTACTGCTACTATAGTACTCACACCATAACCTCTACATATACATCAGTATAGAGCATATACTAGTAGGGTGTGAGTTCTGCTACTACAGCACTTACACCATAACCTCTACATATACATCAGTATAGAGCATATACTAGTAGGGTGTGAGTTCTGCTACTATAGCACTCACACCATAACCTCTACATATACATCAGTATAGAGCATATACTAGTAGGGTGTGAGTACTGCTACTATAGTACTCACACCATAACCTCTACATATACATCAGTATAGAGCATATACTAGTAGGGTGTGAGTACTGCTACTATAGAACTCACACCATAACCTCTGCATATACATCAGTATAGAGCATATACTAGTAGGGTGTGCGTACTGCTACCATAGTACTTACACCATAACCTCTACATATACATCAGTATAGAGCATATACTAGTAGGGTGTGCGTACTGCTACTATAGAACTCACACCATAACCTCTGCATATACATCAGTATAGAGCATATACTAGTAGGGTGTGCGTACTGCTACTATAGTACTCACACCATAACCTCTACATATACATCAGTATAGAGCATATACTAGTAGGGTGTGAGTTCTGCTACTACAGCACTTACACCATAACCTCTACATATACATCAGTATAGAGCATATACTAGTAGGGTGTGAGTTCTGCTACTATAGCACTCACACCATAACCTCTACATATACATCAGTATAGAGCATATACTAGTAGGGTGTGAGTACTGCTACTATAGTACTCACACCATAACCTCTACATATACATCAGTATAGAGCATATACTAGTAGGGTGTGAGTACTGCTACTATAGAACTCACACCATAACCTCTGCATATACATCAGTATAGAGCATATACTAGTAGGGTGTGCGTACTGCTACTATAGTACTCACACCATAACCTCTACATATACATCAGTATAGAGCATATACTAGTAGGGTGTGAGTTCTGCTACTACAGCACTTACACCATAACCTCTACATATACATCAGTATAGAGCATATACTAGTAGGGTGTGCGTACTGCTACTATAGAACTCACACCATAACCTCTGCATATACATCAGTATAGAGCATATACTAGTAGGGTGTGCGTACTGCTACTATAGTACTCACACCATAACCTCTACATATACATCAGTATAGAGCATATACTAGTAGGGTGTGAGTTCTGCTACTACAGCACTTACACTATAACCTCTACATATACATCAGTATAGAGCATATACTAGTAGGGTGTGAGTTCTGCTACTATAGCACTCACACCATAACCTCTACATATACATCAGTATAGAGCATATACTAGTAGGGTGTGAGTACTGCTACTATAGAACTCACACCATAACCTCTGCATATACATCAGTATAGAGCATATACTAGTAGGGTGTGCGTACTGCTACTATAGTACTCACACCATAACCTCTACATATACATCAGTATAGAGCATATACTAGTAGGGTGTGCGTACTGCTACTATAGAACTCACACCATAACCTCTGCATATACATCAGTATAGAGCATATACTAGTAGGGTGTGCGTACTGCTACTATAGTACTCACACCATAACCTCTACATATACATCAGTATAGAGCATATACTAGTAGGGTGTGAGTTCTGCTACTACAGCACTTACACCATAACCTCTACATATACATCAGTATAGAGCATATACTAGTAGTAAAAGTAAATAGTAAATATAGTAAAACTTGAATTACTTTTATAGTAAAACTTGACTTACTGCCCCTGATCTGCCTGCTTGGCTGACATCATCAGAAGTGATTCTCTGAGCCAATCACAATGCTTTCCCTTAGTATTGGCCGAGACTGTCAAGGAGGCAGATCAGGGGGAGAGCCAGCACAAGCCAAATACAGCCCTGGCCAATAAACATCTCATCATAGGGATGTATTGAATCAATGCATCTCGGTGAGGAAAGCTCAGTGTCTCCATGCAGAGGGTGGAGACACTGAATGGCAGTCACACTGTGCAGCACTGCCCCAGGAAGCACCTCTAGTAGCCAGTGAAGTTAACACTAGGCTGTAATGTAAACTTTGCATTTTCTCTGAAAAGACAGTTTACAGCAAAAAGCCTGAAGGGAATGATTCTACTCACCAGGACAAATACAATAAGCTACAGTTGTTTTGGTGACTATAGTGCCCATTTAAATCCTGGTTCAGAGACTTCAACTCCAGGTCTGGATTACAAAAAATCTAAACTATCCTTGTCCCCCAGCCCATGCCTGCGGGTTTACCACACTGCAATTTGATCAAGATCTCTCTGATTGGTTGGCTAGTAAACCAACCAGAGTGCTTTGACCGCCAAGTCTCGAGAGTGAGACTTGGCTGTCAGAGAGCTATGATTGGTTAGTTTAGCATTATCTCACACTGTTCTATACACCAAACCTGCTTCATTAAGCGAATGTTGTTTTTAGGTCTACAGCAACCCTTTAATATCCAAAGAAGAAAGGAGGTGGTTATGGCTATTTACAACAGTTAGACAGGCAATCTATGTCGTTAGACATATTAAAACTTTATTAAATGTGGTTACATAGATGGACAAAACTGCATAATAGATTATATAGATTGTTGACCTTCCTGGGTTAAAGTCTGGTTGATTCATTTCAGTATGTAAATAAAATGAAAGGTTGAGATATTAACTACACACCAAGATATTTATAGGAACAGACTCTGGCCAAGTTACAGAGTGACAAGTCGGGGAAAGATCAGACTGCAGAAGCCACCCCTTCTCTATTTTTTAAATGAATTAGAGGGCAAGCACTAAGCACCATAACCACCTACGCTTCTTCAACCAGCTGATAAGTGCAAAGAAGAGTCACTGCAGCTAAATGTTTTCATTCCTTCTTCTATAAACACAGGGAAACAAATGCTGCCTCTACAAACACTTGCATGTTATGTTCTAACCTCTAACAGGTTCTTTCCTATATCACAGCTGTGCAGCTACTACGGAAAACCGATCATGAAATAGATCTGAATGAAGCCCTAGATCAAAGTAGCTAACTGTGGCTGATTGAGTTTTCACTGGGAGCTCACAAATAGCCACATTAAGCACCTGACTCACAGGTTCCAGCTATTGTGTGCCATAACCCCCTAGCTGTTGGGAGTAAGACCCAGTGCCTGCTGACTCCTTCTCCAGGCCGTGAAAGTCATCTTAGTGGGATGGATTGCACTGTTTGCCCAGGTATTTGCACAATGAGCCAGTCTTGGAGTTACATCGTCAGATCGGTGCACTGACCCAGAGACCTATAATATAGAACGTGCCAGCTATTGCTGCCCGTGTGCATCAATGAGCCTAGGGTGCCCATGAACCTGACGCCAATTCACTACTTTCCTTGCACCACTTTTGGTAGGTACTAACCACAGCATAGCAGGAACACCCCCACAAAATGTGTTTTGGAGATGTTCTGACCAAGTCGTCTAGCCGACTGGGTCACCAGAGGTATTAGCGAGCTGTCCCTATTTATATTCTCCTTTGGGTCATTGTAACTTTACCTTTTACTAAGGGCGTACAAGTGGAAACAGATACAGAACTAGTACCGTGTTACCTTTGGCCATATGATGATTTCCTACAATATAAGAACCAGTTACCACCATCACCGCTGCTCTCTTAGGTTCTGGGGTAGCTATTCTGCAAGGGGGACGGTTCTTTGGTATTGGTAAGTTGCAGACTTAGCACAGCAACTGAGGTATAATGCTTTATTGCAGGTATCCATTTTCTGCCCTGTGCTGGTAGTAGGCTGTTTTCCTTAGAACAGCCGAGGTATTGGCTAGCTGCATAGTAGCTTTTTATTTACCTTGTAGCCATGGTAGCCAGGGTGTACAAGTGAAGATAGATGCAGCACTAGAACCTTATTACCTCTGGCCATATGATTACTTCCTGCAATATTAGAACCAGTTTCCACCATTACCACTGTTCTCTGAGATTCCTTCCCTCTTATCGGCGATTTCTTATTTTGTATATTTCAGTTACAGTGTATCTGAGACACAAATCAATGAAGCCTGATTAGATACACATTTACTGATTTTAGGCTTAGTTCTCCCTTAGCTACCCCCGTACACTATTTCATACTTTATTTTATGCTGTATGCAACATTTACCAGTTTTTTGGAACCTAGTGTTCCAATATTTTGTAGTTGTCTAATCTACAGGGCTCATACCCAGGATAGACTGGTACTATCTTCTCTGATTCTTTTTCACCGGACCTGCTGGTTTAGTTTATAGAAATGGCCCACTTTGTATTCCCGTCTTTTCTACTCAGGTTTACCTTGGGATGTCGAGCCAGAAAATCTGCAGCTTGTTCAAAGTAATCCATGTGAAATTCGGTCATCGCTGGTGGCAGGTCTTCGAAAGCCACATACGGCAGAGCCAAAGCAGCAAACCCTCGGCTGGCCAGCAAACTGGAGCGATATTCCACTAGTCCACCATCATCCCCAAACATATCAATCACGCCAGGGAATGGTCCCTCACCTAAGTGTGAGAACAGAGGCCATCAACAACTCAAACTGATAACGAGCATTCTATGGTTAGTTTATAAACAGTCAGAGAATGAAAAACAATGAAATGTAAAATTATATACTGAAATAATAACATTTAGAATAATCACAGCTGCTTCCATTAGTACGCACACTGATAGGCAAGGTTATGAAGAAGACTTCCATTAGCTCCCATTCTTGCTTGATACTTTACACAGAGGTGTTACTGTACTAGATTGTAAGCTCCTTAGTCGAGAAATCAACTTCTGCCATAGCAATATGTACACCTACATAAATTGTACATTGCTGCTGAATGTGATGGCATAAATAACATTAGAATAACATTTATATTCAGATACAAGCAGCACCAGTAGACATCCGGGGAAAAAAATAAAATAAAACACTTTGCAACTGTGATCTACTGGTACACAATGCGGCACCTCTGCTAGTTCTAAAATCTATCAGCCTTATCCTCTTTCCAATGCGTCTTGTTTTTCTTTTATACTTTCCCCCCGCCCCCCACCACCAATACCTCTTGTTATTTTTAACTACATTCTCTAATGTCTAGGTGTTGGACCCAAGAAGCCATAGCAATACTTGGTGACCTGTATATGATTGAGCTGTCTCTGTATTTCCTGCGCCAGACAATATATGGATCAGATCATATATGAACAAATGGAGTATTCAAGGAAACTCGCCTTTGCAGCCTTTCACAGAAGACTAGTTTCATCATTTTACCCTCTGAAATGTTACAGAATAACCACACACCAACCGAATGGGACACAGGGGATTCACAAGGCTCATGGCGGCCCATGGCATCCACTCATACATTTCAAGGGTCAATGTTAGAAGAGGAGGAAGCGGACTATAGAAAAAGTATGGAATTTTGTGCTATTTTAAATGCAAACTGCATGCGAATGGAGGAGATTACATTCACTGTAAGTAATTACCTGGGGGTAAAAACAAAGTGCCTCTCACCATGCCCTCTCTCAGCCTGATCCTTCTCACTCCAGGGCCACAAAACAATCTGTGAACTTTCACTCTAGCAGTCACCTCTCCAGGTATAGCAGTGGGATTTAAATGCCCCTTGTGGACTAACAGCTCCAGGACCATAGGCAGCTTCTGAACATCTTTCTTCTCTAGTCGTTTGTAAGGTTTCTCCATGACAGAGGGGGACAGACTCCACAGGGGGCCCATGGGCAGCACCCCACTATAATCACCCCCATGGGAGGGGTCCCTCTCCAAATCAATGAGGCCTGAGTTATCAGCTTCATAGTGGGCACAGGAGTCAAAGAGGCAGTCCTGGTCATCCACTACCAGGGCTCTGAGAGTCACCTGCTGTCTGGGACTGAGCCCCTGCACTTTGATCTGTAACCTCTCATCTGCTAGCCCAGCCTGGGGGTACACAGACAGGGACACTGGCCTCAGGGCATGGTGGTGGAGGGGTGGGGGTTTCCAGAGGCGGAGGGCCCTGCTTGTGATCTTCCACAGCATTGCAGTCACCAGATAGGCACTCTCTGCCTGACCCTGCTGCAGTCACACATGTCACATTACACACAGCCTGCCTAGCAGAGCACCGATCGCATCGAACAGTAGTCTGCCTCCACTAACTGGTCACGCTGGAAGAACATGAATCAGATCGCAGAGCGCATCGATCAATCTTCTGGTCTTCACTAGCCAGTCACTCTGGAAGCCCAGAGTAGGAGATCACCGATCACATCGAGCAGTCATTCTGTAACAGTAGTTATAGTCCTGTTAGCAACCAGCCAGGAGCTGAGCAGCCATGGACAATGTTTTGCACAGTGACATGTAGCCTGCCCTCTAATGGCACAAATAATAAAAACAGAGGTCTGATACTGTTTCCATTTTGTTATACATTTTTAATGAAAGGACCTCACTAGCCCTGTTCATACATTAACATAATGGTAAATAAAAGATTTGTCATCATTGACCTTGTAACAGCCTGGCTAGTATAAAACATGGCCCCCTAATGGCCAGGGCCCTCTGTTCTAAACCTGAGAGAAGTAATACTCACAATATTTAGTTCCTGCAAATCCCCCAAACTTTGCAACATCTGGAGGGAATCCTCAAACCTGGAACAGACTGCTTGATTTACAAAAATAAAAATAAGTAAAAATCAATAGCACTTTTGGCAGGGAATAAAATGAAAACCTTTGCTGTTTCATGAACAGGAAGGGTGGGTTGCAACTATGGTTATTCCCATTTCTATAAAACTACCTGTATCAAGACAGTAGGCACTTTTTGAATCCCAGATTTTCTATGAAATGGACAGACACAAGTGGGGAGATTTAACATCTCATTTTCAGCTTATTCGTGGCTCAATTTCATCGATCCGTCTGATTATTTTCATCTGTTGCTTTTTCAACCATAACAATTTTTGACTATACATATTGCGTTTCGGCATCGATTACACAAAAGTGTTGTCTTTCATTTCTCTTTTTCCTTCCATTATAAAGAAATAACTAAAAGAAAACCCACCACTTTTTAGATCACTTAAATACACGATCTAAAAGAATGATGGGATTTAAAAGTTACTTTTCAGAACACTTTGATAAATATCCCCCATAGACAACACAGATCGGTATTTCCCATCATGGCTGAAGCGCTATAAAACCTTTCATTAATGGACACTTACCACCTCGTCCTAGTTTACAATACTTGCTCTATAGTGTCCACAAATATATACCGTATTTTCCGGCGTATAAGACGACCCCCAGCTTTTCCAGTTAAAATATAGAGTTTGGGATATACTCTCTGTATAAGACTACCCCTCTTCCAATGCACACCAAATAAAAATTAGCCATGATGTACAGTGAGCAGACAGAGCTACACAGCAAGACATTAAATAATGATAATCTGAAATAGCATTTAAAGCCCAGGTATGTGCCAGGCTGTTTGGGCATATAATCCATGCCTGCTGGTCTAGCACACAGGAGGCTAATTGCAATATATTCTTTTTACTCCCCCCCCCCATTTTTTACTCCCCCCCCTCCATTCTTTTTACTCCCCCCCCCCCAGAGTGGGTGGCCGAGCTCCTCTTCGTCCTGTCAGTCACCGGGTACCGCGCGGTACAGGAGATTCAGTTACCTGTTCCCGGCCGGACTGAAAGGAAGTGAGCACTCAGTGTGCACTTCCTTTCAGTCCGGCCGGGAACAGGTAACTGAATCTCCTGTACCGCGCGGTACCCGGCCGGACTGACAGGACGAAGAGGAGCTCGGCCACCCACTCTGCACAGGGAAGGGGAGGTGAGAAGAGAGGCAGTGCGGCAGCCGTCTGAGCGCTCTCTATAGAGCTCTCAGGCGGCTGCAGCATTAGAAGGGCCGGCGATGGGGGCGCACGGCGCCCCCGGCAGCCATATAGACCCTATACCCGGTGTATAAGACAACCCCTGACTTTGGAGAAGATTTTCCAGGGTTAAAAAGTCATCTTATACGCCAGAAAATACAGTATATATATATAGCACTGAATGAGAAAGGACACTATACTTATTGCTCCTGAGAAAATAATGTTATCAGATGCATGTAAAATAAATTTAATTTTTATTAATAAATTCATTTATTACATTTACAATATATTTAATTGAAAAACAACATAGTAAGTGCATTTGATTTGGTGTTTAATCACAGTGATATTAACATTGGGAGCCCAAATTTCCAATTTCAAGCATTTACCATTTTTTAAAAATATAATATCTACATTTAATCATATTAAACGGCAAAAAAATTCTTAAAATCCATCTTTTGGAAGACAGACACAAATCAAACTAGTTTGATAAATTCACTAAATGGAAAGATCGTGGAAATTCTCCGCATTTAATGAACACATCTGAGATCACTTGTCGTATGACAATCTATCACCAAAGCCAAAATGCTGGTAACAGCAACTTTTGCTGAGAAGTAAGTTTTAGGCTTGGCTAGTAGGTTGGGCCTTTGTTCAACATATATTTATTAATTGTATCAAAACAGGCTGACTTGGTTCAACCAGACATACAATACAGGTTTGTTCAATCCTCATTGTGTACACGGACAAAGGGAACTTTACAAAATTATGTTAGACAAGCCAAGAACACACTGGGGCACCCATATACACCAGGGTTTTGAAGGTGTGCATATGTAAAATATGCCAAAATATTGCGGTATGCAATGATACATTTTTATTTGGAGTAGCAAAATATTTTTGTTAAATGAGCTTTTCAGAGTTTTCCTCAAGTCTGAAGAAAAACTGATCAATGACAGAATTTAACATTTAAAGGAACACTACAGTATCCCATTGCCCCTCCAGGAATATAAAGGGTTAAATAACCCGCTTCAACAAATTACCTGACTCCGGCGTCAAGGTCCCTTAGCACTGGATTCCTCTTCGCCTCCCCTGATGTCAGCGATTAGGGGAACCTAATGTGTAGTGAGCGCTGTGCGTATTAAGCCTTCCCCACAGAAAAGCATTGAATCAAAGCTTTCCAATGGGGAATTTGAAGGCACTGGACGTCCTCGTGCTTTGCAGGTTATACCCAATGAAAGGCCAGGGAGCAGCGGTGGTATATGAAAGAACAGCTTACAAAAGCTGCGGACCTGTAGTCTGCAGCCTCTGCAAGCCCTCCCCCCTCTCCCCTCTTTCCCCAGCCCAGACTTCTAATATACTGGTATACTCCAACAAGAGGCTTCTGTGGAGCCAACATTTGATGAGACAAATCTTTGGATTTCTGATTGACAGCCAGGGAGGTGTCTATGTCCTAAAATAGAGGTAACAATTTCTAATGAAAAACTTCACTTTTATAAACAGTCATGAAATGACAGCAAGCTGAAGTGCTGTGTGTGTTGAGTGTTCTTTTAATGAGATTCGTGACACACCTTAACACTGCAATAAGTTTTGATTTAAGTGGGAGACAAAAATTACAAAAAAACAAAGCAATGTTATGCAAGAAATTGTGAAAAACAAGTCTGTCCCTTTAATCGTGCATTGTTTTCCGACAAGCAGGTTATTTTATTTTTATGGATAACTTATTTCAAGCCAATGATTAAACTAACAGATAATGAATGTATAACTGTTGTATATGTTAAAGACCAGCTCTGACATTCTCTCCTAGTGGCAGTACAGTGGTATTGCTATAAATGTCCTGCAACGGGACTTTGAAATACTGAGCTGGCAAATACATTTTCCTTTTGCAGATCTAAATAAAAAGACTAACAGGTTATTCAATAAACTAAAATTCAAGTGATTGAAATCAGAACGGTAATACGGAGGCAAAAATAGCAGATTGAGGACAATTATTCAACTCAATCGTAGTCACAATCTGCCTATTTTTGCCAGATGGAATTTGAGAAAAATTGAGTTTAGTAAATAAGCCTGTAAGTTCTTACAAACGATGGTTTTAAATTAATACTCTCATATATTAACAGTCCATTAAGGTACAATTTATCTTTAAAAAAAGAAAAGAAAAAAATGTTAAGATATCTCAAATATATTGAGTGTAGGAAATGATTAACTTCTAGAATCAAGTGTTATAATTTGTTCCCCATAGCATTTTTCTGGTTGAGATGTTTGTTGAAGAAGATCTGGATTTTCTTCCAAGAATCCACCTGAGCCATAGCATGCTGTCTGGTTTGCCCACCCCATACCACTGGCAGACCAACAAGTTTGTGCATGGAGATTTTGCACAGAGGGAAATTAGGTGCTTCGATGTAATGACCAGTTTCGGGGTACAGTACAATTTCTGGTTTCTCCTTCCTGGCTTCTACAAGCAGGCTGCATGCTGTTTGGGCATAGAATTCACTTCTCCAATTTCGATCATCTTGCCCGACAACAAACAGAAACTTACAGTCGGCTTTCCAAATAGGAATAAGGCTTTTACGGTTACCTTCTTCTAGCGGGTTGACCAATATATTGGTGATATCAGCCACCCCTTTCTCAGGATATATCATTTTCTTGACATCGATGCCAATGGGAGGTAATAAAACATCCTTGTATTTAAGGGCTGCACCGACATTGGCAATGGAGCCATTAACGAGAACAGCTGCGGTTATACCCTTCAGAAAGGAAGCCATTGAAGCAACCAAGTCTCCACCTTTGGAGTGGCCCATAAGACCGATCCCTGGGCCTTTTACCTAAAAGACAGGAGACAGAAATCACCAATGAACAACATATCTAAGGTAAAGAAAGCAAATAGCTTACTCTGAAGAAAAGTTTAAAATGCTAATTTATTTATTTATTTAAAAGACCACTTTAGGCACCCAGACCACTTTAGCTCAATGAAGTGATCTGGGTGCCAGGTCCATCTAGTGTTAACCCTGCAGCTGTAAACATAATTGTTTCAGAGAAACTGCTATGTTTACAGTGAGGGTTAATCCAGCCTCTAGTGGCTGTCTCATGGACAACAGCTAGAGGAGCTTCCGCGATTCTCACTGTGGAAATCACAGTGAGAAGACGCTGACGTCCATAGGAAAGCATTGAGTAATGTTTTCCTATGGACTGTTTGAATGCGCGCGCGGCTCTTGCACCCTTTAAGTACTGAGTTCTGCTATTTGAATAAGATTTAAATAATTGACTACTCACATATAAGTTACAGTGAAATGCACAGCAGCAGTTAACAGTTTTGAAATAACATTATCACACTTTTTACGGTCTAGTTCACAGCTTCATTAAGCTAAAGTTGTTTTGGTAACTGTAGTGTCCCTTTAACATTTATTTTGGCATTTGTACACTGGCCAAACGTATTCCCATCAACATCAATGTGCCGTAGTGTTTCTGGTGCCTAAAGTGTCCCTTTAAAACTAATTGCTATTTTAAAACCCACCTTGGGGTGTTGCAGCATGTAGTTTACAGCTTCTTCAAAGTACTCCAAATTAAACACATTCATTTCTTTTGGAAGATCTTCATAGTTATAATACGCCAGAGCAAGGGTCGCAAAACCTTTGTTAGCCAGGAGGCTAGCCTTGTATTCGAGAAGACCTCCACCTGTCCCTTGAATTTCAATAATGCCCGGGAAAGGTCCAACTCCTGGAGACAGAAATCATGACCATACTGATCTACTTGACACACGAAATATAGCACACTTCTAACGAAAGGTCAATTGATATATAGAAAACCAGCCACTATTATCAAAGAACAACATACACACAATCTGTATAAATAGTGCACATGTCCTATGGTGCTCAGCAAACCTAAAGACTGCACACCTCCCAAGTGTCCCTATTTAGGAGGCACAGTCCCTATTTTGTACCCAAATCCCAATTTTCTAGGAGCTCCATATTCTTGGTGTGACTGAGTGGATAACAGAGCTCCACAGCAATAATACTCTCACTGTAATGTGACTTTAAACCACAATAAATGTGGGTAGAAATCAATCATTTAGAGATTAGTAATAATAATAAAAAGTTATTAGCAAGTTACCTAAAAATGTCTCAAACAGAAATTAAACTGTCCTTCTGGGGTGCATGAGGCTGGGTGAGGATTGTGAAAATGGTAGTTTCAGAAGGATCTGAGAGGTGTCAGTGTTCTCCAGGGTGTGCAGGACTACAACTCCCACAATCCCTCCTCCCCCCACTCACCTGGTGGTAAGAAGAGGCTGCCCCTCACCCTGCCCTCCCTCACGGGGTGCCTGCTCACTCCTTCCCCCATGAAGGTCCTGTCCTGGGTGGCGGTGGCCAGCAGCTTGCCCAGGGGCTCGTGGTCCCGGTAGAGGCTGAAGTCCACCCGCTGCGGGCTCTGCACGTCCTTCCTCAGGAACCTCCTGTGTGGAGTGCGGGGCTCCAGCGCCCACAGGGGCCCCTCGGGCTCCAGGCCGGTGTAGCTGCCCCCCTCCAGGGCCGGGGACTGTGTGAGATCCAGCTCCCCGCGGCTGCCCGCCCGGTACCGGCCCCGGGAGCTGAACGTCTCGCCGCCCTCATCGGTGAGCTGGGTGTGCAGGGTGACCGCCTGCCCCGGCTCCAGGCCCTCAGCCCGGACCGCCAGCGGCTCATCGTACACACAGCGGCCGGGGGACACCTGCAGGGACACGGCCATAGAGCGGCAAGACAGCACCCGGGGGATCGCAGGCCGCTGGAGGGAGAGCAAAGCTTGCATTATCCAAAATTACAGAGAGAGGGGGAGAGGGAGGGCAAAACACCTGCCAGGACCTCCTACTGCGAATATACAGATATATATACACCCCCCCTCCTAATACACAGATATATATACACACCCTCCTAATACACAGATATATATACACCCCCCCCTCCTAATACACAGATATATATACACACACCCTCCTAATACACAGATATATATACACCCCCCCTCCTAATACACAGATATATATACACACCCCCTCCTAATACACAGATATATATATACACACCCTCCTAATACAGATATATATACACACCCCTCCTAATACACAGATATATATACACACCCCTCCTAATACACAGATATATATATACACACCCCCTCCTAATACACAGATATATATACACCCCCCCTCCTAATACACAGATATATATACACACCCCCTCCTAATACACAGATATATATATACACACCCTCCTAATACAGATATATATACACACCCCTCCTAATACACAGATATATATACACACCCCTCCTAATACACAGATATATATATACACACCCCCTCCTAATACACAGATATATATACACCCCCCCTCCTAATACACAGATATATATACACACACCCTCCTAATACACAGATATATATACACACCCTCCTAATACACAGATATATATACACACCCCTCCTAATACACAGATATATATACACACCCCTCCTAATACACAGATATATATATATATACACACCCCTCCTAATACACAGATATATATATA